ATCTTATTATGCGGTCGGCTCCCGGACCGGTCGGGTGGGTGACCCCCTGACTTATCAGTTTCAAAGTGTACGCCGCCCAAAACTGGATACATCACTATGACATGGCCAATATGTCAGACAAGAACCAGCTCGCCCTCGGAAAAGTCTTCGAGGATGAATCCGCAATCAAGTTCTGGCTCACCTTTGTTGCGTACCTCGCTCTCCCCCCATCGCACCGACCTAAAAATATAATAGAGGAGGAACCCTTCCAAGTTTCCAGTTCAGAGTGGCGAGACTTTCTGGAGATCAGGGACCTGGATGATCTGAGGACCCTCTTTTTACTCGCCCGTCGTCCATAGCCTCTAACTGTTGCTGGAAGGCTGCTTCTTGACGCAGCCGAAACCTCCCGACAAGAAATTCTTGGAGCGATGTCCACGGAAACATTGCCTGACGGCTCCGTTCTCAGGTCTTTGGCCGCCAGCCAGGGTGCCTTTCACGCCGAAATGAGGGAAAAGTTCGGCCTAGTAGAAGGAGAAGAATTCTTTATGATTCGTCTACCGGCCCTGGTTTTGGGCAACCCCACGGAGCGTGACAAGTTCGCTGCGGAACTCTCATCACCATCATCAGCCGTTTGGGAATTCTATCGCCAGTTCGCCGACGTCATGAGCGTTGCCCTCGAGTATGACGACAAAGCCATCATTGACAAGGCGTTAGAGCTTAGTGGCTGGGATGCCATAAGCGGCGGGGACGAGACCTTAACCACCGTGGGCCTCCACAGCTGGTCCACGCTGCATGCTGCAGCGGAACACGGTAGTCTGGAGGTTATCGAAAAAATCCTTGAGTCCATACACGAAGACGAGATCAGTAATCTTGCTCTGAGCCCTCGAAGCCCCGTGTTCATCGCTGCCTCGCACGGGTTCCACCTAGTCGTTAAGCAGCTCTTATCCGTTGGCATTCCTGTGGACGGCGTCGATGAATATTCTGGCAGGACCGCACTACATATTGCCAGTTCGCTTGGATGCCAGAGGACAGTGGATATACTATTGCGAGAAGGGGCAGACGTCACTTCCGTTCACAAATATGGCGACTTCCCGCTGCATCTTGCCATACGACATGGACACACCCACATTGCCGAACAACTCTTGGGCAGGTTCCCGGCTGTGCCGCAACGAACTCCATCTTTGAGTCATGAGGGCTCTGTTGCAAGTCCGGCGGATGATGATGATGTTGACAATTTTGACACCATTTACAACATGGACAGCATGGACAACATGAGCATGGACGACAACATGGGCATGGGTGACGACAAGATACCCAACATGGACATAGTGTACCAAGTGGTCCATAATTACGGTAACACAAAGGGCGTGTCAATCCTAATGGAGGCCGCTACCGGCAATCTGCCTGAACTCTGCTCCATGGCGCTTAGTCGGGGCGTGTACCCCAATTTCACCGACGCCAACGGCAGGATCGCCCTTCATCGTGCTGCCAAGGTCGGATCCGTTGCCATGGTCAAAGACCTGTTGTCAAAGAACTCCATAAGAAGTCCGGGGACACGGATTGACAAGTGTATCCCCATCCACTACGCGTGTTATCGCGGGTTTACAGAGGTGGTGGGCCTGCTCGCCGGCGTTTCGGATCTCTCTGCAAAGGACATAAGGGGCCACACGCCACTCGCTGCGGCTGCTGCCGCGGGCCATTTGGACGTCGTGCGACTGCTGTATGGACACTACAACGACGATTTTGACACGGTTCGAGCACTGATTGCTGCGGCTAAGCAAGGCCAGCTCCATGTCATGGAGTACCTGCTCGATTCTGGTTGTCCGGTAGACGGAGCAGGCAAGGACGGATCTCGCGGACTTCCCGGAAACCGCCTCATTCCCCTTCTCAACCTAGACCCGAGCAAGAACTCGCGGGCGATGCAGCTCCTGCTTGCGCGAGGTGCTGACCCGGATCTGGTAGAAGAAACGTGTAAGACGGCACTTCGCACGGCAGCGTCGACTGGAGCCTACGAGGCCGTCAAATTACTCCTCGATCGTGGAGCGAAGCCTGATGTCGAAACGTGCGAAACGCCTCTCTGTGAAGCCATCGACCTGGGTCGCCCGAATATCGTGCGTCTTCTATTACGTCGGAACGCCAGGATGAGACGCCCGATTTGGCGTGATCCATATCGGACCTTGCTCGACTTTGCCATGGGCGAGTCGACTCGTGATGTAGTCGCCGTCCTCCTCGACTTCTATGCAAAGGGCAAGCATGAAGACAGATTAACTCCTAGTAAGGCCTTGAAGGACGCCATGAAAATATCTCGCATGGACTTCGTCGAGCTCATCTTCAACCACTGGCTTTTCGTACCAGAGGCGACAACGGAAGCTTCCAAGGCCGAGGCCATTCAAGCATTGGTTACGTATGAAAACGTGGGACCCCTGCGGCTTCTTGTTCAACATCCAGCCATGAAGAAGGCCATCAACACAGATGCCTTGGGCGAGTCCAAACTCGGTACTCCGCTGCACGCAGCCATGCTTGCGGGCCAACAGCATGCCGTAGATATCCTCATGGAAGCCGGCGCAGACCCAAACATTGTATGCGGCAAATTCGGTACCATTTTGTGCGCGGCATGCGCGTCGGGGAGCACTGATATGATGAAGAAAGCTCTTGAACTTGCGTCACCCGAAAGTTTCGAAACCGCAGAGGAAAATGCCACACCATTCTAATGGGTCATGCGTGGATGTTTCAAAAGTTTGGCCTCCGAGGCAATCATTACCTCTTTGAAACTTTTATAGGCGGGCCGAACGCGGGCGATAGACAGGTCAGTGATGTACAGCTGTCCCTCATCCCTGCATGATGCCATGGACTCCAGAATACCTCTGGAAGCCATCGACTGGCTGCTTGAGAGGTCGCCTGACCGAGTATTGACCAGGATCCACTTTACCAGCTACACTGGTCGGGTACCCCTTAGCACCGCTGTCCTTCGATCAAGAGACTGGGAGTTCATTGAAGCAATCCAGGAAAGAACCAGGCAGGAGATGATGGGGCGGTCCGAGCCCCCCACCAGCACCTGGCCACGCGGGATCTTCACTTTACCGGACGTACAGGGCCTCAACCTGCTACACTACGCAGTATTATTGCACTCCACGGCCACATGTGTTCGCCTCCTGGATCGCCTCAGGGAGGCAGAAGTTCGGATGGACATCTCTGCATTGGGCCTGCCGTGGTAAAAACGACGGAATTGTTCAGCTGCTGGTGGATAGCGGCGCCAAGACGACGGCGAGGTCTCATAATCGATGGACGCCCCGCCATGTTGTGTTACTCTGCGGGCGTGAGCTCTAGAGTTGCTTCTCCCAGTTTCCTGATACTGGCGATGATGATCGCGTTCTTCCGGGAAAAACAACTTTTCGAGATCACACATTTTGCGAGTCGTGTTTGATGGTACGTTTCATTCATGCCAAAGTTCCTTCCCATCCTTTGCTCTAGTTAGTCGAGTGCATAGAGCAAAAATGACTAACAAAAGCATCCAGCACCTCGATTGGAAGTACTACCATTGCCAAAGCGGCCCCATCGATTTCGATCTCTGTTTCAAGTGCTATCAACATGAGCACGACATTTACTTCAGCAACTACGAGTACGAGGAGCGTCAAGCTCGTGACTTTCGGGTTTATTAAGGTCCTCGCTTGGGGGGCGATGGATCAAGGGTAACAAGGGGAACCCTGAGCAGAGGACAAGTCGAAGGCTTAGATGTGACCAACGATGCCGCTCAGGGGCAGGGCTGGTCAGCTTTATGCACGGGTGACAGCCTCTGAGGCTGAGCCCAAATGCTGCATTATCTCTGATTAGTGTTTGATGGACAGCCATCAAATAAGTCTCCCTGACGTCCCAAATCACCCTTGCCGCCCGATACATGGCGCCCCATAATGTGATTTTCTCTGATGAGAAGAAAACCACTTTAATCCCTTTACACAGTACTGCGTCGGCACCCAGGCGTCGGCAGTCAAGGCATTTTCGTGATATCAAGCGGGCACTGCAGATATTCCATTGATAGTACTTCGGCAAATTATTTTTCCGCTCCGTCTTGCTAGTTTAGCTCAGGGGTTAATTATGGCAAGCTCGCAGCGCTACCCCTGTTTGTGACCTTCCTAATTTGAGAGTTCCGAACGCTTTAACTTCCTGTCAGGCTCCGCTGCTATCCCAGTCCGGTGAACGCTTCTCGAGGAAAGCCGAAACGCCCTCCCTCTTATGAGCTGTCCCGAAGGCGGAGTAGTAAAGACTCCGCTCAAACTCGTCATCCCGGCCCAACTTGTCGCCTGAGAATGGAGCCGGGTGGTGAGTATTTGATCTGAACGCTCTCGTGAAATAGCTGACTTACTGCGACATACAGCCTCCTTGGCGAGTTGCACGGCGGAAGAGCTGAGACTGGCCAGCTGTTGGGCGGCCTTGATGGCCCTGTCGAGCACCGACCCAGGGGGGGAGAGTTCGGTGACCAAACCGTTGCTCAGCGCTTCCTGTCCGGTTATCGTTGCTCCGAAAAGTATCATTTTCATCGCCTATTGGGACGAGTCAGTGGACGATTGAGATGGAAACCCCGGTAGTATTTCTTGCTTCCTGTTTCCTCTGACTTACCTGATACTTGCCCACAGCATTCGTCAGTCTTTGGGTGCCTCCAGCTCCCGGGATAAGTCCAATCCTCACTTCCGGTAGGCCAAACTTGGTAATCTCGGACGCGAATATTAGGTCACACTGAGTTTTAGTGACCGTTAGAATCGAGGTTCACCATTGCCGCAATCGCAAGCGTTCTATTAGCGCGCTAGGTGCTTCTCACCATAAGCGCGACTTCGAATCCCCCGCCAAGCTGCACATCAATGCTACCGAGTCAGCCAAGAACGCGTGCCTCGCTTGCTCGAGTGGCCTGTTTCGCCTTACCGCCATCCCCTCAACGGCTGCGATGACCGGCTTCCGGACGGCCGCCATTCCGTTGCAGAGATCTTCCAGATACCTGCATCCTCTTGCACTTTCGAAGTCGAGGCGTGAAATCTCGTTGATATCGGCACCGGCTGGAACGTGCGTGGGCACACCGAGCCCATCATTGTCAACTACCTGCACCTTGGCGAGCTTGGCTAGGTAGGTAGGCGGATCACGCCGGGGCGTCCCCAACCTTGAACCTACCAGAAAAGAAGTGTGGCCCGCCAGTCAGAATGACGGCTTTAATGGCGTGATCTGCCGACACTGTGGCCAGTTCGCTGAGAAACTCATCGATGAGGGACTGAGAAAGCGCGTTACGCTTCTCAGGTCGGTTGAAGGCAAGGACGGCGACCCCGGGATGGGGTGTGCTTCGCTGCACAAGGGTCGACCTAGGGGGCTGCTCTGACATTGTCGTACTCTGGTCGTAGCGAGCAAGGTGGCTTTTTTCCCGCGCCGTGGTCGAGCTGGCGCTTCGCTCCTCGTGTTTGGCGCATGGATTTCTGCGAGAACTGGGTCGGGGACGGACGGAGGGGGAGCAGGAGATGCGTAAGGGATTATAAATCTTTGAAAACAAGGACGGATAGGGCTCCTTCACTTCAGGGGTCAGCAATGTGCGGAATGTTCCATCAATGGCGTGCCATTCTATTCTCCGACGCAACATCGATGAACCGTGCACCAGTCGCCAAGAACAGGACCTTAGGATTGCTGGGCGGTTGATCTGGTTTCGATGTAACGGTAGCTGCAAGCACTCGCCCCGATCTCTGCTAATCACTCGATTAGGTCCAACGGCCGAAAGCGGAAACGACTTCGCTTGCCATAGCTCCCTACCACTTGTATCTTCCTCTAGGCCCAAGAGACAGCTGGATTGGGGCCAAGTCGGGCGACTGTGATGTCAAGAGACCCGGATTCCTCCGTTGAAACAAGCGACCCGTCGGTCCGACTGGACCGACTCGGAGTGTTGACTGCTTTCGGGTCGACGGAGGCAGGTTGCCTTTTGGCCGCTTGGAGCCCCATCTCGCTACGTGCACTACGTTGTCCTCGTCCATACAGACAGATAGATTTCCAAGTACACTAGCCGCCGTTTGTGGAAGGATCGCATTCATGATGCAGCTGTTCCGCGGAGGTCGCCAGAGCTGGACCGGCCGACCGAGTCCTGGACAGGTCCTTCTTTCTTTTCCCGTCGCTGTCATGTTCTTCGGTCGAAAAGGTCAAAAACGCCGCATCTTATGTATTTGGGGAGCAGTTCGCGTTACTAGCGGTAGCGATCATTACTAGTAATAAACCAGAACTCAAGACATCCTAGGACTTTGCATGTGCAAGGTTACATATACGTGGCACTACAGGCCCTTTTGTATACAAGGCTGCGTATCCTAATGGGCGAAATGTATGAACTGCTGACAGTAATGTGGGCTGTGAGCCCTGCACCGGCCTTGTGAGCGGGGACTTAGTTCAGGTATGGATTTAATATCATACGCCCACCTTCTCCATTCCAGTCCCACTCCGATGTGGAAACACGTCGCATGCATCTGCATGGAGCATGTGGAGGAGATCGCCGGTGGAAACCCCCTTTTTAATCCACCTTCTGCCGTGTCCAGATCTGTAGCGCTATAGCTTGTGGGGGCTAAACTATTTGCAGCCCCATCCTGTCGATTTGAAGTTGGCCAGAAACAGATATGCTAAACAAGGAGGAGGCTAACCTGAGATAATTCCAAACCACTGCGGTTTTGATCTGCTACGTAGCCGTAACCGAGGGTGTCACTAGAATCCGTGCGTGTTACATGTACCGAAAAGTTGGCTTTGAGAGATGCTCCCCCTCGTAGTAGTACCAACCATTTCCGTCGTTTCCCCGATGCACACTGGGCAGCGCTGTCTGGGCGGCGGCCGGGCCGGCGCCTAGAGAGGCCGCTGGGGCTACCGGCTTCTCCTTTGGGGATTCGGGGGGGAGGACATGATCAAAGAGATTGAACGTGTCTCTTATTGGACGACGGCGGCAAAGCTGGCCTATATATTTGATTTCTCCTCCCGTCCGACAAGTAAGCACAACATCGATCAGCCCTAGCCAGAGGCTTATTTCCAAGTATTTGGAATATTCTGCCTTGAAACCGGCCTATTCGTTGACAGAGCGTTTCATCGTGGCTGTAACCTCATACACTATACTCAATATTAAGCTGTTCGCTGCAACCCCTTATTTGTCATTCAAACCAGAGGTACCTCCGGGTATGCACCCAGCCGTCCACAGCATGAGCCCGCCGCACATCCACCACCCATTCGCCTCGGCGGAGACCAGAGCCAATGAAGCCAATGAACTATCTGGGCCGGACGGCCCGTTGTGCTTCAGCTTCGGGACGAGACTCGCCGCGCCATTCGGAACGGTGACAGAAGCCTTCTACCACCACGCAAGAAAGCACCCGGAGGCTATCGCCGCGAAGGATCTCTCCGCAGGGTCCGCAGGATCTGCGAGGGAGATCGACTACGCATCGCTCGCCCGCAGGAGCCGCCGCTTGGCCGCCCAGCTGCAAGAACTGGGGGTCCAACCGGGCGACCGCATCCCGCTAGTCGTCAAGCGGAGCATCGAGATGCTGGTCGGGCTTATGGCCATCCTTTCCTGTGGCGCCCAGTACGTGCCCCTCGATGCGGGGGTTGTGCCGGACTCGGCTCTCCGCTTTGTGCTGCAGCAGAGTCAGCGGACCCAAGGCCGGGGCCGGGGGCCGGTTGCGCTTTGTCTCACCTCGACTCAATACCGGCTTCTCAAGGTCAGCGAGGACTGCAAGACGGTTGTCATTCCTGCCCTGGACGACAGGGATACAGATGGTGAAGTGCTTGAGAAGGACGATGCCGACTTTCAAGACATGGCGACCCCTGACGGGGGTTGCTATGTTATCTACACGTCCGGTTCGTTTCCACTCAATGACCCCAATCACCTCCCAAGACGGTTAAACTACTACTAGGTAGGTGGTCTAATTGGACACTTAGGTACTACCGGAACTCCAAAAGGTGTCGACGTCATTCACCGGAATGTGACCAACATCGTCTGCCTTGCTCCTGGGCAGCTGGGCATCAAGCCTAAAATGCGCGTCGGACAGGTTTTGAACATTGGCTTCGACATGGGTTAGTACCTACCACCTTACTTGTCCACCAGCGGGCCACCACCACACGGGCAGCTAGCTAATGTCGTGGTAATTAGCGGCGTGGGAAATGCTGGGTGCCCTTTGCAATGGCGGCACGTTGGTCATAAGGGGCTCTGACTGGCTCACAACACTCCGTGAAGTATGTGTTACTGAAGCAGAAGCATTTGCTGTCGCGAGAACCGAACTTGCTAACGATGCCCTGTAGATCGATGTGTTGATCTGCACGCCGAGCATTCTATCACAATACAACCCAGTGTCCCTTCCAAACCTCAAAGTCGTGGCAACGGCTGGAGAACCAAGCAGCCAAAGGTCAGCAGAGCCCCCCGCCACAATATGGGTTGGACTAACTTGATTATCCTAGGCTGGCGGATCTTTGGGCGGCCCATGGTATTTACTACAACTGTTGTGGCCCGACCGAAACGACGATTGTGAACACTATGCATGAGCATATCCAGGGGGTTCCTCTGTCGGTCGGCGCCCCGACTCCGAACAACTCTGTTTATATTCTCGATGAGAATCTTGAGCCCGTTGCGCTTGGCGAAGTCGGCGTCATGTGGGCAGGTGGTTTGGGCGTGTCCAAGGGCTATGTCGGGATGCCGGAGAAGACAAGCGAGAGGTACCTGCCGGACAAGTTTACCAACGACGGGTGAGTAATTAATTATGGATGTGCTGCTGGATTTAACTTGGACGATAATGGGGAGTACTGATTACTGATAATACCTCAAGGAGCATGATGTACAATACCGGCGACCTGGGCCGATGGAATCCTAACGGAGCTATTGACATCCTCGGAAGAGCGGATGATCAGATCAAGATCAAGGTATGGATTCATATGCTGGTTTAGCACAGTTGTAGTAGATGTACCCAAGATTCGCTTTCGCTAACTTCACAAAGGGCTTCCGAGTTGAACTGGATGGTGTATCTGCCTCGCTTGGATCTGCCCCCGGAGTAAAACGCGCGGTTGCCCTACTAATAGGGCGAGAAATCCATGGCTTCGTTACCCCGAGGACCTGCGACCTTGACGCGTTGGTACAGCATATGGCCCAACAACAGCCGTACTACGCAGCGCCCACTCAGTTCCACCTCTTGGATGAACTCCCTCACACGGCGAACGGAAAGGTGGACAGGAAAGCCCTCCGAGAGCATGCGGCCGCCAAACAGCCCAGCCCATCCTCCTCAAATAACAACCTCGCCGAAACGAGGTCCGCGACGGGGCCAGAGTCGTCGTCTGGGTCTACCCACTCAAGCGAGAAGCACTCAAACGAAAAGCCCGACTTGTCTCGGCCTCTGCCGGACAAGACGTGGCCAAAGCCCATCCGCAACCTGGTGTACCGCGTGTTCATCGTTTACCGGTTCCTTTTCTCAGTAGTAGGCATCGCCAACGCGGCCGCGCTAATCACCGTGCTCGTCACCGACGCCCCCAAAGAGTGGCTCGCAACCATCACAGCCATCAACCTCGCCGTTGCCGTGCTCATCCGCCAGGACTTAGTCATCAACGCCCTGTACACCATCTGCTGCTCCGTGCCCAAGTCCTGGCCCCTACTCATCCGAGCTAGCTGCGCCAAGATCTACCACCTCGGCGGCGTGCACTCGGGCGCTGCCTTCTGCGCCGGCGCCTGGCTGCTCGCATCCAACCTAACCAACGCGGCTTGCTCGGTAATGATCTCTTGCTCCCCGGGCTCCCCCGGGGCACCGAAACAGCAGTCCACCGCCTCGACGGTCCTCTCCTGGATCCTCACGGCACTCTTCTGCGTCATGTTCACACTCGCATGGCCCCCCCTCCGCAAGCGCCGCCACAACCTCTTCGAGCGCACCCACCGCTTCGTCGGCTGGACCATGCTGGGTCTATTCTGGGCGCAGACGGTCGTGTTGGCCAACGACACCAAACCCGCGGGCACCACCCTCGGCGATGCCTGCCTGCGCTCGGCACCGCTGTGGTTACTGACCGCCGCGACATGCAGCATCGCCCTGCCCTGGCTGTTCCTCCGCAAGGTCCCCGTCGACGCCGAGGTGCTCTCGGACCACGCCGTGCGCCTGCACTTTGACTATACTGTCCCCGTCAACGGCTCCTTCACCCGCATCTCCACGCGGCCGCTTCTCGAGTGGCACTCGTTCGCGACAGTCCCAGCCCCCGAGGCCGTCGCCGGCCGGCCCGCGGGTTACTCGCTGGTGGTGTCTAACGGGGGCGACTGGACGGGGGCGTTGATCCGCAGTCCGCCAACGGCGTTGTGGGTGCGCGGCCTACCGGCATGCGGCGTGATGCGCATCGCGACGCTGTTCCGCCGGGTCGTCGTCGTGGCCACGGGATCGGGCATAGGCCCCTGCCTCGGCCACCTGCAGGCGCCGAGCTGCCCAACCCAGCTGATCTGGTCCACACCCAATCCGGAGAAGACGTTTGGCCAGGGTATGATTGATGCGATTAGGGCCAAGATCCCTGATGCTGTTATTCATGATACCCGCCGTCTGGGCAGGCCAGACCTGGTTGCGATGGCTTATAATTTGGCCACTTCGTTTGGTGCCGAGGCGGTTATTATTATTGCGAATGAGAAGATTACTAAGAAGGTGGTGTATGGTCTTGAGACGAGAGGAATGTATGCGTATGGCGCCATTTGGGACAGCTGAGCAGCCTGAGCTTGCTTTTACGCTCGGTACTGGGTGGAAACTTTTGCCCAAGGTATAAAGGGTTCCCTGTCAGCTCAATAGGGCCCGAAACTGGTGGCTATGAGAACGAGAACCGCGCCTCTTGAACAACAACCAAGGCTAGACGCTGTCGTAAAAATGTGAAACTGGGCATACCTTAGCAATCAACTTTCTTTTCCTGGTTCCAAAGGTGCTGAGAGCAATCACCACACTCCTGCCGCCAAGAACCCCGCGGAGTTGCCCAGGGACGCTGGCTCCTGGCTCAAAGACTTGCTTCTTCGCGGCTGAATGTCGCCGTAGTTGGACGCTCTTTGGCTCCCGCTTCAGCTGAAAAGTGTCCCCCAGATATCTCCCCAATACATGGGCCGGATAGGCGATAAGCTCCTTGTAGATCCCCTCGGTGGCGGTCGTACAGATATGTAATGTCACTTTGACAGTCGTGATGGTTGGTCGGTTCAGGTACCAACCCCTCTTTGACTTGATGCAGCTAGGCGGTGACAGCTCTCGTCCATTGGAGGGGGTTGCTCTCCGGGCTCGCAAATCTTGCACAATGAACTCCTCCCTACAGCATTCAGAGCCTTGTGGTCAAGTTTTTAGGGGTCTCCAGCCCGCCCACTTCAACGGCAAGGCTCTTCGTTCCAAGCAACTCCCTCATCCTCCATCAACAACACGGACAGCTTCATTCCATCTCTACAGCCGCTACTTGATAGCGAAGAACTCTTTGGCAGTTGACATTAGTGACTCAACCACAACACAAACCCCCTTCACTCCCAACCTTGAACAATCCTTGGCTAGGGTAATTAGGTGTGCATCATGACGCAGCCCTCCAACAGTACCCTCCCAACCACGGAAGATACCATGGACCCAACAACCGACTTTTTCGCCGAATACAATCTCGGCCAAGCTCTCGTGCCCGCGGACGATGGCATGTTCCAGACCGTGTGCAACAACCTCCGCGACCCCTTCACCAACCTTCCCGAGGCCCATCGCATCTACCTCACCGGCTACGACCGCGCCACCGACATCACCGCCGTCCGTGGCCGCCTCGTCCACGTGACCCACGGCACCCTCGTGCCCACCTCCAACTCCCCCACCAACCCCAGCCGCCCGGCCACCCTCATCGTTTTCGAGTGGCTGCTCATCCCCGGCCGTCTCGGCCGCCGGTTTAAGGAAGTCAACATCGACGTGACCTTCTCCGCTGAGGGCAAGCGGCAGGGGGCGTATACACTCCGGGATATTGAACGGTTCACCCCGTCTGTGGAGAAGGTGGCGCCGAGCGTGCCGTTGAAGACGAGGGTGAGGGCGCGGGGCGTGACAGAGGAGGTTTCTATTAAGGGAAAGTTGATGGTGGGATATCCGCCGATTGTGCAAGCGGGGCCGGAGGTGTCGAAGAGGACGAGGGTGGATATGACGAAGCTGGATTTCACGTTTGCGGCCGGGTATCCGACTTTTGTGAAGAAGAGCGGGGGCGAGCCGAATTCTGTGCATTGGTGAGTGGTTCTTTTTTTCTTTTTGGCTTACATTGTATTCATTAGTGTTTTTTCTTCTGCTGACGGTGTTGACAGGACCCTGCGGGAGAATGCCTCGGAGGAGAGCGGACTACCGAGCCTTGTACGCACTGCTGTATTGGTGAAAAGGAGAGAGCGCGACAACCTGGGCCAGTTCAAGGCAGATATCACTGCCAATATCAAGGCTTCGCGAGTAGGTGATCGAGTTAAGTCCTTCCGGAAACTGGTAGGTTTGGCCCCCAAGGACGACCCGCTGTTTTTCGATCCGAGGGTCTCTGCAAAGTCGGAAAACGGCGCGGCTGTGTTGGATGGGAGCCAGGATGTGACAGGCAAGACAAGTCCAGTGAAGGACAAGCGCCATCTGGCCGCCAAGAACCTTGACGACTTCCTTGTGTTTCACGAAGACCTCCAGGAACAACCCGCCGGAGATCAAAGTGTGGCTCAGGCTGGGATTGAAGCTGCTGATTCATGGGGTCAAGCCACGGGTCTTTCTGACAGTGGGGTGCAGATTAGCATTTAAGGTCTAGTGGTGGAAAAGAGGAAGCCATCCATGAAAATCCACATGAACAGAGTCATTATAAAGGAAGGATAACGGTGAGCCAAGTCTGATTTATCGTTTCGTGGCTGTCGAAATGGGCGAAGAAGCTGGCTAGCCTTGTAATTATATTTAGAGGAAAACATCAGGTGAGAAAAGGTACGATGCGTTGCAACAAAACTTCATCGCCACTACTAAGTCCCGGAACCAAAATGTCCCTCTGGCGTTGTGCAGTCTCAACTGTTGGGATGTCCATTCCTTAAGTATTACCCGAACGGGCAGCGCTGCCGACAACGCAGGTTTTCTATTGGACCAACGGGGCAGACCCCAACTTGCCAACCCCCACTTCCCATGTTCGCTCCCCATCGTGCCCATGTAAAGCTTGCCCCGGGAATACGAAAATGTTCCATTTGAAGGTGACCCCCCCTTTTGTTCTCGTTTCTTATTCTTGCTCCCCACACTGTGTAGGTTTTCCTCTTTGTATGTTGCAGAAAAGGGGATGGCCAAGAGGGAAAGCGGGTAAGGTTGTATGTAGTGTGGGTGGGGTTGTGCTGTACTTGTCACGCTTGTAACAGTGTGGTTCATATACGCAACTCCTGGTTCGACTGGACAGTTCGAACCACCCTCCTGTTTTGGGGTGCTACGTAGTGGTCAGTTGCGCCCACTCCCGTGACAGTCCTCTCGTGTCTGTCCAGGTTAACAGACATGTTTTCTGAGGGTTAGGGTTGTTGCACCACAAGTACTTGCTGTTTTTTAATGAACATCGATAAGATAATATTATCGAGATTATTTCATTGATTCGGACCTTGATTGCACTTGGTGGTATGGGAACGGTGGGTACAGCTGCGTAATTGTTTAATTGAAGGAAAATCGAAAAAAACAAAACCCACAAAAAAGCTCACCGTCCTGACCTCTCCCCACCCGTCGATGGAGGACATAGTAGCCGGCTACGAAAAACCCCCGTCGAAGTTTTTACAGTGGGAATCAAACCTAAGCCTCGTCAGACGTAAGGAGTGGTTGTCAGCACCTCGCCAAATACACCATCCAGCGTCCTGGAAGTGGTGATTCGTTGTGGTATGACGGAAGGCACTTGCGCGAGGGGGGGTTATAAAGGGCCGGCGACTGGGAGGGCAGGTAGGCGGGCAGGAATTAATTAGTGGGGCAGGGAATAATGAGACAGGATAGATGTCGTCGAGGGCTTGAGGCATGCTGTTTGGGGGCACCGGATCAATGAAGAAGAATCTCACTAACTACTGTTGATCTATCCTCTTAATTATCGGTTGTGTTCAGTTTGATGTCGCAAGATGCGATCCTCGTCCCGCTCAACACGGCCCAACAGGGACACCAGTTCCTCGGTGCGACACTTCATCTCGTTGGAGTCGTCGTCCTTGGTGGCGCGGCTGATTACCTACTTTTGTTTCTCCTCATTCAGCTTGGCAGGTACATTGGAGCGATGCTACCCAGATAGGTGAGCTGTACTAAATATATATTTTACGTTTCGTGTCAGTGAGGTTAAATATGGACAAACTGGCTGACAGGAGAATGGATGTCTTTGTCTTTAGGGAATCGCTTAGCGCTTTCTGCTTAGCAACCTTAAGACAACTGTCCGCCGCTACAGCGCAAGAAGACTTTTCTATACCATGATAGCTTTTCTTCAGACCGACCAAACAGTTCGACAGGGCGACGTCCCAGCCTTTTCATTTGGGGCTTCCCCGACATGATGCATTTTCAAGATGGTTGTCATCCGACGGTGGCACAACATGAGTCTCAAATACCTACCTACCCTGCCAAGTCTGCCCACACTTGCATCTCCTCAAACACTGGGCCCGTTGCGGCCCGAAACGGCCTGAACGATGTGCATCAGACCAATCGGCTGAGGGTACCCAAGACATGATCCGTCCAATTGCCCTGCAGATATGCAGCTAGGAGCGTCGGGCACCTACTGTCAGCCGCGGGATAATGCTCAGGTGCGGCCGGTCTCAAGCAGCCCGTCATGTGTGACTATCCCTGGGCGGGAAAGGGCTGGACGCTGGATGAGATACCTGCCCCAGACTCTTTGCTTCTCGACTCTTTAAGGACTGAAGATTCACAAAGAACACCACGTTTTCGAGAGATCGTGTACCAGTAGTTACCGGCTAGCTCACTGTCTTGGACTCCTAAGCCACAATGTTGGACGCCGAAACAGAGCCTGGTCTCTGGCCCATGGCGTTGCTACCACGAACAAACTCTTTCGACTTCGAAACTGAGCCTCTAACCTCACCCACAAGAGCGTATAATTACGGGGATGATGCCGATGTCCATTATGATACAATCTCCGACACGCCGGCTTACACTTACGCCACTGTGGCCGAGGACGAGGATGGGCCGGAACACGTCGAATATCGCGAGCCTGTAATGATCAGTCCCCCACCAGATCAGAAAGCGGAGATCGATAGACTGCGGGCGGATTTGATCGACAGAGTCTCTGATAATGAGGAGCAGCTTCCCTGGAAAGGCCCCGAATGGCAAGAGGAACATTGCAAACGAGGAAGCAGGGCCTTTGCCGCCTACCAACAAGCGATGGCTAATCTTCTCGAGATCGAGAGGAATTTCTTCTTGGGGTCAACAACCCATGAGCCAGATAAATCGGCTCGGAGCATGAACTTCTTTCAGCACGTTCTGCATCGCTTGAGCCATTTCTGCCCTCTTAACGCACGGCTTCAAAAAGCCAAGTTTGTCCTTTGGCTCATTGCGGAGCTCGACGAGTCCTAGCTGGAGCCCCAATACGGCCCGAAGCAGCTCCTCCACGCCGCAGTCGATGGCGATTTGGAGATGAGAAAAACAGGGGTAACAGATGATGGGACCTCCTCTCTCACGGCCTACGTATGCAGCCTGATGTCGGAGCAGCTCGCAGCTAGAAAGATCGCAGAATGCAATGATGACAACGAGAACATCTTGCACCTGGCCATCCGACATGACCTAGCGGGTGTCGAAGATCTCATCCGACGAGCTGACAAACGTGCCCTCGGCCAGCAACGCAAATTAAGGACGCACGCAGGAGGAGGCGATCCGAGTATAGGTGATGGTAACATGCCTCTCCACGATGCCCTCAACTTCCAGAAACTGTTCCTCCTTCCAGGGCCGGTTTGTAAAGGGACCTTGACCGTACCTTCTCTCTCCACGAGCAGGAGTGATGGTCCGCTGGCCAACAACGTGAAAGGGCCAAATTCGACTCATGCAAGACAACCCGGGGTCATGCTCGCCTCATCAGGTTCCACCTCTACGTCCCATGTCATGAATCAAAGAAAAGCACGCGAGCACCCAGTCCCCTACACAAGTCTTGGACCCCGCAGCATGTTGTCAGGGCCGGCTACGGTGCAGCGGGGCAGGGTTTTGGCATTCACGGGCTGCCGAACCTGCCTCTCCGCGGCGCAGAAGCGCGATGCCACACTGGAAAAACGACAAATTGTCATCAAGTTTCTCCTTGACGGTGACAAAGACGTCTTATCCAAACACAATACATCTGGCCTCTCGCCCTACCTGAGCTTCTTTGCGGAGTGGAAACGGTTCAACGATGCCAATCTATTAAAGGAAGAAGAGAAGAAGGAGAGGCAGGAACCCGCATTAGAGCGTGCAGAACCTGGTCCGGAAACCCACAGAGATGACATCCCCGAGCCCACTGACTCCGGAGGTCGCCAAGTGAAGATTTCTAAAAACAGAGCCCATTTGGAAAATGAACTTGAGCCTTCAGATATCGGGGCGCACAAAGTTCTCTCGTATCTCAAGGAGCTGTCCTTCACCCTTGGTGACCAACAGCGAGCACTGGCTTGTCTTTTTCGTGACCAAAACGCCAAGGGTTCTTCTCCAATCCCTGGTATGTCAGCCTTTTTTAAGGGGTGAATCATCATACAAAGTGACGGACTTGAGACAGTTGTTTTCGCTCAGTATCAACCTGACTCGGCATATATCAAGGGGAACAGGGCCGTCGGCGAACCCTCACTCTCGACGGGGCACAACGCGTGACATGCACTACTTCCGAAGATTTCGATTTCCTTCTATTTGAGCCACTGATGGCATCTGTCGTACTAAGCCTTGACTATACTGCCGATCAGCTCGAAGCTCTTCCCACCGACGAAGAAGAAAGACGTGAGATCTGGGGAGGTAACGAAGAAGGACTCAAGATGGTGTTTTCGTGGCTCAAGCGCAAAGCAGTGAAGAGCATCGTTAGCCTCACTGTCAAGGAAAATCCACGCCACTATTGCTCTGACCATACCGTCAAGGAATGCCTTGAGGGCCTTGAGGTGAGGTATCTGGACTGGAATCGTCCCAATCTCTGTGCCAACTCAGACTACCTCCCACATGACCTCGTTGAAGTCTCTCTCCGCTGGACCGGACTAGACTCGGTTCTGTGGAGCTGGTCCGACACCCAAGGACTTCTTACGTTGAGAAAGTTACAGCCCCTTTCCTCACTCAACCCGCAGCTCACATGCTCTAACGAAGCCCCCGTGTTTTTCAGCTCCAAAAGCTCCAATTGTGCGTTGAAGTTGTAACTACGTAGGACAACCCCTGCTTTTCGTGATGCCGTGTCTGATCTGACCACAGATCAACTATAGAGCAGCGAGCCCGTGGATCAGCTGAAGGCGAAGGTTCAGGCCTTCAAAGAGAGACTAAAGACACGTAGCGAATCCCTCAAACGACAAATCGAGGTGGTTGAAAAACTCGACGATCGACGGACGAAGGGCCGCCAAGACGAGGGTGACGTAGCCTCCCAGGAGAGCCAGTAAGTTGCAACCAAATCAGTCTCGATGTTCTCCGTGATGGAGCGTGTCCAGTATTCCGTGTAGCTGACGTACAATTTGTTCTTTTAGATTGAACCCTTGGCTCCAAATTACGGAGAGGTTCTCAACCAGATTTTACACCAAGTTTAGGAACGTTCTCCCTCGCGGGATCGCAAGGGTCGCCCTTTTGGACGATGGTGTTGACCCGGCATACGACAGAAACAGAAGCCTCGGCCTAAACCTCCATCACACAGGTTGGCCAACAGAGGATCAGAGCGCTGAGAATTTTTACTCTTCGACCAACCAACATGGCAGCAAAATGGCGCTGCTCATCCGCAAGGTTTGCCCGTTCGTCACGATACACATTGCCAAGCCGGACGCCCAACTACCGGGAAGCAAGGTCCGGCACCGCACGTTCAGCCTCGAGCATGCCATCAAGGCTATCCACTGGGCTAGATCACAAAAGGTGGATATCATCTGCATGAGCTGGAACCTCCGCGAAGTTAGTGGCAAGTACGGCAACCTCCCGGGCATCCGAAATTTGGAGGCCGCCCTCACCGCAGCAGCCAACGACAACATCGTGATGTTTGGAGCGGCCTGCGATGAGAAGCGGAGCGCGTCCTCCGACAAGTGGTTTCCCTGCGACCACCCTTCCGTGTTCAGCATCGGAGCTACTGACCGCGACTTTGACCCCAAGAAATACGTCGACATGAACAAGAAAGTGGACTTCCTCTTCCCCGGCGAGGATATTCTTGAGGGTCCGAGGGGCAGGACGCAGATGTCGGCAACTCCGGTGCTACGGCCCTGGCGTCGGGACTCGCTGCTCTCACGCTGGCCTGCGTCTCGACCGGGTGTCCGGATCGCCTCGTGCCGCGGGAGAATCGGTACATGTGGATGGCCAACACCATGAAGAAGATCTTCCAGAGCTATGTCAATCAGAGGAAGGTTCGCGTGGAGGAGGTGCTTAAGTTTGAGGACAATGACCCCGCTTACCTGACCACGCTCAGGGAAAAGATTGTGGCGGACAACAGAGGTTTGCTGAACTTGGTTCCAGTTGGGGCTATAAATGCCCGGTTTTAAGTACCTACGGTAAGGGACGTTAAGGATTGAGGTAAGTCATTTTCAGTGATAGGTGTCGATCTAATTAAGTGTATTTAGTCAGTAGTTACAATTTTGGATATTGATTTCTTGGATTTTTCAACTACACAACCTTCAAAACCAGCAACCCTTACCACTAACTAATTAGTTGATGCACTTAATTACTACATATTAGCAAGCCCACACCGCAGCGCTTTAAACATCAATATGCACGAGCGTCCTGCCACTAAAGGAGTGTCGAATAATGTTACCGTACACATTTATTAATTACCATCTCACAGCGTACCGCGTCCGAGTAATCTTTTCAGCTTCATTTCTATTATCGGGTCTTCCATCCTGTATTTACATTCCAAAGCAACCGTCAGGTTAATCGTGTAATATTAACTACAGCCTGGACACCCGAACCCCAAACTCTCGTGCCTTGTCTCTCACAGTCCTCACGCAGCCGTGAACTGCCACCAGTTAACATTGAACAGCTCACTGGTGCCGCTCCCCGTGTAAACAAAGTAAAGATCATGCGTCCCCGTGGCCCCGGTAACCGAGCATTTCACATCAGTCCAAGTCTGCCACCCTCCCGTGCCAGCAACGTCGGCGGTCCCAATAAGCGTGCCCGTCTTGCTATCCAAACGCAGCTCAATATGCCCACCCTGGTTCGCCGACGCCACGCGCGCTGTGAAAGACGCCGCGCCCCCGCTACCGAAGTCCACCCCCTTCACTTTCACATAGTCGCCGTTATGGATGTAAGCCAAGTTCAGCCCGCCCTCACTACACACCTCCGTCTCAACCCCAGACTCCCACGCAATCGTCTCAGCCTCCTGCTTCGCGTAGGGATCGAGCGTGCCTACTTGCGGCGGGCCCTCGGTCGACATGTGCAATTCCGGGATCGTGCCGTCATCGCCGTACTCGAACAACTCCACGGCCACAGACCTGGCGTACCCGCCACCGCCGGGCAACGCGCCGTTGTGGTAGAAGAAATACGACGAATTTTTGTAGTCGATGATACCCGGGTGGTTGGTGAAGCTGCTTCCTTCAGTCGGCATGATCACCCCGCGGTACTTCCACGGTCCCGTCGGGCCGGAGCTCGTTGAGTAACCGATGTGCTCCGAGCAGCAGCTCGCCGCGAAGACCATGTAGTACAGCCCGTTGCGTTTGTAGAACCATGGCCCTTCCTCGAAGGTGGTCGGCCGGTTTGCGTCGCCTGAGCGGCTGCCGAAGCCGTCCGTGGTGAGTTGGACGTTGACGATGCTGCCGCTATACGAGATCATGTCCTCGTTCAGCTTTACGTAGCTCAAGCCCGGGTTGCCCCAGTACAGGTACGCCTGGCCGTCGTCGTCGATGAAGACGGTCGGGTCGATCTCGTTGTTCTCGGCCAGCGGGCCGCCGATGGCGTCCTTGAAGGGCCCCGTCGGGCTGTCGCCCACGGCCACACCGATGGCCATCCCGCCGTTGCGGCGGTGGACAGGGACGTACCAGTAGAACTTGTCGTTACGGTTGATGAGTTGGCCCGCCCAGGCTTGGTTGTCGGCCCAGCTGAAGGTCTCCAGGCTCAGGGGCGAGCCGTGGTGCTGCCAGTTGGCCATGTCGGTTGTTGAGAAGATCTGCCAGTTGCGCATGTCGAAGTAGGTTGCCCCGTCTTCGTCGTGGCCCGTGTAGAGGTAGAGGCGGTCATCGTAGACGAAAGGGGCTGGGTCTGCCGTGTAGATGGTTTGGACAATGGGGTTGTCGGCCTTCACTACGCTCCCCAACAAAAGCGGAAGCGCCAGCGATGCTGCGGTAGCGCCCCGAAGGACACCCTTCGCGTTCATGCCTCTCATGTTGTTTGCCCAGTGCTCTCCGGTCAAATGGCAGGCTAAGTTTCCTCTGCGTTGCACATAACGCTGTATCCCGAATTACCGGAGGCCAAGCTGTCGTTCTTATATCCCATGATAATGTCGTGGTTTAACCCCGGACCCTGTCAATTGTTTGGCTCTGATGTTCCTAAAAGAGTAATTAACGGAGGGAGTTATGCGAGCTCCTCCACAGCGCACACAACTCAACTTAACATCTCGGCCTAATAATGGGAACATGATTGACGGGAATTCTCTAAGTTGTTTACTTTGAGGAGACATCAATTGCCTCGGCCGCTAAGAAAAAACAATTAGAATATCCGCCACTCCCAAGGCTTGATCGCTCGCTCAGAGCAACGCCTGGTGCGTTTGAACCGGGTCGCTGGGTTGGACCGCTTGGAGCGGCCCAATCAGGTCCGTGGTGCGAAAGACGGAGGAAGCCCATTCGGCTTTTGTAACTTGGATGATCGGAATATCTGCAGCGGGGGAAGCGCGCCAATGGAAACGCCCAAATTGCTCGAACACCTTCAAGTGCTCACACAAAAACCATCCGATGCCTCTGGGGAAAATATCATGGGGTAAACACGTGCTATACCCGATCCAGGGGGGTCACGGACGCCGTTTGAAGATGCAGGGTCCGCAGGCTCAAGATTAGGATAAAAATAACATCGACAAACAAAGCGCAAGTGCGCTATGTCCGGGAAGAAGATATCATTCGTGCCTGCAATCTGGGAATTCTTGCCTGAGAGACGGTCTAATTGTCATTGATCGGTTGAGTTCCAATCGCTCAACGAGTCAACACACACAACTTCATGATTATTTAATGATTAATGATCATGCATCTTTGGATCTGAGACACAGCTTTTGGCGTTGTTGGGGGAAAAGACCCCACCTCAACGGAGTCCTCCAGCCCCCACCAGCCACGCTGTGGCTTAAACCGTGCACGTACCATCAGCGAAGAGATCCGGAGATAACGTGTGGCGCATTGCCCCAATTGGTTGCATCCGCCTGAAAAAAAGGTCCGCATTCCAAGAAATCAAAAGCCCTGCACGTCATTCCCAGGGGGGAAAAACTTTGGCTTTACCTTCGTTGGTTTGGAAACGGGTTGATGCCGATGTCCAGCCCAGGTTGCACCATGCCGACCATCTTGACGAAAAACCAGCGCGCCGAGCCGATGGGGCTCCATCTCCCGTGACCCGTGAGATGAACGCCCAGTTCCCCCATCATGCATTCCAGAAGAAAATTGGAAAAGCGGGAGCTGCCGTTGGGGTCCGGGGTGGATGGATTTTAGTGTCGGGCACGGTTCCCGGGAGGGCCAACCCCGGGAAGTGAGACGAGACTGGCTCGGGAGGGGACGGGGGACGACGGGGCTGTTAGGGCCGGTGTTAACAAACCGTTTGTTGGTTCCCATCCCTTATTAAGAATCGCCTCAGCAACCAGAGACCCCCATCCACGTTCTCGTCCGGGGCATTGCTCCTTGGGTGGTCAATGTCCAGGGCGAAATACGAAGTACACGTGTGGATTGAAGGGCACGGCCAAGGTCAGAGTTAAGCAAGATCATGGGCAAAATAGGCTCGGTCAGGAAGTAGGTAATTAATTACAGGACAAGGCTTGGTTGCGATACCCGTTTCGCTCGGGTTTCCAGTCGTGTTCTGTTCTGTCCCGACTGGGCATCCGTCCCGTTTCAATCCCTTCCGAGCTGCGGTGAGACAAAGCCCTAGGGATCTCAAGCCACCCGATTCGTCTATTTTCAGGAATTACACTACCTACTTGATGGAATACAGTCATCAAGTCCCTATACTACGCAGTATCTAATTACTTACCTACTCTGTAAGTGTAGGATCGGCATCCCCGAGAGCCGGGAGAGCATGCTTTGCGTGGGACAACACGGGACCGAAAAAGGCGGGGACTCGGGACGTGAGAAAGGGCTGAGAGGGGAACAGGAAGGAGACAGGTGCGTGGGGGGAGGGGGGCCAAAAGGGGGTCAAAAAAACGGGTGAGACGGTGAGGGGTTTTTCCTTGTTCTTGATTTAATTTACTGGGCATGTGCATGAACATGTGCGATCAAGGGGAAACAAGAGAGGGAGAGAGAGGAAGACGGTGAGGGGTTCGGGAAAACGGATGTCTCGGTGATCAAGGTGTACGAAAGGGTCTGAGTTGTTGACTGTTGAACGAGGGTAAATTTCGTATGGGTTGTGGTTGTTCGACTGTGAGGTGAGTGGTGCTCCGGTCTTGTCGTTGGCGAGGTTGATTGGCTCAATGGCCGGGGTCGGGAATGAATTGATAGTTTGGTGACATTCCCGTCGGCGTCGTTGATGTCTCGTAGTATCGGTATGTGAAAGACAAAAAGCGAAGGAAAAAAGTCTATGTATTTCAATGGTTAGATGCCTTTTACTTTGATACGGTTAGTAATAAATTAAATGTAAATGTTGTCCTTGTCGATGACCCTCAACCCGCTGTTTCATCCATGGCCGGAAGACTCAATGATGACCCGGCCGGCTGTTTCCCTGCCGCGACTTGACACCGGCACGTTTCCAGTTGCTTCTCTGCTTCGCGTAACCGCTTCGCCAGGTCCTTGTTCCTCTCCTTCAGGTCCCTGATAAACCCAACAGCCATTTCCACAATGTCGAGTTTGCTACTCGGCACACCGGGCCGAACGATATAATCGGCGTCCTTTTGCGCTTGTGAACTAGATTCGTCGTCGGGTGCGAGGCCGGATGGGAGAAGTTTCTGAATCTCTCGTATTGCTATCGTGAGGCGGTTGCGTCGAGTCTTTTCGGATAGCTTGTGCGCGATTCGTTTCGAGTCCACCTTAGCCGACGAGGAACCGTCCCGGTACGCTACTTCAATCTCCGCCCCTGTGGTGCCCGTCGCTGCTGCTGCTGCCGCTGCTGCTGTTGCGGGATCGTGAGTAGCCGTCGGGAAGAACGCGGCTGCACTGTCAGGATCAAGCCAGTCTGTGCTGTAATCAAAGTCCGGGATGTAGGGTCTCTCAACGCGCACTGCGGGATGGTGTCCGGGTATCGGTGATGGTGCCTTTAGTGGCTTCGACACGCGGTGACTACTTGTTCGTCGGGGGCGTTGGGAGCTTAACGTTGACATCGTAAGAGAAAAGTCGCTCTGTATCGAATCGGAATCATCGTCAAGGCTCATTTCCGTGTGGGAATGCGGCCAGGAGGACAATCCATCCTGGTGCTGGTTTCGAAAGGAGGACCATTCTGGCTGTAGTAAAGGTGTCGTCGCTTGCTGATAGGGTGCTGGAACAAGATTTGGGTCTGGCAACGGCCCGTGGGGCCCTTGAGAAGGTATCTTTAGGTCTTGATTAGCGGTCAGGGCTCAAGAGAGAATATCAGCGTCTGGCCCGAGACATACCTGAGTGTCAAGAGGAAGAGTTTGGTTTGGGCCAGGCCAATCCCGTGCATATACAGTCGGAAGACTCGGTTCAAAAGCTAGTCGATGATTAGGGGTCCCAGCATGAAACCGACGGGGCCCCGCTGCCGGTGATGGGCCAGGGACCACTTTGTCATCGTCGAGGTGCCTCTCCGGAAAAGATCCCTCAGCGTCCAAATCAGGGCTGTAGCCCTGGGGGGCAGCAGCTGGAGTAGATTGCATTCTTGCTCGTCAGATTCTGATATCGGGACCAATTGCACTACCAACTATTCCGTTGTTGCATCAATCAGAACGCTGGGTTACAGTGGTTGCTGATTGACGCAAGAAAAGTGCATGCTTGCGTTCTTTCGGATTCCCTGCTGATTTTGTTGTGCCGTGACGGTGACGAAGACTCGAGAAAACCCAGCCGAGCGCAACCATTACAACCGTGGGCCGAGAGGCCATCATAAACGCATCCGGATTCATGTATGGGGCCTCACAGGCCGGCCATGCAAGGCCAATGGCCCTCGGCCCGTCTTGATCCCGTGTATGGTACCCCCAATTTTTGCGGAGGCCTGACGACTGAGACATGCAAAACGAAGCACTGGGCCGCCATGAATCGCGAACAAGATGTGGAAAGAGAAAAATCGCCACGTAAACAGCATGTAACGCCAGCGAGAGGCTCTCCCGCGATAGGTTCGCCAAGCTAGGTGCCATTTCCTGTCAAAGAAGAGACAAGACGGCCGGCCTGCATTGCGTAAGAAGGCGTGATGGCGCCACTAGCTAGTACGGTGAAACCTGGTCACGAGTCTGATATCCTAGCCCGGATAACTGTTCCGGGCGGCATTCTGCATCGCCAATAAGTTTATTCATGATATGTCAGGTCTCAACGGGCTTTTCCCTTGACCAGCAGTTTGGTTCACCGCTGTCTTTGGTGATCATGAATGTCGAGGAAGATGCGGGGCGCAGGAGTTGGGGAAAACCCAGGGGAAGAGGGAACGGGTAATATTCGAGAGACTTGCCTTCCAGGTTACCCTGAATGTGGAGCTGCGACCGCTGACCTATCCAGTAGGGAACCGGCTGGATGGTTTCCTCTTTCTTCTGCAACCTCCATTTCTTAGTCGCAAACCTACCACTGTACATGTTCGACAACAGATTGCTGGACGCAACGGAGAGGCCGCGGCTGACATAGCTGGAGGGGCAATACAAAAAGACGATGAGCCTATGAGGGGAGCAAATTGGCTTGAAAATCCCTTCGTGCCCTCCGCCACAAAGGCAGGTCGGGTTCGGCCGAGGGACAACCATTTCCTTCGTGGGCAGGCCAGCCGCTGCTACTTGACGGTATGTCCCGTCGAGCCTCAAACGCCGCCCCCAGCTCGGGCGGAACTCTCATGAGTCCAGGGACGCGACAAAGGAAGCTTCACGAAACCCTCATTCCTTCTCGAAGCCTGGGCTGAAACTTCCACGGGATGTCCGAATCTTCAAATCGCCACAGCCGTCAGCTCACCCGTCGACCTCCCGCCTGCAAAAAAAAAAAAAAAAAAAAACCGCGACCCGCGCGCGTTTCGGGATCGACGATACCACAGCCCTGAAATCGCACCAGGCTCCCGGGTCTGATGCCGGATCCCGTCTTCCCCAAGAACGTGCCAGTCCGTCATCTCGATTCCATCCCGTAATGAACAGGGGATCGCTTTCTTGAGCGTCCGCGTCGGAACCACGTTGCTGGGCCTCGGGCAGACCGAGAAAAGCGTGGAGCATTGAAGCAAGCACGCAGATGCGGGCGACGGGTGTGGCCGGGGCAAGTCGCGTGCTAGCTGCAAGGTTTTTGGGGGACACTGGTGGGTGAGCCCACCGTGTCAGTGGACGACCATGGACTGTTGGGCGTCGAGAGGGACTGTGGTTGAATTGCGCAAGAGAATCCCTGGAATGTCGTCATGCGTAATGGTGGGCAGCTTCTCCCCTTTTGTCTTCTTTAGCCCGACAACAGAATGCGCGCGGCCCCCACGCTCTAACCGAAAGCTGCAGAGAGACCCAGCGCTTGAGATGATGATGGGCTCGTGGAGTGAACGCAGGAAAGCCACAGCAAGCACAAATGTTGAGGAGAGCAAAGGCCAAGTCGGAAGGAAGGAGTTGAGGAATTGGCTGAGAAGCTCTGAAAATGGTGTGATTTGAGCTGGTTGTGTTGCGCAGCCAATCAGGGCTCAAGCACAGCCGAAGAGGGGACCCGTCCACGGACGCGCTTGCCGGAACCAGCCAGCTCTCTCCCAGCACCACCGCTGCCCAACACCTGCATCTCCATTGCTCTTCCCACGCGATCGAGGCTCGAATGGAGGCATGGAAAGAGCAAACGGCGGCCGGGGACAGTAGGTGGCTGCGCACCATTGTGCGCCCCCGAAGGCTGCACGTTCTTGCTTCGAGATTCAGCTCCGAGTCTCGATGTCTCAAGTCGGTCTCACTCACGCAGCCCAGGCTCCCGGGGGCAGTCAGTTTGACTCGAACAAGCTTCCCCAAGCCGTCCAAGATTCATGGAGAAATCTTGGTCCTTCTCGGCGCCGACGACATGGCCAGCCGCAGCCGGAGCCTCGAAGCTTAGTTTGAGCTGGGCTAAGTTGTTCAACCTCGATATCAACGACACCGGTGACTTTTCAAGATCTGAGCTCCCTCGTTTGAGTGTAGTGCCCGTATGATGTTGGAGGCTCGCGCAATATCACACACCAAGTATTTCATATTATTCGATGTCTTCAACCCAGAATAGGGCACTAGCTCCGCAACCTTCCATGGATGCTACCTACAATCTGCAAGCCGCACTTTGACAACCCCAAGTCCCGGGCAAGAAGACACACAGGTCCCGCAAAGGTTCCACAAAGGCATGCTCCCCCAGGCGGCAGTTTGGCGGAGCTGGCGAACCGCATCGGCCCCACGTTTTTAAAACAGAACTGTCTTGCTATCCTTGTCCGGGGTTGAACCCCCAATGGCCATCGCCCGCGTTGCGAGGTCAGTGAGGCTCGCTCTCACGTTCTTTCTCTGTGCTCCCAGGGTCTGTGAGGGGATCTCGGCGTCCCACGCGAGGTCGAAGGGGACAAGCCCCCGGTCCCGGGTTTCGCCCCATGCTCGCCGTTTCTCAGATGCGGAGAACAAACGAAGCCATCTTTTGTCCTCCCCCATTTCCAGTGTGTCATCGTTCGCCCGTCTCGTCAAGGGAGATCAGCGACTGTGTCGCCATCCCGCGGAGGTGGTTGTCATGCACACAACGCCGCCGAACGCGTGCTCGAACTATCAGATCCAGAACCCTGTTTGCCACCCCTGATTTCTTTTCTTGCACACCCTCCAACCCGCCGCAGCGGCTCGCACGAGATGCCCAGCTGAAGCCAGGGGAACTAGTGTAAACACGCGCATTTGGGGGTCACCCGATTGAGGAGGTATTTTCTTGGCTTTCATATTCATATAAGACACGGCCCGCGTGCGTGATCGAGTCTCCTGGTGCTGCAACCCTCCCCAAGCTTGACGCGTCCCCACACCCGACACAGCGGATCGACCATGGCTGCGAGTACTGAGACCACCGACAGGGTCAAGAGATTCTTCGGGATCGAGCCTGACCAGACCGTAGACGACTCGGTCTTTGCTGGCGACGGTTCCTACGTCGAAGAAGAACCCACCGTGAAGGAAGCGCTGCTATGGCTTATCCCTACAGGGCCGGGTATCGTTCGGTACCTTCATGAGCTGTTCCCTTTTCTTGGGTGGATCTTCCACTACAACCTAACATGGCTCTTGGGTGATTTTATTGCTGGTAAGCTCATCCTGGGACAACTACGCCATTATTTTGGGCTGTTTGCTTTGAACATGGCTGACCAGTGTAATTAGGCCTCACCGTTGGCTTCGTTGTCGTGCCGCAGGGCATGGCCTACGCCCAGCTTGCCAAGCTTAGTCCGGAATTCGGCCTGTACACCTCCTTCGTTGGATTCCTTTTCTATTGGGCTTTTGCAACATCCAAGGATATCACTATTGGTGTAAGACTTTCCCCCCATTTCCTTATTCACATGTCCTCGTGCTAAGTGTCCATGAATACAGGCTGTCGCTGTCATGTCCACCATTGTTGGGAACATCATCAGCAATGTCCGATCTACCCATCCGGACCTTGCTCCCGAGACCATTGCGCGCAGTCTGGCCCTCATCTCCGGCATTGTGCTCGTTTTCCTCGGCCTGATCCGCGCTGGATTCATTGTGGAGTTTATCCCTCTGGTAGCGATCGGTTCGTTCATGACCGGCTCGGCCCTCAGCATTGCCTCCGGGCAGGTCCCCGGCCTCCTAGGTCTCTCCGGGGTCGTCACGCGCGATTCAACCTACCTGGTCATTATCAACACGCTCAAGGCCCTTCCGACCGCGAAGCTCGATGCCGCTATGGGTCTGACAGCCTTGTTTGCGCTGTACTTCATTCGCTGGTTCTGCAATTTCATGGCCAGGAAGAACCCGAGACGCCAAAAGATGTGGTTCTTCATCTCCACGCTTCGCATGGCCTTCATCGTTATCATCTACATTCTGGTCAGCTGGCTTGTCAATCGCCACGTTTCGGACTACAAGATGGCCAAGTTCAAGATTCTGGGTCCTGTCCCGAGTGGTAAGTGTTAACTCGCGCTCCCTTGACATTCAACGGCTTCTACGGCATACTCACACTGGTCACTATTAGGTTTCCAACACGTTGGTGCTCCACAGCTGGACATTGAGGTGCTGCAGGTCCTCGGCCCGGATATCCCCACTACGATCCTGGTCCTATTGATCGAGCACATCGCCATCTCCAAGTCTTTTGGTCGCGTCAACAACTATATCATCAACCCCTCGCAAGAGCTGGTTGCCATTGGCTTCAGCAACATCTTTGGGCCGTTCCTTGGCGGGTACCCGGCTACCGGCTCCTTTTCGCGAACGGCCATTAAGTCCAAGGCCGGTGTGCGGACACCCCTCGCCGGTATCTTCACTGCGATTGTTGTTCTCCTGGCTCTGTACGCCTTGACCTCGGTCTTCTTTTACATCCCCTCCGCGTCCCTTTGCGCCATCATCATCCACGCCGTCGGTGATCTCATCTCCCCGCCTCGCGAGGTGTACCAGTACTGGAGAACCTCACCCCTTGAGTTTGTCATCTTCTTCGCCGGTGTTTTCGTATCCGTGTTCACTAGCATCGAGAACGGCATCTACGTAACCATCGGTCTGTCGGGCGGTCTGCTCCTCTTCCGCGTCGCCAAGAGCCCCGGCCGCTTCCTCGGCCGCGTCAGCATCACCTCGGCCACCCGCGACAACCTTCGAGGCCACTCTTACGTGCCCCTGGACACTCTCGGTGGCAAGTCTCACGACGCCTTCCTCGATATCCGCCGCAACGACCTGTCCAACCCCGAGATTTCCCTCTTGTCTCCTTACCCAGGTGTTTTCATCTACCGCTTTGGTGAAGGCCTCAACTACATCAATTCGGCTCGTCACATCGACACCCTCACGATCTTCATTTTCAAGCACACGCGCCGCACCCAACTGAACAAGTTCAACAAGATCGGTGTAAGTTTTTCTTGGGAAGTACAATCAATCGTAGACATGTCTCTAATCCGTTGATTCAACAGGACCGCCCCTGGAACGACCCCGGCCCGCGCCGCGGCCAAACCTACGACTCCGAAGAAATCGCCTCGCGCCCGACCCTCCGCGCCGTGATCCTCGACTTCACCGCCGTCAATGCCCTCGACGTGACCGCCGCCCAGGCCCTGATCGACCTGCGCAACCAATTCAACCGTTACACCGACCCGGACATCGTCGAATGGCACTTCGCCGGCGTCAGCAACCGCTGGACGCGTCGCGCGCTCGTCGCCTCGGGTTTCGGCGCTGACCGCAAAGAAGTCATCATCTCCAGCCCCAGCAACACCGACGCGGAGAAGGGCGGGCTCTCGAGCGCCGCCGAGTCGGAGCCGCTTTTGGGCGCTGCCGAGGCGTCGGTCCCGACTGCTGCCAGCAGCACCAGTGATTCGAAGGGCAACACGGTGCAGACCAAGACGAAGGATGTGGACATCGAAACGGTTGGGGGAGAGTTCTCACCGGTGCGGTCTACCGCGACGGGCGGGAAGAGGCTGGTGCCGGTGTACGGTGTCAACCGGCCTTATTTCCATGTCGATGTCGAGACGGCGGTCACGAGCGTGGTGCGGCATTTGGAAGGGCGGGGGGCCGACTCCAGCGGGAGGGAATAAGAAGGCGCAGTCCCATTTGGTTTGCTTCCTGGATAAGTCGTGGGTGGTTACTTGCTAGTAATGAGGTTGGGTATAGATCTGTGTTTGTTTTTCTGCTGGAATTTGTTGGAGGTTTTCAATGTTTTACTCCTTGCCGGGTAGTTTGAGCAATCAACACTTGCTGGTTAGGTGGGCGGTTTAGCACGCGATGAGATACCACGTAAACGAATGGAAAATGAATTAGCAGGCATTTTGCTGTCCTTTCCAGCTTGTGATTCAGATCGTACTCTAGGTAGAACGGTCTTGGTGGTATATTACTCGTAACGCTCTCCTTACCTAGGTGACCAAACACGGCACCCAAGCAACAACCACGCCACAAGCCACTTGGCTATAAACTCAAATCCGACGTCTGTCAACCCCCCACGCAACGGCTCAATAAACCGGGTACCGCTCCCCCTTCGAATGCCAGACCGGGGTGGCGTCGTCCCTGTCAGTCCGGAACAACCGGAATTAGAATAACTCGTGTTTATAGTAACCTTAGGGAAAACCCGCAGGGTCCGGCCCGTTGTGACCCCACATATGCCGACAATCGGTCCGTGCACCCGGATTCTGCAGCCGCGTTGTTCGGTGGTCCGGCCCGGGACCGGCCCGGGACTGAGCCCCACTTTCTCGGGTTGTACATACAACCGGATGTAATTCCTGGAACTGTGCATGTTGCTACGCCAACCAGCAAACAAACACACACGCCTGTAAATCCCAACGTTTGCCACTAACCAGAGAAAGAGAAGGTCGGGGGGTAGGAAATGCTGAGAGATAACAGAAAAGAAAGAAATTTAACGGCCGAGGTAATAACCAGGAAGTTAAAATGATGGACGACATAGTTACAAATATACATCTGCCATTAGTTCATTTCATCATCCTTGATGCAAGTACCTAGGTAGCTTTCCATAGTTAAAAGCCAACATCAAATCCACCCAGCAACACACGCACGACCCAGCTCTCATGCAAAATGCAAAAAGCCAAAGCGAAAACCAGACGATGCATACATCTATTTTCTTACTCTTTATTCCCCACCCTTACTGAAAAACCCCCTAAAACCCCCTCAAAAACTCCTCCAAAGACAACGGTTTCCTCACCGCATTATTCATCCCTTCATTATACGTCACCCACACCATACCTCCAGCACCAGCTGTGTCCATCCCTCCCTTCCTCTGTTTCTTACTGCCCGGCCTCACGACCCCATTCCCATCCATCTCCCCCAACGGTCTCTCAACAATCGGGCGACCGAAGAAATCCCGTTTCACACTATCACCCCCAATACCACCCAGCGGTGTATTTTCCTTATTCTCATCCCCGCTCCGCATCCCGTGCAATAATCCCCCCTTCTGCTGCTGCTGTTGTTGTTTCGTCTGTAGTTGCTGGTGAGATACGTCAACACTGCCCCCACCAACCCGCAACCGGGCCATCCGTGCGGCATTCTCCCTTTGCGCAATAGTCTTGTGCAGTTCCTGATCGAGAACCTGCCGCACGGCGTAGCGCGTGGGCGCTTGAGAGGCGAGGAGGTAGGCAGAGGCTGTTTCGAAGGTTGCGAGGGTGTCTAGGTCGCTGTTGTGGGGACGGTGTTAGTATCAATAGTATCTTAGGTAGTATCGTGGGTAGTATCATGGTATCATGGATAGGATCACCCGGGGGGTAAACAAGAAAAGGGGGAGTTGGAGTAAAAAGGAAAAAGGGGGGAAGAGGGGTAAAAAGACGAAAAAAACGTACGGCTCCATGCGATAAACCCACTGCGTCCTCTGCGCCGGACCAGCAGCAACATCCTGCTCAATCTTCCCCTTATGCAACACAATCCCAACCTCAGCCAAAACCTCCGCCGCCCGGCGCACCATAGCCTTCTCCCGCTCCCTACGCACCGACGCCACAGCGCCTCCACCTCCCGTCTTGTCACCGATGCCGCTACCGCCCACCATGACGGGTTTCACATCCGGCGAGACGAGCCGCACGAGATACGGCAGGAAATCGGTTGCGATGTGTTCCGGGCTGCGGAAGGCACGGGTTAGCGTGGGTGGGAGCTGCGCGTGGATGCCCTGGAGCGCGGCGCGGTTGACTTTTTCGGCTTCGCGGGCGGCGTAATCGGCGCGGGGACCGGAGAAGGGTAAGGGAGCTTCCCCGGCGGCGCTGGGATCTTCCGTTTCGGCCCCCCATTTACCGCCGTAACCGGAAGCGCCTTGGGGCTGGGAATGGTGTCGCCGCGGAGAAGCAAAGAGGTGATGACAAGCGAGGATGGGTTGGCTGGCGTAGGGCGCGAGCTCCCATTCCTGGCTGGAGAATAAGCGGGTGGAGCAGGTGTCGTGGAAGTGCATCCACTCGTAGGCGGTGTCGGGTTTGGTGAGGAAGGAGTCGTCGTTGAAGTCGCGGTTGGGGTACTCGAGGAAGATCTCGGTCATGATGCGGTCGATTTCGCCCGAGGTGTCGATCATCTCGCGTAGACGGGTCATGGCGTATTTCTTTTGTTGTTCGGCGAAACCGAGCTGGGCTTGTGGCTGTTCGTGGAGGGTGTTTTTGTTGATTGTTGTTGTCGTTTGGGATGATGAGACCGAGGCTTGCTTGGGGAAGCCGGCGCCTTCTTGGAAAATACGGGAGACGATCTCTTTAGAACCGCCGCGGCCGAGCCCGCGCGCACCGCCGCCGCCATGGGCGAGGTCCCGAATGATGTGTCTGTCGAGCCATTGGCGGGTGAGCGTGGGGTTGGTAGTCCCTTCGGCGGGTGCCGCTGCTCTCAATCGACCGGCCACCCACTCCCCCACGACCATAACCCCGCGCAAGTCGCCCTCAGCGTTGCTCTCCGCCCCTCGCTTCGCGTCGATACCGCTCGACATGCCCCACGCAGCCTCACACAGCTTCCGCGCTGCGTCTTTCTCACAGGGGATCCCCTCCTTCTCAAAGATCGACTTGAGCCGGGTGACGACCGCTTCCACCGTAGGTTTCCCAACATGAATCACCTCAGCCAACCCAGACTGCCGCAGCGGCCGCAGCGAAGGGTGGTATACATCATTGCAGATGAGCACCAGCGGCCTCATCTGCCGGAAATCATCCCCCTTCTTCTTTCTCCGCCCAGCACCAGCCGACCCCCCTGCTCCCCCGCCACCACCCACACTATTCTTCTGATCCAACATCACCAAGTCAATCAACGCCTTGACAAACCCACCCTCACCCGACCCCCCAGACCCACCCACCACCCCATCCACCTCATCCACGACCACACAAACCGGCCGAGCGACCTTCTGCTGCTTCCCGGGCTCCGGTTTCTTGTGCTCCACCGTCTTAACACTCTCCGTCCCCAAACTCGTACGAATCCGCCCCTTCACCACATCCTTGCTGCGCTCGTCGCTCGCATTGATCTCCATGACCTCATAGCCGGCCTGGCGCGCGCAGACATGGGCCAGCGTGGTCTTGCCCAGCCCGGGCGGGCCGTGTAGCATGAGGATCTTGCGGTGTGGTTTCTCGTCTTCGGGTTGGTGTTGTTGCGATTGGCCCCCTTGTTGGCTTTGTTGACTCTGGGCGTGGAGTCGTCGGATGGCGGATTTGGTCTTGCTAGCCGCGTGCGGGAACACGATGGGGTCCCAGCGCTTGAGCCAGCGTAGGACTTGCCGGTTGGTTAGGTCGTCGCCGCAGAGGTCCATGAAGTTGCGTGCGCGGTATTTTTCCGTCCAGAGCATGGCGCGCTTGGATTTCTTGGTGCCTGCCGCGGGGTGTGTCTCGATGGAACGGACCGGCTGGTCGGGGTTGGCGGGGGGTGTGGTGTGCGCCGTTTCCGTAGATTGGAGTTTCTTGCGCCCGCTGGCGATCTCCTTGTTCGCCCCGTCGATCAGCTCGTGGATGGCGATTCCGTAGTAGCTCTTGTGCGCCCGGCCCTCTTTTGTCTTTGACCGTGCCGCTACCATGGTAGCGTAGGACACGGAAGCGGTCGGTTTGCGCTCCCGGACCGGAAGGATCTGACCAGCGCATGTGGTGAGCTGGTAGGAAGCCTGTCGAGGGTCTCGGCTAGTGAACGCGGCCAGAGTGGGCAGCCCTTGGTTTCCAAAGAGGCGCTCGTAACGCTCTGCTTCTTCTGCCGAGGGCTCCTGGGTCTGGCTCGCTGGTGGCGTCGAGACGAGGTCCTGAGTACCTCGCAGCGCATTGTTCAACCCCTCCTCTACGCCGATGGCTCCCGCTTCGACTTCCACTTGCGCATCTTGGGTTTGTGTGTCGTGCTGGAGCATCCGCCGTTTTGGCGAGGGGGGTGCGGCGGCTCCGTCATTATCAGAATCGCTGTCTGAGTCGTCGTCGGCAAGAAAACCGGCCAGTACGCGTGGTTTTGCCGGTTTTGGCGCGTCGGTCGGTCGTGGCCGCTTGTTGGTAGCGGGGGAGGAACTCGGAGGGAACGCGATTGGGGACGATGGAGCGAGCATTGCGGGAATATCGTGTGTTTGTATTCCCCGTCACTTGTTATGGCAGTGTCCAGGCCGAAAAATTACAAGTCGTGTTGACGTTGTGGTTGTGGTTGTGGTTGTGGGGAGCAATTCCAGGATGTTGACGTGGGAGGAAGACGCGCTCAAGTGGGCCAAGAGCGCGTCTCAATTAACACCCGTGTCGCGTTACTCATTACAGGGTTAGGGTTACACGTGCACCACCCATCAACACATCTCCCTCGCTTCAATATTCGATATGCGTGTTACATTACCTTGGCATAAACGTAGCACCATAAACTACCTTTAAAATTAATGACATGGGAGGATCAACGGAGATCAGACAATGACCATGTCCATGATGAGATTGAGAAAGACGATTGCAAAACACAAGCATCTCGGTCAGGATTCACCGGAACCCCACCTCCCTCGGCCCTTGCTTACACTCTCCTCGGGAGCGATAGTTATGTGGTTTTACGAGACGGGCAAACAAGCCGTCAAAACTTTTCCCCTTTTGGCTCCTTCAGGATCCGGACTCCCCCAACGAGATGCAGTCCAGGCGAGCTAGTATGGGTACCAGATTCTGACCCTTTTGACTATGACCGACGGTAGGGATGACGTCGAGCTTACGTCCCGAGGTCCGATACGAACGCTTTCTTTTTTGTCGGCCTCTTCGAGCCCGAATTGCCGAAATCCTTCTATGGCATCAACTTGCATCCAACGAACGACCTTGGTCAGCTCCGCCCTAACTAGTACACCGGCACAAACCCGGATCTCACCCGATCCCTCGGGCCCGACCAACACCACAGGCCCCCGAATGATACCCGGCCCCGCAGCGCGCACCCATTTGGGGATATCCCGCCAACACCGAAGCAAACGGTCTGCAGAGGGTTAAATGGTGGTTTATCTGTCCTCGAAACTGGGCATGATTGTTAGAATTATCTTAACTCGCGGGGAGTCTTGAGTAGCTGTGGTCTCTCAGTTGTCTTGGGAAGAAACTTATCAACACCATAACCCTGAAAATCCACAACCACCAACCCCAACACCACAATGACCATCTCCGAAGTCCTCACCACCATCGCCCAATGGGCCGGCATCGCCATGCCCACCATCTACGCCGGTACTTCCACCCTCCTCACTCCCTCACTCAATTTCCACCCACGCCCACTCTCCAACTAACCACCACCCAGGCATAACCTTCCAATACTCCCTCACCATGTCCCTCCTCTCCTCAACCGCCTCCTCCCCCAACTCCCCCCTCCTCGCCCGCCAATGGCTCGCCCTCTACCAACAAGGTCCCCGCTGGGTACCACCTCTTGTGCAGACAGGCCTGCTGGCGAATCTGTATTTGGCTTTTTTCGTTTCGCCTAATACTCCCCAATCATCGGCAGTAGTAGAAACGACATGGTTAGAGGTGTTAGGGGTGTCAGCAGCAACGGTGGTACGGGTGTTATACCTCGCGGCGGGTGTGCTGACGATTTCCATTTTGCCGTTTACGTTATTGCATTTGGAGCCTGGGATTAACGGGGCGTGTAAGTGGAAGGTGGCTGCTTTGTTGGGCGATGCTACTGCCGCCGTGGACGACAACGATGACAATGTTGATGGAGCCGGAAGCGGAGAAAAGGCGAACGAAGACCTCCCCAACAACAAAAAACAGAAACATCAACCCTTCACCCCCGAACTCAGCGGCGTCGGTCGTGGCGTGCGCCGACACACAGCCAGTGAGGCGTCGAAACGGTGGGCGGAAAGTCGAGATATGGTTGAGTTGGTGGAGGAATGGGCGAGGCGGAATCATCTGCGGTGGGTTGTTGGGGTGGTCGCGGGGGCGGTGAGTTTTGCGGGGTTGGTTTTACGGGGGTGATGGGTGCGATGTAGTGAGTTGGGCAGATAGAGTAGGTTGTGGATGGTTGGATAGAGGTGGGTGGTCGTTGGATATATCAGTCGGAACATGAGTGTACATACCGCAGGTTTGGATATGCACCTCGCGTAGGTAAACGAGAACTAAGATTGTTAACTTCAGTCATTTGTATTTAAGGTATCTGGGTATCCATTGCAGTCCAAATTAGGCATAACATGACGTTTAAACACGCCGAGGTATGGTATCAAAGGAAAGTGAGAAAAGGAGAAAATGCAATGCCAACCCATCCCCCTTAACCCTTCATCTCGTCATGTCAGGAAGGATTAACCACCAAGTCAAAGCGACTCGTCGTAGCCGTTCCGCCGACCCCTAGCTGCCATCCAAAAGCCACTCTCTCACTCACACACCATGCGCTGTGCACCAGCACTCCCCACAGACACAACCACTACCCTACCCATTTACTGAGGAGGATACTGCTGCACCGGCTGCTGCTGATACGGCTGCTGCTGATACTGCTGCTGCTCAACTGGGTACCCCGGCTGCGGCTGCTGGTACTGCTGGTCCGGGTACGGCTGCTGGGGTTGCTGATACTGCTGCTGGGGAGGCACCTGCTGGAACTGTTGCTGCTGTTGGGGGACGGGGCCACCCTCAGGCTTGATCTGGCCGAGCTCGGCCTGGCCGGAGCCGGAGCCGGCGTCGTCGGAGACTGAGGCGCGGATGAAGAAGAAGAGGTGGACGATGTTGAGGATCCTGGGAAGTGAGGAAGACAAAAAGTTAGTTTAACTTGCCGGCCGAAGCACAACACAGCAAGAAGGAATCCATTAGGCACTCACCAAGCAACAGCACCCAACGCCGCCGCGCCCGCAAGCGCGCCGCCAACATTGCTGTAATACGAGTAGATCGAGCCCGTGCCGTACGCCATCCAGACGGCCGCCGAGCTCGCCGACCACGCCCAGGCGGACAGCCAGAAGATGATGCTGAGAATGTAGCCGATGAGGGCGCCGATGCGGAAGAAGTACTGCGGCGCCCAGAGCTCGAGCGCGCCCGCTGTGCCGTAGATGAGCCAGCTCCAGATGGCCTTTTAACGTAAGTTAGTTTCTGACTTCAGTAGCACCACACGGCGAGAGGACGGTAATTACGCACAATGAAAATGTCGAAGCCACCAGCGCCGACGGGGAAGAGGGACAGCGAATACGCCGCCAAAGCGAGGACGATGAGTGAGAGAACGAGGATGGCAATCTTGATGTACAAAAGCCAGAGAGGTTGCGGCGGGACGCCGGTGGCGACCAGTCCTTGAGCGCCCATATTGATGTTTACTCCGCGCTTTGCGAAACGGTTCGGTCTATGTGATATTGTATTCGGGAGCCCGATCGACGGCGACAATGGACGAAGGAATTGTACGGACAGCGACGTTGGCGAGAAATTAGTTAAGGCACAAACACAACCATCACAACCCCCGGCGCACCGAACGCGGGGAGAGCAGCCAGCTTTTATTCACACCTGATCAACAACCTGGGCGTTCCATCTTGCGCCGAGAGCTTAGCTCGTGGCGTGCGTTGTCGAAACGGACCCAGCCCTGGTTCGCATGGCGGCATGGACATGGGACATGGGACATGGGCTGCGCTGCGCTGCCATGTCACGGCATTCAGTCACACCCGTGGAGCTTGAGCTCCGAGCCGGGGCATGGAAGCAAGGGTTAGAACTTTATTTTTTTCTCTTCGTTCCACAGCGGCCGCTTCGTTGCTCTGGATGTAAAAGGTCCACGAAGGTCGCGACCCTTACGTGGCGGAGCCGCGAATGAAACGGAACGTTTAATGTAAAGAGAAGGGAGCAAGCGAACGTAACCACGGAAAGGGACCGCTCCCGAACGGCTGAAAAGTAGAACAGGTTGAGAGGTGCGTTTCCCATCCCGTGAGAGCACGCCAAGTTCATGCCCCTCAGTCTCTCAGAGGAGGAGTCAATGGGGCTGAGAAGAAAAATGGATCACGGCGTGACGAAGATTGAAGAAAGGGCGTAACAAAACGTCGGCCGCCCGCGTTTAGAACCCTGAGAAGAGCCTGTAACGATCCAGCTTGTCAGTCCAGGCCCCACGCACGTCAGAACGCCATGAAACCTTTTGAAGAGATGAGCGCTTCGCTAGCCTCGCTCGGTTTGGCGAGGTTTGGCGAGCGACCGCCTGATTGGCGTTTTCCAGGCGCTGCCATTGGTTCAAGACAGGCCTCCCCCCGCCCATGACAAAAGAGAAAAAGAGGAAAAGAACGCCTACACAAGGCTTTCCGCGCTTTTCTTCAACAAGGACAAGCGCCCAAAGCACGAGCCGAAGGAAACCCGCCCCGAAAACGGACCGCGCGCTTGGCGCATGATGAACCCAGCTCCCGTCGAACTTACGGGTGAGACGACGGCGAGAACTCGACTTGTGTCGCAGAACTACTTGACCGCATGAAGAAAAACCAAGCTAAAAGTTCCCTTCTATTTCCACCATTTCTAAAGATACAACACCTTGAGACATTCATCAAGCCGAAGGAAGAGAAAAGCAGATCGCAAATTCGGGATGTCCGACCGACGGGCGTCCTTGTCGATCCCAGCTTTTTATATCCTCTTCTGCCAGCCCCGCTTGCCGACAGCATCCCTGATGTTCCACCCCACGGGTTGCAGCAGGGCAACCAAAAAAGGATTTTGTCCACAAACGGCGCAGCCGCGGAGTGCCGAAGAAAAAGAACAACAAACGGAGCGTAAAGACGGCGACGGCGGAACTTCGCATCAATTCAAGCTTTGGCACCGCCTCCAACTCTCCATGGATATTCCCATGTGACTTGGGCATTTGCCTGGGACTTTAGAAGAGTGAACCCAAACAAACCGCAGCGTTTTCCAGACAAATCACCACGCATCGCGACCAATAGTTATCCGTCAACGTTTTCCGTCGGGGCTTGCTGCGCCCCGATGCGGCTGATCCGATAGCGGGCGTTCGGGTGGCCGCCCAACGTCAACGGTCAATCCCAACCAAACCAACCTGGGAAATCTAAGCGGGTGAACCACAAAAATCGATGCGGCTTCCATTCTTGGGGAGGAAGAGAAAAGGTCACGATGCGCAGCACGCACGGCGGCCGAGGCCTCCAGGAGTGACGAGGGCTTCGATTCTTTTCTCTGAGAAGAGTTTCCAGAGATCTTCAGTCGGGGGTTGACAACTCGACGGTTCCCCGCGTTGGACACGGCCTTGGCATGTCCAACAAGCTGGAATCCCAAAGCCAGCTTACAATAGGTCCCAAAAAGGCAAATCATCGACTTGTCCGAGACCGAATTGTCTCTTTTCTCAGTTTCGTCCGGAGTCTGTTTTTCTCTAGGTGTCTCAGCCCAACAATGGGATTTACTGGATGTGCTGAGATGCATCACAAAACGGATGAGCTAACTGGCTGGAAATGATCACTAAACTTAGACAATGTCCTGATGATGAAAGTACGGATACTGTGTATGGGTTTGAAGAGAATCCGGTAGGGACGCTTAAACATATCACCGGTCTCACGGTCATGTGCAGAGCGATGGACAGAGCATATGGTAAGCACCTAAAATAGTCGACACACCCAGGCTGTACTAACGGCTGGGTGATGCCTATGAGAAACCCGAGATGAACCTGACATTGACAAGTAGACAATCACTCAGACCGACTAATAGAATACGCCGACATGGCTACTGGCCCCGTAGAGTGTTGATCATGAGTGCCACTCCCGACTAACTGCTCTTCCCATCGTCATCTACAACTTCCCCGCCGCCGCGAACGGTGTTACGTTAAGTCCAACATCTCGGTTGACAAAAAAACGACAGATCAAAACACGCTTTAAGCAAAGTTGCAGAAACGACGATGAATATACATAAATACATGGCCCACCAATCTACATCTCACTACCTCCGCTCATGCACCAACCGCCCCTTAACCCAGACCTTCTTTGTGTTCCGGTCGTCCCCGTTATACACCCACTTCGCCACTTGATTCGGCCAGCTCTCCCACCCGAAAACATCCACATCCCCGCCGTCACCGTCGCCGTTTATTACCTCGCCATCCTCTCCAACTATGTTCAGCCCAATTAACTGGACATCCCAGTCCATCCCGACCTCAAAAGCGCCCACCTTGTCCGCCAACCCGACCACCTCCGCTCCACCGCGTGTTGCGAGATACAGCACTTCATCAACAGACAAAGCGGCCCCGTCCTCCCTTTTCCCGTCAACGGTACCACTCAGTACGACCTGCCGACTGACCAGGGCGGCCTGTCGCGCTGCCTCCAACACGCTTGGGCTATACCCACCACTCATATCGGTGCCGAGGCCGCAGGCGATGCCGCGGTCGAGAAATTGACGACGGACGGGAGCGGCGCCAGATGTTAGCGCGCTGTTGCTGCAAGGACAGTGGCTGATTTTAGCCTTGCGCCGCGCGACGAGCTCGGCCTCGCTGTCTGTTAGATGCACGGCGTGCCCTAGGATGGTGCGTTCAGTGAGTAACCCGCATGCGTCATAGACCGCTGCATAGGTGTCGTCCGCGGCTCCGGTGACGGAGGGCGGGAAGAGTTCGCCGACGAAAGCTATTTCCGCCGTGTTCTCTGATATGTGCGTTTGGATTGGTAGGCCCGTCTCCTTCGCCAGCGCGCCAAGTTGGCGCATCAGGTCCACCGAGCAGGCAGGTGCAAAGCGTGGAGTAATGATGGGCCGGACGAGGGCCATTGAGGGATCGATGGATCGGATATGTTCAATATTAGCGCGGGTGTCGGCGATGGCTGATTCAACAGACGCGTCTCGGTATTTATCGGGCGAGTTCTGATTCATGCAGATACGGCCGACCAGAGCCCGCTGCCCGGCAGTATGGCACAGATCAGCGAGAAGGTTCGTTGAAGGCACGTCGATCGTGGCATAATAGGCGGCACATGTGGTCCCGTGGGAGAGGGTCTTGCGAATGACCCGGGTGTAGACCTGGCGGGCCTTGGTGGAGTCTGCGAGTGAAGCTTCGAGAGGGAAGGTGTACTTTTTGAGCCAGTCGAGGAGGGTCGACTCGCCAAAGATGCCGACATTGGGATATTGTGAAGCATGAATATGGGTGTCTGCGATATCAGTGACCAATCCCAAAAGGGAAATGCATATCCGCCAGCAAGTACTCACCAATAAACCCAGGAAAGAAGAACTGCCCGTCCGCGGCCCTCACAACCTCAACCTCATCTTCTCTCCACCCCAATCGCGGAAGTACCGTTTCTCTGGCCCGGCCCTCACTGCAGTCTTTTTCAACCGCAACAATCTTTCCGGAGCTGTCGACCGCCACCGCCGCATTATGCAAGCTTTCGATCTCCTTGAGCTTCTTGCTGTGCACGAACGAGCCAAGGAACAGCTTATTAGGGGCTGCCATGGCGAGTCGCTCTCGGGGAACAAGCATGTTGAAATGTTGAAATGTTATGCAGGTGCTCGAATATGGTAAATGGGTGATGCCAGAAACGCTGCAAAAGGAAAGTGCGCTCCGCCAATATATAAACTCAGAATCGGCAAGAACTCCCGGTTGGGTGATTGATCCAGGCTCTCAATTCGCCCCACGTGGCTCCGAAACAAAACAAAGGTGTTCTTGCCCGACTCAAGATAAGGCAGGCGGCAACCGACCACGTCTCTCTGATTTCGTTGTCAGCAAGAATCATCAACTCCCTTGAAGCTTTCCTCAATGGGTGACTTAATGTGTGGCTTGACTCACCAAAATACAATTGCTAATTGTGATTTTCTCAACAAATTTGACAAATATTCGAGTGAGGATTGGAACAGTCAGGTACAACTCGAGTTGTTTGGAAACAGACTCCGGCAAGCACGAGTCGTCAGCGAAGTCAACCAACCCTTGCCTACTTCGCTTTCCAGTCTCACCAGGATGAAACCAACAACACAAACAAAATCCAGATTCGACGGGAATAGCAACAGTGGCAGCAGCAAAAGAACTTCGCAAGCAACGAATTGAGTGACAAAGGAAGCAAAAGAAGCCCAAACCTCCGAACAAACCTTCCATCCCCAATCCCAAAACACGCCCTTCCACCCCCCTTATATTCAATGCCCCTTCCCGAACCCGAACCCACGGTGTGCCCGCCCCCCTTGCCAAGTCCCCCGAGCTGACCGACCGAGGTGGAAGGTCCGGCACGGCAGACGGCACCTTCCCCCACCAGCCTCCCAACCAATCCCCGACGGGTCAGCCCACTAAAAGCGGGTCCTTATTGGCTCCGACAAGCCCCGCAAAACAGAAAAGAATCCCGGAGGGCGGCGTTCGGCCAGCGCCGATGGCCGGCCGGCGCCGTGTGAGCGATAGGGGATGGGACCTCCAGAGGCTATCTACATTCCTTAAAACTAGGTAGTTATTGCATAGTTTTGTAATCGCAATTCTATCAGCGAACAAGTATTTGACCCCCCGACCTCCTCTTCCATCAAGTCATCATTATGTTTGTCAATCCGCATTCGCATCTAAAAGACTCGAGAAGATAACTCAAAGTTGTTGGGGATTGAAACATCACCCCAATATCGCTCCCGGACAACTCGCGTCAACGTACCTATAGGTTGCCCGGTAAATTGATAGCCGCACGAAGGGTGGTGAAATAGATTCAAAGCGTAGCCTTGCCTTGCAATAAATTCCATGCCCAAGCACACACATGCATGGGAACTCCACCTTTAACACAATCACCGCACGCCTCGTTATCACAATATCAAAGCCAAGTTTGGTGTGACTCTTGTCGCGAACTGATCTCTATCTGTGTCATTGCCACCGATGATTCCATTCCCCGTCTCATTGACGGTGTTTGTGCTGGAAAAAGCTTTCTTAAATTCTGAACTCCTAATGACGTGGGAAACCACGCAACAAGACAGACATCAGACGTCCACACACCACAAGCCAACAGCACAAGCCCGTTACCTCACGCATCACACAATGCACCAAACCAAATTCTCCGGGTGTATCAAAAGAAACAGCCCGAGTGAACCATATCTCCCCTCGTCTTGTGTTCTACGTCGCGCACAAGTGACCGGAATACCAGCTTTCCCACTGCCATTGCCCCACCATAGTTAACAGAACTCCTCATTTCGTCACACGTCCCGACGACTCGGGTCAGGGGCCTAATCTAGGGGGTCCGGTCCCGTCGACAAGATCGGATGAGATCGGAGGAGACAGTGTGTAGGACAAGACCAAGGCAGGGCGAAATCAGTCGTGGAACCAGACAAGTGAGAAACAGTAGATTGTAAAATTGAAACGGTAGTTAACGCAAACAACAAGTCTATTATTAGTTGTGGCCGCCCGACCCATGTTTGAACGCCACCCGTAACTCTCAAGTCTAGTGAGCCGTAAGGTATACCATGCAAAAAAGCCCCCCAGCATCGCGGCATCACAGCATCACAGTATTGCAAACATCCCAATAACAAAACATCATCATAACCCCTCAGTCTAGTCGAGGCGAACCCCTAAAACGCGAAAACCTCTTCCTAACGCTAAGACAAAACTCTAAACGAAAAGCTCGCGACCTCACAAACGCGCCGTGGCAATGGCAGCAGCGTGGTTCTCCGTATATGAGATCGAGACGCTAACATTCTTGACGCCGGCCTTCTCTGCGGCTTGTTGGGCAGCACCGTGCAACTATAAAAGATTAAAGTCAGTTCAGCTCAGCAGTCACATACACCACGATCTAGAACACATGTATCACGTACCTTGACGGTCGGCGCCCCGTTGGTATCCGTCAGGATTTCAATGTCCCTCAGCGCCGCACCTGCACCCTTGCTCGCCGTCCCTAGGGCCTTGAACACAGCTTCCTTCGCACTCCATCGTCCGGCGAAGGCCTTCTGCGGCGTCCGGCCCGTGGTCGAGTCCAGGCAGTACTCAACCTCGGCCGGTGTGAAGTTGCGGTCAATGAACGTGTCATTGTCTGCATTGATGGTCGAAATATCCTCGACATCGAGCCCGACCCGTGTGTTGCCGGTTTCACCCTGGCTTGCCGCGAGGCTGAGCACCGACTCGAGGGTTGCCCGTTCCTCCGATTTCTTCTGAGGTTTGTTGGACAGCTTCACAAATTCTTGAGGAAAGCTAAGTTGCCCACTCTTGTCCACCGTGACGCGGGCTTCCGGATTCAGGAGCACCGAATGGAGTTGGTCATCGCTATATGGCGCCTTGTCCTTGGCAACAAACAAGGTGTTGTTGATCATACCGTTATGGAAGAAGCGATACGCCTTCTTCTGGCGGGCCTCAACCTTGACGCGGTAGTCCCGGAAGGTCTCTTCATCAAGAGTGGCGAAGAGGTACTTGGGGTGCACGCCGATCGCCTGGGCGCCCTTCTGGCCGAAGCCAAAGGAGGTGACGGAGAAGGCCTTCACGCCATCGGTCTGGATGCTGCGGCTGGGGTACACAATGTAGTCGTAGCCTTCCATCGCCTCGTCGACATTGTCGGCATTGCGGTTGCCGGGGACGAGACCCGTGTTCAGCACCTGCAGGCACCCGTTCATCATCCACGCCCCGGCAGCACCCTTTGGATGACCAGTGAGGTACTTCTGGAAGATGCCTAGGACGGCGTTGCCCTTCTTGCGCCCCAGATGCGAGAGCTGCTTGCAGATGACCGACGACTCGTTCTTGTCGTTTGCCTTGGTCGACGTGCCGTGGAACGACGCAACACCGAGGTCGTCGATGGTGAGGCCCCAGGTGGCCAGCGCGCCACGCAGGGGAGCGATGCTTGGATCCTCCTTCCAGAAGTTGTTCCCCAAACTCCGGAGAACCTCCTTGGCCTGCCGCTCGGCCTCTTGATCGAAGTGGTTGGCGCGGTCTGCGACATACGCCGCCACCTCGGCTTCCGACCGGCCCTCAGCCTTGAGCGCGTTAGCCTCGACCGCAAGGTACTCGAGGTTCGCCTCCTTGTTTTCCTGAATTTGGCGGCTCCGGCGCTGGATCTGGCGACGGCGGTAGTCGATGTCAAGGAGCGGCGAGGGGAACTTCCCAGGATTCTCCCGCGCCGTCGTGAGGATGCCCTGGCCCGGAGCCGGGACCGAGCGGCCAATCTTGTCCGAGGCCGTCGTGGTTAGGGCAAGGATACCGTAGATCGGGACACCCATCTCCAGCGCGAGCTTGGCCGTCATGATAACCTGAACACCGCAGCCCTGCGACTCCATAAAGCCGTTCCGGGTTGTGGTGGTGGGCCGCGACATCTCCTTGGGCGTGCGCCCGTGGGCAAATTCGTCCACGGCGTTGCTGGTGGCCTTCATGTTGGCGAACTCGTACGAGCCCTCTTCGCCAAAGTCGTCAAATCCACCAACCAGGCAGATGCGGGCCTTACCCTCCATGATGGTTTCGTACCCTATGTCAACCGACTCAACAGCCGTAGCGCAGGCGCCAACGGGCGTCTTGATCGGACCCGAGGATGAAAGCAGAAGCATATTAACCCATGCAGCCATGGTGTTAATGAATGACTCCTGCAAGATGTCATTCTGCAATGGCTTGTCCAGGAAACGATCCCGGTGCATCCCGCGCAGAGCCGCGGCACCACCCATGCCGGAACCGATACAGTTGCCGACCTCCGACACGTGGACGTACTTGTAAAACTCGTACGGATCCGTGACACCGGCCGAGAGGAGCGCTTCAACAGTGGAAACCAGGACGAACAGCGCGACGGGGTCGACCTGGGAGATGATATCGTCGGGCACACCATACCGCTTGGCATCCCAACCGGTCGGGATTTGACCGGCAACGAGGCGGTCGAACCGCAGGGCTTTGGGAATCCACAACGAGGCACCCTTCTTCAAGCGCACGGTGAACTCGCCGGTCTCTGGGATCTCAAAGATGTCCACCTTGTCGCCGTGCTCACGCTTGAACTCCTCGGCGGTGTCCTTGGAAGCCTGGAAGGGGTCCAGGTCTTCTTGAATGACGACCTCGTGGAGCAGCTGCTTCTTGTTCGGGTCGTAACCATCAAAGAGCTCAGGTTCGATCAGGCGGATGCCCGAGTGCTCCAGGATGTACTTCTCGTACTTCAGCTTCACGTCTTTGTCGTCAACGGGCTCGCCCGTCTTGGCATCGACCCAGCCCGAATACGGCTGGCCCTTGATCGGCCCGTTGTGGTTCTTAATCAGGCCCATGACCCAGGCCATTTCGATACAGCCCTCGATCGAGAACTCGCCGTGGGCTTCCATCTCCCAACGAGTCCTGGAATTGCCCCAGGGGCCAACTTCGGCGAAACCAGTGACGACGACAACCTTTTCAAGATCGACCATGCCCTTAAGCTTCTCGTTGAGTGGCGCGACCTCCGCCTCCCAGTCCGGCAGCGGGGGGAAGTCGAACTTGATGTTGGCGCGTGGCTCGACAATCTTCTTCCTGTAAAGGGCCGCGGAATCTTCGCCGTTGACAATCTTGTTCTCCGCGGCGGTTTCCTTGCTGACCGCGCGGCGGACTTCACTGGTCTCGGTCAGCGTCTTGCGTTCCCGAGTCATGGTCTCATTCAAGTTCGGAATGAATTGAAGTCCGCCGTTCAGGTCTGCAAAGACGGGTTCGTGTTGACACAGATCGACGATGGTCGGAGACATGAGACCAAGCAGGTTGAACGCCATCTCCTGCTGCGAGAAGGTGCGGACCCCGAACCGCTCGACAGCCTCGGCCACGATGTTGTTGCCGGACATCAGCCCCGTGCCACGGGTCCAGCCAATGATGGCACCGCAAATTGTGAGGTAGTTGGCCCAATCTTCGGATACCCAGCGGTTGAAGAGGGTCTCGAGACCCAGCTTCGACTCCGAGTACAGACCGTCGCTGCCAAAAGTGCCGTGGTTGGGCGACAACGGGAGAATGACCTGCGCGGGGCGAGTCTCATATCCACGGGCAGCCTTCTGGGCCTTGACGTTGCCAAGGAGCCGGATAAGGTTGGTGAGCATGATGCGATGCGCAAGCTCCGATTTGGAGTCAACGCCATCGATCTGGCGGCCCTGCTCTGAAATGGCCGCGAAGGGGACAACGTAGTCCAAATCCCAGCCGAGACCGGCCTTGGTGTCATAGATGTACTCAACCAGCGCGTTGATATCTTGCACACTCCCTTGGTTGCACGGCACGACAACAAGTTGGGAGCCGCGAGATCCGAAGCGAGCATACATTGACTGGTAGTACTCGGTGACCGCGCGAGAGAAGCGGCTGGTGGTGACGATGACCTTGGCGCCACCACTGATGAGACCCTGGAGAACCTCGGCACCAATCGAGCCGGCACCCGCACCCGTCATGAGCACATACTTGCCGCTGAACGTAACACCCTCCTTGGCAGCCCCCTCAAGACACTCGAGGTACACCTTGGTGAGCTTCTTGTCGAAATCCCAGCCCTGCTGGGTCTTCTTGCGTAAGTGGAGGAACGGAATGGTCTCAACCTTCCCCTTGGGCTTGCCCTTCTTGGACAGGCCGTTCACTCTCCCGTTGTCCTTGGGGATGATCTGGCTCTCGTTCATCGCCAGGGAGCGGATGACGTCGCTGTACAGGCTCTTGATCTCATGCTGTGACCCCTTGGAGAACTTGTACTGCTGCTTGATCATTTTGTACAGTTTGGAGAGATCGTTCTGGACCTTGGTCCGATTACCGTACTCCGAGATCTTGCCGCCCTCGGTCATCTGCTGCACGTAGTGCTCTAATTTCCGGCAGCTCGCGCGAGGAACCTCCTCGTAGCTCATGCCACCTTCGGCATCGATTGACGTCTTTGGTCCTGTGGGAACGGCGACATCCTTGTAAACGGGAGCGGCATCGAGCGCGTCTTTGCAATTCTCGATGAGCTGAGCCCCGAGCTCTTTGGCCAGCTTGTAGGTCTCTCCGCGCTCCGTCGGGCAGTTGTCTATGTGATACTGCATGAACTGGAGCAGGGTCGGGTTTGACCGGTTCATGAGACGGATGCATTGACTGACCGTCTCCCGGTCCACAGCTTGTAACCGGCCAAAAATGATGTCGAAATACATACTCAGGGCATCCTGGCGCGCCCAGTTCCAGGACGAGTCGTAGACGCGAGCTTTGAGGGCGCTGAACGCGGGCTCGATGCCGGTGGCGTAGAAATCGCCGTGCTCGGCCATCCAGAGGTCAAGCTGGGACTGGAGCACTTTGGAGGACTCTTGGGAGGCCTGCAGTGCCCGATCGCCGGCGCGGATATCCACCTTGAGGTACCGGGCGATGAGTTCCAGCTGCTGTTTGTATAACGACTTTTGTTCGCTTGTCAAAGCCTCGATGGCGGCCGGGTCCATCATCATACCGCCTCCCCCGCCAGCAGCAGGGCCCGCCGACGAGGCAGTAGAGAGGCTGATTCCAGCGCTTGTGGCGTACTTCTGCGCGGTGTCGTCCAGGTACGCCTTCGCGTCCGCCTCGGAGCCCAGACGAGCAGCTGGCTCCATGGTGATCGCGAGCAGCAACACACCGTCTTGCCGACCACTGCCCAGACCCCACTTTGACTCGAGATACTTGCGGGCTGTGGTGATGTTAAAACCACCGGGCATTTTCGAGGAGATGAGGCGGGCTATGAGGCCCTGGGTGGTTTTGCCGAGGTTCCCGTCGAAAGTTGCTTGCATCGCTGCACCCAACTCGTCGAGAGGTGTGTCCTCGGGCTTCTCGGGGGTCGAGCCAAACTCCTTGCCTAGGTCTCCGAGGATTTCGTTTTGAAGGGTGGATTTTCCTGAGCACATAATATAGTCAGCACAACCATCTAATGGACTTGTCCCCAACGACGCAGCGCGCACTTACCACCAACCAAGTCCTTGATCGCTTTGCTCAGAGGGATTTCCGAAACCGGCTTTTTGAGCTTCTGGGCGACCAAAGCCCGGACGATATCTAGGGCCTGGACAGGCGCGTCCGCAATCTGAGCGGCAGGGCCTGCGCTCGGGGGCGGGGCCGCGGCCGCAATTGGAGTCGAAGCGGCCGCGGCCGCAGCCGGAACAACTCTGGCGGAACTCGTCTCGTCCGCGGCGGGCTCGGGTTCCTCTTCGATTGGGTCGACGTCGTAGTAAATCTCTTTGGCGTCTTTGTTGTAACATAAAATCTGTCGTTGCATTGACTTCGCGGCGTCAAACGCTTCATATTTGCGGGCGAGCGTCCGCCGAGCCATCACACCGAGTGTGTCTGCAGGACCAACCTCCACGATCCTCTCAGCCATTTGTTCGGCCAAGAAAACATCTTGAGTCTCGATCCACCTCACGGGCGAGGCGAACTGGTACGCAAGTAGCTCCACGAGGAGCGTGTGTGCGAGCTCCTGCTCGACTTCGGGACGCATCTTGAGGAATCGGCTTGTAAATTAAAGGGTTTTAACACGGGAGGGGGTTACGTCGAGGAGGAGAAGACGTCGACGGTGGGCAAGAATAAATGGGTATCTTCGAATAAATGGCGATTAGTCGGGTTACCGAAAAAAAGTGGGAGGAGTGGAAGGGAAAACTGGACGAAAGTTGGGATGAGATGAAGGAAGCGCACCACTGGGTTTAGAAACGAAGATCAGGGCGGCGGGGGACGCCACTGGAGGAGGGCCCGATATTATAACTTAACCAGGATTCCCGAGGTAGAGGCTTCTTTCTGCAAGGAGAGCGGAGAACGATCCTCAGGAAACTCGCAAAGAAATCCGTAATCTTTGACGTCGACAATTGCAATGGTCTCGACTCCCGTCCCAGCGCTCATGAGTAGCCTGGGCGTCACTGCGAAAATCTGGAAAGCGCCGCGTCGAAAGTATGCAACTGTTGAATGAATTTTGGGTAACACCCCCCTGTCGCGTCAGGACAATCTGCAGGTGCTTCTCAACCAAACTTCAAACTAGGCTCAAATAGGACTAGCCTCCCGTCCGCCGGGCTGTGACCCCACGGCTTGGGGGGGCTTGGGATCTCCAAACTCGCGATACACAGAACACACCACAACCAACGCCCACAGAAACTAGGGGCATTCCACCCCTTCGATTTCTTCCATTCCAACGCTTTTCGTAGTGCAAACGACCGGCTTCGATTAGTGATTCTCCGCCACCGCCGAGCAATTCCGACCATTCCGCCGCTGTTATCCACGGAAATATTCTCTGCGCCGAACATCCCAGACGAGTTTCTCGGCCCACAAGTCCCCGCAATGCCCGCTAACGTACCCAAGTTGGATCAGACCACTCCGGAGCTGGGCATCGACCTCGTTGGGTTGTCAGGTTTGCTGGACATGCATGTGTGGACGATATGACAGCTCGTTGACGTGAGGGAGGGAGGTCTTGCAAGTCATTGCTATGCAAAAACTCGGCCTTGTGCTCAAAAGTGGAACGGCGCCGAGAAAGGAGAGCGGGACCTGAAAACACGGACAGTGACAAACTTGGTCGGTCGCGATGAGGTGAGGCAGAAACAACTGTCTAACTCAAGTCGGGTAGATCGGATGTAGTATGTCTGTGCTGGTTCTTTTGTTCCTTATCGGATTACAAGTCATAGGGCCCGAACTCTGACCTGTGGTGTGCCATCTATGTACGGAATCATGACATCTGGAGATGCAGTATCAGAACACGTCGGTAGTCAGGCAGTGGAGGTTACCGCGGATCGAAGTTCAGGCCACCACCGTAGCATTTTGGCCGGGCCACACTCAACGGTCCACGTGTAGCGACCGAAAGGTACACCCAAAAAAGATCTGTGGGACCGGTAGATTCCTGATGGCCTCCATCGGCAACCTGAGAGCCTGATGGTATGTAGCCGGGCAGCCGGGCTTCTTTCAACCTTGCCGCTTCGTTGCTCCGTAAGCCCGAGATACGGAGAGATCCATTGGGGTTGAGATGGATAGATTGTGTGCGGCGATGCCCTCATTACAGGGAAAAAAAGGAAGTACATGTAACTCTCGGTCCACTGCTTTTTTTGGTGGGGTCTGTGTGAGGAGGCCGTTTTTGGAGGGGTGGGGCATTTGTTGTGGGTCCATCTGAAGGCGGGGACAACCGGTACAACACAAAAGGTGCCAGATCGGTTTTGAGCAAAGTCACTTGGAGTCTGAGGCCCACGCTGGGATGCCCCGCCTGCATGGCTCTCGAGCAGGGGTTCTGGCTGTGCGCGCCACGCCAGACGCGGGAGTCGCCCTTCCCCAACAAAGATCCAAAAAATTTGGCGAGCCCGAGGGGGAACCGTCACCGACAAGATTACGCTTGGATTCGTAGCGACCTAGCGCTTTGTGTTGAGGTGAACCACACTCGACCTTTAAAAGCGGACGCCCCTGGCCTCCCCATCCTCCCCTTCCAAACCAGGATCTTAAGTTTTTCTCGTCCAATCAACAACCCCCCAGCAGGAGCCACCGCCCCATCTCTCCTCTTGACACCCCCCTCTTCATCCTTTCTCAACCTCTGTTCCTGAAATCGCGGGATCTGCCCAAAAGACCACAAAGTTGGTCGTAAACCCCCTTCGGGCAAACTCTCCTCCCAATCCTTCCCGGTCCTTCCCAATTCTATTCGATTGCTAGACACCTTCCCGCCGGTGCTTTGCCTCGGCTGGTCATCTTTTCGCAGACACTTTTTGTAATCTTCTGCTTGCTCTCTCTCCGTTGCGTTCGGTAGGTTTTCTCTTCGCCCCAAACTTGCAATTAGTCTTCTGTCGTTTTCCGCGGTCGAGGATCAAAAACTCAACTAACATTCGAAGAAGAAGCGCAAGACTTTCAAGATACCCCTCACCACCACCCTACCATATACATAATGCACCAGACCAACGGCAACGGGACAGGCCCCCAGACCGGCGCCGTCACCCCCCGCTCCTCCGCCTCACTGCGTCAGCTGGCGGTCTCCCACGGGTCCCTTGAAACCTCCTTCTCAATACCAACGGGCCTCCATTTCCACGCGACCCGCCTGAAGGATAGCTTCATCGCCAGTCTCCCCGCCCCGACGGATGAGTTGGCCCAAGATGACGAGCCCTCGTCGGTTCCGGAGCTGGCCGCCCGGTACATGGGACATGTTGCACGAGAGGTTTCCGCTGGGGAAGACGATGCGCAAGGCTCGGCCGAGGAAGTTCTCAAGCTTCTTTTGAATGAATTCGAGAGGACGTTCCTCAGCGGGAATGATATCCACGCCCTGGTGGCGTCCCTCCCGGGCATCGATGCCAAGAAAATCGAAGTCATTCGCAGTTACTACGCCGCGAGGGCAGCGTCAAACCGTGCGATCAAGACTCACGAATCGGCTTTGTTTCGTGCAGCTGAGGATGGCGAAGCCAAGATCTACAACATCTTTGGCGGCCAAGGGAACATCGAAGAGTACTTCGAGGAGCTTCGGGAGCTCTATTCAACATATCCTGCCTTCATTGGCGATCTGGTCTCGTCTTCGGCCGAGTTATTGCGGACACTTTCTAGCCACCCGAATGCAGAGAAGATGTATTCAAAGGGACTGGACGTTCTCGGCTGGCTTCATCACCCGGAGCTAACCCCGGACGTTGACTACTTGGTCTCGGCGCCTGTGAGCTTCCCCCTCATCGGGCTTGTGCAACTGGCGCACTACCAGGTCACCTCCAAGGTGCTTGGGTTGCACCCTGGCGTGCTGCGCGAGCGGATTAGTGGGACTACCGGGCATTCGCAAGGCGTCGTCCTTGCAGCCATCACAGCGGCTGCAGACTCATGGGAGTCCTTTGAGGAGTATTCCAAGTCCGGCCTCACGATCCTGTTTTGGATCGGTGCCCGCAGCCAACAGACGTTCCCGATAACGTCCCTCAGCCCGTCCATGCTCCAGGATTCGATCAGCCACGGAGAAGGTGCCCCGACACCCATGCTAAGCATTCGTGACCTGCCCCAGGCCGATGTGCAAAAGCACATCGACCAAACGAATCAGTATCTTCCGGAGGAGCAACACATTTCTATCTCCCTCATCAACAGCCCGCGAAACTTGGTTGTTGCTGGTCCCCCACGCTCGCTGTGCGGTCTGAACGCCCAGCTTCGTCGAGTCAAGGCCGCAACCGGTCTAGACCAAAACCGCGTCCCTCATACGCAGAGGAAGGTTCGGTTCGTCAACCGCTTCCTACCGATCACCGCCCCGTTCCACAGCAAGTACCTTGCCAAAGCGACTGCGCTGATTGCGGACGACCTCAAGGATGTCGAGATCGACGTCAAGCGCCTCGGTATCCCCGTGTACAACACCAACACCGGCAAGGACATGCGGGATGAGGTCACCGGCAATATCGTACCTGCTTTGGTCCGCATGATCACCAATGATCCAGTTAACTGGGAGAGGGCCACCGTGTTCCCCGGGGCCACCCACGTTCTCGACTTTGGTCCGGGAGGCATCTCAGGTCTCGGTGTTCTAACGAGCCGGAACAAGGATGGTACGGGCGTCCGTGTCATTCTAGCTGGCACGGTGAGTGGCACGGTGACCGAGGTTGGCTACAAATCCGAACTCTTCGACCGCGACGAAGAGCATGCCATCAAGTATGCTGTCGACTGGGTCAAGGAGTACGGCCCGAAGCTCGTAAAGACGTCCAGCGGCAAGACCTACGTGGACACAAAAATGAGCAGACTCCTCGGCCTGCCCCCACTGATGGTCGCCGGCATGACCCCCTCCACGGTGCCTTGGGATTTTGTGGCTGCCACCATGAACGCCGGGTACCAGATCGAGCTAGCCGGCGGTGGCTATTACAATGCTAAGACGATGACCGCGGCCATCTCCAAAATCGAAAAGGCAATCCCCCCAGGCCGTGGTATCAGCGTCAATCTGATCTACGTCAACCCCCGCGCGATGGGCTGGCAGATCCCCTTGCTCGCCCGCCTGCGCGGGGAGGGTGTGCCCATCGAAGGACTGACCATCGGCGCCGGCGTCCCGTCCATAGAGGTTGCGCAAGAGTATATCGAGACGTTGGGCCTCAAGCACATCTCGTTCAAGCCCGGCTCGAGCGAGGCCATCCAGGCCGTCATCAACATTGCCAAGGCTAACCCGACGTTCCCTGTCATCCTGCAGTGGACGGGTGGCCGTGGAGGCGGTCATCACTCATTCGAGGATTTCCATGCGCCCATTCTAGCCATGTATGGGCGCATTCGCCGCCACGAGAACATCGTCCTTGTTGCCGGCAGTGGTTTTGGCGGTGCCGATGATACGTATCCGTACCTCACCGGCGCGTGGTCCACCAAGTACGGTTACCCCCCCATGCCGTACGACGGTTGCCTGTTTGGCAGCCGCATGATGGTTGCCAAGGAAGCCCACACCAGCAGGGATGCAAAGCAAGCCATTGTCAACGCTCCTGGTCTTGACGACGAGGACTGGGAGAAGACATACACTGGACCAGCGGGCGGTGTCATCACGGTGCGCTCCGAGATGGGCGAGCCCATTCACAAGCTTGCCACACGCGGTGTGATCTTTTGGGCTGAGATGGACGCCAAAATCTTCAGCCTGCCCAAGGAGAAGCGGGTTCCTGCGCTGAAGCAGAAACGCGAATACATCATCAAGAAGCTGAACGCCGACTTCCAAAAGGTCTGGTTTGGGCAAAACAAGGAGGGCAAGGCCGTCGATCTCGAGGACATGACCTACGGCGAGGTTGTCCGCCGCATGGTGGAACTTCTCTATGTCAAAGACGAGGCCCGCTGGATCGACCCCTCCTTCCAAAAGCTCACGGCCGATTTCATCGGCCGAGTGGAGGAGCGGTTTACCACGGGCCCCGGCCAGGTCTCGCGCCTTCAAAGCCCCGCGGGCCTCAGCGAGCCGTATTCCGCCATCGAAAGCATTCTCTCGCAATACCCCGAGGCTGAAAATCAGCTGATCAACGCCCAGGATGTACAGCACTTCCTGCTGCTCTGCATGCGCCGCGGACAAAAGCCGGTGACATTTGTGCCGGCGCTAGACGAGAACTTTGAGTTTTTCTTCAAGAAGGACTCGCTCTGGCAGTCGGAAGACCTCGGTGCCGTGATTGACAAGGATGTGGAACGAACCTGCATTCTGCAAGGCCCCATGGCTGCGAAGCACTCGACCAAGGTCGACGAGCCGGTCAAGGACATTCTGGACGGCATCCACAACGGCCACATCGAGGGCCTCACCAAGGACCTGTACGGCGGCGACGCGTCCACGATCCCCACTGTCGAATACTTTGGTGGCAAGCTCTTTGAAACGGAGATCTCGGACGACTTCGAGGCCCTCACTGTCTCGGAAGGCACCAACAAGAACACGTACCGATTGTCCTCCGCGCCGACCGCCCAGTTGCCGCCGCTTGAGGATTGGATCTCGATCCTTGCTGGTTCGAACCAGAACTGGCGCTATGCGCTGCTCCAGTCGGATGTGATCGTCCAGGGACAACTGTACCAGACCAACCCGATCAAGCGGATCTTTGCGCCCGTTCGTGGTTTGGTCGTCGACATCCTGCATCCGAATGACCCCGCCAGAATGACGATCGTGGTCAAGGAGCAGCCGAGGCATGACCAGTATGTGGATGTCATCGAGGTCAAGCTGGTGGGCAAGAACGAGATCGTCGTCAACATGATCAAGGAGACAACGGCCCTGGGTCAGCCCGTGGTCCTGCCACTCCGCTTCGTGTACCGCCCGGAGGCCGGTTATGCCCCCATCCACGAGGTCATGGAGGACCGCAATGATCGAATCAAAGAGTTCTATTGGCGTGCGTGGTTCGGTAATGACCCGTTGGACCTGGATGCCGACGTCACCAGCCAGTTTGACGGCGGCCAAGCCACCATCACTAGCTCAGCCATTAATGACTTTGTCCATTCCGTAGGAAACCAGGGCGAAGCATTTGTGGACGGGCCGGAAAAGGTCATGTACGCGCCAATGGACTTTGCCATCGTGGTGGGCTGGAAGGCCATCACAAAGCCGATCTTCCCCCGCACCATTGATGGTGACCTGCTCAAGTTGGTCCATCTTTCGAACCAGTTCCGCATGATGCCCGGTGCCGAGCCCTTGAAGAAAGATGACGTGGTTACCACCACGGCTCAAGTCAATGCTGTGATCAACCAGGAATCCGGTAAGATGGTCGAGGTGTGCGGCACCATCACGCGCGACGGCCAGCCCGTCATGGAAGTTACCTCTCAGTTCCTGTACCGAGGCGTGTACACCGATTTCGAGAACACCTTCCAACGTAAGGTGGAGACCCCGATGGAGGTGCACCTGCAAACGACCAAGGACGTCGCGGTCCTCCGGTCCAAGGGCTGGTTCATCATGGACGACATCGCGAATCCGGAGATTGAGCTGCTCGGCCAGACTTTGATCTTTCGCCTGCAGAGCCTTGTCCGCTTCAAGGACCGGTCGGTCTTCAGCCGGGTCGAGACTCGGGGCCAGGTCCTCGTGGAGCTGCCGACCAAGGAGATCATCCAGGTGGCCAGCGTCGACTACGAGACCAACGACGCGCGCGGCAACCCGGTCATCGACTATCTTGAGCGCCACGGTTCGTCCATCGAGCAGCCGGTCTACTTTGAAAACCCCATTCCGCTGGGCGGCAAGAAACCTCTCCCGCTCCGCGCTCCGGCCTCCAACGAGAACTACGCCCGCGTGTCTGGGGACTACAACCCCATACACGTCTCGCGCGTGTTTGCCGCCTACGCCAACCTACCAGGCACCATCACGCACGGCATGTTCTCAAGCGCAGCTGTCCGCAGCCTGGTCGAGACGTGGGCGGCGGAGAACAAGAACGGGCGTGTCCGCAGTTTCCACGCGTCCCTCACGGGCATGGTTCTGCCCAACGACGAAATCAATGTCAGGCTGCAGCACGTGGGCATGGTAGCCGGCCGCAAGATCATCAAGGTGGAGGTTATCAACAAGGACACGGAGGAGAAAGTGCTACTTGGCGAGGCTGAGATTGAGCAGCCCGTGACAGCCTACGTCTTCACTGGCCAGGGTTCTCAGGAGCAAGGCATGGGGATGGACCTATACGACAGCAGCCCTGTCGCCAAGGAGGTTTGGGATCGTGCCGACAAGTACCTGATGGACACATATGGTAAGTCAACCACTTTCCTTTTCTTTTCTTGCGCACTTTTCCCGACATCCTCCCCACGCACCCGTCGCACACATCCCTCCCCGCATACATGCGTCCAAACAGTAAACTGACATAAGCAGGCTTCGCCATTACGAACATTGTCCGCAACAACCCCAAGGAACTCACTATCCACTTTGGCGGGCCCCGCGGCAAAGCCATCCGCCAGAACTACATGGCCATGACCTTCGAGACCGTGGCGACCGACGGGTCTATCAAGTCGGAGCGGATCTTCAAGGAGATCACCGACAAGACGCAGTTCTACACGTACCGCTCGCCAACGGGTCTTTTGTCCGCGACGCAGTTTACGCAACCGGCGCTGACGCTGATGGAAAAGGCAAGCTTTGAGGACATGAAGGCTAAGGGTCTGGTGCCGCGTGATAGCACTTTTGCCGGCCACTCGCTCGGCGAGTACTCTGCATTGGCCGCACTGGCCGACGTCATGCCCATCGAGTCGCTAGTATCCGTTGTGTTTTACCGTGGGTTGACCATGCAGGTTGCCGTGGAGCGCGACGCGCACGGAAGGTCAAACTACAGCATGTGCGCGGTCAATCCGGGCCGCATCAGCGACACGTTCAACGAGGAGGCCCTTCGGTTCGTCGTCAGCAATATTGCCGAGACTACCGGCTGGTTGCTCGAAATTGTCAACCTGAACGTGATCAACATGCAGTACGTCTGCGCCGGCGACCTCCGCGCACTCGACACGCTTGGCTCGGTCTGCAACTACCTGAAAATCTCTCAGATCGACATTGAGCTGCTGCGCAAGAGCGTTCAGCCCGAGGAGGTCAAGGAGAAGTTGGTTGAGATCATCAAGGGCTGCGCCGAGAAGACGCTCGCCAAGCCCAAGCCCCTGGACTTAGAACGCGGCCATGCCACCATCCCCCTCAAGGGTATCGATGTGCCCTTCCATTCGACGTTCTTGCGCTCGGGTGTCAAGCCTTTCCGTAGCTTCTTGCTCAAGAAGATTAACAAGACAACGATCGACCCCAGCAAACTGGTGGGCAAGTACATTCCCAACGTGACGGCCCGGCCGTTTGCCATCACCAAGGAATACTTCGAAGATGTGTACCGTCTCACCAACTCGCCCAAGATCGGCAATATTCTCGCCAACTGGGACTCTTACCAGGACGACAGCGGTGCGCTGGCCTCAGCCCTGGCGAACGGCGCGGGCTCGGAGTAGTGGATGCTACACGGGAAACAGCTGGGAAACGGTACGCGAACGGACAAGGTCGGCGGTTTGGTTTCTTGCATGGGGCGAACGATCCGCCCGTCTTAGTTTCATGGGATGCTGTGATTTGTTTATTTTGTGGCTGTCGCTTTGGGCGTGGTTTTTCTACCGGAGTTGGGGTTTTAACGAGTTTAATGCTAGACAATAGATCCGCGCAATGATTACTACCGTGTTTCTAGCTCTCTGTCCCTTCTACAATGCATCGTGAATCGTGCGAACCACGTTAAATTGGTGGATAGATGATGCTCCTATGCAACAACTTCGACACAGCGGTAGTTCCCCATGGGTGGTTTTCGGTTCCTGTCGACGGTAGCATGAAACGTGATGCGTGCAGGCGGAATGTGATATTCTGAGGTACCTAACAGAGAAGTAAGAGGGGGGTAAGAAAGACTGACCCCGTTGGTGGGCCACCATGACGGATTTGGTTATAGCTATCGTAGGTAGTAGGGTCGGTCATGTGAGCGTGGTATTACATACTGTATGGTGTTTAGCTAGCTTGGGTCAGAGTGGGCGGTGAGAAATTTTGTTTTTTTCTCCTACTTTTCCTTCTCCTCTCTCTCGGTGAATAATTAACTACTGTAAATGAACAATAAGCATATCCCATCCCCCCCCATTCCATCTCATCCACACGAAGGTTATCAAATCCTGGTCTGGTTTACTCTAGTCCAGCCCGATCGGTTAAGATATGGTTGGTTGAGAACGGTCTCGGGATGAACCGTGTGTGGTATTGCATTTGTAGCACAGTGGCAAGACGAGACAAGGGAATCGAAAGAACTCTTGTGTCTCTTTGGAGTGGGAGTGGGGTGTGAGACGGAGGTATGTGATGGGATGTGATGTAATGGGCTCTGGTCTGATTTGATGGGAAGGAGGTGGTACGGGACCGTACGCGGGTTGTTTTGTGTATCGTGTGATCTTACCGTGGGACAGAAGGCGGGGGGCGTTGTGATTGTGTGGTGATGGTGATGGGATGGTTGTGGGTGAGGTATGGGCAGGATGGGGTGCTGTTGTTGGGCGTTGGGTGAGAGCAGATGAGAGAGGAACACATGTCTTCTCGGTTATTGGCAAATACCAGACGGCACCATGAGTGGATGGAAGAGTGAATTGTGTTGTGATAGTAGATGATTTGTTGTTGCGGGTGATGCCACGCTTCTGATATATAAAGTACATAATAGATACATCGAGGTGTCGAAGATGATGTGTTTTGTTTATCTGTCGTAGTCTGACAAAAGAGATCATATCTGTTTGGTCTGCCGTGTCATGCCATGTCATCCATTGCTCGTCCCCCCTATTGGAGAGGAGGGAAGAGGGAAATGGGTTGACGATGAGCGTAGAGTGTGATAGAGGGAGAAACAAAAAGAAAGCTAAGCGTGCCGCCATCCCTGTGGTGTGCGCCTGCGTAACTACATTATCCAATACACGTTTCGTTTTCCCACAGCGACAAATGCGCTGGCGGGGTTTGTTCCATCATTCCATAAAAGCCATTCCACATTGCTTGCCATGCCCGTAAGAGAAAGATAAGAGCAGACCCGGCCGCCGATTAATGAGATAGGAAACGATGAATAAAAAGGAGAACCACGAAGAAAAAGGGGAAGATCAACAAACTAGGAAAATGCAATCCAACTCCCGGTGTCGTACCACCATGCGCATGCCATGCAAACCCGCCCAATGCTCCGAGAGACTGACCCAAATTAACCCAAGCCAAAGTCCAAGCTGCTCATTTTTTGTGTCGAAAAAGTTGAAAAGTGAAAATCACAACGCCGTTCCCCATGTGCCGTTAGACAGGTAACAGAGAAAGGAAATAACCCAAGGAAAAATAAAAGGCACTTTTAATACAGGGGTTCGGAAGACGGCGCGGATGAGCGCTCCGATACACGGCGAAAAAGAAAGTCCAAAAAGAAAGCCAAAAAAATGCAAAACAGACCGGAGAAGGGAATTCACAACGGCAACCATCCCCAAGCGGAAGAAACACACCGACCCCGTTAACGACGGCAGCACGGCAAAAGTGGCGTGGGCCAAGGTGGTGGTGGTGCCAGCCCTTCGGAGCGCCATCGGGTCAAGGTGTGGGTCCCCGATCGGGCAGCAACACACGTGGCGCCGATCCAGGGGCTCCGCCGGGGGGGTTGCTTCCGACATCACCCTTTGCCGGGGACCGGGGGGGGGTGTCAGCCGGCAAAGCGATGAGTGGAAAGAAAAAAATGAAAAGAAAATCAAGAAGGAAACAGAAAAGAAGAGAAAGGCTAAAATCCGCCACGGAGGATGCCTAACTATTGCGCGATGGTATTCGCGAATCGGAGCGGGCTAGACGGCGTTGTGGGGCGCGTGTGACCGTGGTTGTTGGAGTTCCGGCGGCCGAAGACATGCCGGACGATGGCCTTGGGGCTGACCGCCTCGAAGTTGACCGACTTGAAGGTCGACGGCATCGGGATTCGGTGGGCCTTCTTGGTCTGCCACCGCTCCTTGATGCAATCATCGACGAGCGCCATGAGTCCCGTGGCCATGATGACGCTTGGCAGGAAAGTTAGTATCATGACTAGTGGAAATAGGGATGGAAAAATGTGAAAGATAGGGAAAATAGGAGAAATAGAGAGAAAAATAAAACTTACTCGGCAACGTCCGTAATGGCCTCCACGACCGTCTCGTCAGCGATCCACATGAAGCATGGCGGAACCCAGCCACCGGCGTTGTCGTCAGCCTGGACCTGGGTCGGCGACCTCGTTTCCGGGACGATGTGCGCGACCGGCGCGCTCACATCCCCGTCCCGCAAGAGGTGGAACGACACCAGGCCGAGCTGCTTGTCGACGGAGCGCTTCCAGCTGTACTTGTGGCCCCACCACTCAAAGTCGTACCGCTTGTTGCCCTTACCCCCACGGCGGCTGACGTCCACGCGTGCGTAGTTGCTGAACTCCAGCTTGATGGTGTTGGTGGCGGTCGGCCGCTGCGCCTTGTTCTTGGCCAGGCGGCCGTCGAGCGACAGGCGAGACATGTTAGCTCCGTCGAGGAAAAAGTCATCCTCGTCGCCCTCGCATGTCGAGTAACCCGTGTCGGGGCGGCTAGTGGTCGTCGATGCGATGGACTTCGCGCGGCGTAAACCAGGTTTCCTTCCACCAAGTGTCCGGAGCGCGGCAGAAACGGACTTCTTCAGCGTGGGCTTCTCCTCCGTCGTCGTCATCGCCAAGGCCGTAGACTTCCCAATAGTAGTGGCAGCAGCAACACCAGCGGGCTCGGTGAACTTGCGCTTCGCACTGCAGACCTCGCGCCCCGAATCCCGCGAATACCGTCGAAGAGAGAACTCCCGCTTTGCCAAGTCGTACATGCGTAGGTGGAAAAGCTGGATGGCCGTCCTCCTCCGCCCCGTCACCACGGTGTCGATACGCAGGTTCATGTTCCCGTCCGAGGTGAACTCATCGTGGCGGATCGTCAGGCGGTTCTGCGAAGGGAAGAGCTTGGCGAAGTCTTGAGGTGTCGAGGCCCGGACGTTGTGCTCTACAACCTCACGCCTGTAGACCGGTAACGGTGGGATCGCATTGCAGGAGTCGTCCACCAGCTCCTCGGTGTCCAAGACGTCGATCTCCTCACGTGAGGCTGTCGTCGAGGCATACGTATCGACCGACGAGCGGGGGTAGAGCGAGGTAGCCGGGCTGACATCGTCACGGGAGTCGTACGTGTGTTGATACCTGGCCGCGTTGGTGGTGTAGGCACTGCTATCTGTCGAGCACGGTGAGTCCTTGAGGTCTGAAGGACATGGTGACGAGTAGATCGACGTGGGTGCCGTAGAGTGTGATGTGTATGAGTCGTTACTCCTTTGGCTGCGTGAGTCGTTGCTGGAAGCAGACTGAGTCGACGGCTTTCTCCTGGGGTATGGAGTTGCCATCCTGGGCTGTGTGGTGTGTGATGTGTGGTGATGATGGTGTGCCTGTGTCGTTGCAGGAGGATAAAGAGGGACAGGTGACAGTGTCCGGTGAATACTTTGCGGAGTATGTGTTGTGTGTGTGTGAGTGTGAAGGTGTCTTCTTGCGGCTACTGTTCCTAGAGCAGCAGTATGTATGAAGGGGCTGTTGGTTATTGTGGGGGAAGGCAGATTCCCGATCCAGGTGGGACGATGGGGTTCCTGGAGGTTTATAGAGGGTGTCGGGTTTACGGTGTTAGAACAGGGGGGTAGCGAGGGGTGACGTGGGGTGTGTGTGTGAGTGGCAGGCGAAGACAGGTGCGTGAGAGCTCCTGGGGTGTCTTGGGCGATTGGCGAGTGGGGAGACAGGGCCGGCTGGCATGGCCTGCCGAGCTCTGCGCCTTCGTTCCAGGGCTGCAGTGCAAGGTTTGTGCGTTGTCCTGAGCTCGCAGAGGTCAGGTTGGGTCGGGCATTAAACGCGGGGACTGTGTTGGCGTCTGCTGTCGTGACAAGTGCGCACCACACAAAACGGCGTGAACAAGTGGGATCGGTGCAGTGGCAGGGTGAGCAGCCAAGACGCTCGCAACTACTATCTGGGCGCCGGCGACGTTGCGACGCATGGCTGGCAATTGACAAACTGCATCGTGCAAATCTGTCCGAGGGATACGCCAAGTGGTCCATCCGCGAGCGTAGTCGCAGAAAAGAAAACAGCAGCGGGGAGGGGGTGAATCACCTGGAGGATTCGTCCACGCGGGATTCCTGTCCGAAGGGTCCATCGATTCAAGACATCCACAAGTCGAGCATCGTACCAGCGTCATCGTGGGTTCGTGATACGCCCATGAACATCAACAAGCCCACATGTCCCACGCAAAAACTGCCGTGTATCTGGCCGCTTTCTTGCTTCCCCCCGCGGGCCGTGAAGGGACGCGAAGAGGCGAGGGGGCGCAAATGCTCCCCTCTGCGCCGTCGTCAAACATCGCGAGCAGTCGAAGCGGATGGAGCGATTGCTGAAGTCAGCCATTCGGGTCGGGGTTGTCAATTGCGCGCGCTTTTTCAGTGGCCAACGCCAGGGTTGCAGAGGGATGGTCGCCCCCAAGGGCCCGAGACAAACCCGTTTTCATCCATTCGCTGAAAATTCAGTCGAGGCCGGCCTTCTGTGATTGGCCGGTTTTGAACGACGTCTCCTGATTGGGAAACCACGGACGGGTTGCTTGTGGGATGGCCCAGTCACTCCGAGTGTGTCCCACGAACCACCCACAGCGCAACCTCGAGAGCTTCCCAGGTCTCGCAGGTTGCGGGGGTACGGGAGGGCCGCCAAGGAAATCTCCAGGTCTTGTGCGACACAATGGAGTCATGAGTCCGAAAAGGGCGGAGGGTGATACTGTTCAGAGAAACAGGAGTTATCGGGGGAAGGGGGGGTGCTTGGGGGATCAGTCCAAAACTGCGGGAGACGGCCCCCCAGGCGCGACCCAGGCGAGCGCTAACGAATATTACCGTACCAATACAATTGGGGCGTACCGTACGTATCCATGCAGGGTCCAGGTTGCTCTTCATTCCTTCCCTCAGCCCAACCCCAGCCCCCAACCCCCAACCCCCAACCCCCAACCATCCAAATCTTCGCACTTTCCTACGGTCGCCTGCAAAAGTTCCCTGGCGGCAAGCGCTACCTACCTCTAAATAACCTGCCTCGGGGAATCTGCGAGTGCATGTAAACCTTAGGAGGGAATGGAAGGTACGAGATGGCCGGCCCACTAGAAAACTTTTCTGTTTGTTGTGGTGATGAGTCGGGTCTTCTGCCAAATTGGGACGCCAGTCTGGCTCGCAACTGTCCACGCGATTCTGCCATGTTTTTCTCCTGCCGGCATCGCCAAAAGGGTGTTCTGTTTCTAACACAAATACCAAAGCAATCGTACCTGTACCGCGGCACTATCGCCGCTGCCGCGACAGCCCGGATTGCTGACCTTTCGTGTTCGTCGACTGTCGTGGGCAGCCTAGTGACCATCGATTCAATTCCCCAGCATCGGTACCTTTCTCAATATCGCAGGCCACGCAGGCCCCATCCAGCTGAACCCTGGGAAAACTCTACCTTAGCCTACGAGATTTCAGGGCGCTGACTATCTCTCCTTGCAAACACCGTACGTGGCAGCGGAATCAGTGGGATTTGGAAACCAATTTCTCCAACCGCTGCGTCGCTGCCCAGATGCCCAACACGACCCACCAAGCTGCCGAGCCACAGTTCACCTTCCTCAACCTGCCAATCTCAGACGCTCAGCATTCAGTCAACGGCGCAGGAACCGCTCGCCCGAGGCTGCTTCGGCGGGGCAGAGTCGACAATTGGCTGCCCGCGGATCGTGGAGAAAGGCTGACAAGGATCGAGCTGTGTTGTCCAATCTACATCGACGCTCGAGTTTCATCGAACTCACTCGAGGGTCTGTCACCAACCCTCCAAACCCCGCTCAATGGGGATCTGAGAGCCGCCCCCAAGAAAACGCATTCGCACACACAGAGAGAGAGAGAGACGGAGGGAGAGAAACATACACTCCTCGTCGACGTTTGGGAATATGCTCGCGATTCCGGGGACTTCAGGACCGCGAGGCTCCGCTCAACCCGGCTGCGTCTGGGCTTGCCCTCACGGCACCGCGATGAAGCCGAATTGACGACGTCGGGTCGCCCGTTCAATTCGGTCCCAATGGATGCGACGCGGGAAGCCCGATATCCAAGTAATCCTTTGGATATTGGCCCAGGTTGTCGGTTTTCCACATTCAGACGAAAAACTCGTCGCAACTGCAACCATTCCTGCGCGGCCATGCAATGTTGACTTGTGTCAAGCGCTCATTCGTCAACAACATGACCACGCCCTCGAACCCAGCCCTTTGGCACGTGTCTGCCCTCTGCCGCCATTCATCTCGAACAGCTGTTCGTGTCTGCCCCAGGCCGTTATTTGGCCCTTCCATTCTAACTCGAAGGCAATTCGTCATTCAGGGTCGACGTTCACCCCAAACTGGAGATGTTCCAGGGGAGCTCGTTTGTGTCTCAAAGCTCACCTCGAGGAAGCCTTTCCACCCCCAGCTCTCCTAGACCCAGGCCATTGGTTTCGACGCCACCCGGAGTCACTATCGGGGTCAACTGACTCCCGGGCCAGAATCAGCGGATCCCGTGTCATCATTCACAGTTGTTTGGGTAACCGCCAGTCTTTCATAGGGGTGGGCCCCTTCCCGGCTGGGGACGTAATTCCCTTTGGCTCGGAACCGGGGGGGGGGGGGGGGGGGGTTCTAATGATGAGTTTGGGACGGGAGCCGGTCTCTTGCCACCACCATACAACCGTTGGTGATGCTCCTCGTCTTGCCTTTATTTGGGCTGCCGACTCCCACCTTGTGCTAGCCGCCTACCGGAAGACCCGGCTGCTTGCCGGTCGCCCCTCCGATCATACCCACTTCCCGCGAGTTTCCAAGGAGACTTTCGCGACCGAAAACCCCTCGCAGCCGACGACCGGGAGATCATATCACGGATGCAAACATCAACGGGCCATGGTTCACAATCATCGGTTCCGGGCGGACTACTAGTGAGTCAACCATGTCTCCCTCGCGGACCCCGAGGCGAAGCTGCCTAAAGCCTCCGAATGGATTCGTGACAGTTGCCTAGGCTGAATGGATTGGATCTTCGTCTGCATCCGAGCCCCCCAAAAGGTGCCACTCATCCCGTGCCGCTCTGTTCTGAGTTGTCAAGTTCTCGTCCATCAACCCGTTGTTTCTCCGACGATCAAAGTGGATCGAGCCAGAGAGCCAGGACACAACATAACGTGAGAGCTGGGGCCGATATACGGACGCTTGACTACTAGCCGCACCAGCCCTTTCCCGCTCGCCCGCGCCGCTGCCGATGGTCCCCTCTCCTGGACTGGATGCAGCGGAGGGAAAACGCATGACATCAAGCCCTTACGGTCTTTCAGCGCGGCCATTGTCTCACTCGAACGGCCCGCCTGGCCTATCTCGCGGGTCGACCGTTGAGCAGAGCAGCCGCGAATGTCTGGGGAAAACTGCACTTGGCCGACTGCATGCGCTACTTCTCCTATTGGGTCCTGACGTCCCGTCGACGGGTGGCCCTTCGAGGCCATTGGTGCCGCCCTCCGTGACTCTTCCTCTCAGTGAAGCCCATTGTTGGTTCGTTGTAAGTGACCCCCATTCTCCTCCGAGGCGGCAACATGGTCCAGATTGTAGCTCGTGTGGGTCGCATACATGCAAGACGATCAGTCAGTAACCCCACGATGGGAAATCCGGGGCAACCCAGACGCTGCGAAAGATCCATTGGGTTCGGAGGAGGAAGAGGAGGGGGCGCAGTAGTAATGTGGCTTTGAGAAGAGGGGCTATGAGATGACGAATAGCTCGATATTGTGGGTTTGGGATCATCCCACGTCTGGTGTTTCAGTGGAGTCAACACGCTTGACATAGTCGAGAGGAAGTCTCGTGAGGCAAAGAGCCGGCCAGCACTCAAGTGTTCGCCCTTGTTGCTGTGGAATGTTTTCAGTCATCGCGAGCCACCTAAAGCAGTTACCAGCCACGTTCCGACTTCCCCCATCGAGAAACAAGCACCCCATGGACTGGTCCCCGCTAAACGGCCCGAGACATGAGTAGATCTTGAAGTGGAAAGAATTCTCAGCAGCCACTGGTCAGATTTTCTTCCCTCATTGGACGTGGAGAGTACAAGTAAAGTGGAGGCGGGACGAAAGATGTGGGTGTGTGTGCGTTCATCCTCCCGCGTCGTTCCCGTGTGCGGTATTGGAGATGCAGGTCTAAGTGTACATCCTCCCCCGTTACGCCCTGCTTTTCCCAAGCTTCTACCCTATCCCATTGTGAGCATGTTACACGTGCGTGGGGTTCCCATAGAAAGAGCAGCCGTGCTGCTTCAAGTCTCGGTTTAGAACTTGTCATGATCCGCCCCTGGGGCTGAGAGACAGTATCATATCCCGCCATGCAAATCTTTCTGATCAACAAAATCCCTCGCTATGTTCCTTGATCAATATGTAAAGAAGGGGTGGGAGTTGTGGGAGTTGGACGTTACTCAGCCAACACCCAATCAACCAACCGACAACCAACCCAAGACATATGTCGGGACGGCAGACGAAGAAGGTAACACAAAGGAGGGAAACAAACCGGGTGTTGTGGTCTAGACACAGCTGCTGCTGCTGCAGAAGGCAAGACGGTCCGTCCCCTCCGTTTTGCAGCTGCTTGTCCGAGACACTGGTAGACAGATAGATGGACAGACGTGTATCCACGAATAGGCAAGGCAGAAAATACTGATTTCCTGATATCTTGCGAGAGGGTGCAAATTTTTCCATTGGTGCTGTGGCTCGTCTTTTGCGTCTGTCTTTCTCTCTCTAAGGCTGGCTTGGCTGGGAACAAGGGAAGAATGGGGACGTTGGGCTGCATGTATGCGGGAAGGGCATCCATGCAGCATGCAGCATGCCTACGTGTAGTTGGCTCGGGAATTGGCTACTGTATGTGCCTCAGGGAGGAAGTGAGTTAATCGGTAGATATGCGGGTCTGCAGAGATGTGTGTATGCGTTGTGTGTTCTATCCTATCTGGTTTACACAGGGTTTTGATAAGGAGAAATGTATAAATTGCGTGACATGGCGGGTTGTGGGATGGGGTATCTTGTTTTGGAATTTTGGACAGTGATGGTGTTATTGGCTTGGCGGACGATTGTGAGGAACATAAGGACAGAGACTTCACATCTTTTGGCGGTTTCTTTTCACTGAAACATAAATCAGGAGGTCATGATGATAGGTTTAATGTCTGAGTGTGGCTCACAACCTTCGTTGGTAAGGGGAAGCGGCTACTAACATCTTGCCCTTTACCATGGCTGTGACACAATCCACCGTTTAGGCTTGGGTTTTATCACTGTGTAAGAAATATACATTCATGGCTTCCGCGGCGTCTCAAAAATTACAAGCAGAAACCCGGTTCGTGAGCTAGAATGCGTTTCTTGATTATGATCTAAAACCCCCTAAACTTGAACCCAACAAGAAGGTAATGGTGCTGAGTGTGTGGCCTTTATCGCGTCCCGTTTCTACGCTCAACTGGTAATAAAGGATGTGAAATTAGACAATAAATAACAGTACAGCCACTAACAGTGTAAAAAATAGGGGAGTTCTCAAAACAAGATGGCTCTGCAACACGAGGTCCTAGCAAATGTAAATAGTAAAAACTTGGAACCGAGACTAATAAGTAAATAGAAAAGGAGTTCGTGTCGCCTTCATAAAACTTTGTCTTGCTGAGTACCACATTGACAACTCTCACAGCATATCCCTCAGGAAATTTCATTGCAAAGATATCCACACATGAAAAGAAACAGATTTACGTCTTCTAAAACAACGCGCCACAATAACCACTATTATATCCCATGAGATCGAGAACATAAAACCCAAACAACCCATCCAACACAGTCTACCTCACCTCAAATCCTAAACTAAAGCCAAGCAACACAACCACCACAAGGCGATGAGAAAGCTCAATAATCCATCACAAACAGCAACACACGCACAGAAACCGAGTCTATAACAGCCACGGCGACAAGAATCCCATAGCAATTAGCCCTAGCATTATGATAAGTATGTATCTACAGAGTTAATTTACAACTTAACTACCACTCTACTCACCCTCCTCAGTCGAGTGAGTTGAGTTGAGTTGAACAACCCCCGAGGTACTATTATTCTTTCCTTCGTCACCCCCATCGCACCATAAATAAATCACCAAGACACAATGACCATTTTGAACAAGCCGACTGATAGTTAGTCAGTTAGAGCACATATTGTCATGGTGGCATGGCAGTATTGACTGACTACAAGGGGGGGATATGATATGAGCAAAGGGCAAGGCAAAACACGAAGCAAGAAGAAGAGATGAGGAGGGGAGGTGAGAAAAGAAGAGAGGTGAGGAGATAGGGGGACGGGAATAGAAGGAATGGGGACGAGAGAGGCGAAGAGGGTAAAAAAGGACCGGGAAAAGAAAAAGAATCCAAGAAATCCAAGACGAAGTGAGAAACACCACTACCAATTACAAACAAATAACCAGAACGCGGCAGCATGCTCACTCACCCAGCATAGCAGGCGAGTAATGATATCACAGGACGCCATCATATCTGCCGTCAAGGTTGATATTAACAGATTACGTTAGGGCAACGGACAGGCATAGCTTAGTATAAGCAAAAACGAGACAACATATCACACAGTTCACCAACCAGGTCGTATCACAACCACAGCATGATAGAGGGAGAAGGGCATAGATAGTATAAAACCTACGTACTACGATAGAACTCGCCCGCCCGCCCGCCTACCACCCAGCTCAGACCCTGTTCAATCGACTCAATCCATTTCACTACCTACAAAACCCGACAAACTCGACACAACAGCCGACGAGTAGAAACAACAACAACAACAAGAGAGAAAAAAGAAGAAAAAAGAGAAAAGAAAAGAAACAAGTCTGACAAGACTCAACAAACCAACAAGCCAACCAGACCGAAAGAGTAGAGTCTTCAGATAGCCTCCCCAGGACCTCAGTTGCACGCTGCAACGGCTTCATCATCACCACCCTCGCTCAATCACTCATCACCACCCACGCTTGATCAAACCCCCATAGCAATCCTCACCAACACACCCACCATACCATCCCCAGACAGACCAAACCCCCCACCACGTCCTACATCCCTCATCTGCAAACCCATCAGGACCTCCTAGTTCCCATCACCTGCCCCCTTCCCACCATTCCCATTACTACTATTACTTCCACCACCACCACCACCACCCCCAGCAGACCCGGACTCCCACCCGACCCAACTCCGCGGCATAACCCTCCAAATCTTGACCTCCCCCGACCGTAAATCATCCAACTTAAACGACTCCACCTTCACCTTCTTACTCTCCCTCCCCTGTTCCCACGCCCTTACCTTCTTCTTCGTCCCATCCCACTCCGCCACGACACCCACATGATCCGGTTTCCCAACCTCCATAGAGTACTTGGCATGCATGGCGCCATGTTTACCCTGGAACTTGGCGTTGCGGATCGAGACGATATCACCCGGGCGGATCTCATCGTTTTGCGTGGTGCTCGCGTTGGCGAGGTTGCTGTAGACGAGGGCGCCGTAGGCGCGGGAGCCGACGGGGACGAGGGCGTCGGGGAAGGGGCGGAGGAGTTCGTAGATGAGGGCTTGCGGGGTGCCGTCGCCGACGACGGAGTCCTTTTTGGTGGCGGCGGCGTCGCCGATGGCGCGGCCAAAGCGTTCGTAGCTTTGTTCGAGCTGGTCTTGGCGCAGGGCGCGCGGGGGTGGTTCGTGGCGCTGGTCGAGTTGGACGTCGCCGGTGTTGTGGGGGTCGAAGCGGGCAGTGATGACGGTTTGGGAGTAGTCCTGGAAGAGGACGTAGATGTCGCGGGTTACGACGGTTTTGCCGCCTTTGTGGGGGTCGGCGGAGCTAGACTCGTCGGACTCGGAGAAGATGTCTTTGCGGCCGTGTAGCTGCGGCGGGAGGCCGTTGGGCTGGAGCCACCAGGAGGATTGGCTGGCCAGGTCGATGTCGTTAGCAACGAAGCCTGACTCCATCGAGGGGCGCGTCACGTCCATCGACCGCCGGCTGATGCTGGGACGCTGGAGGTCGGCCGACTGGCGGGTAGCACCAGCAGCAGCAGTAGCAGCAGCAGCACGCCCGGAAGACGCCGGCGGTGGGGGAGGAGGAAGAGGGGGGGATCGTGGGGTTTGTCCGTAAGGTGTCGGTTCCTGCGAGAAGAACTCCTCCTGCTTGACCTGCGGTGAGGCCGACGGCGCGGGGAACGAAGGCACAGGTGGTGGAGCACCAGCGAGTGAAGATGAGGTGTAGTTGTACGGGTCGTAATCGTCGTCGTCGTAGCGAGGTGTCTCCTTGGGCGGAGGAGGAGGGGGTGGGGCCATCCGAGGCATGTCCACCGACTTCCGGCTGTCCGGGGGCGGTTGCGACGGGATGGGGGGCGGGCCAGCCCTGGGAGGTGAAGCGACCGGAACGGGGGGAGGTGGCGCTTCCGTAGTGGGAGACCGCGGCGATACCACATCCTCGAAGCTCGACTCACGCTGGTGCGCCTTGAGGGCGTCCTTGTGAGGAACAGAGGATGCGATGTCCGTGTCGTAGTCGCCCTCATACTCGGTGACCTCCTCCTCCTCCTCTTCCTCCTCAACACTGTCTTTCCGCGGGGGAGGAAGAGGCGGCGGAGCCCTGGACTCGCTGGTCGAGACACCACGTAGTGGCGGAGCAGCCGAAGGAGGCGGAGGAGGGGGTCGTGACTGAGTAGGCGGGAGCGCCGGAGGAGAACCCGGGATAGGCGGAGGTGGCCGGCTACTGCGCTTGTTCTCTCGCGGGGAAGACGGGACGGCCTCATCCACGTACGATGTGCGGCGGTCCTGCGATATCCTCGGCGATGTGGGAATCGGCGGCGGAGCAGCTGTGGCAGGCGGAGGTGGAGGAGGCGGGGCGCGGGTGGCCGGGCCTAGATCCCCTCGTGAAGAATCAAGCTCCTCCTGGGGTCGTTCTGACAGCTCGTCGTCCGATACCGATCCTTCACTAGGCGACCGGACCGCGGCAGCTGATGCTGTTGGAGGCGGCGGTGGCGGACGTGCTTCACGAGATTAACAATAATATTCCATGGTGCATAACGCTGGGCACGATGATACTCACAATCCGCAGGAACAGGAGGCGGGGCCGGGCGCCCGCCAGGAATAGGAGGAGGTGCTCCTGGTTCCGACGACGGCACTATTGTCACTCCGAAGTCAGCACGCTGCTCAAGACTCTTCTTGGGACTTCCAGAGTGGACCAGATTAGATCAGTATATTGTGCGGTCAACTCACCTGGCGGGGCAGCCTCCTGATGCGGAGTTCTGAGGTCGCGCTCGTCCTCCTCCTCTTCCTCGTCCGCCTCTGCTTCCTGTTCATCCTGCTCTGGCTGATGTCTGGCCTCTGGGACAGGAGGTCGCATCATGCCAGGCAGGGGAACGGGAGGTGCTCGCACGGCCGGCGCAGCAACTTCCTCGGGCTGTTCCTCGACCCGCTTCTCCTGCGCAGCCTTCTTCTTCTTGGGCAGCACCGGGGCCGGAGCACCAAACAAGGGCATGGCCATGCCCGGCATACCCATGCCACCCGACATCTTGGCCATTCTTGCGCGCAACTCCTCTCTGCGACGGAGTTCCGGGTCGACGTCTTCCTCTTCCTCCTCGTCCTCCTCCTCTTCTTCGTCTTCTTCTTCCTCTATCCGATCATTGTCCTCTGGCTTGGAGACACCGGCTGCCTGTCGGGGTCTGCTGTCGCTGTCCTCCTTCTCGGTGAGGTCATCCTGGCCTTCTGTGGTCTCGCCCGCACCGGACATATCAGCTTCGTTGCCATCACGGGGCTCGGGGCCCTTGGAAGACCTCCGTCTCGGGGGGTGGGCCTGGCGCGAGGGCGCGGCTTCATCGATAGATGCCCTCGGGGCCTCCTCGGTACGCTCAACAGCAGCCTCGCTTCCTTCGACCGTGTCTTGGCTGTCGAGACGCTTCTTGGGCGGCCGCTTGGGCTTCTCCTTCTTGGACGCAGCTTCAGCGTGCCGGGCAGCCGTCTCCATCTGTTGTTTCTGCAGAAGGGCCAGACGCTCCTTCAAGCTCATGGGCTTGGGCTCATCGTCGGCCGCATCGCCCTCGGCTGTAGTGGGCCGCGGGGCGAACCCTGCCTTGGTCGCGTTCTCCTGTACTTCGGCTTCCTGCTCTTTTACTTCCGGATCTTCATCTCGGCGGTACAGCTTGGCCACGGGGGCCTGCGATGGCGGCGGAACATATGCATTTCGGCTCGGCGGGGGTGCTACAAAGGGCTTCTTGATGAACCCGGAGCCGCCGGAGCTCAGGCCGCTCGGCTTGAAGGGCGCGACAGGGGGCGCGGCAGCTCGGTTGAATGCTGCGATGCGGTCTTTGAAAGCATTACCAGTCGGCTTCTCGGACACGGGAGGTGGACCACCCGGCTTCGGGCCTGGAAGTGCGCGCTTTGCGGCCGGGGCGGGCGGTGAGCTGGCAGAAGGGGCCGCGGCCGGTTGTGGGGCAGGCGGGGCAGGAGCTTGCTTCGGCGCCGGGGGCTCTGCCACGGGTGCTGGAGCTGGAGCAGGCGGGGGTGCCGAGTAGGTCTCAGTTGGCGGACTGGCAGCCACAGGGGCCGGCTCGGGCGTCGTCTCTTCGGGCTCTGGCGTAGCCTCCCTCGGCGACTCAACAGCGGGCGCGGGCGCAGGTGCTAGTGCTGGTGCGGGGGCCGGAAGCGGAGGGGCAACAGCAGCGGGAGCCGGGCCTGGCTCGGAACCCTTCTTGGACCGCGGTCGGGTCGGTCGAGGCGGGGCAGTGGGCTCGTACTTCTCGACAAAGTTGCGGGGAAAAATACCCTCGTGCTTCGTGCCGGAATCATCGACATACTCGCCACCGTACCAGTCGTCGTCCTCCTCATCAGTCACAGTGATGATCTGGCCTACGTTGAAACCCAGATCATCCTCGTGCCCAGAGACATAGTCGTACAGGGCTTTGACCTTGAACGACATGATGACGCGGCTCACGGCCAGCAGCAAACGTAGACGGCGGGTGTCGATGCAAAGTCGGGGTTAAATTGGTCGGAAGCCTGCGCTGTATTTGTAGCGGGGTGTGCAAAGAGAGAGCTTCGGAGCTTCAGAGGCCTTAAACCACTTTCCCGGCCAGGTGTCGCCACACGGTGCACACGTTGGTTGTGGCGGCCGTGCAAAACAAAAAACAAAAAAGAAACCCCCGAAGCCGGAGTGAGTAATGTAAACAAGCGGCCACGCGATGATAGAACGGGCAAGAGTGTGTGCGGAGAGGGAAATGGGGGAAGGGGGCCCGAAATCTCAAACGCAGCAAAGCGACGGAAATCGGCTGCTGCAGTGTGAGAGAAGCAATGGACGGCCTGAGCTTGACTGAAGACAACCTGGAACTCCGGAGGGGTTGGCAACAAGCGGAGCCGGTGCAGAGTTTAACTGAATGTGAGTGGCCTACTAGTCGCCTGAATCATTTTGCGGGAGATGGAAAGAACGAGGAAGGAGCAGTCCGCAAGTCCACAACAGCAGGCAGGTGGGGTAACCTGAAGTTTGGTGGAGGTCTACGAATAGAGGAGGGGAATGCCAAGAGTCGACGTCAGCGCATGAACGGTGAACCCCATCTGGCCCTTGAACCAAACAACACAAGTCTCCTGCTTTCTTCCTGCGGTGGCTGCCCACCACCACACACCTCACCGTCTACGTGGGTCGTGTCGTAGTGTTCCAGATCTCACCAGGCAGCAATTCAGCCGGAGCCTCAGGAGGTGGCTTGGGCTGTTACTGCACTTTGCGGCACCAAGGGCATCATCTTTAGTGTTGTTTGAAAGCCGAGGCGTGTGGTGGGACCGGCTTTCAGCAGCGCTAACCAATTTCAGACACTGACACGCCGCAGAAAAAACAACGACAGGGGTCATTTCGAATCATCAACCAGGTTGTCTGAGGCAATCGCGGGGTCTCCAGGTCTTTGTCTCGCGTTCCAAACCACGAGGTTTTCACACTCCGCAAAAACATCGCCGAATCAGCATCACAAACATGGCAACATCACCAGCCACATCGCCAAAGCCGAGCCCCCGGCCACGGCCCAAGCCAAAGGGTATCTTGAAGAAATCTTCCTCGTCAACCACAGCATCACCAATAGCTGCCCCCATAGACTTTCCATCATCATTTTCTCTAACAGCACCCACACCACCCGCACCACCGCAACCCGAACCCAGTCGCCTCGAGCTCCTCGCACAACAGGAGCAGGCCGCCCGAATCCGCCTACTCGAGAAGCTCAAGGCGACTGAAATCCGCCCTGCTGTCCCTCTAGCTACGTTTGAAATCCTCTCCCAGTTCCCACGCAGCCACCCTCCCACACCACCACCACCATCAACCTCAACCTCAAATACAACAGCGACCACCCCCACCGCAACAACACCAGCAAAAACACCACCACCAATAAAATACACCGCCGCCAACCCCCACCCAATCGACGTCTCCGACCTCCTCACCCACCTCTCCACCTTCCAACCCTCCGAGTACCTCGACCTAATCGAAGAGCGCAACTGTCTCGACAAGTGCGGGTACGCGCTGTGCGCCCGCCCGCGCCGGACCCACGATGCACCCTTCAAAATCACCGCCGCGGGCGGCATCGCGCGTGCCGAGGACCTCAACAAGTGGTGCTCTGACGCCTGTGCCAAGCGCGGGTTGTACCTGAAGGTGCAGTTGGATAATCCGAGTTATGTGCGCGGGCCGGATGGGGGGATGGTGGTCAAGTTGGAGTTGAGGAAGGAGGGTGGTTCTGGGGCTGGGGCTGGTTCTACGGGAGGTGAAAAGAAGGTCACTAGCGGTGCTGCGACTGCTGTCTCTCCCCGAGGCACAGAAACAGACAGGAACCAACTCGCGCAGGCCATGGCCCAGCTCGAGATTGACAAACACAAGCGCCCTCCCAACAAGAAGACGTTACAAAAGGACCGCAAGGATGCATCCGCCCTCGCGGGTGAGAGGGGCGATTCCGCCGGCGGCCGGCTGACGGATTTCAGTCGGGTCGAGGTCACCATCAAGGAGAGTGATGTTGATGGCCCCGCCGAGGCTCCTTCTGCGCCGTCTGAGGATGCACAGGGTTTGATTGAGGGGTATAAGCCCAAGTTTGGGACGGTGGGTGATGGGAGGAACGCGGAGGAGGGCGCTGAGAGCGATGATGATGATGAGTTCTTCTCCGTCCGGTTTTGATTAAGGCCCGGATTGGGGTGGGGGTTTACCGGGTACTGTACTGTACGTAGTGTGTACAACAATCGGCGTTTTAGGGGAGTGATTTTACGCAAGGGGCGAAGATATATCCGTTGCTGTTTACAGTTCGGGCAGCATATTTGGGGATTCAATGGAAGCCTTGCACGTCGCAAAATACACATCGCCGGTCGTGACTGCTAGGAATTTACTCATCTTACCTTGATACCATCCGCTTCAACGGGTAACTTCGAAACATCACAGCACAACGACCAGTGCAGTTGCACAGTCTGCATCCCACAAGCACAGCGGCCGCGAAGGGACTTTGAAATTGGCAATCAAGCGTCATCCCCGGAATTACCCTAGGGAATCGGCGACACCTTGAATGGGGCAACAGATCTCTCTATTTGCCGAGGATCTACTCCCGTGCTCTTGTTCGTTCCTCACGACCTCCCACCACCGCCAGATAAGACGCCATGTAGCCATGCCCATGTAACGCAATGTCATAACCCACACCCATATCCCATTGTAATAGTGTATAGTGGTCGTCGTTATCGCCGTGAGAAGAAGACGCAGAAGAAGGTCGCCGTCATCGTGGTCGCGTTCAGGACGCGAGCGAAGAAGAAGCCTGCCAATGCTTTTTGTCTTTTTTTTTTCCTCTATCGTATCTCGAAGAAAACGGGCACGCTTAGTCGCGACGAGGAGGGCGGTCGCCGAACCGCCGGCCGCCACGCTCGACGACAGGGTTCTGGGTGACGGGGGTGACGTTGACGGGAATCGAATCGAACTGCAGAGAGGAGAAAGGGGTCAAAGTCAGCAACCAACCGCCAAACCTAACCTTCTGGAGATACCTGGAAGAGGGAAAAAAAAAAGGGAATACGTACGCCAAGGTGCTTGAGCAGGTCCTTGGTCTCGCCGTCGACCTCGAGCTGGCCGGCCTCGGAGAAGTCGAGGGCAGACACCTCGGGCACGTACTGATCCTTGCGCTCACGCTCCTCTTCCTGGAGCTTGAAGGAGATGCCGCGGACCGGGCCACGCTGAATGCGCTTCATCAGATGGGTGGTGTAGCCGGCAATCTGTAGATTTCGAACAAGATCTTGTTAATTCCTGCCGACTTCTCCCCTCCAAACAGTGGGATTAAAGGGTCTACGCACCTTGTTGCGCAGCCTCTTGGAGGCGATGATGGCAATCTCATCGCACACCCGCTTGTTGGTCTCGAAGTCGAGGGTCAGCTTGGGGTAGTACCGCTCAATGATGACCTTGGCGGACTTCTTGACGGTCTTGGTGCGAACGCGACCCATGTTGGCGGTATTGGGATGGTGGTTTTTGGCGGGTGGGTGTTGTTGAGCTGGGCGATTTCCGAGACGAGGAGAGGTAAGAAAGTGAGGTCGCAGGCGGCACACAGAACTTTTCTTGGGTAGGCTCGCGGTTGTGGGGGGATTAGGGCACGCCAAGACCTAGGGCGCTGTGGCTGGTTGCTGCTGTGGATGTGGCTTATGTGGCGAGTGCGAAGCACTCATCAACTCGTTACACGCATAGTATAGCAAAAAATGCATTAATCGGAATCTTTCACGTCCTCGGGGCAGAAGCAGAGGATGAAAGCGGTTGATGTACCGTCAGGGATATTTTACAATTCAGTTTATTGTTACAGGACCAGGCATCACGGTCGTATCTACACATCTTCCCAGTCTAGTCGCCCAATCTCAACACCCTCAACCGTCCCATCCAGCCTTTGAATCCATCCGTCCACGCAAAGACAAACGCGTTACTCCTGCAACCCGTAATCCCGGGCGCTCGACATCGCCTGGGGACCGGGTGCCGCGCGGTATCTCTGCCGAATCTCCTTCGACGATTCAGGTTTCCTTGTAGCCTGAGCTTCGCGAGCGCTGAGGCAGTCGGCTTCGCCCAAAAGCTCACGCGCCACAGTGGCCGCCTCGGGCGACGAGTCCTTCACCGTGATAGCAATGGTGCCGGAGGCGTCCATGGTAGCCCGGGTGGGGCATACCCAAAGCTTGACACCACCGGGCAGTTCGGGATCGATTGTGTCGTACATGCCGGGCGAGGTGCCTCGCGCGTTGCCCATGTCACCAATGGAGGTGTTGGCGATGAACCCGGCCACACCAATACTGATCCTCATACCACGGCCTTGCCGGCGTGGCCGCACAACTCTGGCCGGTGCCGCGATGTGCTCCTTTTGCGGCCCATAGACGGGGTGGTTGGCCATGTACATGCTGGTGCGGAGGTACGAGAGACCGGCGGAGGGGTGGGTGATGGGCGGGCCCGTGTCAGCGTAAGGACTCTTCGCCTCGGTGTACTTTAATGTCATGATTTTGTTGCCGCTCATGCCCGTTTCGACCAAAGTTGGTGGGTTTAGCGGGGCCAGATCGAGAAACTGGCCGACCATCTCGTAAAGCGCCTGGTTGTTGTTACGGAGTTCGCGCAGGTAGTCGACAAGCTGGTCCTCCGTTATTGCGCTGGCATCAATGGGCTCTGGCGCCGGCAATGCCTTGTCTATCGCGTACTTCGCAGCAGCCGCATGTTGCTCGTGGGCCAGCTTTTTCTTCAAAAACTGCCGGAACTCTGCCCGCTTTGGCCGGACCTCCTTCGCCAGCCACTTAATAAAGGAACCCTGAGCCATGCCAGCCAACCAAGGCCCTTCAAACCGCCAACGGTTGTCCACGGTCTCGGCGCGCTTGTCGGCGGGAATATCGGTGGTGTCGTACTGGTCCTCAAAGACAGACCTTTGGGGAAGGTCGGAGGCTTTTGTGAGGATGGGGCCCGTGGTACTGGTTTCTCTGGCCTCTCTGCCACACGCACGCCGCACCGTCATGGGCAGCCCTAGCTCTTGAAATTTCCGGAGAGTGATGCCATGGTCGGCTGCTGAGACATAATCGGTGATATGTTCGCTTGAGTCAATGGCCCTGACCCGCAGCATGGGGTTCGTTGTCTTAGTCGTCGACTTGAGCGGGAGTGGCCGTTTGAGGCCCCAGTCTCCCTGCCTCCGCGGGGCGCTTAGGGTGGTGACGACCTGGTGCGTCGGGGCCGGCAGCGTCGACGTCGTCGAATGGAAAAGACTGCCCGCTGCATGCTCGTTCTTGATTGCCGGGATCGGTTTAGGCAGAGAGAACATTCGCGAGGAGCGCAGGAGCGCGCCCCCAGGAGACACGCTCCGAGACGACATGGTGGGTGTAGATCAGCCCAGCAAGCTGGTGGGCAGTCGTCGTCGGACGTCGGCTTTCGCGATAGGAAAACGGAGCAAAATTTGGGTGCTGTCTCAATTGGCTGGCGATTGGCTGCACTGCGGGGCTGGACAGAGCAGTCAGACCCTAACCCTGAATCTTCAATTTTGAGCAACCCGAGCAGACCACCATCACCACCTTTATAACCAGCGCTCATCGCTGCTCCTTCCAACCCCCTCCCCCATATAGTTCGTAGTGCATCTGGGGAGTTCCACGACCACCTACTTGCCCGTCCCAGGTCCGATTCCCCGGGCGGGCGTTCTTAACAGTAAAATCTGTTGGTCCTCCGCCAACGATTTTCGTAAGCCCTGGGGCAGGCCCCATACGCCCCAGGGGTGAGCTTTTTTTGGCTTTTTTTGTTATGACTTTTTTGATCTCTTTAATTTTCTCTACTCGGCCAACACCGTCCCGCCAATACAGCCTTCGCCAACGTGACTTCAGGACAGAAAAGATCCACAAGTGACAATAATGGTAATGGGCGGACACCACCGAAAAATAATCTCAATTATGGCTAGAAGCCCGATGGCCCAGATACTATTACACTCATGTCCCTAATAAGTCGACCCCGACCCCCTTCAAGGCATCCACGGCCCAGAGGGGATATCCACTCTGATCTGGATACAGGTTGGCAAAAAAAGCCTTGACAAAGGCCGGGAAACGGTCTGCAATGATGGCTTCCCGTGCACTCCTCATCAAGTCCAACTGATACCACACATTGTGCAGAGTGAGTAGATGCGCCGCCACCGTCTCCTTAGCCGCATTGTGATGAACAAACGCCCTGGTAATCCCCAAGGCACCCTCTTCCCCAGCCGGCCGGCAGCATGGGCATCCGCAACCTTCCTCAATAGGCCCAAAGTCAGCCGCATACAACTCCCGCTTCATGTTCAACACGCCATGCTTGGTGATGGCATTGCCGAACCGTGCCGTCCGTGTCGGCCAGACACAGTCAAACATGTCAGCGCCCAGCGCGACGCTGACAACCAGGTCCTCCGGATACCCAATACCCATCACGTAGCGCGGCTTCAACTCGGGCAGCATCTCGGTGCAGGCAGACACCACCTTGCAAAAGTCATCCTTCGCCTCGCCACCACTCAACCCGCCGATCGCGATCCCCGGCGTATCCCGCTGTAGCATCGCCGTACAACACTCGCGGCGCATGTCCAGGTCCAGCCCGCCCTGGATAATACAAAACAGGTTCTGCGTGTCCGGTTTCTTATGTGCTGCAATACACCGGTCCAGCCAGCGCACGCTGCGTTCCATGGCCTCGCGCATGCGCGCCTTGTCGGGCGAGGTGGTCACCAGCACGTCATCGAGCTGCATCATGATGTCGGAGCCGATCGAGTTCTGCAGACTCATGGAGTGCTCGGGCGTCAGCAGCATCGGGCTGCCGTCGTGTGGAGAGAGGAACCGCACACCCTCTTCGGTGATGTTGGCGAGCTTCAGGAGGGAGACCATTTGGAAACTGCGCTAGGAGTGGTGGTTAGTCAGTCAGGGACCCTGGAAAGGAGTGACGGACAACAGGGTGTTGAAAAACAGCCGTACCCCCCACTATCTGTCAGGATATTGCGATTCCATCCTTGGAGTTTGTGAGCACCCCCTACGGCGTCGAGGACGTTTTGACCGGGTTTAAGGCCAAGATGGTAGGTGTTGTTGAGACATAGCCAGCATCCTGTCGCTTCGAGTTGCTCGGGAGTCAGGCCTTTCAGCGATGCTTGGGTCGCTACCGGCATAAATATTGGCAACTTGACGTTGCCGTGGGGCAAGGTGAGGTTGGATGCGCGGGCGCGTGTTACCTGAGGGCCGCCTATAATTAGTGTCCGGTCAATTTCTCCCGCGCTGCGAGATCCAAAAAAAAGCCCAGGGACGCACCGAACACCTGGCAACAAGCTCAAAAGTGAGCGCAGGCGATGTAAATGTCCTGTTAGAAGCCATCATCAACCGTCTTGTCGCCCACATTTCATGTTGCGCACAATTTCGGTGCCTTTTTGTCCCAGCTCGATCATGTTATCAACAGCGGCAGGAGCGGCTCTCGTGCCAATGGCTGAATTTCTGCAGCCGGCCGACAAACGATCGTGGGCGTTTGGCTTTGTGCTCCACCCATCGCAAAGCGCCCCACATCGGGCTGGTCTGGACTTTCGGACCCTGCCTCGAGCCTGCAGGCCGTTGACAGTTGGGCCGCCCTCACTTGACTCCCTTGGATAACGCTCAGTCCTATCAAATGGCGCCCTACGGAGTACACGCTGCCTCAGATCCTTTTAGTAGAAGCTCTTGGTTAGAGAGAAAAATCTACTTCAAATTATGAGGGTATCCCCTGGTTTCTTTTGAAAGATCCATATCCAACTTGAGTATCGAACGAGTTATGCCGAACGAGGAACTAGACCAAAATCCCATTAAACAAACGAAATCCTCAAATACACCGCATGCGATTCATTAACCCATAAGTATTACCTCGGGGCAACTCTCAATTAACCCGTACCTAAATCAAGAAAAAGAAAGAAAGAAAAAGGGTTGCCAAGTTCGCAAACCAAGCAAAAAGGCCAGGGACCATGGCGCCCGGCGTCCCAAGGCCCCTGGACGAAGATGTGCTTCCACCTGCCGCGTCACTAGGGACCGGGACCAGACCCGGAGTACCCGTTGTCCCTGGCGAAGAGGTCTCCGAGGGAAGCCCAAACTCCGGCCCAGTACGAGTCCCGGCCGAGGTGAAGATGAGAGGCCCGCTGCTGCTGGCCGCAGAGCCGCCGGTCTGCACGGCGTCGCAGAATGTAGCGAGCCGAGTGACGACTAGACGTTGCGGTTAGTACGCACGACCAAACGACTTCCGAGGATGGAGGACGAAATCGCTTACCGGTGTAATCTCCCGGGAGGAAAGAGGATTTGGCGTAAGGGATACAAGAGCTGGCGTAATCCTCGAACGCCGTGTCAAACTTGCCAGACTTTGCCGGGCTGAAGAAGCGGATTAGTTTCCCGAGGGCAGATAATTTCGGAAGGTGAACAGTCATACCAAAAGCACGATGCAACGTCGGTAGCTTTCGCCGTGTTGAAGCCCAGGTCATCAGAGCACGACGAGTAAATAGACAGCAACTTTGAGCACGGGGCAGGCAGGTCGGTGGGAAGCGGAATGGTATCCTCGGTGCCCTGGGTGGTGCGCGTAAAGCCGCGCGTAGCAGAACCGCGCGTAGTACCAATACCACCAGTCTGGGTTGCGCAGGTCGCGCTAAGTCCACAAATGCTGTAAAGGACGGTCATGGCTGTATCATGTTAGTCGGTGTCTGCCTTCAGCTCACAATACCGGGTCTTGGTTCCCGTCTCAACAGATCTAAACATACCCGAAAAGGCACTGGTCGCGGAAACCTCATTGATCGCGTATGATGCGCAGCTCGAGTAGAGTATGCTGACGTTGGATGAGTCCTCGCAACACAGACACCTATTCCCTTCCGCCGCCGGAGCAGTACTATCGAGAGCGCCAGAGTCGTAGCAGTCCTGGACGATCTGGTCGGCGTGCACACACGCCTCGTACCCGGGGTCGTCGCCACGCCCAGCAGCCTCCAACACCCCGGCGGCGGCACCCACCGAGGCGCGGACCTCATCGACGCGGACCAGAACTTCCACAAACCCTTCCAGGAGAGCCGAGGCGCCGTGCGCGAGGGCGAGCGCAGCAATGAGTCGTCGGGCCATTTTTTTGCCTATCGTTGTCGTTTTCGCGGAGTGGGCAACCGGGATCTTGAAAAAGTGGAATGGGCGAGGGGACCGAAGGGTTCATATTAAAGCCATGGCCAAGCGGAATTGGGCAGAATAAATTACGCGAATCCTCTTCAGGCAGGGCTGAAGAAGGGCGAAAGTGAGAATCCGGTTAGTCGCGAGCAGGGGACTGGCGATCAACCTCGTGTCTGGCCCCCAACGCTCCATCCATTTAAACGTTACGTTAACTAGTTATTATTTAAACGGCCGATGTTCCCCCAAGGAGAAACGGCTGAACGTTATTTGCCTTCCAGCAGCCGGCCTCCGCATTTGCGGTTCAGCTCAATGCTGCAGATGACCTCCCTTTTATTGACCTCGCGGTGGAATCCTTCGCCGGGATTGCTTGGCAGCTTGGCAGCCTCCTGAACGACAAATTAAATCGACTCGCAACCTGAGCCACAATGAGTACAGTACTGCGTAGTTGGAGGGGAAATTATCAACGAAGAGGTACGAGTCGACCAAAGGCCGCCGAAATTTTAAAAACGGTTTACATGTGTAGAACCATACATAGCAATAGTAATAAGGACTGATAAGCGACTGATTTTCTCGCTATTCCACCAAACTTCATGTGTTTTGCTGGTATTTTGGGCCCCCTACAACTGCCCCCTTACCGACAAAACAAACCCAAACGGCGGGCTCGACTTCGAAGTGGCTAACTTGCCATCTCCCAGGCCCACATTCCAAAATCTTGCAGGTCCTCAATGTTAATTACAACATCCCTATCCTCTAGGCTTGGATCGCGAAGAAAAAGAAGCCGAAATTCTAGTACCAATGGCCCCCCAGCAACATCATAGGACACTGGATCCGTCGTCTCATCGCGGGTGATGGTGATGGTTTGCCGTTTCACCGGCTCGAGAACGTCATTCTGCTGTAAGATAGCAGCATGGCGTCTCCGTGTGATCGGTCCTTGTAGGTGCGGAATCTGCTCTTCCCATCGCTCTATCAAAGCACAACTTTGCCGGTGGTCAAATTTCGCTAAGAGGACGATTTTGACGTCGTGGTTTGATGCCGGAAACCACCACTGCATGTCTTTACGAAGCTGGTCTATTGTTGCGGTGACTCCAGACAAGATGACCAGTTCGGCCACTCGCCTCTTCCTCGACGTTCTGGAGATGGACCGCCGGTAGAATCGCCTTCCCCGATGGGTGCTCTGGGAGAGCCTTGATAATGAAACGTCGTGGCACCTAATGACACCCAACTTTTACACCAATCATTCAGGACGATAGGCTTACGAAATAGCTGATAAAGCTCCGCATGAAGGGTCTCGTGGAGCCCGGTTGTAACCGTAATGAATAAGACCTGGGCATCAACATTGTAGCGGCGAACACGGAACTTGCGGCGTCGCTTCTCTCGCTCACGCTGAATTTTGGTAAAATCTTTTAGAGAGATGTCTGAATAATTAATATAATACACACCCAGGCAGGAATAAGAGGAGAATACCATACTTATAACAATCAGGAGATCTTGGTCAGTGGCATTAATGTCGTCGAAGAGCTCTTCCACATTCGTAAATCGTACGACCGGGGCATCGTTAACTTGCATTGATTCGATCACAGGAGGTGTAGTAAACATTGATGGAAACACCGCCGTAGGCACCCATGGTGTAGCCATGACGAAGTGTTTCTGTTTGACCTCCGATTCCTATTCCTGATTAGCCCGAGTTTCTTTCCTCAAAAAAGGGAAAGGAAAGAAAACAAAGAAAGAGAAAACGGGAGGAAAAGAAGAAAAACAAAAACAAAAAACAGAGCGGGAAAGAAAAAATGGAAAAAAGGAAGGGAAAAAGAACAAGAAGAAAACAAAAGAAAAGGAAAGGAAAGGAAGAAAAGAACAGGCACGTTATACCAAATCCCTCCATCAGGCCCCAGCTTCTAAGTGCAGAGTAGTTATTACAGAAGGGTCTTCATTCGTTGTAACGGCGGACAGAAATCATGAATGCTTGAAACAGGCCGTATGATGCTTTGATTTTGATGGAGCATACCGTTTATCGGCGTCAGTGATGACAAGCTAATATACTAAATATGTTCTTATAACAAAAACCAAACGAAGAAGAGTGCAATCAGGCAGCGGTTTTAGCTGGGCCAGCCGATGGAATGTCTGGTGCTTTCTGAAGTACATCGATGTGAGTCACGTGAGTTGGCCACTCATTCCTGATGACGTCCCCACAGACGCGTCTGTGCGCGTGTTTGTTTGAATTTGCCAGTTGCCCACAGCAGCCACCTGCAGCTGCGGGCGCATGCACTCATCTCAAGCTTTCAAATGTCAGAGGCCTTGCATTCAATTGCCGATGCATCTTGGATCGTCTTGCACCAACCAGCGTCCGATTTTCATCAACAACAACGATACTTGGCCCGTAAGATCAATACCTGTTTCCCTGCGATTTTTTGGCCTTCCGCTGCCCGTTTCATGTTGTTTTAGTGGCGGGAAAGCACAGGAACACCCTTTGTTGGCCATTGATGATGTAGGAACCCCTTTAACTAACAATTTTAGCGTCGCAGCTGCCTGCGATTAGGGAGGGACCTTTTGCAACTCCAGGTCCCTTTCCCCCCTTCCACTACCGCACAAATACGAAATATGTCGACCCCAATGGACGACGAGTTCAGACGACAGAACGAGGGCCAAGGCGATGGGAACTTGGCCCAGTCCCTCCAGCGCCTGTCTATCGCAACCTCCTCGCCCACCAGAACACCCCGCTCTGCACGTCCCACCGGATCGGCCCCCCTCAGACAAGTCGCCGACCAGTCGCCCACTGCTAGACGACCCGAGAGTGCGATGCGCAGTCCGCTCCGGAGCACTTCCGCTTCGGTCATTTCGTCTTCGTCTCGTTCCAACACCCCGACTCTACTGCGCAAGGCGTCTATGAACTCGCTACATTCCGGCAACGGGGTTACACCATCCCGACGAAGCAGCACGGCCAATATTCTCTCCTCCAGCAGCGCCAACAGGGCAAGATCCGGCCGATCGCCTCTCCGAAGCTTGTCCCCCGAGATCCCAGAGAAGCCCATCCCGACGCCCCATTCCGTCGCCAGCGACCATTTCAAGGCTGAGCTCAACATCCACCATGGCCCCGAGCCTACCCGCCGCGCCGAGACCGTCGTCGTTCTTCAAGATGCCTGTTACGGGCACCGGTTCTCGCGCCCTCGCTCGTCGCGCAACCACCTCAGCACCATCGTTGAGCGCCCCGAGCGAATCAAGGCTTGCGTCTTGGGTGTGTCGGCGGCGTACGTGAGACTGGGCGAACGACATGAGGACGGCGCATTCCCCCTTCTGCCAGAATCAGATGCTGCATCGCTGCCTTCGATTCCCTTTCGTATTCAGAGATCGAACCGGCGCCTGTCCCTGAGTTCACCTGCGGTTACCAACGTGCACGGGACCAAGTGGATGGAGGAGCTCAAGATCATGTGCAACACGGCCGAGGGGAAGTTGGCCGCGGGCGGGAAAGAGCTTCAGCGACCGGATATGGACCGAGGGCCGAATACAGGAGCCCCGCAGAAGTTCCACGAGGGCGACCTATACCTCTGTGACGAGTCATTGGCAGCAATGGAGGGGGCGCTTGGTGGTGTTTGCGATGCGGTTGATGCCGTTTTCACGCCCCAAGGCCCCCAGAGGGCGTTTGTGGCGATTCGCCCACCGGGACACCACTGTTCTGCTTCGCACCCTTCTGGGTTCTGCTGGATCAACAATGTCCATGTGGGTATCATGCACGGCGTGCTCAGCCACGGCTTAACGCACGCCGCGATCATCGATTTTGACCTCCACCACGGCGACGGCTCGCAGGCCATCACCTGGGAGCACAACGCGCGAGGGGTCGGCCTGGCTAAGAACGCAGCTTGGTGGAAGAAGACGTCGATCGGCTACTTTAGCCTGCACGATATCAACTCTTACCCATGCGAGATGGGCGATGCAGACAAGGTTAGGAACGCGAGTATTTGCATCGACAACGCGCATGGTCAGAGCATCTGGAACGTCCACCTGGATTCCTGGAAAACAGAGGCCGACTTCTGGGCTCTGTATGAGTCCAAGTACGGTGTCCTGCTCGAGAAAACGCGCGCTTACCTGAGGAGTCACACGGAGCGTCTGAGGGCGTCCGGTCTGAACTCGAAGGCCGCCATTTTCTTGTCGGCCGGCTTTGATGCAAGCGAGTATGAGAGCCAGGGCATGCAGCGCCACAGCGTCAACGTGCCCACCGAATTCTATGCCCGCTTTACCCGCGATGTGGTCCGCATTGCCGCAGAAGAAGGAACCAGCGTGGAAGGTCGCATTATCAGTGTTCTCGAGGGAGGCTACAGCGACCGGGCGCTATGTTCCGGTGTGTTTAGCCATCTCTGCGGTCTCGCTGGGGATGGGCCGAGCAACAAGGATCAAGAGTTCAACGGCCCCGCGTCGGAGGGTATCCAGCAACGTGCCCGGAAGGACTCGTCTGCAAGCGAACGTGGTGCTCGACGGTATGAATCGTCATGGTGGTCTGCTGCGGAGCTGGATGAGCTCGAGGCCACTCTAACTGCGCCCGTGCCGATCCCGAAACCCGTTCGGACTTCCCCCCCTCCCACCTACTCCTCTCCGACGCAGGCCTCGCAGGCGAGGTCCATCAACCCGAAGCGGAGTTTGTCCGGACTGTCGCAGGCCGCGGGTAACGGAGTGCCTAGAATCTCATTCCAGCCCCCGCCGCCTCCCGACGTACCGTGGACCATCGCAACAACCGAATTAAGCAAGATTCTCATCCCAAGCACCCGACAGACAAACAGTTGCACAGCGGAAGAGCTCAATGCTGAAGCTACCCGGATGAGGCGTGAGCGGGCCATCCTCGCAGGTTCCATGATGCCTCCTGCTATTGCCCCACCTGCAGAGGACCGGCCGCCGACAAGGAAGGGCCTGAGAGAGCGCAAGCCGAAACCGGCTCCCGTGGAAGATGACCTGGAGCGGAAGAACAGACGGAAAACCGTGGCAAACCCGACTGATCTTGCCCTGGAAGCTGGTTCGCGCGGGACTACTCCCATTTCGGGGAAACAATCGCGAGCTTCAAGACGCCTTAGCGCGGCGTCGACGGTTGTGTCCTCGGAAGGGTCAGAGGCCGTGCCACCACTTCCTCAGGGTATTCCCACTCGCCCCGGTTCGAAGCCTGATTCTGACGTGGCTGGATCCGACGGCGGGACTCTCAATGTGAAGAAGACACGGGCTCCAGCGAGAAAAGAGCCAGTTCCTCGCGCGCCCAGGGCGAAGAAGACTGCTGGGACAGCCAAGACCGCGGTGCCACCCAGTTCCTCGGCCGTTACAAGTCCCCAGCCAGTGGAGAAGACTGGGGACGGGGTCGACGAACTAACTGGTGGGATGAAGAAGATCAAAATTACACTCGTCACGAAGGCGCAAAGGGAAGCACGCGAAAGGGAACGGCACTTACGAGAGCAACTTGGCCAGGCGGACACGATCTCAGTTCCCACGCCGCAGGGAGAGGGGGCGTCTCATACCGAGGCCACTCTGTCGCTGGACACGACAACGGCTTCTAATCCACCTGCCGAAGATGCCCAGCACCTCCCCACTCCCAGCCTGTCTCCCACACCACAACCTCCAGCAACCCAAGTCCACGCTCCCATCAACCCCTCTACGCCCGTGGTCGAAGAGGCGCCGTCTTTCATCTCGCCACCACATACCGACCCTCGTCAAACCACTCTTCCAACAAGCTCGCCCCCGCTACCTCATCAACCGCCCCCCTCCTCCACATTAGGACCTAACATCACGGACATGAGCAGCCCCGTCTCCGAGACACCATCATCCCAAATACCACAAAGCGACGTATCCGGGGATAACTTCATCCCTTACCAACCCGAGGGTCCCCCTCCCCTTTCCAACGCCACAAACGCCCGGCAGCAGCAACATCAGCATCAGCAACAGCAATATCAAAACCACGCTGGCCAGCCGCCGCAACCCAAACAGTTCCAGTGGTTACCCCCCAACTCATTTACCACACCAGTCCCGTCACCAGCCAGGAGTAAGGGTGATCTGCCTGTGTTTAGTAGCACTGGCGTGATTCCGTTTGCGCCGCGACTGGCGGGGGGGCAGGTGCAGGTACAGGGACAAGGACAACAGACTCCTGGGCAGTGGCAGCAGACGAATGGGCAGTGGCAGCAAGTTCGTGGACCGGGACAGGGACAACAGACTCATGGACTAGAACAGGGGCAGGAGAAGAATGAGCATTAGATGCGAAGATACAGCGCTGGGTCTGGAGTTTTTTTTTTTTTGAGCTTGGGCGGAGGAAGAGGTTGTCAGGGTATGTGAGGTGTTATTGTCAGCGTTGTTTTTGACGGAAAGCAGTGAAGTGAAGATAAGGGGTGGGAAGTCGACCAAGGACTGTCATGTCATGTCATAACATGAAAGACCGGAGGATCTTTGGTTGGTGAGAAGTGACTATGGATAATGGGATAAGGATAAGGAGAACGACTTGTTTGTTGATAGAGGGAGGGAGATTCTGTGCTTCCTTCTCTTCTTCCCTCGGGGGCGTACCCAATAATTACACATCCTTGTAATGGTTGCAGTTAAGGTTTATGTACGTTATGTACAGTTTTTAGTTTCCGGTTGTTGGTTTTCTTCTTTCTCTGCTGGTTTTGTGTTTATTCTGGGTTGTGGGGTTTTATTTTTATTTTTACTGGTCTGTCAGGGTAACAGGTTGTTGTGATACCCTTTATTTTCTAGTTAGTCTTGTGTTTTTGTTTTTATGTTTTCTCACCATTGTAGGTCACCTTCGGAAATTATTTTCGGAAAATAAAAACTTTTTTATGGACTCTGCTTTGAGGGTGTATGCTGCGTCTCGTTTGAGAAAGCCAAACATGCCAAAAATGACCGGTTGTCTAAACGCTGTTGTAACCAAGGGACGGTTAAGAACGAGTAGCTATTGAGGTTAGGCGTTCATGGAGGAAAGTTTGAAGAAATAAATATCATCAAGTAGTAACTATCTTGTTGGGTCTGTTAAGGTAGCCGGGTAGTCTAGAATCCACACTCGAGAAACCATTTAGCAAGATCAGAACAGAGGGAAGTGCATTACACCTTTGTGATTTTAAGGAGTTGAAAAATTACAACCATCGAGCTTCTCTCTCGCCATGGTCTATATATATATGTGGTATAATGCCCGATGAGATGTTAAAAACACCCTCGCCCACCTTCTTCTCTCCTTATGCATGCCGTCCATCCCGTTTCGCCTGTAAAGCCACACCCGCCCCTTTTCATCCCATTCGACCTTCTCGCTTTCCAATACACGCTCCTCACGCCCCTCACACCGTCTAAACAAATGGACTGGCTCAATGACATGTCCCCAAAGAAACGCCGGCCATAAAATATCGTACCATGCCATGCGTCCATTTCCCACCACGCATCCCAAATATCATCGTCGCTGCAACTCCTCTGCAGCTCTAATCAACGCAACGCAACGCCCTTCCCGTCCATCCATAGTTACCCCTGAGGTGGGGGGGGGGGGAGGGGGGTCGGCTATTGCCCCTCCTTCAACCGCCGCTCCCTCGTCTCCGCCATCTCCTTAACAATAACCTTATTAAAATCATCCGGATTGTCCAAATACAAATGATGCCCCGCATTCCGCACCACCACCACCTTGGCACTCCCATTCTCCCTTTTCCTCTCCTCCGCCGTCCCCTCCCTCAACGCCTGCGCCACACGCTGCTTGATCTTTTCCTCAGCCGCATACCCCCCCGCAACATCCATCCAATCATTCTCGCCATACAAAAACACGATGGGGAGACCCGTCTCCCGCTGGGCGGGCGCGCCGTCGGCGGTCGCTGGGCGCACCACCTGCCGGCCGACGTCTTGGATGCGGTTGATCACGGGGCTGCGGGCGTAGGCGCCGGGAGCGAGGAGGTAAGGAAGGACGTACTCGCCGCTGCCCTTTTGGCGGAAGAGGGCGTAGGAGTAGGTGTGGAGGGCTTCTTTTTCGTCGGGGGGCAGGTGGTTGAAGCGGCGGGAGGTCCAGCCGGAGACGAAGCGCGGGCCGAGCGGGCCGGCGAGGCGGACGATGCTGAAGGGGGAGACGTTGGCGTCCCAGAGCCAGCTGAGCCAGCCCGGGATGGGACGTCTTGGGGGCGTGGCGGGGGTTTTGCTGCTGCTGTTGGTGCTGGTGGTGGTGGATTTGCGGGTGAACGCGGTGTTGCCCGCGGGCTCGCCTTCGACGATGCTTTCTTGGTCTTGGATAAATTCGTTGGCTAGCGTCGATTCTCCGGGCTCGGGCATGGCGGCGTTCACGGCCCAAGGGTCTTCGGGGATACCGACGGGCGAGGCGAGGATCAGCTTGTTGAGCCGCCCGGGGTATTTGAGAGCGTAGGATACGGCCAAGTAACCGCCGAGGGAGTGGCCGAGCAGCGTGAATTTTTCGATCTGGCGGGCCTTGCGCCACTCCTCCAGGGCATCGATGAACCAGCTCTCGGCTTCAGCAATCTTCTCCTTGGGCTCCTTGGCGTGGATCCTGAAGTTCGGCCGCGCCGAGTTGCCCATCCCCAACATGTCCAAGGCGTATAACTTCCAGCCTGGCGCGCGGCTAAGCGGCTCGAAGTTCTTGTAGAAGAACCCCAGGCCAGCGCCGTAGCCGTGGAGCATTACTAGAGTGTCGTCGGCTGTTTCGCCTACACGCTCGATCGATAGCTCGTTCAGAGCGCGGTTTTTCCCGGAGAGTTCCACCATGGACGAGCGCCATACCCGCTGGCCAAAGGGGTCGCTCTTGGCGAGGTCTTGTAATTGCGAGGCGACAGTCTCGCCGGTGGCTTCGCGGAGGAATGGGACATAGGAGAGGACGGTTCGCTCGGCCTGGCGGGAAGATACACTGGTCCACTGGAGAGTAGAATGTGTTGTTAACAAGGTGTCACGGGTGTAGAACCGGGAACTTCAACAAAGGCAGACTTACCCATTGTTGCGCGGCCTCCTTATAGCCCAATGGAAAATAAGCCCCCGTCACGCGTTGCTGGCGCGAGGACGAGTTGTCCGACTGCGGTTGTGACATCTTGGCCTGGTGCGAGACAAGCAAAATTGGCTGGCGAGGGTCTTGCTGCGGGGCGAATGTGGACGGCGCGGCGTCTGTCGAGTAGGCCGTTGTGTGCGCAGGGGGGCCGAGCGGGGCGAATTTCAGTCGCTTGGGAAGTAAGAATGTCGTCGAGGTCGTCGTCTTGAGCATGTTGAAAGAGAGGAAGCCACAGGAGCGCGCGTTGGGACGGCGCCCCTTATCAGAAAAATGGCGTGGTGCATTTGGTTTGGTTGGATTTGTCCGACAGCGCTCGGCGAGATCTCTAAAACGGCCCATCGGATTTTGCATCTCTCCGTGGCCCGCTCCCGGGGGCGCCTGCGTGGACCAGGGCCCAGGGGCTGCAAGTGCTGATGACGTTGTGCTCGGGTCTTGTTGGGGTCTTCTCCACAGCAGGGACTTGCACAAATCAGGGGGCCTGTTCGCCCGCAACCTTAAGCCAAAAACTCGTCCCATCTCCACCGAACCGCCCGGAACCACTCAACTGTCGAACACCCAGCAGCGGCGATAACCTAAATCCGAGTCGACGTATCCCGGCAGCTCGGCATCCCGGGCCCAGAACTCAGCACTGCACCGACCGCACCTATCCCGAACAGCGCCGCGCAATTGCCTCCGTTGCATGCGATTAACCCCGGCGAAAAGCTGACGCAGCTGTGGTCTCTGTCCACTCAGCGGTCGGCAGAGAATCGAAGCTGTGCTTCCCAGGACATACAGTACAGTTCCCCCGGCCGACCGAATTTGAACAACCCGACGACGCTGGCGCAACTCGATCGATTGAATATTGGAAAACGTTGAGGAGGTCGGGCAGAGCTTTCAAAGGCTCAGGCCGGAAGGGGTTGTGGCGTTTCGGGTAGCTGCCCGGGCCGTTGTTCGAATCCCGAGGCTCGCTCACCTCAACCCCTCGCTGTCCAGTCGAGGAAGCAGAATACAAACACAATGGCGGCGGATCCCCTCGATTCCATCGTCAAAGGCGCCCCGGTGTCCGTCCCCGGCCAGGACCCGGCCAAAGGCGCCGGCGGCACCACACCGATCGCCTCGGCCGATTCACCGCCAACACCAGGCAAACCCGGCGACCCGCTCTCGCACACCCCGAGTTCCCCATCCATGATCTACCTCAACCTGCTCATCCTCGAAGCCTCGCTACGCGCCCAGTACCTCGAGCTGCGTGCCCGCCGTCGCCACCACACCTTCTTCCTGTCTCTACTCACGCTATGGACTGCCTTCTTCGGGTACGCCCTCTTCTTCGCCCCGCGCGAGGACGGCCGCGGCATCGGTGGGAGCGTGTACTGGGTTGTGGAAACCACGGAGCACATGTGTTTTCTAGGCGGTGTCATCACGGCACTGCTGGTGTGGGCCACGGGCATCTGGGAGCGCGGCGTGCGCTGGCCGCGCCGCTGGTTTGCCGTGTCGAACCGCGGCCTGCGCGGGTTCAACTGCAAGCTGGTTGTCATGAAACGGCCGTGGTGGAAGGAGGCGCTTAGCACCGCCGGCTGGTTTCTCACGTACGGACTGTTCTCCAACAACGGGAGCTCCTATCGATGGGTTGAACCGAGCGTGCTGCGCGAGGTCGACCGCGAAATGAACTTGTCGCGGGATACCCACCCGACGGTGCACGTCACGAATTGGGATGAGGAAAAAGGTGGGCATGAGGAAGATCTAGCGCCTGGGGGGGATTACGTCAAGCTGCTGCTGCTGGCGAAGCCTTTTTCGCCGACGTTTAGGGAAAACTGGGAGGTATACCGGGCCGAGTACTGGGAAAGGGAAAATGAACGACGCAGACTGCTGCGTGCCCGGACTAAGGAACATGACCGGCGCGTGGGCCGACAGAACCGCGGCTGGTTCTGGTGGCTGCCCGGGCGGAGGAGGAGGGGGACCACAGCACCCGTCACGGAGAAACACGCAGCGGCAAACAATGAGAAGGCGCATCACCCGCGTCACGCGGCCGTGGTGAGCGAGCACAGGCGGACCCGGAGCGGCAGCGCGAGTACACGTAGGGGCAGCGTCTCGAGCGTGCACGGGTCGCGGCCGCCGACGCCAAAGCTAGAAGCAGGGGAGCATTTCGGCGTCTCGCGGAAGGCGAGTACGTCCTCAGACGCTTCGGATAAGAAACGAAAGAAGTTGGCTGTGGCTGGTGTCGGTGCTGGGGTTGGAGCTGCCAAGGGCCGGCCGCGCGTTGAGTCGAGGTCGGTTACGCCGGAATCGCCGTCGCCGTTGAGCAGGGAGAGCACGCCGAAGACGTCTGGGGCCGCCGCGACTCCTTAAGACGGTGTTGTGTGGCTCGTTGTGTGGGAGGCGTTGGCTGTGTTGTGTGTTAGGTATATGTATATGTAAGGCTAGCGCTTGCGATACGCTAATAATATTGACGAACACCGTCACTAAGGGAAATACCCATGTCACTCCATCCCCTTTGCAGGGACTCAACAGTTGCAAACAAAGAACCTGCCGTTGTCCTTTGCTCTCTGTTCCTTCGAGGGGTTGATCACCATCAACGCTCAAATCAGGGTTAGGGTCAGGTTTGAGAAGCATTGGGAATTGCTTAAGTGGCGCCCCACCTTCCCCAGGCAGACAACGCGCTTCGGGGAGTCGCGACCTCGTCTCATTCATCATTTCCGTTTTGAGTCGAGATTTTTGTTCCAATTGTCTTCAAAAGCTACAGAAAAAGAGCAAAGAAAGCCCAGGAGTGCTTTTTAATTTATTTCGAGTTCCCTTGTTCATTTTTCATTGAGTACTTGGGCCCTATATCCTGGCGCATCGCCTCTCCTATTTTTCCGTGCGAGGTGATCACACATTCCGTCACTCACTTAATCCACACGCCCTTGCGGGTTCTCTCAAGCCAACTGTCGTGGGCCGGGGCCAAAAAAAAAAAGAAAAGCGATTAACAGACCCAACAGCCCACAAACAATTGGTATTATTACATACACCCACGGCGATCCGAGGCGGCTATTTATCCGTGCTCGACCTCGGCGGGTTCCCTCGCGCCTCGTGAGAAAGGTCCATCGCGCATCGACATCACACGCCTCATTTCTTAAAGCCCCATAAAACTGGGCCGCCGCCGCTGGTTGACAATCACGACCTCATCATAACCCACCATGGACAGCAACCACCTCCACCCCTCGTACCACGCCGCCGTCCCCACGGGCCCCTACAGCGCGCGCGCCCCCTCACCACCGTACATCCACGTCCCGCCGCCCACCGACCTTCCCAACCGCCCACTCACCCCCGACGTCCAGGCCGACCCATCCAACAGCGGCTCCAGAGGCCGCGATGAGCCGCTCATGACCATCCACCCGTCCCCTTTCGCGCCACACATCACCGGCCTGTCCCCCGCCGATGTCCTCGCCATCACCGACGACGGTGCGCCACAATCCGCGCGCGATACCTCCAGCCAGTGGGTGTACGAGGGCCGCCGGCGTGCCCAGTCGGTATTGAGTTATCTGTACCTGGGCCCCTCTAGCGCGGTGCGCGATCGGGAGTTCTTGGTTAGGGAGGGGATTACGATGGTGTTGTGTGCGCGTGATGCGCGGTTTGCGGCGGCGGCTGCGGCTGCGGCGCATGGGGGCATGTTAGTGATGGGTGTGACGCGGGCGGTGGAAGGGTTGGGGATTGCGGTGGACGGGATTGATGTGGCTGATGGGAGGGAGCTGGTCGCGGCGTTTGCGGTCGCTGCGGGGAAGGTGAATGCGCACTTGTTGGCGGTAAGTCGGGCGCGGCAACTACACCAGCAGCAACAACAGCAGCAAAATGGGACGACAGAGCCGGCAAGCCACCGCCGAGGTAGAGTGCTGGTGGTGTGCGAGACGGGCAACGATCGATCTGCAGCGGTGGTCGCGGCATATCTGATGACCATGTATGGGCTCGACACGGTGCAGGCCGTGCAGTTCATGCAGCTGAAACGGTTCTGCGTCGCGCTGGGTGACGAGTTCAAGTTTCAACTGCAGGCCTACGGGGATATCCTCCAGGCGAAGGGCGATGTAGTTGCTCAGCAAGCGACATTGCAACAAGGGCAACAACAGAGTCTACTCCAGCAACAGGGGCAAACACATGGGCAGCACCCAGGACAGCAAGCACAGCAAGCACAGAAAGCACAGCAAGCACAACAACAACAGCTGTGGCAGCAGATGCCACAGGGCGGAGGAGGTGGGAAACGGAGACTCGAGCAAACAATGGACGAGGAAGTGGATGGCGGACAAAATCCGATGGAGGTCGAGATGGATGCCGAGAGGTATGCCGGCCGGGGGTTTGCACCGTTTGTGGATCGGGATTAATCATTAGTCGTTGGCTCGTTGCTGAGAGGGATGCATGGAGAGGCAGTTAACGTTATTTGGAGGTGTGCCAAGAGAACAGCACCCCAACCCCCTTGTGTTTTGGAGTTCTTTCTCTTCTTTGACTCAGGGTTGCAGGGCAGAGATCCCAGGGCGTAAGGCGTTGGAGCTGCCGTTGATATTGACTTATTACATACCTGTATTTCCTCAACACATTTTAGTGTATTCAAACACTCTTTCGTTTCCCCGCAGCGCTACTGATAATGTTGGTCACGAGAAGACATGATGTGGAAAAACCTCGAGGACAATGACTCGGGGACCTTTTGCTCTTTGCGTCTTGTTGCATTTGCCAAGCGCCTTTTTTGTTCAACCCTCAGGGCCTCAGCGTGGCCTTTGACCAGGGGTTGTGGCCACCATGAAAACAAGGTGGCCTCCTCAAACTAGCATGTCAGCAGCAGCAGGAACTCAACCCTTTCCCATGCAGAAAATACTCACCATCGAGTGTACTATCGCTATCTAGAAATGAAATCCTCCACCGCTTCTAACTCCATCCCTGCCTTCCAGATCCCCACGGCTCGGGTTCCCACTGCCGTGTCGCCGGGCTCAGGCTCGGGCCGTCTTAACCGGTTCTCGTTAGTCTCGTTAGTGTGTATCCGTAGCGTAGCTAGTGAATGTCTTGTCCCTCGTGGAGTGTAATCCACACCGACAACCGGGCTGCCGCCGGCCACCCGGGGAATTTAGGGAATTTATGCCCACAACGGGATATCTTTTTCTCGAAACTCTGCACCCCCGGTCGCCCGGCCAGCCGGCTGCCGTGGCATCCGGGTGTGTGATCGAGTGTCATTCGGACGTGGAGGGAGTGGTTCCCCGGGCGGTATGCAGTAGGTAACTACAGTACCCTAAAAGAGGGTCGCACAAACGGACGGACGGGCGGACGGGTGGGATAGTTACGGCTCGGTGGACAATGTCTTTCGGGCAGGCAAAAGAGAGAGAGAAGAGAGGGAAACAGAGAGGGAGGGAGGGGTGGAGCTTCGGTGTTGGTTTTCCACTTGATGGGATGTAACCTCCGCTTGCCTTGCTTGCCTTGCTGCAGGGTTTCTTTGACGTGTTAAACGTGGTGGGTTGAAGCGGGGAGTGGGGGGGAAGGACAGCGGGCAGCGGGCAGGCAAGGCAACTCACCCTCGCTGCGGCCCGGGGGTTTGTGGTTTGTTGGAGAAAGGGTTCGGGGTCCCAGTGCCCGGGCGGGCAGGCAAGCAAAAAACGATTCGGTCGAAAAAAGAGCAAACGTTCACAGGGCAGGGCAGGGAAGCACAAGCCAAAAATATGAGAGAGGAAGACCCCCGCTCATTTTCTCTCAACGGCTGATGCTTTCCACTCCTTACACACCTAACTACCCACGAGTGCCCATGTGGAATTGTTGCAACCGAGAGTGGTGCGGCTGACAGAAATTCGAAGAATACGCATGAGAGTTTTGATGTGATATTTATTATCTGGTTTTTTGTTTTATTTTTATTCTTTTTTAATTTTATTCTTGACTCCGCTGAGGGATGGCGGCTGTCGCGGGTTCGGCCGCGGCTGGATCGCGGTTAGAGACAGCAGCGCCTGTTGACAGCTCCAGCAAGAGAGGGTGGACCGAGCACGAGACGGAAACGATTGAAGTGGATGAAGATGTATGCATCCATTGTCCCCCGTTATGATTTATTTTATCATTTTTTATGTATTGTATGAAGATGAACTTCATGCAGTACATTTCCCCCAGTTTCCTATTTCCCTTCCTTCCGCTAGCAGGGGATCCTAACCAACCCTCGATTCACGTGTTTTAGCTGGCCAGCGAACTCGACGATGAAAGGTGAGTGGTGTCTTTGACCCCGTTTCTCCCTTTTTTTCTCACTGTGATTCCCACTGGGTTACCTGCGAGGCGGGGACCCACGTGCCGCGGCGGATTGCTGTCGGAAACGGAGTTTAACTATTATTTTATTATTATTGTTATTTCTTATATCAAAGTCGGAAACTAACAAGCCGTCGTTAGCAGTGGAGACGCAAGTAGCTATGCGACATCGTTGGCGTCGAGTGTGGTCGATTACCCGTTTGAACACGGGCGGCGATATCATGCGTATCGCGCAGGGAGTATGTTTTGCCTTCTATCCCCAAGACCTTTAGGCTTGTTTTTATTTTATTTTATTTATTCTCTATTTTTATTATTCCTTTTCAACCTCGAGTTGACCCCCATGGTGGGACCACGGCTGACCAACCGACAGGATACTCGCGGCCAAACGACGAGCTGGAAATGTACCGGCTGCAACTCATGCACAATGCCGTGACAACACTCATACACGGACTCTATGTGGCGCCTGTCGACAAGAACAAGACCCGTCGAATCCTTGACATCGGGACAGGCAGTGGTATCTGTAAGTGGCCATTGCTCCCCACAGCATGGTCTCCTGGGACGATGGACATACATACTTACACACCATAACAGGGGCAGTATCCATCGCCGATGATTTCCCCGACGCCAAGGTTCGACGCCACTCCTAGTCTATTTTGTTCCCCTAGGCGTCTCGTTGTCTCTAACCCTTGCCGTCCCTTCAGATTATCGGCAACGACCTATCAGCCACCCAAGCAGAGTTTGTCCCGCCCAACGTCCGTTTCGAAGTCGACGACGTCGAAGACCCGTGGGTGTACCCGGCCAAGTTCGACTGGATTTTCTGCCGGTACATGGCTGCCTCCATCTACGACTGGCCAAAGCTCATGGGCCAGATCCTTGAGTGCGTGCTGTCCCTACTATGCTTGTCTCATCTACTGCAGCAACTAACACCCCCAAAGAAACCTCAACCCCGGTGGCTACGCCGAATTCCAAGACTTCAACCTAACCTACTACTCCGAAGACGGCTCCCTGACCCCCACCCACGCCCTGCGCGAATGGATCGAAACCCTCACCGGCGCCGCCGACTCTCTCGGGCGGGACTCCAACCCGGGCTCAAAACTCGAAGGCTGGGCGCGGGCGGCCGGGTTTAAGGATGTCACGCATCGCCGGTATCGCATGCCCATCGGCACGTGGGCGCGCGATAGGACGCTGAAGGAGGCGGGCGCGTGGAATATGTTGCAGGTGCTGAATGGGTTGGAGGGGCTGTCGATGAGGTTGTATACGGCGGTGTTGGGGTGGACGGAGGAGGAGGTGTGGGTTTTGTTGGAGAGGGTCAAGAGGGATTTGGCGGATCCGGGGGTGCATGCTTTGTTTGAGTTGTGAGTTCTTTTTTTTTTGGACTCCTTTTTCCTGTCTCGTTTTGATCGTTATTCTTCCGCGCCCCTCGAAACTAACATTAAACAGACACGTTGTCTACGGACAAAAGCCAGAGTAGGCCGACCGGGTTATTGCAAAGGAGTTTGACGGAGTCATTCATTACTCGGTAACGGAACGGAAACAAATGGTTAAAGCAGAGTCTATTTTTTGGTCCACAAGCGCCTGTTAGATAATTCCGTTTTCCTTCCATTTTTCATCAACCAGCGTCGTTTTTCGAGGTATCCAAATACTGTCTGAGTTGAACAGACTGAGAAACGCCGTTTCCCCTGAGAGTGTCGAGCGTAACGTCGAATTAACGCCCCAAGCCTGGACCGAGGTGCTGCGATGAGATACCGTGGGCTGCATAAAGGTTACAGTTAACCCCCACGCCGCCACATCCAACGTGCTGCTTCATCACGCAAGAGGAACGGCTGGCGCGGTGAGGGCAGCATATGCACCTGCCCCTGATATGGTTCACGCACTTTTTGTCTCTCAATATCCTGCGAAGCATAGGCACTGCTTCTCACAAGCACGGGCCGCATGAGGACAAAATAGATTGAGTCTCAAGCTTAGAACCAAAGCCCGCTCGCTACCACGCCGTGATATCCTCAACCTCAGCCTCTCCAAACGTGCTGCTCTTAGTCAGCTCACCCACCGAGCTGGCCACCACCGCCCCATCGGTATCCTTGCTCATAATATCCGGGAGCACCTCCCTCAAAAAATCCAGAATATAATGATTAACCTGCTCAAACTGCAGCAGAAACGCATCATGGCCCTCAGGGCTATCAATCCTCTCAAGCCGGGCGCCGCGGATGTGCTGCGCCAGTTCCTCCTGCTCGGCAAAAGTGAATAACCCGTCGCTCTCGATCCCCAGCACCAGGGTCGGCTGCTCGATCAGGGCCAGGGCCTCGGCGATGGTGTCGGTGCGGCCTCGGCTCACGTCGTGGGTGTCGAGCTTGCGCGTCATGGCGATGTAGCAGTTGCTGTCGAAGCGCTTGACGAATTTGCCGCCTTGGTAGCGCAGGTAGGATTGCGCGGAGAAGTAGGTTGAGTTGTTGGCGGGGATCACTTCACCGCCTACGAGGCTGCTGCCGTTCTTGTCGCTGCCACTGTTGCCACTGTTGCCACCATCAGCAACAGCAGAAGCAGCTCCGTTCTTGGGCCCGTGGAACTGCGGGTCGGCCGAGGCCTGGTCTTCAGGGCTCTTGTATTGCGGGACCTGGTCCCCTTCGCTGTTCTTGCGCGACGGGCTTCGCTTCCACCTGTGCCCGTCGTTATGAATGTGGAAATGTGCCTCGGACGCCGTCGACGGAGTCGGCTGCTCGCGGATGGTCTGTCGACGAGACGGGTCGGGGATGTTGCGGCCGAAGCGGGCTTCGAAGGAGTTGCGGCTGCGGTAGGTCAGGAGCGCCGCCATCCGGGCTGCGCCGAGACCGGTCACCGGCGGGTCGGAGAAGGGGTAGTAGCCGTCTTCGTACTTGGGGTCGGCGTAGATCGATTGCCGTTGGGCTTCGCCCCAGCTGATGCCCCAGGCGCTGTGCCGGCTGGAGGTGGCGATGGGTACGATACATCGGACGTAGTCTTTACCGAAGTAGGCCCATTCTAGAACGAACATGCCGCCTAGCGACCCGCCGATGACCGCTGCTACTTGTTTTACGCCGAGTTCGTCGAGGAGGAGTTTGTGGAGTCTATTGTTTTGGACGAAGACGTGAGCAAACTGTTTGTTTCGTGGGGATGCAGTCACACGCACCTGACATCATCCCGGATGGTCGTCAACGGAAACTCGGGTCCATATCGATCCTTTGACGGGACCCCATCTTTGGCGGTAACCGGACTCGCAGTACCATACGGACTGCCCAAGCTGTTCATGCACACAACGAAGAAGCGCGAGATGTCGAACGCCCGGCCGGGCCCGCCGAGCAGCGGCCCCCACCAGTCGCCGACGTCGGCGCTACCGGTGAGGGCGTGGCAGATGACCATGACATTGTCGCCTTCGGGGGAGAGGGTGCCGCGGGTGGTGTAGGCGACGGGCACTTGGGTGAGTGTGACGCCGGATTCGAGAGTGAAGGACGGGATCACGGCGATCTCTTGGTGTGGGATGAGCTCCGCGAACGGATTCTCGGGCTGCGAGCGGATTCTTTCTTGGAAGTATTCAGTCACCACTCTTCTTTTGTATTATGAGGGGGGTCTCTGTCTTGGGTTGAGGATCTAGGGATGACGCAGGATACGGAGCGTATAGCACACGAAGAAAAGAGGAAGCCGGAAGCAAACAGAACAACGACGCATCGTAACTCACCATACGGGGCCGGCCGTTGGCCGTCGTGCGCGGCATCCGCAGTCATGGTGCAGGACACTGGAAAGGAAAAATAGGAGATGGTTTATAAAGGGGAGGAAGGGAGAAAAAGAAGGAATTGAAAGATGACGGAAGAGGGGCACTGTCAAGATCCTCGGTATTAAGAAGTGAACTGGAACCAGTTAGTCACTAATTAGTACATATTATTTTAGCTGTATCCGTAGAGTCATGGTCAGCCATAGGGAGTATCAGTCACCACGGCATTGGAACCGCTGACGGATTGCGCCATTCTAGGTCAACCCACTTGCCGGCTATCGGCCGTTGCAAGACTTTTTGTCATGGTGGAGGTGGGCCAGATGTGAGTGGGGCTGCATCGTCTGCCACTTGCGCCGGCCGATCCCGCTGCATTTCCCTGCAAGAGGTCCCTGGGACTTCATTGGCCCGCAGGCCCGAGCTTATCTGCTGAGTCACTGCTACCGCCGCCCCCAAAATCTCTTGGCAGCCTTGCTGGATCAGGCTGGCCCGGGCTCCGTTTGCCTGCACCTGCAGTCCTGCTCTGCTCAGCGCAACCACGCCAAAGCTGGCGATTTGGCGATTTGACGCGAAGCTGTTCTTGCTTCTAACCTCAAGCCAGCCATCGCCAACTGGCAACCCACACCGACTTCCATCTCATGTCGGTGCGCGGAAAGGCAATTTCTATTCAACACCCATCTCAATAGGTATTCAGGTTTCCGATCTTCCTATTGTTTACGCGGTCAACCCCTGCACCACCTTTCCTCGTCTTTTTTTTCCATTGCAGGTTCGCTGCGCCGTTGGCCACAAAGAAAAACCAACATCACCTGCGCACCGAAAACTTTCCCTCACGATCTGCGATTTAGTTTCCTTCCATTTTCTTCCGCACCGACAACCGAATTAACGCTTGCTTCGGTGCATTAGGATATTTCAGATCCCGGCGCTCGATTGATTGACTTCGACGTCGAACCATCGGCTCACGCCGCATTCCCGATCAATGAGCTGCCTTGCGCGCTCTTCTCTCGTTTAACAATGCCTCCGAAGCGGAAGAGAAACGATCGCGGCCCCAGCGATGCCAACTCCTCGCGGCCATCGCCACATCGCCCGTCGGACACGACATTGGGCCAGCACGATCGAAGCTTCGATGGAGGCCGTAACAACCGCGGCGGACGGAACCCGCGAAGAGGCGAACGCCGCGATTCTTCCCAGTCCCAGGGCCCGAATACGTCGTTTAATAGCCACGATCCGCGATCGCCTACGCTTCCCCGACCGCACAGCTCTTCATCGGCTTCGGCCGCGCCCCCCGTTCTCGCAGCCGCGGCTACTTTGGCCCCTCCGCCAGTTCCGCAAACACCAATCGCCCCGCCCTCACCGATTCAGCCTTTCTACGACTACAGCGTTGTCACCGAAGACCGAGTGAACAGATGGGCAAAGGGCGCGCGACAGGAAGTCATTGACCATGGCGTTCAATCGCGAAATGACGAAGATTTGACCGAGGTTGCCGTGATTTTCCAGGAACTCCTCCATTCTGTTACGGACGGCCGACTTCAAGGTTCAGATGCTGGCACAGTTGTTCATGATATTCTAGGCCCCGAACTGTCAGAGGAGGACCGCAATGCGGCTGCCTTTGACCCCCATACTCTCTTCCTTGACACGGTCTCGACATTCCTAGACGTCGAGTCGGGCCCCCTCCGGCCGCAGCTGCGCGACTTCATGATCGCGACTAAGATCTCGCCAGCCCTGATGCGCATCGTTTTAGATCCGCCAATTCTTCAGCATCTCGACTTGATTCGCGACACCTTTGTGCGCATGGGTATCCGACAGTCCACCAACCTGCTGTACCGGCAGGCGAGCTACAACCTCCTGCGCGAAGAATCCGAGGGTTTTGCGAAGCTCGTGACCGAGCTCTTCACCATCAGCGGTTCCGAACCCCCCTCCTCCGACACCGTGCAGACAGCGTTCAACAAGGTTATGGGCCTTATTGGGACCTTCGACCTGCACCCCGGTCGTGTACTGGACGTGATTCTGGACGTTTTCGCTGCTGTTCTGATCAAGCAGTTCCGATTCTTCATCAAGTTCCTCCGCGTCAGCTCGTGGTGGCCCCGCAGCCAGTTGGCTCTTCCCACCAACACGTACATCGGCGGCTTGCCCGTCTGGGCCTTACCCGACCATATCGGCTGGTCCGCCACCGAAGATGAAGAGTCGCTTATTGCACAGCAAAGGCTGCAACGGGACATTGCGTTTTGGGAGCGAGCTCGCAAAGTCAAGCTCGATGCGTATTTCGAACTGGGCGGCAGGCAGCTGTCCGCGGCCGACGAAGAGCGGCTTGCCAAGGTCCCGGCGGAGGGTGACGCGGGGACGAGCATTGAGCAAGAGTGGATTCGCATCACGAAGACGCTCCCGCCCCCGGGCAATCGCGATGCTGCTCAGATGCTGGGATTCAAGTTGCGCTTTTACACCTCGGAAGCGAGAGATCCCGAGGACAAGCTCCCGGCTAATTTACTTTACCTCGTGTCTCTGCTCATCAAGGTTGGCTTCATCTCCTTGACGGATTTGTGGAATCACGTATGGCCACTCGATGCGGACATGGAAGCGGTCAAGACGCAGAGGATGAAGGAGCTGGAAGAGAAGGAGAGGGCAAGCCGACCCGGTGGCCAGCTCAACGCCCTCATGATGGCCGGCGCTCTCCCCGACGACATGCCCCCACCGGTCAACCCCGCATCGCGCCGTGATGCCGCGGCTGCCAAAGCAGAAGCCAACAAGACCCCGGATCCGGCGGAAGCGGCAGAAGCACGTGTTCCCGACGACCAAAAGGTGCTCTTGCTCAAGTGCCTTCTCACCATCGGCGCGATTCCCGAATCCCTCTTCATCATCGGCCGCCACGACTGGATTCTTCGAGCGTACCCCGACCTCGTCACGCTCCTTCACCGCATTCTACACCACTCGATCGACGCCGTATACCAGCAAAGCCGACCAGTCAGTTCGCGCCCGACCGAGTGCCCGCCCAAGCCCCAGCCAGATCCCGACCAGTCAGGGGTCGCTAAGGGACACCTGAAGCTCAAGACACCACCCGTCAAGCGAGCACTGCGGTGGCCCAACCCAGACCAGGCAGATTCCGGCGACGGCCCGGCGTACCGGTTCTACTGGGACGAATGGGCCGACAACATTCCCATCTGCCAGACGGTAGAGGATCTCTTCACGCTCTCCGACACGCTGCTGAACATTGTCGGGGTCAACATCGGATCGGACCCGGCGCTGGTCACCAAGCTCTGCCGCATCGGCAGCAAGAGTCTCGACGACGACCGATCGGACGCCAATTCAGAGCGCTGGCTGGCGTTTCTCAAGCGCGTGCTGGTACCGTCGCTGAGCTTGGGCCAGACCAACGCCTCGGCGGTCGACAGTGTCTGGGGGCTGCTCAAGCGGTATCCTGTCCGGGAACGGTACAAGGTGTACGCGGAGTGGTACGAGGGCGCGACATCGCGTCTCGAGCCGGTGCAAAAGGCGTTTGCGAAGACACGGCTCGAAACCCTTGGCAAGATGAAGCGGCTTTCGCATAGCAACATTTTGCAGATGGCCAAGGATCTCGCCAAGATCGCGTACGACTCGCCCGGGATCGTGTGCAAAGTGGCGCTGCAGCAGATCGAATCGTATGATAACCTGATCGAGGCGTTTGTCGAATGCGCCAAGTACTTTACGGCGTTGGGCTACGACGTGCTTGTCTGGTCTGTTCTTAGCTCTCTGGCGGGCCAGGAAAGGAGCCGCACGCAAGAGACGTCGGTGCTGCTTACCAGTAAATGGCTCCAGGCGCTCTCGCGGTTTTCTGGGAAGGTCTTCCAGCGGTATTCCAACATGGACCCGTTGCCGATTCTGCGCTACGTCAACCACCAACTGTTGCGGGGCAACTCGACCGACCTGCTGATCCTGGAAGAACTCACCGAGTCGATGGGGGGTATCGTCTCGAGTTTCGATTTCACCGACGCCCAGCTGCGTGGGATGACAGGCGGGGAGCTGCTCCGCCGGCAAACCCTGCATAACCTGGGCGACAAGCGGGAGGCTTCGGGCCGCAGCGCGCAGCGGCTGATGAAGGCGCTATCACAGTCGAACCTGGCCGGCCAGCTGCTGATCAACATTGCGCAGTACCGGCAGAACGCCATCTACAACATTGCCGACAACAACGCCGTCATCAAGTTCCTGTCGGCGCTGGTGGACGGGTCGCACAAGGTGTTTTCTCGGTACCTGGACTTACTGCTCAGCAACCTGGACGCTGAGACTTTTGACCGTCTGGTGCCGGATGTGGCTCAGCTTATGCGGGATTATGGTCTGGACGCGCAGTTTGCGTTTATGATCCGGCGGAATTCGATCCGTTGGGCTACCAAATCCCTTGCTGCGTCGGCTAAGGCCACCACTACTACTACCACTGCGACAGATGTCGATGGCGATGTTAGCATGGAACCTGCTGCCGCTGCGGATAATGAGACACCGGCACAGGGTGATGTCGACATGACCGACGCTGCTACTGCTGATGGCACTGCAGTGGCCAAAAGTCCGAGCAGCCGCATGCCGGAGTCGCTTTCCGATGCGCTCGCGCCACTGATTGAAGAGATCCCCCAGGTTCTGCCTCATTACTCATGGGAGTTTATCTCGCCGGCGTGCTACGTATTTTTCTGGTCGTTGCAGCTAGGCAACTTGGTCTGGCCCCAGGAAAGCTACGACGCCGAGAACACACGACTACGATCTCAGATCGCGGAGCTGATGGTAACCGACCGGTCTGACACACCCCGATCGACGGCGGCCAAGAAACGAAAACGCGAGGAGATCATGGACCGGCAGCAGCGCCTAGTGCAGGAGACCAAAGACGGCATCGAGCGGTTCCAGAAGACGCGGATCCATATCGGTCGGCAAACCACGGGCTGGTTCCCCGCGGGGATTTCCAAGGCAGACGCCACGTCCGACGCGCTACTGGAAGAGTGCATCCTCCCACGACTACAGGTGTCACCCGTCGACGCAGACTACTGCTTCCGGCTGATCAAATTCCTCCACGAATCCCCCAAGTCCAATTTCCAACTCATGTCGCTGTACGGCCGGCTGTTCCAGCACAACCGGCTGCGGGCGCTGGTATTCAGCTGCACGGTGCGCGAGGCCGAGCACCTAGCGCGGTTCCTCAAGTTCATCTTGGGCGACTTGTCCCGGTGGCACGGCAGTAAGACGGTGTATGAGAAGGAGGCGCTGGGACAGCGGGAGCTGCAGGGGACGAAGACGAGGGAGTACCTCGGGTTTGCGACGAAGTTTGATGGGGAGGGGAAACCGACCGAGTTTGTGGATCATGATGCGTTTAAGGACTTGTTGTTTCGGTGGCATAAGGAGTTGAACACGGCGCTGAGGTCGTGTTTGAATGGGACGGAGTGGATGCATATTCGCAATGCGATTAGCATTCTGAAGGGGGTCATTGAGTACTTCCCGGCGATTAATTTTATGGCAGATAAGTTTTTGGAGCAGTTGAATCTTATCAAGGACCGGGAGTCGGCCGGCGGTGGTAATGGGAAGGGGGATGCGAACGCGACGGCTGAGGGTGCAAGGGTGGATTTGTCGGTTACGGCGCAGACGACGTACTCGGAGTTGGCGAGACGGAAGTCGAAATGGGTTATGGTTCAAGCGTTTCGGCCTGGCGGTGTAAGTGATGCTTCTGGAACGGTCCCAATAACTGCAACAAGAAAGGAAGAAGGGGGGAGTGCTAACCAGAGACAGAAGAACGACGGCCGAGAGGAACGAGGATCCGCGATACCGGCCAACTCGGGCCTTCGAGGCTCGGCAGCACCGTTCAAGCCTGGTGACGGACGACGACCGCAGACGTCGGAAGTGGAAGACGGGGAAGTGGACGACGAGACTAGGAGCAGCAAGCGAGCGGCCGAAGCCAACGGGGTCAACAACGCGCCGTCGAGACCCGGCCCAGCAGCGACCAACTCGGGACGACCGACCACGCCCAAGCCCCCGCCAGGAGGACCACACGCCGGCCGGCAAGAGCCACAGCGGTTCTCGACTCTCCCGCCCGGCGGTCCTGGACTTCCCAGCCGACCGGACCTCCCCAACAGACCGGATCCGTCAGGCCCCCGGTTCAACCAGCCTCGGCACGACAGGAGAGATCTCCCCTCGCGAGAAGCGCGCGACTACCGAGATGGTCGAGATGTGCGAGACCAGGCACCTCCCCGTGATCCTCGCGAAGCACAGGGGCCTGCGCATGCCGGTCCTCTTCGAGACGGCAGAGACTACAGGACACCAGACCAGGCACGAGGCCGCGATCTACCACCGCCAGCTGCTGATCGGCGTGCGCCCGATCTGGGAAGAGACACTGGGCGTGACGCGGGCCGATCGGCTGGCGACCGTGGCCGTGCAGAGCCTCATCCGCGTCGACACGAGCCTGGTGCGCCCTCTGACAGAGAGAACAACCGCCCGGATAGCCGGCCGCCGCCGCGTGAGCGGGGCCCAGGTGCTCATGGGTCCGGTCGGTCTGATTCAAGAGCTGGACGGGGAGAGCCTGGTGTGTCCACGCCCCAGTCAGCGCAAACCCCGACGTCGGGTCAAATTCCCCCGATCAACCCCGAGCGCGCGCGGATCATCGAGGGCGATCGGCCCAAGGATGTCAGCAACCTCAACCCCGCCAGGGCGGCGCTCATGAATGACACGCGCGAGCCGCCAGCACGTCCTCCGCCTCTGCCTAGAGATGCACCCCGAGAGCGACCTCCGCGGACCGAGTCGCCGAGACGGTCGGATCTTGGGCCGGTGAACAGTTCTGCTGCTGGGGACACGGGCCGGGATGAACGTCGTGGTGGTCGACATCATCGGTTTTCGCCTCGGCCTGAGACGCCGCGGGAGCCGCGAGAGTCAGCACACAACGAGGCTGCGGGTCCGCCGTCGCGATCAGACCGGAATGCGGAGCGAGAGGAGCGCAACAAGCCCGGTGGTCCACGCGAATCGTTCGGTGGTGGCCCGCCGTCTCGTCCTGAGCCTGACCACGGGAGATTCAACCAGCAGGATCCCAACTACGGCCGGCTCAACCCGATCCAATCCATCGACACGCCGGCCGGTGCGCCCTCGGGCCCTCGCGGCCGCGGCAGCAGGAATGCCAACCGGAACGCTCCAGCTAACGGCGGGCCTCCCGGACGCCCTGACAATCGGTTCCCGGCGCTCGAACCCCCTCGACCGCCGACCCCTGATGAACGACATCCGCCTACTGGGCCATCCGCTTCGCGCTCTCGCCGGGGTCCGTATGATGCCGGGAATGTCAACTCACCGACCACGCCGGTATCCGGTCCGGGATCGGGCCCGGGGCCTTCTCCTGCGGGGGGTGTGCATCCGGATAGAATGCGCCACATCAACACCGGCCCGCAGTCCACCCCGCCCGGTCCACCGTCAGGGCCGTCAGGCGTTCACCCCGATCGACTAACCCATATCTCATCCGTCCCACCCGGCGGACCCAGCCAACACGGCGGCCATGGTCCACACGGTGGTCAACACAATCAACACGGCCGTCCCCCACTGCACACCCCCGACCGCCCCTCGCTCTCCACAACCAGCTCCGGAACCCGTCCATCCGCCCCCTCCGGTCCCAGCGCCGACTTCTCCTCCACCCCTACCGGCCCCGCAGCCGCCTCCAACGACCGCATGCGCTCCGGCGGCCGTCAACTCCGCGGCATCCAAAACATGCTCGACAAAGCCTCAGCTGATGCCGCGCGCGGCGGGTCTGGGCCAGCCGGCGGCGGCGGCGGTGGTGGTGGTGGTGGTGGTGGTGGGCCCGGCGGTATGCTGCGTACCTCGCGGTCGAGGCTGAATCTGGCGAATTCGGATGCGCAGGTGTTGGTGGGTGGGTCGCCTGTTACCACGCCGGTGTTTGAACGCGCGCCGGAGGGGTTTAGGGATTCGTCTACTACGCGGGAACGTGACAGGGACCGAGACCGCGATAGGGACAGGGATAGAGATCGAGAGCGAGAACGGGAACGTGAACGTGATCGCACGCCGCGTGGTCCGGGAGGACAGGGGCAGGGACAGGGACAGGGACAGGGAGAAGCGATTGCCGTCGTGGCGGATACGCGTGAAACCAGCGGTGGTGGTAATAATATCCGTGGTGGTGGACCGGGAAATGTTAATGGAGGTGGAGGAAGTGGAGGAGGTGGTGAATACCCTTCCAGCCGAACAGAGCACGACCGCCCGCGACGCGACCATCACCGATCAGACCGCAGCTCGAGACAGTCGGGACGGAGTAGTCGGGATCGGACGCCTGAGCGGGAGCGGGAGCGAGACCGGGATCGTGACCGGGATCGTGACAGAGAGAGAGGCAGGGATAGGGATAGGGAGAGAGACAGAGATCGGAGGTCGGGGAATAACAGTAATACCCCCGGCAGTGGTGGAGGCGGAGGTGGAGGAGGAAGCGGTCCTCGCGGAGAAGAAAGAGAATCCTCCTCCCGTCGTTCAGCACGGGATTTACCCCCCAACACTACCTCCAACAACCCCAACACCAATACCCATACCCCCGCTGGCCCTGGTGGTGGTGGTTCGGGGGGAAACAGAGGAGGAGATATCGGCCCACCTTCTCTCCCTCCCCCTCCTCTACCTTCCCACGCCTCTCACGCCCATCAACAGCATCAGCATCAGCGTGAATCCAGTTCGCACCGCGGTCATCATCGTGGAAATGATGGCATGTCTGGTCCGCGCGGCGGTGGTGGCGGTGGGCCTGGGTCTGGGTCGGGGAATGATAATAAGGAGTTTGGAAGGCGGGGGTCGTCTAGAGGTGGGGGACAACATCATACACAAGGACGGGATTCAAGATCTTCTAGAGGTGGGGGCGGTCCCGGGGGAGATGGGAGTGGTGGGCCAGGGGATGGAAGTGCTGGTGGAGGGGGGGAAGATCATAATAGGGCGAGGAAAAGGAGGAGTGAGGGGGTTGTGGATGGGGGGAGTGCGGGGGGTGGGGGGGGACATCAGGATAAGAGGCAGCGGCGGTAGTGAGGTTGTTTGTCTTTGGTCTGATGTTCTGTTGATGTCTGGTGGTGTCTGGTGGTTCTCGGTATCCTGGTGGGTGAGGAAGGAGAACGGGGATTATTGTGAGTTGTGGGGAGGAAGGAAAACGCGGGATTATTGTGAGGTGTGAGGAGGAAGGAAAACGGGGGTTAATTGGTTTTGTTTTTGAGGGAGAAGATTGTGTTATCATCGTCATCAGCATGGGATTGTCATGAACTGGAAACAGTGGACTGAAGAAGAAAGGGAGAAAGCAAGGGGAAACAAATCAGGAAAAAGGAAGGAAAAAGGTTAACTATACGAGATTGCGAGACGGATGAACAGACAGACGGACAGGACAGTCAGACGGACGGTCGGTCGGATATCGAAATTCGGTTATCGAAACTCGGTCGGAATACCTACGAAGTACCTATCACGGAATTACCTTACCTTACCTACCTTACCTTGTCTTTACCAAAGTTGTCACGCTTTTTTATTGCCTTTTACCACGTTTTTTACGTTTTTTTTTTTGCCTGTTTTAGGATGGATGGATGGATGGATGGATGGATGGATAGGAAAGGGAAGGAGGGGGAGTCATCCAACAAAGGAAGCATATCAGCATATCAGCATATCGCCACTCGACAAGACAAGAAAAGAAGAAAATGAGAGACAAAGTTGTTCAGTTTTTCCATACCTACTCGAGTGCGAGAACGCAAGCACGCAAGCACGCGGGCATACACGCAGTCCTACGCTCGCGGTCATACGGACGCGATTATAACGCCTTGTTCCGTTGGGGGTTGGGTTGGCTAAAACCTGCCTACCTGCCTGACTGGCTGTTATTGCCTTTACCTATTACCTACTGTTTGTTCACCCCCCCGACCTACCGACCTACCTGTCTGCCTACCGTCCTACTTCTCACCTACCGCCTATCAACCTATCGACCCATAACCTTTTGCCTACCGACCTACCTTCCGCTTACTTCGAACCTACCTGTCTCTATACCTACTCCCTTGGACCTACTTCCCCCTTCCCAAAATTACCTACCTTATCTCTCTCTCTCTGTGAATCCAGCTCGAGCCCGAGCCCAAATCGATCGGTTGATCTAAAGCGCGAACTTAACCCAATGGAATCGAAAGCTTGCGGTCAAAGAAGGGACTGAGTCGGTCGAGGGGCTCTTGACTCTTAACTCCTGTTTGGCATGGGTTGGGAGGCTAGTCAACTCAAGTATGCGCAACCGCGAGAGACTACCGAGAAAGAGCAAGCGAGCGAAGAAGAGTGACGATAGACGGAACGGACGGATCTATCTGGGCATGTTTGAATCTGAGCCTTCGGGTTTCGGGTTCGAATGAAGGAATGAACCTATCGTCAGCCAACAGACCTCTCATCTCATCTCGTCATCTTATACCCATCCATTCGGGTCTTTCATTTCCTCCGGAGGGGCGAGCGAGCGAGGCAGTGATAACCGAACGAACAACTACGATCGGATTGTCAGATTCGGGACATGGGCCTGACATGTAAAGCACGACCGTCAGTCAGTTCGTTATGGTAGGGAGGAGGTCTCTCTCTGATCGGGCCGTCTGGGCTGGGTTGTGCTGCGAGGTCGGGGTAGCTGTGTAGTGATGTGTGTACATCTATTTTCTCTAGTTTTCTTTGTATTTTTGTTTCTTTCTCCTTCTTCCATGTGGATGTGTATGATGATGTGTAAGAGTACCATTTGGAGGATTTCACCACTGTCTTTGAGGGGGTGGTCAGGGAATGGAAGCGGGAATGGAAAAGGGCGCCGATACAGGCATTGAGGAGCATGGATGGCGAATGGCGAACGGCGTTTGGGCATGGTCAATGGAAAATTGAAGCCTGTGAAAGCGATGAGTATAATATTGAACTTGCTGGGTGTATGGCCTTGGCTCATTTGACGTTCCGAATTTTATCATTGTTTCACTCACGGTATGCTTGAGAGCCTACTTGTTCCTTTCATGATATGTAGGTCGTGTCTTGACAGGCAACAGCTGAGGCTAATGGTTACGGATACTTCCATACCTGTTCCCGTAATCTCGTTGAGTCTATGTAGCTGGGATGGTGTTCAGCAACGTCCCGGTGAGTTACCGAGACCAAGGGTAAAAGAATTTTGGAACGGATATCCATTTGTGATACGCCCATGCGAAGGTGGTAGCGGTAATCGGAATGGCATGCTCAAGTAGGCCCAGAAGCAATGGTTCCAAAGATAAGCCAGCTCCCGCGACACGCCACCGCGTCTCGTATCACCTATCACCAACAACGGAACCGTTTCTGCATCCGTCCGGCGTGATACAGAGATAGGTAAACAAACCAGACACGCTTCGTGCGCCGAATCAGACGGCGAGCCTTTGTTACACACATAAGAACGCCGTTTGTCACTGCTGGTGGCATCCCAATAGAAACCACGCAGTTCACCAGTAAACGACAGCTTAACAACACGCGCGGTTAACAGTCATCCGAGAAACACCTTCGGCTACGGGCTTCCAACGTCTCAGTTGGGCGGTTTACCACACGCGAGGTCCCGTTGGCTTGTCCTCCTGTCACACCAGACACCGGGAATGTGCCTGCATTCTACTGGTTATCTCTTGGTTGCCCCTTTTCACAGCTTCCGTTGTGCGACACCAACCACGGCACGCCCCGCCCATCCGATCTAACGCTAGTGTAAGGGAACGCGTTCTTGTGTTCCCCGGTCACTCGGCCAACCTGGGGATCTTAGATGAATTGATGGGCGGGTTTTGTCGAGCTTGCAAGCTCGGTTTCTGCGGATTGTTGAAGCGTTAATCAACCTCGAAGCTTAGACATCAGTTAACTATTTCTGTGTATGTAAACTGTTTACACTGTACCAAGGAAAAAAACTTTAAACCCCGTATGTGTAAGATGACGCAACAAACGCCAATCTTCATCAAACGCGCCGAGACCCTAGCAATCTTTTGTTTCAAAGAAAGACTTTTTTGTGAGTTTGCCACTCGGCGAAAACTTGCTGCCGATTTTGAGAAACTTGGAACCTCGGCTGGCAGGCTAGATCAAAGAAAGTTTTTGAGAGGAACCGAGCGGAGAAGCTCAGTTGTGGAATTGGCACTGTCAGTGGAACACCCAACTTAGCCGGATACGAATCAAGCAACCCCTATTTTCACAGTGCGGTACGTTGCAAAAGATAATACAGTAGTTATCTGTAGATAATTATAAACGTTGAGTCTCTCAAATTCCATGATGAAGTACAACGAGCGCAACACCAACAGAGTTCTAATTACCATAATTCACAAACAATCCCCTCCCACAGCGCATCTAACAATCGCAACCAACACAATCCCACCCGCTGCGGCTCAGCCCAAACAACCAACTATCCCATCTGATCTCAATAGCACTCAAAACGGCAGTTACTCATCCCCAAATCCCACAGCTTCCTCCTCATCCCCTCTCAAATCTCATCTCCTCATTACAGACTCGCCGACATTGTACCCCCCTCCTGTTTCCCTCGTAGACAGAAAAGATACCCCAGAGACCCATCATTCACTAGGTACATGCCCTTCTTCCCATACCCTTATTCTCATCTTCCACCTCCCAACATCACCTTACATACATGGCCCCTCCACAACACCGCCGCACCTCCGCCGTTACATAGTTGCAGGACAAACCCTCCCCGCCTCGCCTCAATTCATCCATCTCCCAACTCCCAATTCCCATAACTCCACTTCCTTCAACACGAATTCCCACCTCAACTCACTTCCAACAAACTCAGATAAAACACGGCACAGACATAACAAAACCTCGGATTATATACCCGGATGGATGAATGAATGGGCCAAGTCAAACCAGACGGAAACAATCCGATAATGCAACTTCGCCTCTTGACAATACCGGGGTTGAGAAAAAGGAAACCAAAAAGGAACAAACGAACCCGAAACATGAAACAAACAAACAAAACCCGAAAAAAAAAAGAACAACAGAAAGAATAGAATATTCCGCAAACGGGTAACACCCCCCCTGTAACTACCAATCCCGGCGGGCCGTCAGCATCGTGGCGTTACGCATGCGTATTCGTCATCATCTGGAATTATTGTTTCGCATCAAGACAAGAGGACGTAATCGCATCCGTGAAAAGAGAGGTTGGGACTTGGCATGTCAACAAATTTCTCTTCGTTGTATTTTGACTGTTTTCCCCTTGGCTCTGGAGGGTTACGCCATCCGTTACTTCGTATGGTACATCCACCACTCATCCGTAATACATCCCGGCGGTTGGTTTTCATCCTGCCGCACCGCCGGATTCTCCTCCATAGTTGACCCCTCTGCCAAACGCAATTTACAATTGAAATAGCAAGCGTATGTAAAAGCACCACAACCACCCAAACAAGACGGCCAGCGTGAAGCTGTCTTGTCAGACCACCACCCATTCCCCCCTCCGATCCAACCCAAAATCTGTCTGCCGTGTATGTCCTCCATGCCCCGAACGCCGTGGTATCTCGAAATGCAGTGCCGAAGCAAAAACCCAATGTTGCATGATGCCCAAATAAATGTATGTCATATGATTGTACGGGGAAGGAGTGTCCGTGTATCATCGTGAGAAACCTAATCCTGTATCGTTTTTTTTTCTTCCCGGAAGTTTTGAGGGGGTTAAAGTCAAACCGCCCGTTCAAACGTCGGGATCTGGATTCATGGCCCTCAAGACTCTACCCGGCTGATGCACCCGCCTGGAATAATCCTGGTTATCCTGCAACGAGTTGAAGCTTTCGCGGCTCCTGTTGTGGTCGCTGGGGTACATCCCCGTGGTGAATGGGTCGAGGCGTGGGTCGACGGGCATGAGGTGGCTGCGGCGTTTGTCGGAGGGTCCGCCGGTTGTACTACCACCGTATCGGCTCTCGCTCATTTCGGCCGAGCCAGGCGTTGCGATCCGGCCGGGGGAGGCACCGCGGCCAGGTGATCCAAGACCGGCGGGGTCGGCGTCGTCGCGGTCTCGTCTGCGCTTCACAAACAAGAACCAGATCAATGCGGCTATGATCGCTATTGCGCCTAGAACACCGATCACAACACCGGCGATGGCACCTCCTGTAAGGCCACTGTCCTTATTCTCGACGTTGTTGTTGTCTCCAGGAGCGGTCGGCTCGGACGGGGCGGTGATGGTCCTGATGCTTCCGCCCACCGTAATAGTCGTTACGTCGGACTGAGGAGGTTTGGTAGTTTGCTGTGAATCACGGAGTTAGCATACGCACTCATATCGAATGTAAGGAACCATCAAGCAATCGTGACCGGCCCGCGGGGAAACACAACGCATACAGTAGTGGTGGACAAGGTTGAAGACACAGCGGTAGACGTCGTCGACGTCGAGGAGACCCCGGACGACGACGACGATGTTGGGGGATGGGCCGTGCTGCTCTGCACCCTCGTCTCAGCTTCACTTATCACAACGGCTGAGGCGGATCCACGTGGCTACGCTCTAACGGGCCAGAATACCCTGGGAAGCCACATCGAGGGCGAGGGGGAGGAGAGGCACACATGGGCACGGCACACACAACGCAGGACTCCCGGCGGGCACGCGCACGTCAGCTCGAGGGGTGAGGGGGATGGCTTACATCTGGTGGTGATCCGGTCGTGGAAGAACTGGACTTGCCGCCCCCGTCCCCGCCGCCGGCGGGTGCTGTCCCCTGAGGGGTGTTCCCGGCAGCCTCAATGTAGCCAAATAGGTCGGTTCCGCCGCAGAAATCGGTTGGGTAACCGGGGCACGGAAACTCGCAGTTCCCAATCGGCTTCTGGTCGGCCTTGTTGGGGATCAAGTTAGAGCACCAACAATACTTGTTCTGGATAATACCAAAAGCAAAGTTATGGGAAGTGCAGTTGTCATAGCAGCGACCCTCGCTTTGCCAGGTGTAGAAGACTAAAGAGGCAGAATGGTCAGCACCGGGGTTGGTAGCAGGAGGCAAAGATACTCACAGGGAGTCATATCGGCATCGGCGGTGTTGGCGGACGAGCAGTATGATACGGGTATCGAAGGTCCATCTGCTGCCCAAACCATGCTATACAGCAGGGCCCCAACGCTGAGGCTGACCCATGCCAGGGCAGCTTGTCGTGATGCCATGGTGGATTTCGATTTAGTTGGTGATATCTCGCGTGTTTTTTGATGTTGCCTGTTGGCAGTCGTCGTCGTCGTCGTCGTCGTCGTAGGTGCAAGACTGTCTCAACCGGAGCGGTGCCGTTTGATATTGAGCCTAGATGTGTTCTACTACACGACCAAGTTGTACGGTCCAGCCCATGAAAATCCCTATCCGTCGGTGGTGCTTCAAACGTCCATAGCTATCGAAAGTCCGAGGAGGCAAACCGGCAAAACGACGGCCGAGCGTGAATCGAAAGAGGTCTCCGGATAGTCCGGTCTGGAGAAATTGGGCCCGAGTCGTCCGCCACCTTTCTCAAAAGCCGGGGCGTGTGCAGGTCCGACCGAATTGGCGACAAAGGGTTGAAGGAGGACGAGCAACCCAACAACAAAGGTGTTGTGTCGTGGTGGGCAGGCAAAAGGTGAAGGAGAGGGTGCAAAGTTGGTTTGCGGGACAGAGGCGCCAAGGGAAGAAGAGGTTGACCCAGAGAAGCCCACTTTCGGCGGAGCAGCATGCCCCCCCTGCAAGCTCAGCACAGTGCACCTGGTACCAACACGAAAGAGTGGAGACAAACAGGGAGCGGCGGGTTCTTTCCAGGATGTTGATGGTGGGAAGCGGAAGCTCCGATCCACCTCAGCCAGATGAGCCGAATCAAGTCAACTGATGAGCGGGAAACGGGCAGGAAGTGAAAGTGGGCAGCAGCAAGTCTCACAATCGCCGAGCACACCTCTCCCCCTTCGGCAGGCACCGCATCTCCGCCACTGGGACCAAGTCAGCGGGTTCTGGCGATCCTTGTTCAGGTCCCGAGATTTTTTTGTGGTTTTTTTTCCCTCGCATGTCACGATGTCTCAAACAAAAAACAAAGATTGGTCTGAACCTTGCGTTCCCGTTGGTTTCTCCGCGTTCGGTTGCAGTTGCAGGTGACCTGGTCAAGGCCACCGTCCGGCGTAATCAACACTGTGTCCGAAGGGACGAAAACAGGACAACACCGGGAGCAGGAGCAGCCGGGGGGGAATTGAAGGGGAGCATGGGAAGTGGGAACCGCGATTTTCTGAAGCGAAGCGGGTTGGCAACCTGGTCGCAGCGCCCGAATCGACGGCGTCACACCCCACACATGAGAGCACACCGAGCGGCCACTGGCACTTTCCCATCTCCGAATGGAGAAATGGCAGAATCTGCGACGGCAAAAAAGACGCCGCCCTGCAGCTTTTTGTTTCCTCCTTCCTCGCACAAGCGAACAGCTGCATGTTTCCTTGAATTTGCCTCCTTCCATGCTTCGGTTCCATCTTTCCCGTTGCTCTTGACAATTGCTCGCTGGCACTGTGCCGATCTATCGCAAGCTGTTCGGGGTTGGCGGGCTGGCGTGTTCGGCACATCTCCGGCCACCAGAGACCAGGAATGGGAATGCGGCTTGGGGGAGTTCCATCCTTCATCGTATTCCCTCACTGCCATCAGTGTTTGAGCTGTCTTGGCATCCTTTCTCAACCACGGCAAAACAATTACTGATTGTGTTGAACGCCTCACGAGACCTAGCTCGTATCACTTATTGAGTCTTTTACTCTTGATTTCTTGAAACGCACACGGGACCCGACGCTCGATAACGGGCAGTTCAGTTGGTGGAGGTCGTGTGGTCTCGTATTCTCCCATACCCCGCCGAGAAGACGCAAGCAAGCAACGCAGATGCACATGCACGTCTTTTCTGGAATTTTGAGGAGGGACGCAGGCTGCAGCGGCGAAGGCCAAAAACTGCCGGATTCCGGGAGCGTGGAAGCGATAACAACGACGCTTTTCGGTCTTGCGGGTTGTTCGTGCGAGTTACTACATAGGTACTATGTGCTGTGTAGTTACTCCTCCAGTTACTCCTCCCATTGATGTCCTGCCTTGCTTTTTGCCGCTCAGGTAACAACACTGGAATGGTTATCGGCTCCTCCCAGCCACCGAGATTCAAACCCGCATTTCGTCTTACTACACTTACTACGTATGGTAGGTAGCCTCGCCTTTCAATCGGGAAGTAGTGGGGAGGCGGGGGAAGACACAGTAGAGGCTCAACGCAGGCCGATACGACGACAAGATCTGGACTTGTGGTTTGTTGGCTGTCGTTGATTCTCGCCTATCGATGCGCCCACCTGCCCACTAGAACGCTCTGCTGCTTCTGCATGAACGGTTGCTTCCCAGCGCGAGACCGGTTTCGCGGACATGCGTGGTCTCCGCACCACCCTCTCACGACGCTGCTGTACGTGATGCTGCCGATGCAGGTTGAACACGAACGGCCAATGTCTCGCGCCGGGGAAACATTCTGCGCCCGGGCTCGGGGACGGCAGATGTTGTCCGCTCCGAGCTCACCGCTGTCGCTGCGGCGTGCCTGGGTCATTTGGCACCTCATCAATTGGTAGTCCTCGAGGAGGGTACTGCAAGTTGACAAAAGGTTCTTGAGGGCCAAGCCCGCGAAATCACCGGGTCGACGCGGACCAGATGTCGCCCGCCAACATCACCTTGTGGCTCGTGTAGAGGGACTGAAAGCACGTTGAGTCGGCGTCTGGAATTCAACCACCTGGGGTTGTTCGCAATCTCGACAACTTAGCACTCACTTCCCACACAACGGGCTCCCCATTCTTCGTGCCTAACGAACCGACGGTTGCCCACCAAGCCGTCCAGCGTCTCTTATCGCTCAGCCAGTCAGCCACCCCGCCTCGGTCACACACACACACACACACATACACACCTGCGGTGCTTCCCGCAAGCCCGGAATCCCGGTTTGTTAGCGATCGACAGCAGCGGCGCGCGGCAGGTTTCAGCTGGTTTCTGTGGGGGCGGCTCAAAGTTGATTTAATGTTGACGTTCGTTACGTTAGTGTCTGCGTCTTCACTTCAGGCCTGCCTGCAGTTAACTAATGGGCGTTTGCGGGGGACGAATGGTTTTCGTTCAGTTGAAGTCGGCATTTTGTTGTCAATGTGAGTTAGCGAGACTTGCGAGAGCAGCAGAATGTGGGGGTCAGAAACATTTGACATGGCCGCTGTGGTCTAATGCAGGGGGGGGCATGTTGAGGATCCACTTTCTCGGTGAAGGTCGAAGCGGGCCATTGAGAACTTGTTGTGGATGCAGTCACTAAAGATTTGGAGTGTGGACGGAAGAGGTTGAAGAGTGAGCGAAAAGGAAAGCTAACAAAGATCGGGCCGGTTCCTGGCGCTTGGGCGCGCCGATCTTGAGGTGCAGTAAGCCGTGGCGTTTTCCGTTCAGGAACGGGAGAACAGCTCGCGGCCGGGGGATTCGATCGGACGAACAATGATGATCGGCCGTTTTGGTGTGGCTAACGTTGACTACTCGGACACTACTGTAGGTGGTCACGAATTGAGTCACCATTGAGTTGCCGATTGGAAAGGAAAGAAACAGCCGAGTGTGGAAGTTGAGATCGAGTGTGAGTGGGCAAGATGAGCGAGCGAGGTGTTGGTTGATGCAGGAACAGAACAATGTCTTGGTTAACTTCTGGTACTCCGTAGCGGGTATATTGACCTTAAGCGATGGACTACCTATGTTTACTCCGTACAGCCGCTTTCCCAGTAAGATGTCAAATCAACCCTGAAAAATCCCGTGCCGTCAATATATCTCGAAAGTACAATGTAGGCCACTCGGCTCAACGAGTGTTTCCTATCCTGTACAACATACCACCGTCCCTATATCCGAACCCTCATCCTGCCATCCATATATCGTGATCCATGCCACATCAGTGCAGTATAGCACCTCCGAAACATCCCAGTCTTCCCACTTGCCTTGTCCCTCGCATATAAATCCCAATAAACCCCAAATACACCCGAATAAAAAAAAAGAATAGGAAACCAAAAACAACCCCTTATATCATACCATATCTTACCCGTCCTGATACCCCTTCAGTCCTCAATCCTTAATCCTCTTCCACCCACCCCCCTCACTCCTCACTCCACTCCTTATCACATTCCGTTTAGGACCTCTCCGGGCTCCTCTCCGGACTTCCCCCATGACTTCTACTAGGCGAGCTCGGCGACCCAGGACTCCTCTCAGGGCTCCTCGACTCAAAACTCTCCACCATCCTCAGCACGCGAGATTTCGGTCGGTCGGGCCGCTCGAGTTGCTCAATCTTGTCGGCGCGGCCGAGGCGTTCGAGGTGTTGCAGTTGGAGTTGGCGGGTTGTGCGGTCTTGTTTCGGATTCTGTTCCCTTTGAGCTTTGGCCTTCGGTGTGCTAGGTGTGTTTTCTGGGGGAGTGGGTTTGGGAGAGGGTTTAGGAGAGGGTTTTAAAGGGCGGAGTTGTGGTGAGGGGGTTCGGGGGGGGGGGGTGGGGGGGGGGGGGGGGGGGGGGGGGGGTGGGGGGAGTATTGGGGGGTGTTCGATGAGGTCCTGTTGTTGGGTGGGCTCTTGTTGTGCTTGTTGTTGGTCTTCTTGTGGTTGGACGAGGTGTTTTTGTTGGATTGGATTTTGGTGGGTCGGATCTTGGTGTTGTGGTTGTTGACCCTGGACTGGCTCATCTGGTTGACCTGCTGACGTTGAGCCAACATCAAGAGACGGGATGAGAGGCTCCTGCGTCTCCTCCTTCGTCTCTTCCTGTCCTTCTTGCTGCGACTGGACCTCCTCCGGATCAACAATCAACACACTCTCCTCCCGTTCCACCTCAGCATTCACCACCCTCAGCGGCTCCCTCGGCACAGTAAACATGATCTGCACCGTCCGCTGCTCCGCCGCCCTCTCCAAATCCCGATCCCACTCCTCCTCGTCCCCGTCTTCATCCACCTCCAACCAAGCCCCTCTACCCTGCCGTCTCCTCTGTTGTTGTCCCAGGACCCCATCATACTCCGGACTACCAGCACCATCCCCTGGGTAAAGCGAGGATAGTAAACCCTCGCGTGTCGGGCTCTCACCGCGGTTGTCGTTACCAGAGGAGGAACTGACAGAGTCAGGAACACCGCTCCCGCTAAAGACCCGCTTGAGACTGCCGAGCCAGCTGCGGCGACGGGGCCGGGATTTGTGATTGGGCAGGGAGACGAAGTCGAAGTCGTTGTCGTCGTCGTCGCCGTCAAGGGGTGAGACGGCTCTGTCGGTGTAGGCGTAGCTATGTCCGTGGTCGTGGGTAGCGGGGTTGGGAATGGGACTGGAACCGAGTAATAGCCCCGGGCCTTCGTCGCGTAGTGCGGCGAACTTGGATCGGGCTGGGCTGGCTGTGGGTGTACCGCCGCCCGTTGTTGTGTTGACAACGCCTGTACCAGTGGCAGAAACTGTTGTGGTTGTCGTAGCAGACACGGTAGTCGTCGTGGCCAGGGTACTCCGCAGCCGGGATAACAGCACCCGGTCTTCTGCTCCCGTATTCCCACTCCCATTCCCGTTCCCACTTCCACTTCCACTACCACTGCCATTCCCACCCTCGATCCCCCGGACAAAACTCAACGCGCTCCGCTCCGAGAGACTGCTCACCGTCCGACCATCATCGGTATGCGCCACCGACGACGGGGCAGAAGGGAATTGGTGAGACGACTGGGCGGATTTGTTGGATAGTCCACGGCGTAAGGGGGAAGAGAGACGGGTTACGACTGCGGCGGCTGCTGTTGCTACTGTTGTTGCCGTGGTCATTGTCGGGGTGTGCGAAGGCTGTTGTGGGGATTGAGATTGGGGTTGAGATGTACCCGAGTTGGACCTCCTCCGAGCCGGACGAGGCAGATTGAGCACCGGCACGGCCGGGTTAGACGAGGCGTCGACGTCGGAGACCCAGTGTTGCACGTCTGGGTGCTGTTCCTGGCCGCCTCTATCGTCTTGTCCCGGTGCTGTGCCTGCATGTGACGGAAACTGTTGACCAGTCGGGGTATGCAGCACCGGCGTCAAGAACGGGTCTTCAATCTCCATCTCTTCCCTTTCCGGACTCAGCGGATACCCTTTCTGGGTGGTATCATCCTCATCATCGTCACCCTCATCGGCCTCATAAATCGGCTCGATCCGACCTGGTCCCCGCGCAGCAGCAGCAGGCAACGGCGTAAAATCATACGACGACGTCGGCTGATGCAACCCCTTAGCACCCTTCGGTCGAGCGTGACTAAACGTCGACGCAGACGGCGGCGGGGGGATATACAACGACGACGGGCGAGTCCCGGGCGACTGTGGTGACCCCGGAGGAGCACCGCGAAGCGTCTCATACCCTCCGAGGGACCTCCGGCCCTGGGAATACGGGTCGTCACCACTGCCCGTGTACCATTCCCGTGCAGCCGTGGCTGTCCACGGGAAGAAAGGGCTGTGGTCCGGTTGTTCGGCCATTTCGTCGTGCTGGGATGGTGACTCGTTGAAACCCTGGGACAGACCTCTGAGCGTGGCATCGCGCGCAGCTCGGCGTTGGCGTCGACGGCGGATGCAGCGGAGGGTGAAGAAGCTGAGGATGGCGAGGAGGAGGGCGCCTACGCCGAGACCGACGCCGAGGGCGATTTGTTTGGTGTTTGAGATGGTGTTGTTGTCTGAATCACCATTCCCGTTGGAACCAGACCCCGATGACCCTGAGCCGTCTCCTCCAGTTTCTCCCCCGTGGCTTGTTCCTTGGCCGGTGCCACTCCCAGTACCAGTCCCAGTCCCGCTTCCCGCTGGCGGAGCGACATACACATCCGCCCAACTCCCACTAGTAATATTATAAAACATCCCCCCTCCAGTCTCCCTCTTCTGTACTCCCTGGCCGCTAATCCCAAACCCCCCATAAACCATCATCACATTCCCCGGCAAAACCACCGCTCCATGCCCATACACCCCTTTCCCCCCCGCCGTGTCAGTATCAATATTCTCCGGCACATCAGGCACCTCCCAAACCCAATCCCCCAACCCAACCCCCATGCGCACAACCGCCAACTGCGGCCGTGCCGGGCGCGAAACATCACCCACCCACCCGCCGTAGACGACTAGGCGCGTGCCGTCTTCGCTGAGGACTGCTGTGTGGCCTGATCGGGGGTCGATTGTTGTTATGCTGGTTGTGTCTCGTTTTTGGGGTCGGGATCGGGATCGGGATCGGGAGGTTGTGGACTGACGCGCGAGGTCGCTTTGTGGTTGTCCCGAGTCGGAGTTGGAGTTGGAATCTGAGTTGGAGTTGGGAGACGGCGGAGCAATACCGATGAAATTCCACGTTTCCTCCGGCAAAGACCAGACGGCGGCCATGCTCATGTTGACGGAGCCTGTGGGGGTGTGCCCGCCGAGGAGGACGTGGTTTGTTTGTTGGGTTACTATTCCGTTCCCTTGGGCGTTATCGTCGTCACCATCGCCAGACGTCAGGTTGGTAATCGACGGCGTCAACTCCGTCAACGTAAACCCGGCTTCGGCGACGGGTAGTTGCTGGCCTTTGGGCGCGGCATACCCCATGGTATACGACGATGGTCCTTTGCTGGCGCTAGTACCAGTACCAGCCGGGTCGAAACGCAGCATGCGGTTGGAATACGTCCCATCTCCTCCTCCTGAGGAAGAATCAGACGGACACATCCCCCCGTACAAATAAAACCTCGGTTCCGACAGCGTCGGTCTCAACTGCGGCGAGAAATCGACCACGCCTCCCAGCGCGTAGGGCCCGCTCTGTGCATTGTCCCATGCCGCGGCGGGTGTTACGCTGTGTTGGGTCCATGTCCCCTGTCCCTGAGCATCTGCATTGTCGGCTGGGGTGTAAGTCCAGAGAGTAGATGCCGACGACGAGGTAGGTCCGCACTGCCCCGCGAGCACAGCAATCGTGCCGTTGCGGAGGAGGGTCGGGGCAAAGGTTGCGCAACCGCCATCGGTGGTATCACTCGAAGAAGGGAGGAATGGGAGGGAGGAGGAGAGGGTTGTTGGTTGGAGGGAGGACGACCGGAGACTGCTGATGTTGAGGGCGAGGAACTCGACGGCGTTTTGGTTGTCGTTGGGCTGGGTGAAGATGTATGCTGTTCCGGCTCCTGCGCTGTGGTCGGAGGGGAGGAGGATTGTTGTTGGGGTGTAGGGTAGTGGTGGACTCGCGGCTGAGGCGTGGGTTGTGAGAAGAGTGAGGGCTGTGAGGGCGAGTGCTTTGGTGCTGGATAGTGATCGAGGTCGATAGCTAGGTGCTGAGGTCCGGAAGGCCGATGACGATGACCTCCTCCCTGGCCGAGAGGCCGACCCGGCGGAGAGCAGCATAGGCATCGCGAGTTGACTCGTGGTCACCGTGTAGCCAGCCGTATGTGGGACTATCCTCGCCGGGGCCTGTCTGATTCTCGTATCGAGCAACAGAACAGAACAGGTCGGACAAACCCCGCGGTGCCACGACCCCTGCCCTGGCAATGACAAAAATGAGGGGGATAAACTGTCAAGCAAAAACACAATTTGAGAAAGTAAAGCAATAGGCAAACTCGTTAAAAGATCAATGCATCGTGGTAACAAAACGCAATGCGAGATGATCTGGCAATTGATAGTAGGAATTGACAACGGGAATTGATCAACCGAGAAAGCAGCAAAATCCGGCTAAGAACAGGGAAGACCAAGGTGAATGGCGTACTATGGTAAGTTAAGGTGAAGTGGGTAGGTGGGATGTCCCCATGGACGAATTTGGAGGGGTTGGTCAGGGGTCACGGGGAATGTCAACAAACCCAGCCTCCCTGTCTCTCTCTCACACCCACCCGCAAAATCCTCCACTCAAAGACAGAGCGCTCTCGCCCACACCGGACTGACGCGGCTGCGCATTATCTTGGTAGGGGGTGAGTTTGAGAGCTGTTATTGGCTGGCGATGGCTCGGCAATCTTGCACGCCCGATTTGTCGGTTGATTGTGGTGTGGGTGTGAGTAGGGGGGGTTGCTATGGCAACGATGCGGGGATACCACAACAAATGAACCAAGTTTGCAACCGAGTTTCCAGAGCACAGAAAAATAAAAGTGCGGCCGGGGAAATTCCGGCAAAATTGGATTGCTCAGATGTGTAACGTTAGAAGTTAACGAAACTAAAGTTACGAATAGATGAGAAGATAAGAGCTCAAAAGGGGGCCGGAAACACAGCAGCTGTCTCGTCCAAGATACGGCAGACTTACACCCCTCTCATCTGACGTATACTGTCGTCCAAAAGGAAATACAAAAAAATGCAACACACTTATTGAGAAACCACGCACAAAAATAGAATCTATCCAGAACATTTATCCAAAACACTCAACCCATCAAACAAAACCAAACTAGTAGTTAACTAACAACACACCCAATCAATACACCCCATACCTAGTACATACACTACACTCTCCTTCAGCCCTGGCCCCCCACAACCCCCCTCAAAACCTCCACCTCCCTCCTCAACTCAAGCACCTCCCTCTCCGCTCGTGCAGCCCGTTCCCTCTGCTCCTGCAACCTCTCCACCAGTCCCCCTTTCCCCTTTTCTCCCCCTTTTTCACCCCCATTCCCACTGTCGTCCCCATTAATGTTAGAATCAACCCCCTCAGCAAAAGCAAACATCAACCCATCCCTCCCCCTTCTTACCCCCTCCATCTCAGCCCTTAACACCCCCATACCCTCTGCCGCTCTGTCCAGCTCGTCTAACAAATACCTGTTAGCCAGGTCGGCGCGACGGGCGTGTAGCGTTTGGGAGGTGTAGCGTTTTTCTAGGTCGGTAGCGCGGTGGGTGGGGATTTTAGGGGGGTTTGGGAGGGTTATGACTGTTGGGTTTGTGGCGGTTGGGTTGGGGTTTGATGAAGAGGAGGAGAGGTGGGTGCGGGTGTAGGAGACGCTGGGGTGGTGGGAGTAGGCGGGGAGGAGGAAGAGGGTGGTTTTATTAGGTTTTGCGGGATGGGTTTGCTGGAGGTTGTTGGGGTTGGAAGGGTTAGAAGGAGAGGTCGTGAGGCGGTAGTACCGGGTTGTGAGGTCGATGGAGACGATACCGCGGGCGTGGCCTTGCGCGGTCGTTGTATTCCCCCCATGAGCTGGCCCCTGAGATGACCCCTGAGACGGCCCCTCCCACAAGGCATCCCCAATAACCCCATTCTCCCTCCACACTCCCTCCTTAGCCTGCACCTCCGCCTGCTTGCGATCCAACAGCTCATGCACCAAATCAAACGCCTCGTCTCCCGCATTCACCAACACCCACCGGTCCTGCGGGTACGCAATCTCCCGCCCACTACTATTACCACTCAAACCAGCCTCAGCCTGCAACTTCACCTGCACCGGCACCGCCGCCTCGCCCGCCAGCGCATCTAGCGCATCCGCATACGCCCGCTCCAACTCGTGCATGCGCGCCACCAGCGACTGCGTGAAATGCAGCCACTGGCCCAGCAGGCTGTTGCGCGCGTTAGCAAGCTCGTTGTTGCGCGCCACAGCCGCGGCGTGCATGGCGTCGGCGTCGGGCGTGCGGTGGCGGGTGTGGTGGATGGCGTTGTTGAGGTGTTTGTTCAAGGGGTTGGCGGTGTCCGCCTCGGAATGGGGCCCGCCTGGGGGGTACGGCAGGATGGACATGAGGCCGCCGGTGGAGCTGAATTCGTGGTCGAGGCGTTCGAGGCAGGCGTTGGCGTGCATGATGAGGTTGTGGTGCGAGGCGTAGGGGCGGAGTTTTTCTTTTTCTTTCTTGTCTTCCCAGTCTCGGGCTGAGCCTGGAGCGACAGTGGTGGTCTCGGCGAATGGGCAGTGGTATGTTGTCTGGCCGAGCACTTCGTTGCGGCTGCGGACTTCGTTGACGAGTGCACCCAGCGTCTTGTGGTGGTCCGGGTCGTCGTTGGTGTAGGGCACGCTGAGATCCGTGAGAAAGTCAAACGCGTCGTTGAGCTGGTACTCCAACGACGTCTGCGGGTCGTTCGTCTTTTTAGTCTTCTTCTTCTCCCCCGACAACCCGCCCACGCCGATCTGCCCCGAGTGCACCGTCGGGTTCAGCAGGTGGATGAGCGCGCAGAGCGACTGGGCATGTTGCTTGAGGGCCAGCAGCGTCGGCGGCACGCCGCAGGTCGAGAGATACCCGCAGTTGACATGTCGCAGCAGGCCCTGGCTGACCTCGGTGTCGTGGATGCGTGACCACTGCGAGAAGTACGGCAGCGAGTAGTCGGTGCCTTTGATGTATCCACGTTGCTCCGCGTGGTCGTCGTCCTCGTGGTCGGCGAGGTGCGTCGGCGTCGACGCGCTGGGGATCAGACTGGTCATGGTGTAAGTAGAGATGAATCACTACCACAAGTGTTGTATTACTCGAAGACGATACAGACAGTACAGACAGAATGTTGTTCGTGTTGGGGGACCCCATTCATAGTTGAAGACGTCCACCATCACGGCATACCGGTCAAACGTCTGCGCCACTAGACATCTGCAAAGCCATGTTTACCGGCTTTGTCCTTCAAGTTGAACAAAGAAAGTGTGTCGTCTAACAAACGGAAACGGCAGTCTACATGGAATCATAGTCGTTTTCCGGCGGCATCCCTCGCAAGGGATCTGTCAGTCAATTATGAAGTATCGTTCTCGCTGTTTTCGTTTTCCTTGACACTCCCTTGGATGAGAAGCTCGAAAGATGACATTTTCGCACAAATTTACCGGTTGCGCCCGATGGGTTGACACCCATCATGCAAACAAGTCCTTTCAGTGGGTTTGGTTGTCATAATGGGGAGACTGATTTCCGCTTCCATTTACACGGTGTTGTGGCTATCGCTGAGGGGAATCGGGTCTCCTGAATTCGAGCCTCTGCTACTTAGTCTGAAAGTGTCAGCTGACTCATCCAGATTGTTTTCCCTATCTCCGTTCTCTCTCCCTCTCTAATTTTCTCTCTTGTTCTTTCTATAACGATATCAATCGAACATTCACGTTCGGGTCGAAAACTCGGTCGCTGATCCCGGGAAGATGCTCGTCCGCAAATCGCATTAAACAAACGTAAACTCCACGTATGGGCGATCCCATAAACTTTACTCCGTGCTGGCGTGCCGGCATCTCCTTTCATCAGACGAGAAGCTTGCGCTGGCGCTGCCGGCGCGCAACGCCGAAAATGGCCTGATGGCGACGCGACTGTCCTACCCTGATCCCAGCTACTGCTTTCCCGATTTGCGCTGCAAGCAAGGAGTCGGGGTTGATGTGTGGCTTGAGCTCCACTGCAAGCCGCGCAAACGGGAGGAAATCCCGCGTTTATCAGTGGTTGTTTTTCAGCCGGGCCTGGACTTGGAGCAACAAAACCTTCCCCATCGGTCCTGCAGCAGCCGTTCCATGTGACTGGTACGGATTGGCAATTTGTCGCACGGTGAAGGCGCAGATCGAAGGGTTTTGGCTCGCCAAGCTCGCTCAGCTTCCCGCCACCTTTTCTAGGGTTATTGACTATCCTGTGTGCTTGTGTGACGTGGTGACACAAGCGTGGATTTTGACAAGAAAGAGGCGTGAGACATGCGGGGGGAGCGAGCAAGTCACCAGGTGTCGGGCGCACAGATGATGCCAGATGGCCAGGCCTCGGCGGCGGTGCGATCGCCGATGAGAATGGGAGGGCGGGTGGTGGATCGGCCGTCCGGTCGGTCCATGTCTTCCCGTCACAGTGCCGCGCAACTTTTTTGTTATTAACAACAAACGTTGACCTTGCTGGGAACACTGCGAAGCGTTGTCTCGGGCCTCTGCGGGGTGTTGCTCAAGACGGCTAGGTGCGGTGGTTGACCTGAGACATGCACTCCAAGCTTCAGCCAGTGTTGAGGGGCGCAATTCCCAGCCTCTTTCTCGTTGAAAACACCGGAGCAAATTCCGTCTCTTCCAACTTCTCGACAGAGCGCAAACGTGCATCGCTGATGGCAAAGGCTCCAAAGCAATCGATTGGCGGATTGCAGAATTTTTCAAGAAACGGGAGTGCAACCGCGGGAAAGTGCCAAGGAAAAAAGCCGATGGCAGCAGGGGAGCGCCTTCTGAGATTCCCAGGGTTGCATCGTGCGCGATTGCCGTGATCCTGGTTCAGCTGCTCAAATTTCCCTGGCAGGTCTGGCCCCGCTCCAGCTTTCAGCCATTGGCAATGCGTTGCGTCATAGGCTCGAGGGAAAGCTCGAGCATCGAGAAAGCATCGGCCATCGCATGGGACAAGAGTCGGCGCTTGAGGCAAAACAATGATGTGGTCCAAGCAATTGGGATTTACTACACTACATTGGTGTATGTACTGTGCGACTGGCAGACCTGTCGAAGCCGGGAACTGGGCGGCCGTCCAAACTGAAAAATAAAACGTCTGATAAGAGAACTTTCTCGTTCGATCGGACATTCCCGTCGCACCTGCCGTTGTCCCACGCGGTGTGTTAGGGCTCAATCGATTGAGGAATCAAACTTTTTAAACATTCCAGAGCTTAATTCCACTGCAGTACGTGGATTCCCGGGCCTGTCCAACTCCCGCTTGTATCGACCGTATCAGTTGAACGTGAGTGTGTGCGCCCTCTTTGCTTGTGTGTTCCCGACCGAAAACCTACCCCCGTCCAAGACCGAGCCAGGGGTTGCTTGGCTGCGGTCCGCTCTTGAACGTCCACTCACCACCTGCTCGTTAAATTACACTAGCGCCTCGGCCCCGACTTGACCTTCATAACCCAGCCGAGCCCGCTCATTACCGCGCGCCCTGCCAATGCCGTTTCTCGTCGTCCTCCATTTCGAAATCTGACCGGCCCGTTTCAGAACGCGCCCCGCCCCGAAAAGGGAACCGCGGTTTTGCGTGTCGTTGTCACCCCATCGCCAGATCAGTCGACGACGATAAGAACAAAACAACACCAAGAGTTATCGAAAACACCGAATTGAACCTGCAGAGTGATTCTGCACCGCCGCCATCATGGACACCAGCGGAGACCAACCCAAGGGGAGCTCGCTCTCGGGTGAGTGCCTGTCTTAAGGGACGCCTACTTTTGAGATGGAAACTGGAAACTGACCGTCGGTGCAGGCATGGTTTCGACCCTCGCCCCGGTTGCTGTGGTCTCGGGTATTTACTTCGCCATCTTCGTGTTCCTGCGAAAGAGCCAGAGGCGCTACTATGCCCCGAGAACGTATCTCGGGAGCATCAGGGAGGGGTAGGTCAAGGAATTCACTTGTGATCATGGGAACTCGTCACTAACTCCTCCAGCGAACGTTCGCCTGCCCTGCCCAACGGCCTGTTCAACTGGATCGGGACCTTCTGGAAGATCCCCGACATCTACGCGCTCCAGCACCAATCCCTCGATGCTTACCTGTACCTCCGGTACTTGCGCATGGCGCTCGTGCTGTGCTTTGTGGGCTGCCTCATCACCTGGCCGGTCCTGTTCCCCGTCAACGCCACGGGCCACGGCAAGCAGATTCAGCTCGACATCCTGTCGTACGCCAACATTGACCAAAAGACCGAGTACAACCGCTACTATGCGCACACCTTTGTGGCGTGGCTGTACTTTGGCTTCGTCATGTACATGATCATGCGCGAATGCATCTTCTACATCAACCTGCGCCAAGCCTTCCTGCTGAGCCCCTTCTACTCGGACCGCATCTCGTCGCGGACCGTGTTGTTCACCTCGGTGCCGACGCCGTACCTCAACGAGGCTGCGCTGCGCAAGGTCTTTGGCGCCGCCGTTAAGAAGGTCTGGATCACGGCCGACACCAAGGAGGTTGACAAGGTTGTCGGAGAGCGCGACAAGGTGGCCCTGCGTCTCGAGAACGCCGAGGTCAAGTTGATCAAGCTGGCCAACAAGGCTCGTCAGGCATCCCTCAAGAAGTCAGGCGCTCCCGCGGCCGACGAGACCGAGACGGCCCCGGCCGCGCTCGACGCCGAGTCCGGCAGCATCGCTGCCCGCTGGGTTCCCCAGAAGAAACGCCCGACTCACAAGCTCGGACCCCTGGGTCTCTTCGGCAAGAAGGTCGACACGATCAACTGGTGCCGCGCCGAGCTGGAAAGGCTCATCCCCGAGGCCGATGCCGCGCAGGGCAAATATCTCACGGGCGGCAACAAGAACATCCCCGGCGTCTTCATCGAGTTCCGCACGCAGGCCGACGCCGAAGGCGCGGCCCAGATCCTCGCCCACCACCAGGGCCTACACATGGGCCCGCGCTTTGTCGGCATCCGCCCCGAGGAGGTCATCTGGAAGTCGCTGGCCATCCCCTGGTGGCAGCGCGTCATTCGCCGCTATGCTGTCGTCGCCTTCATCTCGGCTCTGATCCTCTTCTGGGCGATACCCGTGGCGGTTGTGGGCATCATCAGCAACGTGGAGTACCTCGAGTCGATCTCGTTCCTGACGTGGCTGAAGAAGATCCCCGACGTCATCATGGGCGTGGTGTCGGGCCTACTGCCGTCGGTGCTGCTCTCGGTGCTCATGTCGCTCGTTCCGATCGTGATGCGGCTGTGCGCCAAGCTCGCCGGCGAGCCGTCCGAGTCGAGGGTCGAGCTGTTCACGCAGAACGCGTACTTTGCCTTCCAGGTCATCCAGGTGTTCCTGGTGGCTACCCTCGCCTCGTCGGCCACCGCGGTCGCTAAGCAGATCGTAGACAACCCGGCCAGCGTCACGAGCATCCTGGCTAACAACCTGCCCAAGTCGTCGAACCTGTACATTTCGTACTTTATCGTGCAGGGTCTGACCATCGCCACCGGCGTGCTGACCCAGGTCGTCGGCTTCTTCGTGTTCACGCTGCTGTACAAGCTGCTGGGCACTACGCCGCGGTCTATGTACACCAAGTGGTCAAACCTGAGCGCCATCTCCTGGGGCAGCACCCTGCCGGTGTACACCAACATTGTCGTCGTCGGTGAGTCGAGTGTCTGGCGTCTACCTTTTATCGCGCTTTGCTAATTGTTGTCTAGCCATCACGTACTCGTGCATCGCCCCCCTGATGCTCGGCTGGGCCACGGTGGCCATGTTCCTCTTCTACTTTGCCTGGCGGTACAACGTCTTCTTTGTGACCGACACGCAGATCGACACGCGCGGCCTGATCTACCCGCGCGCCATCAAGCAGCTGTTCACGGGTATCTACATCGCCGAGATTTGCATGATTGGCCTGTTCGGTGCCTCGGTCGCGCCGGGCCCGCTCGTGCTCATGGTCATCTTCCTCGTCTTCACCGTTCTCTTCCACATCTCGCTCAACTCGGCCCTCAACCCGCTGCTGTACCACCTGCCGCTGACCCTCCTGGCCGAGGAGGAATCGGCCCGTCTGCTCGGCGACGAGGAGAAGGGCGGCGCGCCGGCCGGCCCCGTCAGCAGCACCACCAAGGAAGCCGCGGCGACTAACGGTGCGGGCGCGGCCGACATCAACGGCGATGGCACGGTCGACCCGACGGAGGCGCACGTGCAGCAGGCGCGCGACGCCCACAACGCGATCAAGCCGGGCAACATCCTCACGCGGTTCCTCAAGCCGTGGATCTTCTCGGACTACGCGACGCTGCGCAACCTGGTGCCGCGCGGCCAGCAGCTGGAGCCGTACTCGGACGAGGTCGCCGCCAACGCGTACTACCCGCCGACCGTGACCGCCAGCGTGCCGCTGCTGTGGATCCCGTCGGATGCGTCTGGGGCGGGCGTCTCGCGGCAGGAGGTCGAGCACACGTCGCGGGTGCTGCCCATTACGGACGAGGGGTGCGATTTGGATGAGAAGGGCAACCTGGTCTGGGACCGCGAGGGCACGCGGCCGCCTGTCTGGGAGGAGAAGATTTACTACTAGTTTCTGTCCACTAGGTGTTGATCCTGGCAGTAAGATGATACTGCAGTGGTGTGATACTGCTGTGGCATGATACTAGCAGTGGAAGGGGCTGCTGTGAGATTTAAGGTGGAAGATGCATGATGGAAATACGAATGTGCATGCGACGGAATGGGGTAATGGGTGATGTGATGTCTAGGGAAGGGAAGGGAGAAAACTGAATTTGCGCCGATACCCGGAATATGGATGGGATGTGTTGCTGGTTGGTTGGTGTGTTAGAAGATACGTTCTTTGCCCTGCGGGGTCTTAATTCATACTGTTACTTGATAAATCTTGGCTGGGGTTTGACAGGCTTGATTGATAGTTTGACTCGGTGTTTTTTTTTTTTTTTTTGACCTTTTTCCGCGTTGCTATCTATCCCCTCATCAACTTCACTTTTGTCACGGGTGGGCGCAACTGACCTGATGTAACATCTAAAAAGAGGGACTGTAATTCGAACTGTCTAGTCGAACTAGAAGTTGCGTATAGTACATGAACCCACACTGTCACAGCTGTGGCAACTTCTGATTATCAGTCACTTCTTCCTTCAAATCCCCCGCTGTCTTGGGAATCCAAGACTTGAACACGTGAGATTTGGGTTAGTCAAGATTCAAGGAAGATCAATCCAAACCTGTGGATTTTCCGTGTCTTGTACGTATGTACATACATATAGGGTGGTGAAGTCAAATGTTAAGGCAGTTAATTAAATACGAAACCAGTGATAAACACAAAAGCAGGAGACTGAATCAATGACAGATGCCCAACGCCGTCTAATGCCTGCCTAATTACTATGTCCATGTACAAACACCCGTCGCTGTCCATATCCACACGGTACATTAAATTATGTGTAAAAAGTACATTATGTGTAATAGTAACACAGTGATACACAAACAAGCTATCGGTCGGTCGTAACGGTCGTAACGGTCGTAACGGTCGTAACGGTCAACTCCGTCGGTTAGTTAGTGTTTAACCTTGACGGCTGGTGGCATGCTTGTTGTCCTCTTTGATGAGGTCTGCGGCCTGGTGTTTGTTAGTGGGGTGTATGGAACGGGTTGTGTAGGTAGGTAGTTGAGAAGGAAGAAATAAACAAATAAACAAAAATAAACAAACACACCCCAAACACAACTCTCAAAAGATAAAGTAGAACAAGTGACATACCTTCTCACCCAAAGCATAAACCCCCGCCTGTAAATGCGCCCCCACAACGAGCGGCATGACCCCGGCGTCGACGACTCGCAGGTTGTGTGTACCATACACGATGAGCCGTGGGTTCACCACCCCGCCGAGTTGCAGAGGTAACATGGAGGTTGAGCCGGAGGGGTGGAATTCGGTTTGGAGGTGGGCGTGGATTGTCTTTTCGGTTTGGGTTAATGCAGAGACGTCTTCTGCCGGGGGGTTGGTTTTGGGGGTGTCGTTGTCGGTGTTCTTAGGGGTCTGGTTTTTGTTGGATGTTCTTAACTCTGGGTCTGGGTTGGTGTCCGGGTCTGAAGGTGACGGCCGTGGTAATGGTGATCGTGGTGCAGCAAATCCCGAGAACGGGAAACCATCAAAAGACAGCGCCACACCGGCCGTATCCCACGGCGGCCCAGGCCGGGGTAATAAACCCTCCCCCACAGCCTGGGTATCCCCCGTCAGACGACGGTTGAGCGCCAAACCGGCCGCAAGCAGGGCGGTATCGGCTGGGTGGGCGAGATAGCGCGGGTTGAGGGATATGGCGGGGTGGGTTCGGGGGAGATATTGCTCTTCTTCTCCTTCTCCTTCCTCTCCTTCTGGGTTGGGTTCGGCCGTAAAGAAAACATCCCTCGACTCCGCCCTCACAAACCCCCGACTAAGCGGGTGCAACACAGACACAGTCAGCGTACCGACCGAATCAGCCATGACCTCGACTGCGCCGACGGCTGGGTTGGTCAGGAGCTGGGAGAGTTGGGATAACTGGGCCGTGTAGCCTTGTACTAAGGACGGATGGGATAAGGCGGTGGGGGGGAGGTAAGGGAGAGCGGATTGTGGGTCGAAGGTGGATGTTAGGTTGAGGGTTTGAGGGGGGTTGGTCCGGTCGGGGGATGTGCTGTTTGGAGTGAGGAGGTGGGTGAGGTGGGCGAAGGCGAGGGTGGTTATTAGGGGGGTTGTCCAGGGGCCTGGTTAGACTCCTAGTGTTAGTTAGGTTTAGTGAAGGGGGATACTTAGAAACTCACCGGTGCGGTTGGAGAAGTACTCGTCTTGTACTTGCAGGAGGGTATTACCGGTCAGGTTTCGCGTGGTAAAGAGACCGGGTTTGGTGTCTGAGATATTAGTATATTTCACCCAACTTGGGGTACTTGAAGGGATTCAAGGTTCACTCACAGTTGTAAAATCCCCCCACCATAGGATGATCTTGAAAGTTGTGTCCAACCCCCGGGAGGTCGACTCGTACCGGTACGTCCAGTTCGGCTAACAAATCCGCCGGGCCGATGCCCGAGACCTGGAGCAGCACCGGCGAGAGAATTGCCCCTGCGCTGAGGATTACCTCTCTATTGCAGCGCACCTCTCTCAGGGTCGAGCCAGCAGACGCGGCGTACTACCCTGTCAGTCTCTGCACTAACAATCCGATATCAAAAAAAAAAAAGAAAAAAAAAGAAGAAGAAGAAAAAAAGCTCACCTCAACCCCCCTAACCCAAACCCCCTCCCGCTTGTCCCCATCCAACCTACCCTCCTCCTCTCCCCCAAATAAAACCCTCCCAACAGTCTGCCCCACAGCCAAATGCAACCCCCCCCTCCCCTCCACCGGATCCCAATACGCCCGCCGACTATCCACGCGCGACTGGTTCGCCGCCGACATGCTAGACGGCGCAATCATGGCTCCCGCTGCGACGCCCGCGTTGGGGTCGACGAGGAGTGGGATGTTGAGTTCGGAGAGGGCTAAGAGGATGTTGGCTTTACATGTGATATAATATAACTGGTTAGTTAGGGGGTGAGAAAAAAGGGTGACAAGGGGAAAAGGGGGCGTACTGGACTGGTTGTAGAGAAAATTGGGATAAGTGACTTCGACTGGGCCGGTGGTGCCGTGGATGGTGGTGTCCGGGTGGATGTGCATGGCGTGAGCGCGGTCGGGGGGGATGTTGAGGGTGAAGCGTTCGCTCTGTGGCGCGTCAGCAACCCCTCTCTTTTTCCTCTTTTTCTTTTTTTTTTCTTCTCCCATATATTTACTCACCCTCCGAAAATACTCCACCATACCCTCCCACCCCCACCCCTCATTCCCCAGCGCCTCCCACGCATCATAGTCCGCCCGCGCGCCCCTTGTCGTGACAAGCCCGTTCAAAATACTCCCGCCGCCGACGACGCGGCCCTGGCCGTAGTCGCGCGGGGTGTTGTCGAGGAATTCCTGGGGGGTTGTGGTTAGGTTCCAGTTGTAGGCGGGCGGGAAGCCGGTGCCGATTAGGCCGGGGACGGTGACGACTGCTGGGGAGGGGTCTCTAAGTGTGTGTCTGTAAGTGAACTGCATTGTCTAGAAAAGGGGGTAGAAGGGGGCACGTACAGTTCTCCGGCTTCGAGGATGAGGACGGTTACTGGGGGTGTTAGTGCTGGCTTTTGTATTTTCTTCTTATTTGTTTCCCGGAGACATCTTTCTGCATACCATTCGGATCTTCGCTGAGTCGGTTGGCGACGACGAGCCCGGCTACTCCTCCCCCGACAATAATGTAATCGTAGGACGGAAGTAGGAGGGTGTCGATTTGATCCGGCGGTATTAATAGCCCATTGGTAGCAGTCAGAAACCACAGGAGGACAAAGATGCGGTGTGCCCAAGCCATATTATGCGCGAGATGGAAACAAAAGTCAAAGCAAGGAAGCGAAAGGCTGAGAAAGAGTATTCGAAGCTGGTTATGGTTTCAGGGTTGCAGGAAATGGAGATGCTCGTTGATGGCCCATCGTTTCTGGGTTCGAGGTCAAAGTCGGCGAGCAAACAACTGTACAGGGCGGATGAGCTAGAGCAGTGGAAAACTCGGCAGTTGCCCTGAAGTTGGAAGTTGTAAGTTCAGACAAAACCCATAAGCATCTCTTGGGTGTCCATTTTCTCAATCTACCCACCGCCCGGTTACTCATCACATCGCTTCAAGCAAACACGGGTGACGGCAGCAGGGGACACCCGCGCGGCTTGTTCATCGGTTGTACCGTCTCATAACACACACTCTCCAACGTATTCAGGGGTATTATAATGCAAAGTAGAAAACTCCAATGACAACTGTCTCAGCACAGTACATTGCCCCTTTTATACAGACCTCCCCAGCTATGGACAAACTTTGCGGTTGTATGCCTCACCAGTTCCTTGCTAAAGCCAACTTCTAAGCCCCCTTTTATTTACCCCCTCTATTTATTCCTTCCCCTTTTCCCCAGCCACAACCTCTCCCGTCTTCACCTCCTTCTCACCCTCATCCCCACTACTATTACTGCTCTGCCCCTTCTCCCCTTCGCTCTGATTCCCATTCCCATCCCCAGTCCTCTTCCCATTCCCACTTCCCTTTTCATCCCCACTCGAACCCTCCGTTTGATCCCCATTCCCCGCATGTCCCTGCGTCCCAATCCTCACAAAAGGCAGAAACAGAAAACTCGCCCCCGACATGGCGATACCCACCTGAAAGGCCCGTGTATACGGCAGCATGGGGTCGGCGATACCTGCGGGTGTGGCGGATACCGAGCTGAAGACGGCGGTGGTGATGCCGAGTGCGATGGCGGCGGCCAGGCGGAAGAGGGTGTTGAAGATGCCGCCGGCGAGGGCTTGTTGGTGCGAGGGGAGGGATTGCATTACGTACATCTAGGCAGTTAGCATACCAGTATGCTGAAAGGTATTTTGGAGTAAACAAGTCCTTTTGTTGTAGGGAGGTGACTTACGTTCGCAACATTAAAATGAAAATCCGCCCCCACGACCGACAACACAAGCGCAGGAAAGACAAAATCCCAGTACCGGCTCTCCGGGCGCATCAGCGAGAGCAGCACATTCGCACCAACATAGGTGCTAGAGCCGAGGAGCAAGAGTAAAGTGTTGTTGATGCGGTGCAGCACCGAGCCGGCGATCACGTTGTAGATCAACCCCGCGATGGCCTGCGGCATGAGCTGCACGGCCAGCTCGATGGCGGACAGGTGCTGCAGTTCTTGCATGAGGAGGGAGAGCCAGAAGAGCGAGGAGATGAAGGCCATGTAGCCCGGCATGCAGCTGAGGATGATCTGGGAGAGGGTAGGGTTAGGGTTGTTCAGGTCGTTCAGGTCGTTCAGGGGTAACGGAGACGAGCAGGAAAATAAACATAATAAAAGGGGGATAGGGGAAACGTACAAAGGTAAAGTTGCGGTCTTTCCAGATGTGCGGGGGCATCAGGGGGTACGGGAAGACGGTCTCCCAGTAGACGAAGCCGGCCAGGAGAGCGACGCCGAGAACCAGCATGGCGATGATGTGCGGTGAGTTCCATCCATCTGCCGGGCCGAGTCTACTGTTGTTAGTATCCTTAACAGACTCTTAACACCCTCTCAACTCCCTAATAGACAGAGAAGAACAGCAGAGAAGAACAGCAGAAAAGAACAGCAGAAAAGAGACGAAAGAAACTCACGTAATCCCCGCCGTCACCAACCCCGTCCCAAGCACCGTCATCGCCGTCCCCCCAAAATCAAACGTCCTCCCAAACATCCTCACCCTCTCCTTCAACCCAACTCCCTCTCCATACGCCTCCACTCCCCCAGGCACCCCCCACCAAGCCAGTACCGCAAACACCGCCCACAAAATCCCAATCAACACATAACTCGCCCTCCAATCCACCACCATCGTCGCAACCCCGCTCACCACACACCCCAACACAAACCCCAAGGGATTCCCCGCGCTAAACGCCGAAAACGCCATGTTCTTCCTCTTACTCGGCACACTATACGCCGCGCCCATAATCCCAATCGCCGGCGGCACCACCATCGCTCCACTGACCCCCAACAACCCGCACACCACGTCCATCCACAACGGCGTTTTCGCCCATGCCACCAGTAACGAAAACGCGGCAAACGACCCCATGCCCACCAAGAAAACCGGTTTCCGCCCTAGCAGGTCGGCCGCTTGGCCGAGACCGAGCTGGAAAGCGCCCGCGGTCAGGGCGGTGGAGGCGGTGATCCAGGTCAGCTCGCCTTGGGACATGCCGAGGTCGCGGGCGATAGAGGCGGTGATGATGGTGGAGGCGCCTTGGAGGAAGGAGGAGGTGGCGGTGGCGATGGTGGCTTGGAAGACGAAGGTTATTTCTTGGAGGGTGGTGCGGAATTGGGGGGGGCGGGGGCCGAAGGTGGTGGTTTTGTGGTTGCCATTGTTATTATTATTGTTGTTGTTGGTGTTAATAACAACGCTTTGGTCCTTGGTCTTTGGATTCGGGTTTAGATTCGAGGCTGGAGTAGGAGTTGAGGCTAGATTCGGCGCGGGAATGGCGGCTAGCCCTGGGTTGGTGTTGGTCAGAGTCGTGGTCAGGGCCAGCGGGTGGATATTGTCGTCGGTGTTGTTGTCACTCCCAGAGCTCCCAAAGGTATTCGGCTGGGCTTCGAGACGGCCCGGGTCGTCAACGGGCGGGACAGCCGCCTCGGCCGCCTCGGGCCGCGTGGGGGACATGCTTGGCGTCTCGGTTGTTAATGTACGTGTTCAAGTCTTTTTCTTTTTTTCGTTCCTTTTTTAATCTCGGTTTTGGCCCCGTTTTGGGGGTTTAAACTCGGTTTATATCCCGTCTCGTGAATGAACCGAATGACCCAGTGAGACGGAAATACCACGCCCTTCTATATACAATCCCGCCATTTCAAAATTTCCTCGTTCGGCCATTCCCACAAAGCGACTCACTCATCAATGACACCCTGTCACTAAGGTTTTGTCAGCAAGGACCCCCGAAACCGCCGAGTTCAGAGGTGAGGTGGACCCGCTGTGCCTTTTATGTTATGCCTTTTTTGGGCGCTCGGGGCTCGGAATTAAGCCGCTGAGCTCGGCCCGTCTTTTGGTCTTTTTGTCCCGTCCTTTTTATCCCGTCAGCAACCGGAGCATGTCAGCGTCCCGTCATCTCATCCTCCACTTTACATAGTATTACCGAAACAAGGAGCATTGCGCAATGCTCAATTGGAGAATTGGTCCCTGTGCTTGATACGCAGGCTGGATATCGAACCGAAAGAGACGAAAATGATAAGCTTTAGATCCCGGCAGCACATGGCTGATTGATAAACAGTGCGCTAGTGTCGTCGCCAGTCCCGACACCCAAAAGGCAAAAGGCCCAGACTGACAACGACAAGGGTACGAATAAGAAGTTGGGGGTTCCAGGAAACTCACTACACTTTGCGGTATGCACCGAAGTGCGACTCGGCCCGGATCCGTACATCGTGTACGTACATACACGTGTACGCTGCAGCACTCCAGTAAGTAACGTTAGACTCCCGCGGACATGTTAGACATGCAGACATGGTCACGAGAGCAACGCCTGGATCTGCCCACATCTGCCCACATCTGCCCACATCTGCCACACACCCAAGACACCCCCTGTTCCGATCGCTTCTCGTCACCGAATGCCCTGCTCGCAAATCCGCCGCCAGCCAACGACATCTGGGGTAAGGCTGGGCCTAATCTGGCCCAGACTTGCCAGACCAGAGAGGCACCCAATGGCGTGGCACCGCCCACGCGACCCCCTGCACTTCACCCGTTTCTATCGGGTTTCTGTTAGTGAAGCTTTCGTAGGATGGGGGTGAGTGTCTGCTGTCTGCTGTCTGTGTGTCCGTGTGTCTGGCGTGTGTGGTGTGTGCCTGGTGTGGGCAAAGGGCCGGGCAGAAAGATAAAAGGCCCGTTGAGAACGAGAGATGGGAGTTTGTCTTTTCTCCTTTTCTTCTCTCTCTATTCTAGTTTCATACACTACACTCCTTCGATTCGCTGTATCTTGCTTTGAGGACTTCTTGAGATCACCTTGATCACGTTCACTTACAAACTACTCTCCAAACTCACCGCGTAAGCACACCCATACTCTCTCTCCCTCTCTCCCTTTCCCTCGAGGCTCTCACTCACACAACACAGAACCATGTCCTTCCCCCAGTCCAACACCTCCTTCCCCCCCACCAACGACCAGCCCTTCCCTCCCCAGCACAGCCGCTCCAGCAGCCTCCAGTCCACCAGCACCGACTACGCCTCGTCCCCAGCCGACAAGGCCGCCATGCCCGAGCTGGTCCGCCGCGACCTCGAGTTCTTCATGGCCCGCCTGACCCGGACCACCTCCAACGACTCGACCTCCTCCGAGTCTTCTGTCTCGCGGTAAATGTCTACCGGAACACACACACACACACACACACACACAAACACGGCGGACACGCACATACATAACACAGACAAAATATAAACAAAACACGGCGGACGAGGGAAGGAAGGGATCACGGAGGATATACCCACGCACTTCTGTACCTGTAGCTCATACCCGGTCCTGGCTGACTGATGACTGATGACTTGGTTTATTGTTCTGTCTTTTGCATTTCATGTATAAACGTTTGGGAAGGACGGGAATGCGGGAGGAAACGGGAGACTGTTCACCAGCGTTGCTTTACACCACCGTAACTCAAGCCAAAAATCTACTAAAAACAAGGCAAAAACAAACCAAATAAACAAATCAAACAACCAACTCAACAACTTTGATCAAAACTAATCCAGACACCCCCCATAACCCAGAATCCTTAACCCGTGAGCCCCCTCACCCGTCAGCCCTCACTCCCGGAGCCCCAAGTCGTCAGCCCTCATCTCGATGCCCAACCCACAGCCCAGATAGCCCACACACCCAACTCCTTCCAGGCAGCCAGCACGCGACCCCGGCAGGAAAAGATGAAAAAAAGCGTGGGGGTAGAGGAATAGATTAAAATATTTTCACTTACTGCCGCGGAGAAATGCAAGCCACCGCTTCGGGACCTGCGTTTCCTGTTTCTGTGCGTCCCAGCCTGTTTCTAGGTAATTACTTGTCCACGCACTTGCCCACACAACCAACAACACAACCCAGAGAGCGTGAGAAGAGTGAGATTTTGTCTCAGACTTCTCAGCCTGACCGACTGCCGCGTGCTCCTCTTCCCCTCTCGCTGCTCCTTTTCTTCCCGCCTTTTTATGTGTCCTTACCTAGATAAGACGGGGTGTGATCACTGATGGGATAGGAAGGACAAGAATGGGACGGTCACATGGGCGGGACCCAGACGTACGTACATACTGTACCGAGGAACGGGCGGGTAAAGCGGGTAGGGCGGGTAGGGCGGGTAGGGCCGTGGAAGAGGGGACGCTGTCGATGGGAACCTCGATGGAAGGGGGCAGAGAATGGAAGGTCTTTCTTGGGATGGATTGCCCTAGGTACCTTGATAGCTAAGGGGTTGAATGAAATGAACGAATCACTCGCTTGAAGCAGCAGAGGAGAGGACACAGACAGCCACCACCGCAGTAGTCAGTACATACCGCGGTCGGTTCCCACATCCAATCATCCTATTCCTGGATAGACAAGGTAAGTGAGCACCTAATTTATACTTAATCTTTGCCAATGTTTTTACCATCGTGACCCACCAAGATCTTCTACTCAAGTTCACAAAACAAGCCAGCGAAATAACCATTCAAAACAGAACAGCAAAACCGCCAAAATTTTCATTTCACTCAAACCACACCAGACCAAAAACTAAAAAAAAAAAAAAAAAAAAAAAAAAAAAAGAAAAAAAAAGAAAAAAAAAACAAACCAAGCCACCCACTCCAAACCACCCAGTCTGCATCCATAAACGGCTAGGATACGGTGTAAAATAAAAGAGAAAAACAAAAAGACGACTCAAACAGGAGCCAGTCCAACAGGCACATTTCGCTCATTCATCAGACAGACGGACAGGCAGACAAGAAATACAGGATAGAAACGTGCTTCCTTCGCTTCTTTTCCGGCTCATCCCATCCCATTCCTCGACCTGAACGTCCCGAACGTCCCGTGCCATCCGCCACTAACCAGTGAGATCCATCTACCCACCCATCCACCTGCCTCTCCAGCCCTTTACCCAGCTACCCTTCCATTTCATTCATCCCCCCCCAAACAGATAGAACCAGAGCTAGAGCTAGAGCTAGAGCTAGAGCTAGAGCTAGGGCTAAAGCTAAAGCCAGAGCCAAACGCTATCCCACACCGCTTGACATCCCATTGCATGTTGAATCCCATCATCCATCCGGATCTTCAAATCCAGATCTCAAACCCGGACATCATATTCGTCAAGGCGAGAGTGACAATACAGACAGACGGATAGAGACATAAAACCAAAACTGAAAAAAAACATAAAATAAAAGACCACAAAAAAGGAATCGACCAACAAACATGGCGATCAACCCTCCGTCAGCATCCATCCTTGACATCCATCCTTCAACCCAGCCTTGACACCCACCCCTTAGCTGCCCAGCCTTAATACCGGTGCTTTCTGAACTCTACTTCACACTTCCGTCTTATCCCATCTCTTCCAGCCTCCTCTCCCACCTAATAATACCCCGCAACATGCGTCATCACCACACCCTGAGGCCACTCCCCCCCAGCCCCCCCACCAGGACCACCACCTGCACTCCCCCCCGCACTAGTCCCACTCCCACCGCCTCCTCCCCCAGCACTCACAACACCACCTCCATCTCCCCCACCGCCGGACAAACTCCCCCAAAAGATATTCCCATTATCCATCGGCACCAGGTCCTCGGTGCCATGGGCAAACTGGTCCGGCCCGCCGGGCGCCAGGGTCCAGGGCATGGACTGGTTCTGCTCGACGTACATGGCTATTTCGTTGGAGATGTACGGGGGCAGTTTGGCGCTGGGGTGCGGGTGGGTTTGTTGTTGTTGTTGAGGTTGCTGCTGGGGCTGGGTTTGTTGGGGTTGGTGGTGTTGCATTTGTGGGGACGGGACGGCTGCGGAGGATTGGGAGGGGGAGGGTTGTTGTGCGTGTTGTTGATGATGGGGATGGGGATGGTGTTGGGCGTGGGGTTGTTGGATGCGCCAGAGGGTGGAGGCTGCGGCTTCGGCGGCTACGTCGGATGTTGGGTCGATAGGGTGGTGGTTGTTTGGGTGGGATGACGACGACGCCTGAGTGTTAATCGGGGTGAAGGACATGGAGGTTGAGCGGGGAGTTTTGGCGTGGTGGTCGAGAGGGTTGATGCCGCTGTCCGGGCCGACGGAAGACCCCGGCTCGGCGGTACTATCGCGCGACGAGCTCTTGCCCTCATCCAACACGAGGATCTCGCCGTTGTTGACCACCTTGAACGCGCGCTCCTTCCACTCTTCCAGCCCACCACCGCCCCGGCCGCCGCCGACGTGCCGCTCGTAGTCCTGCTTCACGGTGTCATAGTAGCGGTCCATCTCGCTGAAGTAGCCGACATAGGTCTCGGCCAGCTTCAGCCACAGCGACATGTGCGTCAGCAACTTATACGTCAACCCTGTCGGCCCGTGCTTGGTCACGTCCAGCGGCCCGTTGGGCTCGTCTTTGGGCAGCATGTGGCCCTTGGTGTCGATCTGCGGGAAGTGCACTGCGTAGATACCGACAAAGGCGGCCGTCCAGACGGCGAAGAGCACCAGCGACGACATGGGCAGCTTGTCGCGGCAGATCTCGGCGAGGTCGACGATGTCCTTGGCCGCGCGGAAGATCTCTTCGGCACTGTCCTCCCAGAACCCTGGCGGCTCCTGGCCGGACTCGAACGTGGGCTCGTCGAGCGGACCGTCCGGCCCTTCGCACACGATCGGGATGAACGGGATGTACTCGCGGTGCAGCATGATGCGGCAGACGGCCCCGAGCATGTGCAGCGACACGTACACGCTGCTCGCCTGGTGGTTCTCGTGCTTGTAGTAGTTGCTGTCCGACCACCGGAAATGGTCGGGCAGGTTCTCGTAGAACTCCTCAAGCTTCTCGCGCAACCGGAAGAAGGTGGCCTCGCGGGACCACGGGGGGTGCGCCTCGGTGAAGCGTCCTCCCGAAAAACTCCACTTGGAGATCTCCCCCCAGAGATCGACGAGGCGCACGAAACGGCCCAGTACGCTGTCGGAGATGGGGCGGCTGGTCTCGGCGCCCGAGAGGGGCTTCAGGAAGCCCGTGTAGACGTCGTCCGAGAGGTCAAAGGACACCTCCGCGCATGGTAGTTGAATCTGCAGATCCTCGGACCGGATCGTCGACACCCGGTCTTTTCCACAGCCCAGCAACCGGTCGAGAATTAGACAACTGAACATGGTGCGCCTTCGGATCTCCTTGGCCGTTATTCTCTGCGTGGGTGTCATGTTCTGCGGCGTGGGCTTGGCGGGGCGAGCGCGGAAGATTTTGTTGGGCTCCTTATCACCGTCGCCGAGGCCCAACGCCTGAGCCATCCGGATCGCGACGCCGACGTACATCCAAGCTGCCATCCCGCCGACCCTGGGCCGTGCTTGGCTCCATTCGTAGAGCCCCAACATGAGGAAGGCCTGGACTCGCTCGACGGATGCCACGGTCATACTCGTTCGCAAACCGCCAAGCGCCTTGGTCAGCACGTCGGCGTAGTACTCGGACGCGCTGGAGGCTTCCGACGACGGGCCGGTCGACCGCGGCTTAGGCACGCCGGACACGGACGGGCTGTTTCGAGGCGCCGTGATGTATGAGACTAGGGTGTTGTGGAACCGCGCCGTCAATGTCAGGATGCCGAGCAGTACGAGGTTGATCTCGGGCGAGGTGTCGGCCGGCTTCGCCCGGAACCGGTTGCCGAGTTTCTCCTTGAGCGTGGCGAGGTGGAGGAACGGAAGCTCCGTCGCGAAGTGTAGCCTGTAAATGTCAAACAGCTGATTCCACACGGTCTCAGTCAGGTACGGCGCCGACAGGACGTCCTCGGCAACCGTGGCCGGCGCCGTGCCTTCCATCTTGACGATGTCTTCGATCCGCCGCAACCGTTTCCGCTCCGAACCCTGTTCCATCTTGGCGCCCGAGGATGGCTCAGACCGCTTCGGTGGTGCTGGGGTCACCTCGGGATACGTGCACTCCTTGCCATTGCGAATACATGTCTCGCAGGGCTGGTCGCCGCCCGTGTTGTTGCACTTGATCTTGGACTTGCGGCAGCGCTGACACGCGATACTAGAACGCAGCGGTGTCCGCTTGAAGCCCTTCTTGCTGTCAACACCACCACCGACGCCACCACCGCCACCGGGGCTGCCGGGGCTGCCGGCCATCATCGAGCCCTGGGCGGGTGACCGGCTGTCATCGTCGGGAGCGGCGGCTATGGGAGCGTGGGCGTGGGCGTGGCCCTGGGTTCGGACCGCCGCGACCGTCGCGGGCCGAGGCGGGCTGCGGGGCAGCGGCTGGCGTATGTTGGGCAACCGTTGCGGGAGCGATTGGGAATGAGGCGGGCGGGGTGGCTGGTCGGCCGGGTCGATGGGCGCATCGGGCGCCGGAGCGGTAAAGGCGTCGTGGAACTTCCGCTTCGGGGTCGGTTGTTGTGGGTGCTGCTGGTCAAACGAGGGAGAGCCCGCGGCCGACGGCGAGTCGGGCGGTTCGGGAGGGGAGAGGATGGATTGGATGCGTAGATGGGAAGCAATCGTGACGACGGGGCGGGCCTCGCAATGGGACCCCCTTGGACACGAAAGCAAACGCAGACGCAGACGCAAACAAGAGGATTCCGTACAATCCGTAGGGCCTTCCCAGGCCACACGGCACCGTGCGACAGACCGTCACTAGTACTGCTGGTACTGCTGCTGCTGCTGCAAGACCGGTTCGCGGTTAGCGACGCGGGCACGGGAGGAGGAGCCGAGACTCGATCGAACGTTCGGTCGGTCGGTCGGTCGGTCGGCGTGCGTGATCGGGCGGGCGGGCGGTCCGCGAGGGAAACGGACTAAATACGCAGCAGAGAAAGACGGGAGCTCGGGGAGACAAGGCAATGTCTGCGGACCGGGTTTCTCTGGGGGGGGCCAGCAGTCGCGCACGCGCACAAGCACGGGAAACAGGGTTACCAGGTAAGGCAGCACGGCAGACCGGGCGGATGGCGGACAGCGGATGGCGTGAACGGGCTCGGTTTAGCGAAGAGGGGCGAAAGGCGAGAGAACGGCGAGCGGGAGGTATCCGGGCAGAACAGCGCAAAGCAGAGCAGAGCAGCGCAGGGTGGGCTGAGCCGAGCTGGGTCTGGTTGGACAACGACGGACTGTCGACAGCTGGAACGGAGGAGGCCGCGGAGCAAGACGAAGAGCAGGAGGGGGGGCCGTTTGGACACAGCCTTTGGCGTGCTGTGTGACCAATGTCCACCAGGGGTGCAAGTATCCGTGTCGTGTGTGTGCACGGGCGGCCGGACGAGTGAACGGCGGCCGAGGGGAGCGACGATGTGCGTACCCGGGCGAGGAGCGAGTGCGACGGCGAACCGTTGTCGGCGATACTTCTGCTTCTCAGGTCGCGCGACGGGAAGCGGGGGGAGGATGGTTGCAGGATCGCGCAAGTGCGAGCGTTGTCGAGAGGAAGGGGTTTTCGTCGGTCGTTAGCGGACCACCAAACTGTCTTTTTTCTCCTCTTGCTCAAGCTCCGAGTTGATGCGGGACAACAAGGAGGCGGAAAGTTGAGGAAGGACGGGACCTGAGTCGGTGGGCGGGAACACGGGATAACGGATGGTACACGCCAAAAGGCCAGGGAATGCGTCGGTAGCGTCGGTGCGATCGGCAGCGTCGGCAGCTAGGGACGTGCTGCGCCGGGGCCGGGCACGGGCGGGTTCTCTGCGTTACGGGCCAAGGCGTTCGCTATTTGCATAGATTGCAGGTGGTGTTGCTCAGAGTTGCAAAGTGGAGGTCTTTTTTTTGTGTTCAGTGCCCACGCTCCGAGAGAGACTCAATGCCACTCAATTCGCATTTCCACAGCGAGAACCTGGAAATTCGACCTGGAAGGAGAAACCGGGAAGAAGTGGCCCTTGCGCACTTTATTTTTCGGCTACTTTGAGGGCAATCGACAACATTGGGAAAGTCCCCGGCTGGTTTGGCTCGGCTCGCTCTTGCCTGCCAACCTGCCTCGCTCTCAACAAACTCCCACAACCAGTCGCCCGTGCTGCTGGCGCTCTGTGGGTTGTGACTTGCTAGTGCGCAGCGTGGGAGCGAGCCGAGCATGGGAGCCAAGCTCCAGCCAGGGCCATATTCCCGGGAGCGGGCTTGGAGCACCGTGCTTTCCCTTTTTGTTTCGTTTTATCTTTTTTCTGTTCGTCTTTTTTCTGTTGGTCTTTTTTCTTTTTTCTTCTTTTCCCCTCTTGATTGAAGAATCACCGTTTCAACCGGGAGATCTTCGGTACATACCGAGAACGGGCCCCGACCTTTTTTATTTTTGGTTTCTTCTTCTTCTTCTTCCTCCTCCTGCACCCTGAAAAATGCGCACATATAGGACAAATAACTACGCAGTACTTCGTCCGGGCACGAGGTGCAGAACACAGTATTGCCAAGTGCCGATGGGAGCAATTGCGGGCTGTCTCGCACCGACAAGCCCCAGCCGCCCCTCGGGATGGCTCGCACCACGGCACCAGCTTGGCACCGGAAGCTCGCGCCCACTTTCTGGGTACCCCCAAGCTCCCCACGTCTGGATTCGTTACAGTGCCACTTATGGTATGTACTTCGTAGTCCACCCAGTAGTAACTGGTGTACGACTTCTGGCCGTTGAAACAAGACAAGAATCTCCCGATGGAATCCCGCCCGTCAGGACGATCGCAACGAAACAAAGCAATTGGGCCGTGACACCGTCTCAAAAATAGTGAAGCGGCTTCTTCAATGCATGTTTCGCATCGGGCACGCACGTCCTGGATGCAACCGGCCCGGGATCAACGGCGGCGGTTGCTCGCTTGAATCCCGTCCACACACAAGAGAGTGGGCACTGTCTCGGTATCAACATGCCTGTGAATTGCTGAGGAGGGGGTATTTGGCTTCCGGGACATGGAACTCAATCAACGTCTAGCTTCCATCTTCTCCCGGCCCCGAGTGCGCATGTGCCACGAAAGGAGGGACCTCGAACGCCCACAAGAAAAAAAAAAAACAGACGCCTTCTTCTGATGCCGTGCAACTCGAGAGGGCGGCCGAGCGTCTGGCATTTGTCCCACGGCCCGGCCCCCCGCACTTCGCTCCAAAGCAAAGGCGAAGCAGAAAACCAATTATCAATCTGGACCCGGAAGAAGGCAACCTGCACGAACCCCCCACCGTTCCACCGTTTCCTGCATCAAGGCTCGATGGACGGGGTAGGAAAACGGGAGTCGAGGGGGGGGGGGGGGGAAGGTGGCTGGACACTCGGTCTCTCACCCACCACTTCCATTCATCCCGCGCCGATGAAGCCAAAAAAAGAAAGAATCAGAGCTTCTTGCTTGATGAACCCCCTCGGGAGGATCAGAAACGCGACTGCTGTACTCCGTAGCGTAGTGTCCCAGTAGGACCAGTCGGCCGTGTCCCCCCGGCATTTTCTTGACGCCGATATTCGGTCTCGGGCCTTTTGATTTTTGGGGCTGTCGTCGTTTTGTTCCTTCTCACCAACATCCCCAGGAATCCTCCCGGTTCCCGGTTGGCCTTGCCGGAATACTGGGATCACTTTGCCGGAGTTGCTTTGGGGGTCCTGAGAATAGTGGAGCCGGAAACCGCGGTACAGATTACTATACACGTGTACAGCCCGCAATGTTATCGAGGGTCCCTCACCTACCTATCCCGAGAGAATATTTGAGGGGTCCGGCCGCAGGGGGGAGGCAACCGGATCGGTAAAGCCCTGGTCCTGTCCCTGCAGCCATTCGGTACCATTTGCAGCTTCTGATTCGACTTGTTGGTTCGTGAGGGTTGCTGAGGTATCACTTTTGTTCGTTCCACGGGCAAACCTTTTTTGACTTGACCCTGGCGAAATGCATATCACCTCTGGCCCCCCACTGTGATGCCAACGGCTGCCACAAAAAATAAAATAAAATAGTGATTAAAAAAAAAAGAACGCTAAAAATGGCCGTCAGCAAGAGGGTGAGATCAAACGCGGAGCGACGTTCTTGTCTGGGCATGCTCCGGAATGACCTCCGGCCCACATCATCAATTCACAATGTGTGTTCCATCATTCGGCAGGCCAGCTCCGGATCTGTTCGGGGAAAGGGCCTGGCTCGGGTGGTGGACACTTCGTTTCGGGAGCAAAGATCTCGGCACGCTGCGTCGGTTGCCCGCCAGCCCCCCTCCTTCGCTACTCCACGTCGTTGAGCTAACCGAATGGACCCGGCCAACGGCCTCCCTTCATCATCCCAAGACGGGAATATGTCGTCTTGCCCACGCGGAAAAAAGTCGTTTGGGAAGTAAAGGAGCAAGGAGACTCTCACACTCAAACACAACTCCTCACCTCGTCTTGGATATCAGATTTCCGAAGCCAGGTATTGCGTATCTGGTCATTGGATTTTGAAAGCCCCCCACCCTAATGCTCGTCACTGCAGCTCTTCGTCTCATGATTGGGGGCACATTTTAGCGGAGCAGCACCCGGCCCGAGGAAGAAAGCTAAAAAAGGAAACGAGAAGGCAAGTCACGGATCGATCGATGTTGGGTGTTTTGTTGGTCGGAAATCCCGAGCCGAGTTTCATCCGTTCCAACTTCCCTGATGTTGAGAAATAGGATGCTCTATTAATGTCGGAGAGACTCCATGAAGAGGGACGAAGATGTGGCTGGCTGAGTGTGCCAATCCACAATTGGTATGTATGGGTTGTCAGCCACATTTGACGAACCACACATCTCCTCGGTGGCTAGCGGGAAAGTGTTACAAATTCGAGAAAAGGCCTCCCAGAGCGGCCTCCTACGAGGCCACGGCCGGGAGTGTCAGCCACGGCTCCACGGACCGGCGTGGCAGACAGGCATGACGGGCGAACATGCAAATGGAAGCCCATCATGTTATTGCTCCACGTGGTTGGGGGAACCGGGGAAGCTGACGTCCCTGGAAGCTGTTAAAACTTTCAGCGGAGGGCCGAGGGATTCTCACCAAAGAGAGCAAGCCATGATCCCCAAGCATAACCTCAACATTTACCTTTGCCACCGCATGAACAGCCACACAGCCTCATTGATGATGATGAAGTTGTGTTTCGTTGAGTTTCCAACTCCCTGCCGCAGACCCCTAGTGTCGGGTGGACAGCCCTGCTTCGGCACGCCAATGACGTCGTTTTCAGGCGTGCGGAGGGCTCGAGAGGCCTCGCGGGATTCTCCACACAGGAGTCGCCTTTAAGCGCCTGGGAAAGCTGGGCAGTTAGTTGCTCGTCCGATATGAAACTCCTGGACGAGCAACAACCAACAGCCCTCAGCGAAACCCCTCACGGCAGGATACAGGAATCCTGCAATTGCAAACCCGGCCTCGTTCTTATTTCTCCCTTTTTTTTTGATCACCTTTTTACTGAGGCGACAAGCGCGAGAAGAACTTCACAGGCTCTCGTGTCTGCTTGTGTTTCATCCACCCCGCCCCCGCATTGCAGCGTATGACGCAGGGGTAAAGAAGAACTTCGCGCAAAGGCTCACTCATAGTTGCAAGTTTGCGCGCATCCTCGCCTAGGGCAAACTTACATATCACCAAAGCATCGCAAACCGAGGCAATGGCATCCGGACACAACGTGAGACCCCTCAGACGAATTGCGACCGAAGTTAAGTCCCGTCCGCTAACACATCCGTCGCGACAGGATCCCAGGCTGCTCTACGCCATCAACGGCGTATCAGCCTACCACATCGCAAATGGCAAAGAAGAGGCCTTAACGCCCGCCGGCCCGCAAACGCTGTCGCTGCTGATGGTCCCGACGACGTCCGCCTTCGCCGACCCCGCCATCGGCCCGGACGCTACGCCCGAGCAAGACTTCTACCTGCACCTCCACCTGCCCCCCGAGCTTGACCTACCCCTCCCGGCTACCACCCAGATCTACCACCAGCCGCCGACCAGCTATCTCATTCCGCGATGGGACCTGGGCCCCGGCAGCGGCGCATTCACTCGCATCGAGTTCCCCTCGGTGGAGAGCCGGAAGGGGATCCAGGAGGACGTGGACACGTTCGAGACTATCCTGGCGCAATGCACGGCTTTCCTCGAGCGCGCGCCGCCTCCCAAGGTTGGTAAGGGCGAGAAGAGCGGGAAGAGCGCGGGCGCGTCGGCGAAGGCTGCCGAGGCCGCGGGGGAGGCTCTGCCTGCGTACAACCCTGCCGATTTCAAGCCTGGTGAGGGATACGCGCGGGGGAGCCATAGCGGGGTTACGCCTGGGCAGATCGTGCTTGTCGATGAGGATGACGGTAGCGTAATAGGGGAGTTGACCGATGGATTCCAGCTCGTTGAGGAGAGCGGCGTGAAGCCGGGATCTAAAGGTATGTCTACCTCTGTTTGTCCCTGGCTGTTTGTGTGGAGGGCGTGAATGCTGACTTGTGGTGTATCATAGACCCTGTCGAGATTACCCTCCCGGCTGCGGGTGGCCAGAACATCAACGTCGCGCCCATTTCCCAGGACCTGTACGACGCCGAGCTACACCCGGCCTACAAGAACTCCTTCCTAGTCTCGAATGCGTCTGCCGCTTCTCGGCTCATCATCACCGGCTCGGACATGCTTTCCAAGCTGCTCCACACCCAAGCCGACAGCTTCACCAAGAAAGCCCAGCCCAACGCGAAGCCCATGACGTTCCAGCCTGCCACGCGCGAGCACATCCGGCGCATCAACACCTTCACGGGCGGTGCAGCCACGCTCTCAGCCAAGACAGTCGGCCAGATCACCAAAGTCGCCCAAAACTGGGGCGCTTCCCTCGGTGGCCATGGCACCAAGGACAGCGGGTCCACGCACAAGGGCTTCGACAAGGACGGCAAGCCGCTCGGGACGTACAAGCCGGGCCTGCTCAACAAGAGCATGATGGCGTTTTCGACCGTGATGGACGGCGTCGAGCAGGCCGGGCGAAACCTGCTGACTTCGACGTCGGACGCGGCGACCACGGTGGTTACGCACAAGTGGGGGGAGGAAGCGGGCGACGTGACTAGGAGTTTGGGAGGTGGTGTCAAGAACGTCGGGTTGGTCTACATCGATGTGACGGGCGTCTCGCGGAGGGCGATCCTGAAGAGTGTTGCGAAGGGTATGGTGGTGGGCCGGACGTCGACGGGTGATAATATTATTGTTGGTGGGGGTGATGGCGGGGAGGTTGTTATTGACCAGGAGAAGCAGGACGCGCAGTCGTTGAGCGGGATGACGATTGCGGAAGGGAAACAGCCGGCGGGTTCGTTGAACGAGAAGTTCAAATAATTTCAAGCTGGGGTATTTCGTTGGTTATTTCATTGTGGTTTTGGCTGGGTTTTGTGATGGATAACGTGAAATTTTCGCGAATTTCCATAATAGCGGTAGTTGAACTTGTTCAATATATGTTGTAGAATCGTTCTAAAATTTGATGACATTCTTCTCTCCGGTAACTAAGTAGGCATTTGGGTCATTCCTTCCCAGGGATAAGTTTTGGGAGAGCCCAAAAACTGGACTCACGTGACCGTGTCACCCACCAGCGATGGTTCGCGTCATGCTCCCTTATTCGGCGCGTTTCTTGCTGGAAACCACCCCACTTTAACTTTCACACCTCGTTCACCTCTCACCTCACCCATTCAACTGCGTCCGCTGGTCGAGAACGCAGCCACTCCCAGTTTTCCAATTTCTGGTGGGCCTGGACTGCCTAGAAACCCACTAATTGACAATTGAGTGTTGACTGGAGAAGCGTTTGCCACACAAGGGGTTGATATCGACTTTATCTAAGCTCTCACTCTGCAGCTATCCGATCGATGTGTTGTCGATTTGAACTTCTCGGAACCATAATTATCTTCTTCCAAACACGCCACCAACGTCGCAGAAAAAAAGGAGCCGCTCGCATCCAGCAAGCAGCACAGAAGCGCCACGAAACCGGCGTCATTGGGCTATAATAACCGAGCGCTAAGCGGGAAGAATCCCAAGGGAGAGATAGAAAGAGAGAGAGAGAGAGAGAAGGAAGACACCACACAACCATGCTCCACGAAATCCTCCTCTCCCTCTCCGGCCACCCCTCCCCACTTCTCCGCTCCGCCGCGGCCGCGGCCGCAACAGACTCATCAACCAACCCCCCAAGTTTGCTCAACACCAGCGCCAACATCACCGCCATCTCCCCGCCAGAACGGGCCCTCCTCGCTTCTCTCGCCCGTCTCAGTGATCAGCATGTCCACCTCCTCACGTCAACCGCGCACATAGCTGCCAGGCACCCTTCGCTGATCTGCCGCGCCGTGGCGTCTGCGATTGATGCGCTGCATCTTGCTGCGTTCCGCGCGAAAGTGCTCGAGGTAGAGGCGACGGTGCTGAAGCGGGATGCGGCGCTTGTGGGGGCGTATGATATTGTGCCGTTGACGGCGGTGGTGGGGGAGTTTGTGGGATGGGGGAGGAGGTTGGAGTGGTTGGGCAGGGTGGTGGAGGTCGTGGGTGGTGCTGGAACTGGGACTGGGTCGGGAGAGTGTACCGGGGCGAAAGTGATGGATTTTCTGAGGGGGGAGTTGCAGACGGGGTATCGCGATGTGGAAGAGGCGGCGGAGAGTTTGCTGCGGGTGGCTGAGGCCGCGTGGGTGAAGCAGGTTTCGGCGTGGGTGTTGTACGGGCGTGTGCCGGGGTTTGGTGAAGGGGACTTTTTTGTGAGGGTGAGCAAGGGTGATGGTGGGCGTGAGGAGTATACGTGTGACATGTCGTTGTTACCGGGGTTCGTGACACCTGCAACGGCTGCGTCGATGTTGTTTATTGGGAGGTCGCTGAATCAGATTCGGGCTAAGAGCGCGGGCGATTACAGTTTAAAGGGGGAGGACCATCTATCGACACAGTTGGCCAGGCTGGCTGCGTTGAGGCATCCGATTGACTCGGCGACATTTGCGAGGACCGTGGAGGACATCAGAAATTTCTTGTCGAGGACAACGTTACAGCGATTGTTACCGCTCAGCAAAGTGCTCGAGACGCTACAGTTGCTTCGGGATTTCTTCCTGTTGCGTCGCGGGGAGTTCGCCATGGCCCTCACGCAGCAAGCGGATGAAAAGATCAAGAGTCGGTGGAAGCGGGCGGAGAATCTCGCGTATGAGAAGCGAGACGGCTTGGCCGGCGTCACGATGAAGGAGGGCGAGGTGGTCGCTGTCCTCACCAAGACATGGGCGGCCATGGGGTCTATGCAGGGCGAGCACGCAGAAGAGGACGAAGGCTTGGAGCTAGCCCGGGACTTGCTACGGTTATCCATGGTTAAGTCTCGGAATACTGCACCCGTGACTCCGGTATCTGCGGAGGGCGACGTTCCCGTCATCGCGCCTACACCGTTTCGGAATCTGCTTTTCTCGGTGCCGGTCATTTTGACCCTGCAAATACCTTCTCCTCTGGATCTCTTTCTCAGCCAGTCTGACCTCAAAACATACACCGCCATAAACTCCTACCTCCTCTCTCTACGGAGAGCGCACATCCGCCTGACGGACTTGTGGAAGATCACGTCCCTCAGGCGACACCACCCGGCCCCGCCAGGACCACCATATGGGAGTCGACCCGCTGGAAGGGAAAGGGTACATCTATTTCGCGAGCGCCATGCTGTCCGATCTAGTATCTTGCGCAACTCGTGGGCCACAGCGAGTGCTGCTATCTTCTTTCTCGGTGAAATCGAAGGATATCTCCAGACGGAAGTTGTTGCCGGGTTATCAGATGGGTTTTATCAGTGGTTGACCGCAGGGGAAGCTGGACAAAGCCATGGCGATGATGATACAGCTGAACTACGCCAGGCCACCCCTGAACCTGGAGAAGATATCGAAATGGCCGACGACGACATCTGGCTTGCAGAATCCAACCACGCTTCCTCACCTGCCGCACTACGACCAAGTTCCCCTCAACCCCCAACCAACACCCATCGCCACCATGACCCTCAAACCCTCGCCATTGCCCACCGCCTCTACCTCCGCACTCTAGTCCGACGTCTCCTTCTCTCCCAACAATCCTTCACCGACCCGCTCTACGAGCTCCTCGTCCAAATCGACCACCTAGTTGCGCTAGTCCACCGGATGCACGCCGTATGGACAGCTGCCGACCTCGAGGCCGACGCGGGCGTCGTCGATGCCTTTGTGGACCTTGAGCGTGAGCAGCGAGATGTGCAGCAGGAGATTCGCGGCGTGGAAGGGAGGGTGAAGAGAGGTGTGGAGGGGCTGATTGGGGAGTTGAGGCGGTTAGAGGGCAGTGCGGTTTTGCAGTTTGGGGGGGAAAGGGCTGGTGATGGAGGAGGTGTTGATGGGGGGGAAGTCGAAGGGGAAGCGGTCATGAGGGAGGCTGGGGAGTACGTGCCCCGACGAGTTGGGGGGGTGGATAGGTTGTTGATGAAGTTGGATTTTGGGAGTTGGTTTGGGAGTGGTGGGGATGAGGTGGTTGTAGGTGTGGACGATGATGACTTTTAGGGGTTGTTGATGGGAACAATCACCGCTTGAAGCTGTAGCATCCGTTTCGGCAACCAAGACTGTCACCCCGGAAAATAGATGGGAGTATCCATGTTCATGATTGTTTTTTTAGCTGTTATTATACCCCTAGCTGTACATAGTAACGATCTCTGAACTGATACCAACACGTTTACGCACCTACCGCGCAATGTTTGACGCACTGCCCTGTTCGGTTGCGAGGTTAAGCCCCAGCTGGTTGGTCAAATCATGTAACTACAGTAACGTTAGAAAGTTCAATCTCGAACATCTGACCGAAAAAAAAAACAAAAAACAAAAAAAAAGACAGAAACCGTTTTTTATTTCTATTTTTTGGAGGAGCTGAAGTTCGACCGATTTTTGGTTCCTGACCCTGCTCGCTGTAACCTCCATGCCTGGGATCCTCGAAGGCGGGGTGTCTATAAATGGTGGTGCGCACCCCGAGGCGTGTCTCGCAAAATGCTGACCTTGTGCCCTCTTTTCGTGGTCCTCAGATGGGCCGTACTCTGGGAGAAAACCCCACGACTTTTTCTGATGCTTGATTTTAAAGAGCGGACGAAAACACTATCCTCTTCCTAGTGTCCCCATCCCAAGATTTTGACCGCACCAGCCTCATAAGACGAAACGTTGGTGCTGATGTTTTGTTTTGGGGCGTCGAGGGCGCAGTTGCGCTCAAAAGGGAGGGTGCCCGAGACTAGCTCGGCAGCGGGTTGGTGGGTGGTGTGGCTTGAGGCTTGTGGAGCCCGCAGGGACGCGTATATGCTCTGTGATTGGCTATGTAGTCCGAAAATAGTCCCCGACAGTGGTAAAAACACAATGCACGGCGCGATCAGACGGTGCGCCCCTCCCATCCGGCTTCTGCCTCTTACCCGCCCACTGCCGCCCAACGAACTTGGTTTTTACACCCTCCCCCGTACCTCCTTCTTTCTCCATCTCCAGTCACGCACACCTCCCTGCTCGGTACACGCCCGCCCGCGATTTTCGGTGACGGGTCGAGACCCCCCCAAGCCGGAAGCCGTTGATTGACATCCGCGTTTGCTTGACTGCTGGACTCCTTGACGCCGGGCTTCTTTGATTTCGGCCTTGTCTTTTTCTTTCGTCGTCATGTCGGGCGCAAATAGCCATGCCGGCCTCTCGTTTGGAACGAGGCGATCATTCCCGCCACCGCACAACCCAACCAACAAGCCATCCCCGTCTCTCCCACAACACGCGTCGCCGTATCCACTGCACCCGCAGTACCAGCATCAACAACATCAACCGCACCCGCAACACACTCAACACCAGCAACACCCGCAGCACCCGCAACACCAGCCGAGCCAGTATCCCCATCATCTCTTCACCCCCTCGCCCTCGATCCCCAACGTCGCTAGCCTCCAGAATGCCACACGACCACCACCGCCTCAGGCGGCCCCGTCACTGCCGCGGGCTGGGCAGCGACCACCACCACCCCGGCAGATGCAACAACAGACTCCTCCCATGAGCTATCTTCAGCAGTCGCTGAACCCGCAGCCCATGGGACAACAGTCGATGGCACCGCAGTCTCTGTCCCAGCAATCTCTGTCCCAGCAGTCCTTGTCACAGCAGCCTCTCTCGCAGCAGCCTCTCTCGCAGCAGCCGATGCCACAGCAGTCCATGGCCCCGCAGAGCATGCCTCAGCAGTCCCTGGCGTCTCAGTCCATGACACCACAGTCTCTGACACCACAATCTTTGACCCCACAGTCAATGACGCCGCAGAGCCTCAACCAGCAGCCCATGAACCCTCAGCAGCTTAGCCAGCCCTCGCTGGGACAGCCATCATTGGGGCAGCCATCATTGGGGCAGCAGTCATTGGGACCGCAACCGCTGGGCCAACAGCCGCTCGCATCTCTTAGCCAGCAGCTTCAGCAGCAGCAACAGCAGCACCAACAGCAACAGCACCAACAGCAACAACAGCACCAGCAACAGCACCAGCAACAGCACCAACAACAGCAGCAGCAACCACAACAGCAACAACAACAACCGCCCCAATCTATGAGCCAAGCACCTATGGCCCCTTCCATGACCCAGTCCATGAGCCAGCAGTCTCTGCCTCAGCAGCCCATCAGCCAGGCGATCCACCCCACCCAGCATAGCGAGCCTTCGATCTTATCTCAGCAACCTTCTTCACACGCTTCGCACGCTCCGTCTCAACCTACACTCCCCCCCGCCCAGCCGCAGAGGCCCCAGGTTCAACAGGTACAGAAGCTTCCGCAGGTACAACAACAGCCTCCCCCGCCAGCTCCGGTGCAGCCTGTCCAGCAGCAGCCACCGCCTCCCAGGCGTGCTGAACCTGTTGACCCTCGTCAGCCGAGCCTTGAAGCTCACCCGGATGATGATATGGATGCTGGCAGCCACGACGAGGATGTTGATGGTGATAGCTCTATGGAGCCCCGGGTGGTCGACAACCCGGCATTTGTTCCTCGTCAGCCCATGGGCGCCATGATGACACCGCCTCCGGAAGGCGGGAGCTTCCCGACCTTGGATGCGGTCCACAAGTACGTGCTGAGCTACTGCACTTCGGTCGGATACGCGGTGGTTATTGGGCGGTCGAAGAAAACGGTTCCGGGACTGAAGAAGGTGTTATTTGTTTGCGACCGTGCTGGGAAGCCCCCTAGCCGCGTTAGCCCGGAAATGCGAAAGCGCAAAACCACGTCCCGCAAATGTGACTGCCCGTTTGGTTTCTTCGCCATTGAGCAGAGGACACAGTGGACCGTCCGGTACCGCCCTCACGAGAGCCATCAAAAGCATAACCATGGGCCGAGCGAAAGCCCACTTTTGCACCCGGCAGCGAGGAAGCTGGACAGTAAGATGGTAGCTGCCGTTAAGAAATTGAAGGACGATGGTAAGCGTGAGCCAATTTTTGAAAAAGTGATATTTTAGCGAAACTGTGATCGAGCTAACACTTTCTGTTTCTAGGTGTGGGTGTCAGCCAGACTCTGGAGATCCTGCAGAACGAGAACCCTCACGTTCCGCTTCTCCCCCGTGATATCTACAATGCGCGAGCTGCTATCAACCGTAACCCCCAGAAGGTCGCCACAGGCCTGGCGGAGGATCGGCCCGCTATTTACAGCAAGCCGCATCCGTCGGCTGACGAGCGTATCCGTGCTGACCTCCGCCGAGAGCTTGCCACGGCCCGGGAAGATATGGAGAAGATGAAGAAGGACAACGAAAAAGAGATCAGCGAGCTCAAAGCCAAGATCCGGGAGAAGGACAAGATCATTGAAAAGTTTGAGCAGTTCATCGACATTTGTAATCAGCGGGTCATGGTCAGTCTCTCGAGTAAGGAAGATAGTCGTGGGAGTGGTCCGCCTGCCCCCTAGAGTTGGGTCGGTTTAGTTGGTGGGTATCCAGCGGGCGTTGCTGGCTGGGAAGGAGAGGGGTTCTGGTGGATGGATTGTAATGGGCATTGTCATGGTTTATGATCGGCGTTGGGTTTTCACTCTCATGTCTTTTTTTCCTTTCCTTTAATCTCGCTCTCTCACCAAGCATGGCGTCTGCTTTTATGGACATTTCTTAAACCACTGGGGTAAAGGAAGCGAGCCTGGAGACAAGGGGATGTGTGGATGGTTCTTTGCATGCGCGAGGAGTGGATTTCGGATTCTGGCTCAGTCAAGCGGTTGAGCCTTTGTCAAAAGGTTTATTATTCATGGAATTTATGGTTTCTTCTTCATCCTGTGTAACCGTGTCCCCATCGTCGTTATACTCACCCCTTAGTAAGGTACTTCGTGTGCAGAGTTGCAGTCATCCCATACCATGTCGCTCATCCAAGTTGTCCAGGGTCTATGTTTTTGGTATGTACACAGTGCGTACGAAACGAGATGTCCTAGTACATACGGTGTAGCTGCCCGGCCAGCTTAGGTGATGAACCTTTCCAAGCCGTTGGTTTGAGGTGTAAATACGTTTATTAGGTTCCCGGGTATTTAGAGAAAATATAAAGCTTGGTACCTGCGGCCTGACGACGATTCCCTTTCTTCGCATTGCCGTTCTGCGAACTGCGCAATGCGGTTCGGCTCGATTGCAGTAGCAGGGTGCAACAGGGGTAAACGGGCATTGTGGACCAGCAGCCAATGAGGGGCACGGTCACTGTGGAAGAGGACCGGACTGAACCCCCCCACCCCCCTGATGCATGCTCTCCGCGACAGGGATGCGGCAGTCGCGTCAGGCCCGCACAGGAAACACTGGAACTGACTTCCAGTTTCCCGTTCTGGGAGCAATCAAACCACAATTCCACCCTCAACACATTTCACAAGAACTCCTTTGTGTCGTTCCTTTTCCAACGTCGCGCTTGCTGAGGGGGACGTTGTTGCGATACCTTTTAAGATACCCACGCAGACGTTTACCGTTTGCAGCTTCACTTACTTCTTGAAGTCTATCCCCTTTTGTTGCGCCCTAATACACTACACTTTTCCATCTTCCAACTCTCCACTTTCTTCACCGACGCGACGACGAGCCGCTGCAGCAACTGCGCTCCGATAGCCCACCACTCCTACCCCGACCGATTGTACGAACGAGACATGCTATCGAACCGGGCATTCACCTCAAACTACCTCTCGTAAAATTTTTTGAAAAAAGACTGCGCTTCCTGGCCTGAAGCAGACAAGCGACCGACCAACCATGGAATCAGCGGTCACCCCCGCGGCCCCGGGCCCGGGGACCAACGGCGTCGGCACGACGACATCCTTCGCCGCCATCGACCCCGAGCGTGTCGTCGACCATCTGGCTGTGCTTTTGGAGGCGACTCTGGGCGCGACTAGGGCGGAGCTCGAAGCACCCGGCAGCTTGCTGTCCAAGGCGCGTTATTCCGATACCTTACAGCGGTGCAACCGGTTTGCGGTGGATACGCAGGTTGCGCTATACATTCAGAAGGATTTGAGTGCGGCGGAGGGGTTGGAGAATGGGGATGTAGAGGATGGTATGGCGTTCCCCGCACTGTCTTGAGGGTGGAGGGTATGGAGGTTATCTGGTTGGGAGTGACGCTAATGATGTGGCTACAGCTGCCCCGTCGCATGTCTATACGATATCTTCGGACCTCTCTTCGTCCACCGCAACCGTGGCTTTCCTTGTGCTTCTCAAGCGACCTCAACCGCTGGATCCTAGCATCCCGATCACATCGCAAATTCAGATGCTCAACCTCCCCGGCCCGGCGTACCTCTCTGCGAATAATGGTGAACAAGGCCCGACTGCTTCGCCCTACGAAATCCTTCAGCTGTACCTCCACAATGGTCTGGCACCGTACTTCGACGCGAGCACGAAGAGTCAGCAGATGCTTAGTGGTGGACGAGGCCGGACTGATGTGGATGCGAAGACGGGCATCCCCGTCACGAAGAAGAGGTGGACCGAGCTGGAACTGAGTCTGTCGCATCTGCAACAAAACGTCGAGATTCCCGAGGTTTCCCTGCCGTTTCACCCGATCGTGCAGACCGCGCTGGACGAAGCCACGGCGAAGCAGACTAGGCCGACTCTCGACTTGATCCCGGCCACTGTCTTGCAGGACAGCACTTTCTTGAACAATTTGCAGGCCACTGTCAACAACTGGATTAAATCGATTCAGGTCATCACGAAGATGACAAGGGACCCGAACACCGGTACTGCGACGCAGGAGATCAACTTTTGGCTGTCTATGGAATCGGCACTGGAAGGGATAGAGAATCAGCTGCGGGGCGAGGGCGTCATGCTGACTCTTGAGATTTTGAAGCATGCGAAACGTTTCCAAGCCACTGTTAGTTTCACGGCTGATACTGGCCTAAAGGAGGCCATGGAGAAGGTGCAAAAGTACAACCAACTTATGCGCGACTTCCCCCTGGACGAGCTTCTCTCTGCCACCACCTTGCCCAAGGTGAAGGAGTCGATTGGGCAGATCTTTTCCCACTTGAACAAGAAGCTGAGGATATGCCCATACCCTATCCGCCGGGCGCTTCCGCTGGTAGAGACTATCTCTGGCGATCTCGATGAGGTCCTCCATCGGTTGCTACCAGGCACCGAACTCGTCAAGTTCGACTTTCAGGATTTCCGCCGGGTCATGAAGCAGACCGAAGAGATCTTCAAGATCTGGGACGAGAATATCAAGGAATTCACCAACGTCGCGCGTGAGGTGACCCGACGCCGCAACGAGAGGTTCATTCCGATCAAGATCACGCCAAGGCACGCCGATCTGCAAGCGCGGTTGAAGTACGTCAGCAACTTCCGCGACAACCACGAGCAGTTGCAGCGGACCATTGTCAATGTTCTTGGGCCCAAGGCGACCGTGAATGGCATTGCGGACGGGCCCGGGACCAATGGTACCGTCGTGGTGGAAGAAATCGGCGATGTCGATGCCGTTGAGGAGGTCAGGCAGGCTTGGGAGGGCCTGAAAGATGTCGATCTTCTCGATGTCACACCCGAAGGCACGCAAAAGTGGGTGCGCGCCGAGAACATCTACAACGAAAGGACGTCTCGTGTCGAGAATTCCATTATTGCGCGTCTCCGTGACCGACTAGCGACGGCGAAGAACGCCAATGAGATGTTCCGTGTCTTCTCTAAATTCAACGCCCTATTTGTGCGGCCCAAGATTAGGGGTGCCATTGCCGAGTACCAAACTCAGCTGATCGACAACGTCAAGCAAGCCATCACTGCGCTGCATGAGCGGTTCAAGCAGCAGTACGGCCACTCTGAAGCCCATGCTATGGCCCAGCTGCACGATCTGCCGCCTGTGTCGGGTGCCATTATCTGGGCGCGCCAGATTGAGCGGCAGCTTGACGGCTACATGAAGAAGGTCGAGGACGTTTTGGGAGCCGAGTGGACTATCCATGCGGAAGGCCAAAGACTGCAGAGCGAGAGCGATTTGTTCCGCAAGAAACTCGACACACGTCCCATTTTTGAAGCCTGGCTTCATGACGTGCAAAGGAAGCAGATTTCGATCTCTGGCTTGCTTTTTAATATCAACCGCATCCGGTCAGCTGGAAATGTGCTTGAGCTCGCCGTCAACTTTGATGCCCAGGTTATTGCCCTGTTCAAAGAGACACGGAACTTGGTGTGGCTCAACTTCCCCGTCCCGCACTCTGTCAACAATGTTTCAAAGGAAGCCAAGCGCGTGTACCCCTACGCTGTCAGTTTGATGGAGAGTGTTCGGACATTTGCGCAGACCAACCGGCAGATCACCGACATGTCCGAGGTTGCCGTCCTGTTAAGTGGACATCGTGATGAGGTCTACACCTTGATCGCGAAGGGTATCCCCCTAAGGTGGGAGTCCTTTGTGAATACGTACGAGGTGCACTTCAAGAACTACGCCGGCAACGGGGGCCTCGACAATTTCAAGGGCGGGGAGAGCAAGCACGTCATGTTCATCCGCGAGTTCGGCGCGGCCGTATCGTTGCTCCAGTCCAAGACCATCACGCTGGCTAACATCCACGCCACCGTGCAGAAGGCGCTGACAGAGCTTGAGAAATGCCCTTATGAGCTGTCCGCTTTTGAGTCTCGTTTGGAGACCATCCAGAGTGCGGTGGATCAGCTCAACCTGGAGCAATATGTCAACCTCGGCCACTGGGTTGGACGCATGAACCGCCAGATCAAGGTCATTCTGCTTGCCCGCCTGCAGCACTCGATCCAGGCGTGGATCGAGGCGTTTGAGGACGAGTATCTCGAACGGAGTGACCGGAAGCATTCGCTGGAGCCCGCGGATGGGGCCAAGCCTGACGTTCCCGTGATCAAGAAGCTCGTCCACGAAATTACCATGCGCAACCAGGTCATCTACCTGGACCCGCCTCTTGAATTTGCCAGGGCTAGCTGGTTTTCGCAGCTGCAGGAGTGGATCGGTGTCGTGTGCAATCTTAAGAAGATCAAGGCGACCCGGTACCAAATGTCCATCAGCACGACCGTGTACGAAGAGGCGCGGTTCAACGACCTCCCCAGCGAGTGTACCTCATCGCTCCTTCGGGTCCAGACGTCTGTCGAGAACAAGATCAGCGAGATCAGCACATATGTGGACAAATGGCTCCAGTTCCAGTCGCTTTGGGACCTGCAGTCAGAGCATGTTTACGATGTCCTGGGCGATCAGCTGTCCCGATGGCTGCAGCTTCTTCAAGAACTCAGGAAGACACGCCAGACATTTGACACGACCGAAGTCAGCCGCTCTTTTGGGCATATCACGATCGACTACGACCAAGTGCAGACCAAGGTCAACGCCAAGTATGATCAGTGGCAGCACGACATCCTCATCAAGTTTGGCAGCCGTTTGGGCACGCGCATGCGGGAAGTCCACGCCGAGATCGAGAAGGCTCGCAGGGACATGGAAGGCCAGGCGATCGAAGCCAACTCGACTGCGCAGGCCGTCCAGTTCATCACGATCGTTCAAACGTGCAAACGCCAGGTGAAGCTTTGGGCACCCGAGGTGGAGACATTCAGGCAGGGAGAGTCTACGCTCGTCCGACAGCGGTATCAGTTCCCCAACGACTGGCTGCATGTTGAGCATGTTGACGGCGCGTGGGACGCCCTCAACGAAGCGCTCGCTCGCAAGGCCAAGATTGTCCAGGACCAGACGGACGCTCTTCGCGCCAAGATTATCGCTGAAGATAAGGTCATTCTCGAGAAGATCAGCGAGATTGCGCAGCTCTGGAACGACGAGAAGCCTGTTTCTGGTACCATCGCGCCGGATGTCGCTTCTGCTACTCTCAGCGACTTTGAGACCAAGATTACCAAGCTGCAGGAGGAGTCCGCGATGGTGGCCAAGGCGAAGGAGGCGCTTGATCTGCAGGCGACACCAGAAACTTCACTTGGTGTCATCTTGGAAGAGGTCCAGGATTTCAAGTCTGTCTGGGCCTCGCTTTCGACCATCTGGAACAATCTCAACGAGCTCCGCGAGATTCTCTGGAACAGCGTCCAGCCCAGGAAGATCCGGTCGTCGATTGACAACCTCATCAAGATGACCAAGGAGATGCCCAGCAGAATGCGCCAATATGCGGCCTTCGAACACGTCCAGAATGTCCTTCGCCAGCTGATGAAGGTGAACCCCATGCTCACTGAGCTCAAGTCGGAAGCCGTGCGTGACAGGCACTGGACCAAGATCTACAAGCAAATCAAGCCCGGCAAGCGCTACTCGCCCGTGTCTATGACCCTCGGAGATGTGTGGGACCTCAACCTGGTTGCCACCGAGGTCATCGTCAAGGACATCATCATCCAGGCTCAGGGTGAAATGGCTCTGGAAGAGTTCCTCAAGCAGGTGCGCGAGACCTGGACTGGGTATGGGCTGGAGCTGGTCAACTACCAGAACAAGTGCCGCCTCATCCGCGGCTGGGACGATCTCTTTGCCAAGTGTAGTGAGAACCTGAACTCTCTGCAGGCCATGAGGCATTCGCCTTACTACAAGGAATTCGAGGAAGAGGCGTCCTCCTGGGAGGACAAGCTCAACCGGGTCCACGTGCTGTTCGACGTCTGGATTGACGTCCAGCGCCAATGGGTCTACCTTGAAGGTGTGTTCACGGGCAACGCCGACATCAAGCACCTGCTCCCCATCGAGTCGTCGCGTTTCCAAAACATCAACAGCGAGTTCTCGGCGGTCATGAAGAAGGTCTACAAGCAGCCAAACGTGTTGGATGTGCTGAACATCCCCAATGTGCAAAAGTCGTTGGAGCGCTTGGCCGAGCTGCTCAACAAGATCCAGAAAGCGCTCGGCGAGTACCTCGAGAAGGAGCGTGTTTCGTTCCCGCGCTTCTACTTTGTCGGTGATGAAGATCTGCTCGAGATGATCGGTAACAGCAACGACACGATGCGCATTGCCAAGCACTTCAAGAAGATGTTTGCCGGTCTGACGGGCTTGGTGATGGATGAGGAGTCGACCATCACTGGGTTTACGTCCAAGGAGGGTGAAGTCGTCCGGTTGAAGAAGGAGGTTAACCTCGTCAAGACGCCGAGGATCAATGACTGGCTGGCGCTGCTTGAAAATGGGATGAAGTCCACGCTCGCCGAACTCCTGGCTGAAGCCATTGACGAATTTAACCCCATCTTCGCCAGCGAGACGATTGACCGCGAAGCGCTCAATAAGTTCATGGCCGCGTACCCCAGCCAGATCGTGGTGTTGGCGACCCAGGCTGTCTGGACTACCTCGGTCGAACAGGCGCTGGCCGCCGAGGGCAAGACGCTGCAGGCCCTGTTTGACCGTGAGGTGCAGGTTCTCCGCATGCTGGCCGACACGGTCCTTGGTGATCTCGAAGTCCTCACGCGCAAGACTTGCGAACAGCTCATCACCGAGTGTGTCCACCAGCGGGACGTCATCGAGAAGCTCATCAAGGTCGGCGCCCGCTCGAACACGCACTACCTTTGGCTCCTCCAGATGCGCTACGTCTACACCCCCGACGGCGATTTCCTGCAGCGCCTGCACATCAAGATGGCCAATGCCAAGCTCAGCTACGGGTTCGAGTACCTGGGTGTGCCCGACAGGCTGGTCCGCACGCCGCTCACTGACCGTTGTTTCCTCACTCTCACCCAGGCCCTCTGCCAGCGCCTTGGTGGTTCCCCCTACGGCCCCGCCGGTACCGGCAAGACGGAATCCGTCAAGGCGCTTGGTGTCCAGCTCGGTCGTTTCACCCTTGTCTTCTGCTGTGACGACACGTTCGACTTCCAGGCCATGGGCCGCATCTTCCTCGGTATCTGCCAGGTGGGCGCGTGGGGTTGCTTCGACGAGTTCAACCGTCTCGAGGAGAGGATTTTGTCTGCCGTGTCTCAACAGATTCAGAACATCCAGCTTGGTCTGAAGCAGGGGGCTGAGGATGATAAGGCGCAGATTGAGCTTGTCGGCCGCCAGCTCCGTGTCAATGCTAACACGGGCATCTTCATCACTATGAACCCTGGGTATGCGGGCCGTTCCAACTTGCCGGACAACCTGAAGAAACTATTCCGCAGCGTCGCCATGTCCAAGCCCGACAAGGAGCTTATTGCCGAAGTTATGCTCTACTCGCAGGGTTTCAACCAGGCGAAGCAGCTGTCCAAGCACACTGTGCCTTTCTTTGACCAGTGCTCCGCAAAACTATCCAAACAGGCGCATTACGACTTTGGTCTGCGTGCGCTCAAGAGTGTGCTGGTCAGCTCTGGTGGACTGAAGCGTGCCCGTTTGACAAACAGCGATGGCAGCCTAGGTGCTGAGGAAGTCGTCGAGCCTGAGATTTTGGTCCAGAGTATCCGTGAGACCATCGCGCCCAAGCTTATCAAGTCTGACGTCGACGTCATGATGGGAATTGAGGAGATCTGCTTCCCGGGCGTCAAGTATGTGCCGGCCAGCCTGGACAAGCTCGAGGAAGCGATCCGTCGTTTGGCCGCTGAGCGTCACTTGGTGGTCAACGAGCTCTGGATGACCAAGGTGCTTCAGCTGTATCAGATCCAGAAGATCCACCACGGTGTCATGATGGTGGGCAATTCCGGGTCCGGCAAGTCGGTGGCCTGGAGACTGCTGTTGGATGCCCTGCAGCAGGTTGAGAATGTCGAGGGCGTGTCGCACGTTATCGACAGCAAGGTCATGTCCAAGGAGGCGCTGTATGGTAACTTGGATTCGACCACGAGAGAGTGGACCGATGGCTTGTTCACCAGCATCCTGCGCAAGATTGTCGACAACCTCCGTGGTGAGGACACGAAGCGCCACTGGATTGTGTTTGACGGTGATGTCGACCCGGAGTGGGTTGAGAACTTGAACAGTGTGCTCGACGACAACAAGCTGCTGACTCTGCCCAATGGTGAGCGTCTTAACCTCCCGCCCAATGTCCGCATCATGTTTGAGGTCGAGAACCTCAAGTACGCTACGCTCGCCACGGTCAGTCGTTGCGGTATGGTTTGGTTCAGCGAGGACACGGTAACGCCCGAGATGATGGTCACCAACTACCTCGAGACGCTGCGCTCTGTTGCGTTTGAGGATCTCGACGAGGATGCCGTGGCCACGGGCCAGAGCTCGGCCAAGGCGCTGGAGGTCCAGGGCCAAGCTGCGGATCTCTTACACGCCTATCTCACGACCGACAATTTCATGATCCTGGCCCTGCAGCAGGCGGAAACGTTCAACCATATCATGGACTTTACCGTTGCCCGTGTTCTCAACACCCTTTTCTCATTGCTTAACAAGGCTGTCCGTAATATCATCGAGTACAACACGCAACACACCGACTTCCCACTGGATCCCGAGCAGGTGGAGGGTTACATTGCGAAGAAGCTGCTGTTGGCGATGGTGTGGGCTCTGACGGGTGATTGCCCGCTGACGGACCGCAAGCTGTTTGGCGACAAGGTGGCTGGTCTGGCTAGCTTTGGTTCGCCCCCGTTGGACGGGTCCAGCTCGCTCATCGACTTCGACGTTTCGTTGCCTGGTGGTGAATGGTCACCTTGGCAGAGCCAAGTGCCGACGATTGAGGTCAACACCCACTCGGTTACCCAGACCGATGTGGTCATCCCCACGCTGGACACGGTTCGCCACGAAGATGTGCTGTACTCGTGGCTGGCCGAGCACAAGCCGCTGCTCCTCTGCGGTCCTCCCGGTTCCGGTAAGACGATGACGCTGTTCAGCGCGCTGCGCAAGCTGCCCAACATGGAGGTCGTCGGCCTCAACTTCTCCAGTGCCACGACGCCTGACCTCCTCATCAAGACGTTTGAGCAGTACTGCGAGTACAAGAAGACGCTCAACGGCGTCATGCTTTCGCCGACGCAGATCGGCCGCTGGCTAGTCATCTTCTGCGACGAAATCAACCTGCCCGCGCCGGACAAGTACGGCACGCAACGCGCCATCTCTTTCCTGCGCCAGCTGGTCGAGCACAACGGCTTCTGGCGGACGTCGGACAAGTCGTGGGTCACTCTCGACCGGATCCAGTTTGTCGGCGCCTGCAACCCGCCGACGGATGCCGGCCGTACCCCCATGGGCGACCGGTTCCTCCGCCATGCGCCCCTCATCATGGTCGACTACCCCGGCGAGCAGTCGCTCATGCAGATCTACGGCACCTTCAACTCGGCTGTGCTCAAGATCATCCCGTCGCTGCGCGGCTACGCCGAACCGCTCACCCAGGCCATGGTCCGCTTCTACCTCGAGTCGCAGCAGCGCTTCACGCCCAAAATCCAGCCGCACTACGTCTACAGTCCTCGTGAGCTGACCCGCTGGGTCCGCGGTGTGTACGAGGCCATCAAGCCCCTCGAGGCGCTCTCCGTCGAGGGTCTCATCCGCATCTGGGCCCACGAAGCGCTCCGGTTGTTCCAGGACCGTCTTGTTGCGGAGGACGAGCGCAAGTGGACCGACGACGCCGTCCACCGCATCGCGATGGAGTTCTTCCCGACCATTGACGAGCCCAAGGCGCTAGGCGGGCCGATCCTCTTCTCCAACTGGCTGTCCAAGAACTACATGCCCGTCGACCGCGAGCAGCTGCGCGAGTTTGTCAAGGCGCGTCTCAAGACCTTTTGCGAGGAAGAAGTCGATGTGCCGCTTATTCTGTTCAATGACGTGCTGGAGCATGTCCTGCGCATCGACCGTGTCTTTAGGCAGCCGCAGGGTCACTTGATCCTGATCGGTGTGAGCGGTAGTGGCAAGACGACGCTCTCGCGGTTTGTGGCTTGGATGAATGGGCTCAAGGTGTTCCAGATCAAGGTCCACGGCAAGTACTCAGCCGAGGACTTTGATGAGGATCTAAGGGAGGTGCTTCGCCGCTGTGGTTGCAAGGGCGAGAAGATGTGCTTCATCATGGACGAGTCGAACGTGCTGGACTCTGGGTTCTTGGAACGCATGAACACCCTGCTCGCCAACGCCGAGGTGCCTGGTCTCTTTGAAGGGGACGATCTCGCTGCGCTCATGACGGCTTGCAAGGAGGGTGCGCAGCGACAGGGTCTGCTGTTGGACTCGCAAGAGGAACTGTACAAGTGGTTCACGAGCCAGATTGTCAAGAACTTGCACGTTGTGTTCACGATGAACCCGCCTGAGGATGGGTTGTCGTCTAAGGCGGCCACCTCGCCTGCGCTGTTCAACCGTTGTGTGCTGAACTGGTTCGGCGACTGGTCTGATCAGGCGCTCTTCCAGGTCGGTCACGAGCTGACGTATTCTGTTGATCTGGACCGCGCGAACTGGGGCGCGCCCGATACTATCCCCGTGGCGTATCGCGGTCTCAACCTGCCGCCGTCTCACCGGGAGGCTGTTGTCAACTCGATGGTGTACATCCACTACTCCTTGCAGCGCTTCAATGCCAAGTTGCTCAAGCAGCAGGGCAAGGTCACTTTCCTTACGCCTCGGCACTTCCTGGACTTTGTTGCGCAGTATGTTACGCTGTACAATGAGAAGCGCGAGGATCTGGAGGAGCAGCAACGCCATCTCAATGTCGGTCTCGAGAAGCTGCGCGACACGGTCGACAAGGTCCGGGACCTCCGTGTCAGTCTCGCCGAGAAAAAGGCACAGCTCGAGCAGAAGGATGCCGAGGCCAACGAGAAGCTGCAGCGCATGGTGGCTGACCAGCGCGAGGCTGAACAGCGCAAGAATACCTCGCTCGAGATCCAGGCTGCGCTCGAGAAGCAGGAAACCGAGGTGGCGTCGCGCAAGAAGGTCGTGCTCGAAGACCTCGCGCGTGCCGAGCCCGCCGTCGAGGATGCCAAGGCATCCGTTAGCAACATCAAGCGCCAACAACTCACCGAAGTCCGGTCCATGAACACCCCGCCGCCGGGCGTGCGACTGGCGCTGGAATCGGTCTGCACGCTCATCGGCCACAAAGTCAGCGAGTGGAAGCAGATCCAGGCCGTAGTCCGTGGCGACGACTTCATCGGCAGCATCATCAAGTTTAACAACGAGAAGCAGATGACGCGGTCGCTGCGGCTCAAGATGCGCAATGAGTTCCTCGCGAACCCGGAGTTCACCTACGAGAAGGTCAACCGCGCTAGCAAGGCCTGCGGTCCCCTCGTCCAGTGGGTCGAGGCGCAGGTCAGCTATGCCGAGATCTTGGACCGCGTGGGTCCGCTGAGGGAAGAGGTGAACTTGCTGGAGGAGCAGGCGCTGCAGACCAAGGCCGAGGCCAAGGCTGTGGAGCAGACCATCACGAGTTTGGAGACCAGCATCGCGACCTACAAGACGGAGTACGCGTCGCTCATCAGCGAGACGCAGGCTATCAAGGCCGAGATGTCGCGCGTCCAGTTCAAGGTGGACCGCAGCGTCAAGCTGTTGGACAGCCTGTCGTCGGAGCGGACCCGCTGGGAGGAGGGTAGCAAGTCGTTTGAGACACAGATCAGCACCCTCGTGGGCGATGTGCTGGTGGCCGCCGCGTTCCTCGCCTACAGCGGTCTGTATGATCAGACGTTCCGCAAGTCGATGATGGAGGACTGGTTGCATCAGCTGCATCTGTCGGGTATCCAGTTCAAGCAGCATAACCCGATGACTGAGTACCTCTCGACGGCGGATGAGAGGCTGGGCTGGCAGGAGAATACGCTGCCTGTTGATGATCTCTGCACGGAGAACGCCATTGTGCTCAAGCGGTTCAACCGGTACCCGCTCATTATCGACCCTTCGGGCCGTGTTACTGAGTTCTTGCAGAAGGAGTGCAAGGACCGTCGTCTCACAGTGACTAGTTTCTTGGATGATTCGTTTACCAAGCAGCTGGAGAGTTCGCTGCGTTTCGGTAACCCCATCCTTATCCAGGACGCGGAACATCTCGACCCTGTGCTTAACCATGTGCTCAACAAGGAGTACCAGAAGACGGGCGGTCGTGTGTTGATCCAGCTCGGCAAGCAGCAGATCGACTTTTCGCCGTCGTTTAAGTTGTACCTTTCCACGCGCGACCCTTCGGCCACGTTTGCGCCTGATATCTGCAGTCGTACCACTTTTGTCAACTTTACCGTCACGCAGAGCAGCTTGCAGACCCAGTCGCTGGCTGAAGTGCTCAAGTCGGAGCGTCCGGATGTTGATGAGCGGCGGTCCAATCTCATCAAGCTGCAGGGCGAGTTCAAGGTGCATTTGCGGCAGCTGGAGAAGCGGCTCTTGCAAGCGCTCAACGAGTCGCGGGGTAATATTCTTGATGATGACAATGTCATCGAGACGCTCGAGACGCTCAAGACGGAGGCGGCCGAGATCTCGACCAAGATGAGCAACACCGAAGGCGTCATGGCCGAAGTCGAGGAGATCACGCTGCAGTATAATGTCATTGCGCGCTCGTGCAGTGCCGTTTTCGCCGTGCTCGAGCAGCTGCACTACCTCAACCACTTCTACCAGTTCTCGCTGCAGTACTTCCTCGACATCTTCCACTCCGTGCTGCACGGCAACCCCCACCTGGCCAACGAGACCAACCACAATGTGCGTCGCGACATTATTGTCAAGGACCTGTTCGTCAACGCCTTCAAGCGGACCGCGCTGGGCCTGCTGCAAAAGGACCGCGTGACGCTGGCCATGCTGCTTGCTCAGGCGTCGCCGTACAAGATGGACAAGGGCCTGCTAGATATCATCCTCGACGAGCGCGTCGAGGGCAAGGATGTATCAAGCGACGTGGCGGCCAAGGATGAGGTGTTTGCGCGCGCGCAGCGGATCTCGGCGCTCAAGGAGAGACTCGAGACCGTGCCCGACGCCGACTGGGACAAGTTCCTCACCGAGGAACTAGCCGAGAACTTTGTCCCCAAGATCTGGGACGACTCCACCGAGCCCACCGACCAGGCGCTCACCTCGCTCCTGCTGGTCAAGCTCTTCCGCCTCGACCGCTTCGTCCCTGCTGCCGAGCGCTTCGTCACGCTGGTGTTTGGCTCCGACCTCTTCGACATCGTCGAGGACCTCAAACAGACGGTCGACCAGGTCTCGGCCACCCGGCCGATTTCCTTAGTCTCCTCTCCCGGGTTCGACGCCTCGTACAAGGTCGACTCGCTCGTCGAGCGCATGCGTGTGCGCTGCACCAACATCGCCATGGGTTCCAACGAAGGGCTCGCCAGCGCCGACAAGGCCATCGCCAACGCCGCGCAGATGGGTTCGTGGGTACTGGTCAAGAATGTCCACCTCGCGCCAACCTGGCTGCAGAGCCTGGAGAAACGGATGGAGTCGCTCAATCCGAATAAGGACTTCCGGCTGTTCTTGTCGATGGAGTCGTCGCCCAAGATTCCGGTGAATCTGCTAAGGGCGAGTCGCGTGTTGATGTATGAGCAGCCGGCGGGTGTGAGGGCTAATATGAAGGACTCGATGTCGTCGTTGTCGACAAGGTCGGCGAAGAGTCCTGTGGAGAGGACACGGTTGTATTTGTTGTTGTCGTTTTTGCATGCGGTCGTGCAGGAACGGTTGCGGTATGCCCCGAATTTGGGGTGGAAGGGGTTTTGGGAGTTTAATGATGCTGATGTAAGTCAACCCCCCTTACCTTTTTCTGTCCTTTCAGAAACCTCGATGATAACTAACTCGTGCCATCTAGTACGAATGCTCCGCCTTCGTAGTCGACACCTGGATCGACGTCGCAGCCCAAAACCGCACCAACATCGCCCCCGCCAACATCCCCTGGGACATGATCCGCTACCTGGTAACCGAAACCTACGGCGGCAAGATCGACGACGAAGGCGACTTCAAGATCCTCAACAACCTCGTCCAGACCTTCTTGACCCCCGCGGCTTACGAGATCGGCCACAAGCTCGTTGAGGCCCCACCGGACACCCAGGAGGTTGCTGCTGAAGCGGCGGAATTGGTCGTGCCATCGGGCACGTCGCTACAGGAGTTTATGGGGTGGATTCAGAGGCTGCCGGAGAGGGAACCGCCGACGTATTTGGGGTTGCCGGCGAATGCGGAGAAGTTGTTGTTGGTGGGACTGGGGAGGAGTTTGATTGGGAATTTGAAGAAGGTTACGGATTTGTTGGATGAGGGGGAGGCGTTGGTTACTGAGGTGGAGGGTTGATTAAACTTGAAGCTCTTAAGTTAAGCCTACTTGGGGTGAGAGTAAGTGGTGAATAGGGAAGAAGTGGGAATGTGATGATGTATGGGTTTTGATTGAGTTGAGAGGTGGTAGACTTTTGTGTTTTTTCTTCTTCTAGAGTGGTGGTTATATATTTTGTTTTTCTACTTTCTTCCCTACCTTGTGGTTTGTTTTAGTGTGGTCGTCGAGTTGCCCGATACAGGGGTTCTTGTTGTGGTGTGGGTTGTCAGATACCCCCTTTTTCCTTAGAATTTACATGCACTCCCGATTTTTCCATTGAACTGAACTCAACTCATCCTTTACCCCAAATAACCCCATCCACAGCCTTCTCTCCGTCCCATGTGACACGGATTATTCTGCTACACCTGCCATTTCCGGCAACATAACACCGACGATTCTTTTCACGTGCGTTCGCATTTTGGTGATAAAAGAGGCAGTTGGCGCCTGATTTCCGGAGTCGCTGTAGAAGGCCGAGTGGAGCCCTGCCAGCTGCAGAAACCAACTAAAATGGCCGTTGCGGCAGCGTGCAGCAGCACCCGATTCCAGTGGGCGGCCACATGGCACGGGCGTGGAAGATTGTTTGTCAGGCTTGCTGGGCCTGATTGCACTCTGGGAGTTGGGATTGCCCGAGGTGAGGTTGAAATTTGACTCAACAACTTCCGTACATATCGGCTTGGGGTTACCTGAGGTGTGCTGTACTTAAGGGCCGCGCTTCAGCAGGGTGCGATTTATTTTTTCTTCTTCCTAGTTTTAGATTTGAAGCCGTCTAAGTTGGACAGCCGCTCATTGCAGGTCGACTTTTCATCTCATCTTTAGTCACTGACGCCACGGCAAGATCTCACTCGGCATATTTGCCTAACGTCCCTGCTGCTCACTTGAGTCAATTACACAACATTTAAAATGGCCTTCACAATGCACTCCCACTCGGGCCAGTTCTGCCCCGGCCACGCCAAAGACCAACTCGAAGAGGTCATCCTGCATGCCATCAAGGTCGGGTACAAGACCATCGGCCTGAGCGAGCACATGCCGCGCACCGAGTTGGGGGACCTCTACCCCGAGGAAGTAACACTCCCCCCTTTTTCGAACCCAGCAAAAATCCAGAAATTATCCTAGAAATGTCACAAACATAAACTAACAACCACACCAGCTCACCCCCTCCCCCACAGAATCCCTCGCCGCCCTCTTACCCCGCCACACCGCCTACCTAACCGAAGCCCGCCGACTCCAAACGCACTACGCCTCCCAAATCCACATCCTCATCGGTTTCGAAGGCGAATGGATCCGCTCCGCCTACGGCGCCATCATCCACTCCCTCGCCGCCGACCCGAGCATCGACTATTTCATCGGCTCGCTGCATCACACCCGCGGGGTACCGATCGATTTTGATCGGGCGTATTACGCTCGAGCTGTGGAGGCCTGTGGGGGGGAGGAAGAGAAGGTGTATGAGGCGTATTTTGATGAGCAGTGGGAGATGTTACAGGCGCTGAGGCCGAGGGTGGTGGGACATTTTGATTTGGTCAGGTTGATGAGTTCTGATCCGGGACGGGAGATCAGGGTTGCTTCCGCCTCGGGGGCAGAGACTACTGCGTCTGGGTGGGGGAGTGGTGTGTGGGAGAGGGTGGTGCGGAATCTGGAGTTTGTGAAGGGGTATGGGGGGTGGTTGGAGTGTAATACGAGCGGGTTGAGGAAGGGCATGGCGGAGCCGTATCCGAAGAGGGAGATTGCGGAGGAGTGGGTAAGGATTGGGGGGAGGTGGACGTTTGGGGATGATAGTCATGGGATTGCGCAGGTTGGGACGAATTATTGGAAGGGGTTGGAGTATTTGGAGGGGTTGGGGGTGAAGGAGTTGTGGACGTTGGAGAGGAGGCCTGGGGGGGAGGATGGGGTGAAGGCGGAGGTTGTTGAGAAGAGCGTGTCGATTGAGGAGTTTCGGGCGAGTTTGAAGTTGGAGTAAATGGGGGGAGTTGGTGATGCATTGGGCTGTGTTGTATTAGATGGCTGTGTGTTTAAAAGACAGTTTTCTGGCCGTTCTCTGGCTAGAGGTAGGGTCAAGATGTAGATGGGCAGTAAAAATAGGGTCAACTAGAATAAGACCAGGTGTTGAGCACATCTCAACTTGGGGCAGCAAGAAACAATACCGTGTTCTTCCCCAATATGTTCCTCTGGTCATGTCGTCTCTTCATGAGCGGGCAAGGTATTAAGTATTCTCCAGGGCACAGAAATAGGTCTCCCCCCCACAAAGCAGCCCACCGGTTGATAAGATGGAGAATTTGCCCCCGCTCCCCAACAATTCAAGGTCCGCTGGCTCAATGGCAGAGCGTCTGACTACGATTCCTTCGGGAGCAAGTAATCAGGAGGTTCCAGGTTCGACCCCTGGGTGGATCGGGAAAGTGGTCGCACGACCAGAATATGTTTTTGGTGTCTTTAACTTTTCGAAGGTGGGATACAAGTCAACGACCTTAAGAGTCGATTCGACAAAACATGAGTTTATTTTTTTTCCCACTTTGCCAATACATGAGGTTAATCATGGGACTGTTCTTTCAAGGCATATCGGTACAAGAGGTCTCGTTGTATTGTTGATGAATCAAGGGAGAGTGGTGAAGAGGGTATGTTTTTGGTGGTCAAAAAGCATGACTCAGGCCTAAAAATTAGTGCTCAAAAGCAAAAGATAAGGCCGATCGAGGTGGGACTCGAACCCACAACCTCAGTCTGAATCCTTCTGGATAGGAGGACCACACGCTACCGTTGCGCCACCCGACCTTGAAACAGCTAGCTAGGCTTGCTGATTGCTGGCCGAACTGCCGGACCAGTCCTTTATGAAGTCAACATGCCAAGGCCGGCCACCACCCATATTGACAACAATATTTTCAGGTTCACATCAATCTTCTTCCGTTCTTCAAAGTTTACTAAATAAAATTCATGGAACTTTGTAAATAATTATCAATGGGATCTCTAATACTTCTACATGCAATTTTACTTTGAACGATGCCCCCTTTCCATGCTCGCCAACACCCGGCAATCCGTTATCCGCCCATCTACCCTTCCTTCTCAACCACCACCGCATCCGCCTCAAATCCCATGCACACAGCCGTAGCATACTCGCCATCATGGCTAATACTCACCCTCGCAATTTGATCTCTCGCTCCCCCTCCCGGCCGGATCACTGCCGTTGGCGCGGCAGATCCCAGCCCATCAATTGGTTTTTCCCCCGTCAGAGCCTGGTTGGAAGTGGACGATGACAAGATGAGGATGTCATGAAAGCCGAGATGGAGATGAGGGTGCGCTTTGAATGCGGCTTCCTTTGCAGCGAATCTGGTAAATTTCACGTTTTAGTAACCTCCCTCAACGTTTATGGGTTGATGATTTGTTTGTTTCAACCCTTACCTGCCAGCCATGTACGCCGCAGCCCGCCCGTACATGCCATCCTCGTCTTCCATCGCTCCCTGCACTCTCCCCACGGGCTTCTTCTCCTGCCCACTCCCACCCCCTTTCTCACCATCCCCATCTCCCCCCTTTTCCCACAACGCAGCCTTTTGAGATCCAAACACCCCAACTCTTCTAGAACCCTCCTTTTCACCAGGTGATATCGCCTGCAACACCTGGTGAATCACCGGCCTCGCACGGGCGAGCTCCTCTGGCGCTAGAATCCGCCGGATGAAGCGTGCGCCTTGCTTGCTGCGTAGGATGTGGGCGATGCGTGTGACTCGGCAGATGTCGGTGCCGATGCGGAGCGGGTAGGGGAAGGGGATTGGGGGTAGTGGGGGGGGCATGTTGTAAGGGAAAATTAGAGTGTAGGGTAAAGGGAGCTTGATATTGTCTGGGTGGTGGTTGGTTTTTGAAGGAAAAAGTGGTGTTGAGGTTGGGTGTTTAATTGGGGGGGGCTAAACTTCAGAGGGGAATATCTGCCCCACTATGGTTGGCTTGAAGAGCATGTTGAGACCTCGGGGGTTGTGAGAATACACTAAGTGTTTGAACTTCTGTGGTAAAGCCTAGCAAGAGACACTGTGAACATGCTACGAATGAAATGTGTTTATTACGTCAGACTATTATTCCATTGGTATCTCCAACGCTGGCATTACATTTCCACCGAACAATCTGCCCATTTTCTCTACTCCTTTTTCTCAGGAAGCACCACTGATCTTTTATCTTTTTCATATCTCCCCCGTTCTGCCATTCCTTAGTCCGGGCCAATGCCCATTCCCTTCACCTCCCTCCCACTACCCAACGCCCACAACGTCACAATTCCACACATGGCCAGCCCCCAGCCTAATCAGAAAGCAACGGCGCGCGCTCAGCATCAGCCGGTCGGCTCTCTGAGTCCACAGCACGGCCGTTGGCCCACGGCACCTCGCGGCCCGTCCAGGCAGGAATGGCAACGATGACGGTCAGCACAAACAGCACGGCCATGATGGTGAAGGCAAAGATCCACTGGAAGGCGATGACCTGGCGGAAGAACTGCGCAACGCCGAGCGAGGCCGACAGCACGCTGAGAGAGAAGCCCATGGTGTAATCCTGTGAGGGACATAGTGTGTTAATTAACCTTGATACCAAGATGCCAGGAGGGTGTTGAACGAGCACTAACCTTGTACACAATAATGAAAAACAACCCATACACCAAAATCGACCACACAAACACATTCGCAAAGATCCTCGCCACCAAGCTATTCTGATGCGGCACCATGATCGCGCCGTTCCAGTACACCGCCACAAACGTCCAGGCCAGCGGCCCAGACACGGCAGGCAGGTGGATGAAGCGCGGGTAGGAATTATGGCGGAAGTAGAGCGAGGACAGGTTGAAGAAGTTGATGAGCAGCAGGACCTCGGCCCAAACAAAGTGCGAGCGCACAAACAGCATGACGAAGCCGAAGTGCAGCAGGTTGTTGGCGATGAAGTGGGAGCCTACGGCGCAGGCTGCGTTGACGGACTCGGTCTTGGATGAGAAGAGGTGCGAGATGTAGCCCAGTTGGAGGATGAAGAGGACGATCCTGGTTACAAAATTATCCGTCAGTATTTGCCCTCTTTTCACCGGGCGAAGTCAGGAGTGCAGTAGGGACCAGGAACGGACCAGTAGATGGAGGTGATCACGGAGTTGAGAGTGAAGCCTGAGTAGTTGTGGTAGTTCTGGTGCCAGATCGTCCCACGGTGGTGTTTGCCATCGTGCGGCGGCTCGATCGTGTAGTAGACGGTGACGACCACTGACAGCAACCAGCTTAGAAGTGTCAGGATTTTGTACCAGACGATCGAGTTCGCGCTGTGCGACTCGCGCTTGGCGAACGGGTTGACTGAAGAGAAGGGGGGCATCAGTATCTTGTGACAACATTCGTCTTCAAAGTGGTGGTCATTCCATGCGCTTACTTTGATTAAGGCGCTCCATCTTGTTTGACTGCCTCCCGCGATGGTACTCTCGCGGCTGCTGTTGTAGGTTTGGTTGAGAGAGTCGAGAAAAGGGCGGGGCAGCCCGGTTATGTAGGCACAATTCATCAAGGTTAGCCACAACCGCTAATACTATTAAAGATGGGACGAACAACAACAACAGGCTGAAGCTAGGGTACACGGCCTGCACAGCATGTCCGAGTGTGGCCACATCGAGCCAGCCCCTGCTCTGGAATGGAGGGTGGCCACGCAGGTCTACGCGACCCGGCTCCTGCAGTTTACTCAGTTCAGGAATTGAACATTAAAGGGACCCGGCCCGATTGGCCTGCTTTTACCCCGTGTTGTTTTGGGTCTGACAAGGTACATGAAGTCTTGCGATACTCTGCCGCAGCAAGCCGGATAGTTTGGAGATAGAAGAGGTTCCGCAGCATCCTGTCACAAGATGTCCGCGGGGCAAAGCTTCCCTCATTGCCTTTGACACAGCGAACATTTTGAGAATGGGTGTTTCCTAAGATCAATTGCGTCTTGTGTCGCCCGTAAAACGCCTTTAAACTCCCATTATTTTGACCTCACATCAAAACCCAGCAGTATTAAACTTTGGTCAATCCATGCGAGCTGTGCTGCGTGTGATGCGCGTTGGAGGGTTTCAGCGGGGTGCGAAATGCGGGGAAATGCGCCTTCCGGGGGTTTTGGCGTTTGGTTCGTTGAACCGTGACGTCATGGTCCAGGTCCCATGAACTGCTACCCATCACGCACCTCGATGGCCGGGACCTTTTGCTCCTCGAGATGACGACGACGATTCTCGGCAGCGCCCCTGGAGGGCAAGGAGGGATAGCGTACCAGCGGATATTGCCATTCTGCTAAAGAACACGCCAACGATTGATCTTGTGGCTTTGTGCCCCCCTCGTGCCCCCTTGTATGGCCCGATAGGACTGGTTGGACGACGGGGATCATCACTCAATAAAAGTGCGATGTCAAGGCATCGAGATATATACGTCTGTACACTAGGTAGCAATGAGGAGTAAGGGGGAGAACAAAAACGTGATCAAGGGTCCGTCGGAAATTTTTGGATAATCGCCCGTTTCCCCAGTTTCACTCCCATGTACCGGGTCGCCGAAGTCATTGCAAGAGAGCTCGTCATGGGCTGGTAAAGACCGGCTCAATCAGATCTGTACCGGTAGTTATGCACAATCCGGAGGTCTTGGAGTTTTGGCCTCTGGTTGATACAACGGGGCTTTGGGAAGACTCTTCGTCCGATCAGATATCTGTCCTTGGAACAGTCCCATTCGAAGTGATCATCTGGGAGCTAAAAGTATGGATCATGTCTCCATCACCGATGCGAACTATTTCCCTCCGAAGTCAACATAAACAAGCCCGTTAACCTAGCCGTACTATAACTAATACTGTGTTAAATCACCACTGCAAGCCGCCGTCCGGTCCCCGACCTCCTCCGAGCTCCGATGTCAGCAAGATTGTTTGTCTTCATGTGGCCCCACCTCGCTGTGGCCAAAAAAAGCGACACACTCAAACAGATAGCTCAAGTCCTATCCATTAACATCTGATCGAATCTTGGTAAATTTTGATTGATTTACTCTTTCTTGTCTTTTTTCACTTTCAAGATTTATTATTTTTTGTCCTTTTTCCCTTTTTTGGTTTAACTATTCTTTTTGGTCTTTTTTCCCTTTTTTAGCAAAGTAAGTTATCCACCAGGGACTTAGTCTGCCGCTTTTTTTGGCCATAGCGAGCCCACTTTCCTAAACCACTTGTGAAAGGATCCAATCCCGGTTACTCCGTAATTTTATGTAGCTCCGCATGGAGATCTACGCGCTCAGAAAGATTATTGGCAAGGATGATACATAATATTAATGTTATTAGTGGTCCAAGTTCGACAAGCGCCATGCGCTAGACAAGAACGAGATTCCAACGACGACCCTAAATTTAGTCGCACACTTATCAACAAACAATTTAAATGAATCACCAAACTTTAAGTCTTTAATGTGGTGATAAGACTCAATGTATGAGTTTGAAATTATCAGTGAGCCTCTAAGACGCCTAAGGCTACCCAAATCTATCTCATCCCAAGTATCTTTCTACCTAGGTAGCTTTGACCTCAAACCCAACCTCCAAGATAAGACAGTCCGAAGCCCGTCCATTCTTCCAACCCTCTCTAAGCGACAGACTTGCTGAACCTTGCTGTCCGACCTGCAATAGTTGAACCATAACACTGTTTTGTCCATCCTTCCAACCAATTTCTCGTCTCCCAAAACAAGAGAGGTGCACTTTAGACGATATGACCCCAGCCAACCGGAGGCCTCCAAAAACAACACTGTTTTTCCCCTCCTGCCGATCTACTTTTTGGCCCCCAACAGCTCCTCCTCGCTCAGCGACAGAACGTCTTTGCTCGTATCGGGTCTGTCTCCCCAGAACTGGCTGCCGACGCCAATAAGGCTGTCGGGAGAGACACGATCTGTGGACGCTCGGCCCGCAGGGGGGGCCGCCGCAGCAAAGTCCGGGTGCGAGGTCCAGTCGTGGACTCGCTCTCCTGCAGACCCCCCTGTCTTCTGCTTCCCGTGTTCGTTGCATCCGCAGGTGGTGTGGCGCGTCGTTCTGGATCCGAATTGGGCAAGCCCGGTTTTGGAGCTTGAGGCAGCCCAGTGGTTCGCCTTGCGCTTGCTTCTCGGCGGTGAAGGGGTGTGTGGTTCGGGTTGTTGGTGGTCGTCCCACATTGTGGGACCTGCACCGCCTGCGGGAAGTGCAGATGGGACACGCTTTGGTGTTGAAGGCATTGTGTTATCCACGATGAGAGGATTTATTCTAGCAAAGTCTGGTCTTGGAGGTGGTAGTATCTTGAGCAAGGTAGAGTGTGATGGAGATGGGAAGAGATTCAATTGGGGACAAGGGAATTTACAGGTGTAAAGAAGTACTCCGAACGATGAGTCTATGTGCGTCTAGTGCAGGATGTGCGTCCGACGTATTCCAAGCGTCCGGCGCATGCCATGTATCCGGCGCATGTCATGTATCCTTGGAGGTGGTAGTATCTTGAGCAAGGTAGAGTGTGATGGAGATAGGAAGAGATTTAATTGGGGATAAGGGAATTTACAGGTGTAAAGAAGTACTCCGAACGATGAGTCTATGTGCGTCTAGTGCAGGATGTACGTCCGACGTATCCCAAGTATCCGGCGCATGCCATGTATCCGGTACATCCCATGATCCGGTACATCCCATGTATCCGGTACATCCCATGTATCCGGTACATCCCATGTATCCGGTACATCCCAAGCGTCCGGCGCATACCATGTATCCGGCGCATGCCATGTATCCGGCGCACGTCATGTATCCGGCGCATCCCAAGCGTCCGGGGTAGGATGTGCGTCCGGCGCAGGACGTGTGTCGAGTGTAGAATGTTTGTCCAGTGTCTAACGTGCGTCTAAGTGTGGGAAGTGTAAGTTGTGTGGGAAGTGTGCCAGGGGTGGCAGCCAGGGGTCTGTTAGATGTTGAAGTAGTGTGCCGGCTTGAAGCTTAGCCAGCGCAAGAACATTCAACATGGATTTCAACTCAACCTGCATGCTTAAATAAGACACAGCTCCTACTTTAAAGATGGAAGAACAAGCGGTCGCTTCAAAGACAGCTGAGGCACATCACTTTGCCCCGCTCTTTGGGCAAGCGTTTCCTGAAAGCCTTGCCTAGGTACTACAACCCGCAACATCGACATCCTACGCAACAACTCAAGTCCCAATCCGACGTGGAAAAGTCAGATTCCACCGAACCAAACAAAACCTTGCTCGGCGGAAACATCGTACTGTTCTCCTTAGGAACACCCCGCTGTCTTGTTCAACTTTCTGTACAGAGACTACTAGAACCCCCGATGCCATCCGATGACAACTGGCTACGGCAACGGCCAAGATTCTGAAAATCGCGAGGACGGTGAATCAGGACAGGGCGGATCGCACAACAACGGCAGTCAGGGCATATCAGGTATAGGAGTGTCAGGATTATCAGGGCTGGGATCTTCTCGGAGGGCTGTTGGATCGCATCCCGAAGGTGATGACGATGATCCCGGGGACGAAGGACGCCGGAAGCGCAGGAATTCCAGCCCGAACTGCAGGCAACCCGGAAAGAAGACCAAATCAAACACTCGCAGATTTGCCTGCCCATATCAGGTATTCTATCCACCAAGACGATGTCTTGCAAGGGGTTCTCGTAACCCAGAGGGTGGATGTGATGGTATCGGGCGACTCACGTAAGTCTCGTCTAGAATCCCGATCAGTATAATTACCTCTGATGTGTATTCTTTATTTGTGACAAAGTGGTGACAAAGCTCACACTGACTAACCTACCCATCCGCCATCCAGGCAACATCTCGCTCGGAAACATATGATTTCACATCGATGTCAGCGATGCTGGATATCAATGGACAGCAAAGATAAAGTAGAGCGCCATGTCCTCAAAAACGAATGTCGGCAGAGACTGCAGCCAGAGAACGAACGATTCATGACCCCGGACCAGGAGCTCCAGGTTCGAGATGGTTGTGTCTTCCCGAGAGACGAGAATGCCTGGTGGTGGATTTCCAAGATTCTTATCCCCGAGATACAGGATTCCAATGATGAGTATCTAAAGTCCAACTACTCGCCATGTATGTTGCCCCCCTTTGCCTCCTGTTCCCGTTGTACATACCATTCACGCCTGTCCGCACACGCTCATACCACAGTGCATAGTCTATGGAGATCTCGATAGATCCGGGCAATCAGTTACGGTGCCCGTTGTCGGATGGTTGCCTTCAAACCAAGCGCCCGAGGAGCCATCATTTGACGAGTTCGACGGCATGGACATAATGGAAGTCCTCAACATGTAAGCTTGCACTTGATCCCATGTGACCTTTTTTGGCCAGTCCCACTGATTATGACCCAAACCAGGGTCGATGCTCTCAATCCATCGTTTCGAGCTACGACTCCGCTAGCCCAAGAGGCTATCCAACGTGCAGAGAGTGTAGGATTTTACAACAATCCCAACCAGGCAGCTGTAGCCACGCAAGCCCCAGAGACTCGACCACCCACCCCAAGGTTGATAAACCCAAGCGCCGTAGGCCCCCTCCCCCGGACGCAATACAGTAGCATCCCATCGCCTACTGCTGAATACCAGACCGAATCCCCACAAACATCAGCCTCATCCCCCACCTGTATCGAAACACCGGGCCTCATCTGCCCGTCGTTTCCGTCCTCGCCAGTGGCGCCGCAGGACGACCAACAGCAGTGGGCACAACCACAAATGCTTACCCTGGCCGAAGGTATCCTTACGAGGCCAGCAGCTACAAAGACGGTGACGACTGAGACATCTACCCACGAAATTCGGCTGCAGAACGTGATCAACCGACTTACTCACGAGGTCGAGGATCTCGAAGCTAGGGATACGGAGAATAAAGTGGTGAAAGAAAGTAGCAGTAAAGCACTTGGTCACATTCAAGATCTGCTCAATAAGGTACTTGCCACAAAGGGGCTAGACGAGGGCGTGTATCAGACATTAGAAGAGGTTGCTGATACACTGGTGATGGTTAGGAATGGGTTACGGTGATTAGGTGTGGCGGAGTTGGAGGTGAATGGGTCGTTGATCGGGTGGTATACTGGTCTCATTATGTCTCGAAAAACAGTGCATTTACACAAGATTAGTAAGTTTTTTTTTTAAAAAAAAAAAATAAAGAAAAAGAAATAAAGAAAAGGAAATAAAGAAAAGGAAAAAAGGTAGGTGGCTTTATAAATTACAAGTACCTGAGGTAGATAATAAACTGAATGACAACAGGGTGGAAATAACATCATCATGTTAATTAACATACATAAATCCAGTGTATTATTCTCTAAAGCTTTATCGTTACTTACCTGGTAGGAAGTCAACGCCACAATAGTACCTATATCTGTCATTGGGCTTTGCTCACTCTGTCTTGTCCAACTTGAACCACTCTTTCTAGCTCACCTACGTCCCAATACCCCCTGTTATCACTCCATTTTGCCTCCTAATTCTCCCCTGCTTAAACCCGCCATCCCTCAACTCTCTTCGAGCTGGACCGGCCACTAGTCCCAACATAAACAACGTTACTCGTGGCAATGTACCTAATCCCAGCAATGCCACAACCAACCACCTCTTGCAATCATAGTGAAAGAATGTTGCGTACCACTTGTTCTACCACAGCCTCTACCGCAGCTTTATCATAACGCCAGTTACAGGTCTGAGCCCTTGGTTTGTTGAAGTGACGTGGGATGTAACAAAACGGCGACCAAGGACTTCCGAAGTCCCTGTTGAATCTCTCGGTGTAGTTTCCTAGTAGGCGGGTGTTGAGGAGGACTGTTCTCGTGACTGGCTTCGCCCTAGTGATGCTGGTACCACATGGTAAAGGCGGCGTCGACCTTGTTTGTTGGTTCTTTTTGGGTAGGAAATGACCTCGATATCATAGTGGCTTGAATGAAGGCGAAAAAGATCGTGCTGAGCCATCGCGACCCCCTTTAGCCATTCCTCACACCTATCCTTCGCGGGCCCCTTTAATCACCCGGACACCCCAACTCCGAGGCCCTTGTTCCCGTTATATCGTCCCTGGCGGTATCCATCTCGTGTTGATTGGGTTGCCTCGGGCGTCACCGATATGAATTCGTTGGAGTTGTCGTCCCCGTTCGTCGTAGGAATATTTACGGTATAAAGTCAGTCATAGGAGAACCATTAGACCCAAGATGGTGAGGTGATATGTATTCTTATACACAGAGCCCAGAACCACACACCCGATATGTCACCCTCCTTCTCATCCATTCATCGTGTACACCCATGAGACACATTCTCCAGCCGACAACTCATCTAATCTACGCAAGACAGAGCCGCCTGATTCAACTATCACAGGCTCGCACCAGACAAGGCTTTAGCCAAATCGCTAGAATTCGTTCTCCAGCCAATTGAATAACACAGGAAGGCGAGGCTGTGGTTGTAAACGTCTGATTCTGAAGAGGCAAAGCGGCTTGCCTAAGGCGGGTATAGGACCCCTTTCATTCAGCCTGCAAGGCTGACAACCAAGCATCGAAAACAGCCTAGAGGGAATTTCCTCTATTTCGCCCCCGAGACGATGTAGCCTAGGGACTCGTTAGCAATGCTAATGACGAGCCGTTAACATACATCCCACAACAGCCTGTCGCCACAATCGTCTTTGTAAGTGATGTCAAGAGATGGGAAACCGGTCAAAACAGGAGACGCTTTACCCTGTTTCCTCGCCTTGGAGGTTCATTGCTCCCGCCTCGGATAGTGTCGCAGATGGGCAGAGGCTAAAATGTCCGACGTCAGAAACATAAGACCAGGGCATGTTTGTGAACAGAATGTCACAAGCCGGAGCTGACAACACAAATATGATACTACCCATCTTGCGTCTTGCCACAAGGCGACGAGACGAAGGGGCCGGTGAAAGGGAAGAGTAGGAGGGGGATAAGGGGGCAAACAAGAAACATGATGGATAACCTTCCGGAAGGGGCTTCACAGAAGCGAGAGAAGCGAAAGCATCATCCGGATGTGGCAAGGAGTCGGTACACCCCCCTCTACCCCTTCACGCCCCCTTTGCCATCACTTCTCCTGTTCTTCTTTCGTTTCTTCTTTGGTTACCCTTGTCCAACCTGCAGACCTCGATCATATCTGTTCTACTCGCAGACGCCTACCCCCACCGTGACTACCCCTAGCCTCTCATCACTGGGAGTATCGAGACAGCTGGACCACACACAGCTTCCCGCCCGTCTCTATCCCACACACAAACCAAGCTGGGGCTCCTCGCAGCCGCAAACGGCCGTGCCCTGGCTCCGAGAGGGACCTGCATGCGTTCGCCCGCTTGCGTTCGCCCGCTCTGCATATACAGGGCACATTCAGCACCTAGATACATACACACGAAACATCGGCACGCTTTGCATTTGTTTGTACATGTGCATACATGTGCATACCGGCCCGAGAAGAAGTTCCAGGTGCGGCTCAGGCTGGTGCCAAGTATTGCTTTTGCATTTTGCTTTTACGTTGTGTAGTGTTGAGGGCCATGTGTCTGGTTTGGACCTGCTTTATTTACACTTGAAATGCTCGATATCGACCGAACACGCGGTTGCACCTGTGCGGTATTAGTAGATAGATTCCAGCTCGCACCCAGCATCAACCCTTGGAAAGTATCATGCTTTCGGTCTAAAGTTGTTTGTTCCCTGAGCTCTATTCTAGAGTACCAAGAGAGAGATGAGCCACGGGCGAAGGGGCTGTCATAAGATCATCATCCTGGCGCTACACGGTCAAGCAATTGTTGCCGGTGACAGGGGGAAGACATGATCGTCCTCCTTATCCAGCACCAGATCAGATTGAAAGTCTCCTCATTGCTACCCAACCACCTTGTTTTCTTTTTTACAACCCCGACTTCCACTCGAAAAACAGGGGATAGATTGTGCGGGTGTGTAAGTGAGAAACTTCAAAGCTAGACCGAGGTGTGGCGTCCACGGCACACCGCACCATGGTTAAGCGGTCGCTACTCTCTAATGTGTGTGTGGCCCAAACCCGCGGGCCAGAAAAAAGGGGGGCGGTTGTGGCTGCCATTGGATCGGGATCTAGATATCTCAAACACGGATCTACTCTCGGGCACGTCGGGTGTGCCTTTTGACATATGATCCAGAGCCTCACCTGACTTTAGCAGCCGTCTGTCCCTGACGGGGACGGGACATAGGAGAGGGCTATAATAGAGAAGCAGCCCGTTGACAGCCGTCTACAGTGTTGTGTAATTATATAACACACGCTCGCTTGTGGCGTCGCGGGTCGTCGCTGGGGCGACCCCGACAGAGAAAATGTGATGTGATGTGATGGGTTTGAGGAGGTTGGGAGGAGAATAAAAATACGAGAAACGGGTTCCGCGACTCGCCTGGCTTCTTGTCAAAACAAGGAGGTGACTGAGAACTTTCGGCTCGAAGACACGGCAGAGGAACAAGTTGGCTGCTGGCTGTTTCCAAGAACAGACACATATGTCTTTTTGCTATAGCGCGGGAAATGCAGCCGAAAACAGACCTTGGCTGAAGCATCCTGTAAATGCGTGAGACAGATCGAGATGTAGTTTGAGTGGTAATGGTCATAGCGGGGAGAATATTATCGCAAATATAGCACCTGGCTGTACCTTACGAGACCGCGCAATATTGCACGCCCGAACGGCTGGAGCCCTGATGCAATGTTTGTCAAATGCCTGTAGGTTTCTCGGAGAAAAAGTTGGGACATGTCATCGGCATTCTCCGCATCTCAACTATCATCGGTTATGCGGTTGGGAACGTCGCGGATCGCAAGCTCGCCCAAGGTGCTCCATGGAATGGTAGTGGAATGGTAATGGAACATATGGAATATTCTGTCCTTTTCATGCATGGATAGGAAACCGTGGTCCTCGAGAGCGCAGGGGTAATATTTCGGACGGAGGAGATGGGATGACGTTGCGGGAGATGGGTTGGGAACTGACGAAAGAGACGAACGAACGTTGTTTGATCGCCAACGGTTTTCGCAATCGTTTTTTTTTCCTTTGTCTCCGAGGAATCATTGCGGGGAGAACCATACTTTAGCTTTCCGTCCATTGGACGTGATTATCCGGTTGTTTTGCAGTCGTGAGTGCGACAACACCAATGGAGGAAGACTACGGGAAGATATAAAACACAGGATGTGTCAGTTCAGCACAGCCGGACAGTTTCCGACCCAGACACACCACGCGGTGACGGTTCTAGCCCTCAACGACGAATTAGTGAGAGGAAAGACTGTGTTCTTTTGGCATCGAGCCACGAATCGAATATCGCAACATGCTTCGGCATCCAGGGCGGTCCGAGAAGTGCCAGCCGCTGGATAGCCAGAATGTCGTCCCATGGTTGAACGTGACGAAAGCTGGAATTGTCAAACTTGCGGAACGTCCGATCTATCCCAGCCACGCATTTTGGTTTCTCATGATCGATGACTTTACCATCAGATGTTGTTACCGGATCTTCTGGGGATGTTTTTGTCCCCCTGAAGGCCCCGTGGTGAGCTTGACCAAGATGAAAGATATCCCGCTGAACAGTAGAAAAAGGTCCCTAAAAAGCGTGTCGTGAAGCGCAACCCCCTATTTTCAAGTCCACAACTATGCTCTTCGAAATAATGAATCCAACAACGAGATTCATCAGTCCTATAATTTTCCGTTCCGGATGATTTACCTATCAAAAGCCCGGAATACCACCCGTGTATCTTCCCCACAAAGTACTGATTTAAGCTTTGGAGATCTCACAAGTGCCGAGAAGACCGATGGATGAAACTTCGGGCGGGGTCGCTGCCGCATTTGGCCAGCGTCCTTGGCCACATTTCGCTGCCAGTGACAGACTGCGAAGGGGCCGGGCAAATACATGATCCTCACCTTTTGAAGAAAAGGTCATCGACACAAGCGGGCTTCTACGGCCGGCAGAACACTACCCTGGGCGTCTGATCCGGGCCGGATCGGTCTGGCTCCGTGTCCGGCGAACCACTGTCGAGTGAGCAACAACACGATGAGCAACGAAGACAGGGTATTCAGGGAGGCGTCGGGCAAACTG